TCAGTAGAGAAGCGTATTGCAGGTCCGAATCGTTGTATGTCAACTAAGATGTGTTTCAAGACATGTAGCTTGCCCTTGACAAGGATTTGAGCAGGATCTAGATCATCAAATGCATCCAGTGCATTGTCAATCAAGGTTCCTAAATCATGCTAAAAACTGTAAATTCTGCAGGTTAATGTGAAGATTCTACTCACAAGATATTGCTCCATATTATCAATTTCTGGTATCCACAATACAGCACCAAGCTCTCCCAATACTTTTGTAACCTTGAATTGAGCAGGTGTTGCAATGTCATGCACATGGAATGTTGCTGTCTGCATAATGGTCTTGAAGTACTTGCCAATAAGACCATTGCAGTACTGGATCATATATGATGCCCGTATTGGTGGAATAACGAGACCCTGAATATCTATGGCTTGAAGACGCATAGTAAAAAGATCTTGATTGGCCTCTGTCCATGAGGTGTGAAGAGAATGCCATGAATATTTGATGAGACCAAGTAATATAGTATGCAGGAGTTCCACTGGTGTATCTTGAGTAGGATCAAGGGCTAAAAAGAAGTTAGGCACACTCCAACTAAAATTCAACAATTAAACATACTTGAAATTGTTAAAAGAGGACTGAATGGCTGTGCAGTCTCTGACTTAAGCCATTCTGCAAGTTCATCTGAAATTGATTCAGATGAGCGACCTGGTTTTGTAGCTTTGATTTCACGAGCCTTCTTAATAAGCTGCTCAATCCAATGTTGTGCAATCTTGTCTTTAACTCCAGTGGCAGTTTGATGATCAGCAACCTTCTGTGCAACTCCAAGTGCAGCAAGTTTCAGTTGCTCAATTACTGCCTCTCTAGTTTCCGTAACATTTCGTAATTCACTAGGCTTTATAAAAATTAAAAATAAGCAACAATAACACGTTGCCCAAATAATGCTTACCTCATGCAAGGCATGATAGCCTTCATCTGACTCTTGAACCTCATGAGAACCTCCAGTTTTACATTGTCGACACTTGCAGTTGGCATTCATTCCAATATGTGATGCTTCTTCAGCCTGCTATGGATTATCTGCAGGTAATGCTGGTACAATTAACCTGACTCATGCATGTCAATTAGTAGTCACATTATAACACCAAACTGGTTTTTTTTGACTCTCCCTGAGAAGCATAAATTAGCATATATTGATAATAAGTCAATGTAGACATACTGCACAAGAGGCATTATAGTTTCAAATTGTTCTGGTGCAGAGGCATGTGGTGACGTAGACACGAATTTGACAAAATACTCCTGTTGAAGTAGACGACCAGGAAGATTTGAATTGACCATGTAGACATTCACATGCTTTTGATATTGCTTAGATTGGGCACCAGAAACATCATCTGCCCACAGCGGAATAAAGACTGTTATTAAGTCTTCATCCTTTGCGAGTTATCGTAGTGGATTTGGCATGTTACTAGCATAGGTGTGGCATGACTCTATGAATTTACATAAGTGAACAGTGCTTTATGAAAAAAAAATCCACTCACCAATAAATGAGATAGGACCTCTGCTTAGTATGTCAAAATAATTGTAGCAAAATGCTGTGAGTGGAATACTGATAACTTCAGATGTTTCATCAACATGATGTTTCTGTGTTAAAGTCAAAGAAAGTATAAGCATTCAGTAATCTCGATAAGAACAGCAACATACCTTATCAGGCATTATGTACACTAAACGACAATCTGCATAAAGCTCTTTATGTCGCTGCATCCAAATAATTAGGATTACAAGTCGACCATCTTGTAGTTCATTTAATTCATTAACATAGAACTGCTTAGAACCTGATGTCGAGCATGCAGTGGGTGTCAGTAGATCCAAAGGGACCTCTTTCCAATGCTCAGCCTGCCATGTTTCTGAAACTGGACCATCTGTGATCTCTGGCCAGATATTGATGTAAGGCGCCACTTCTGGATTGGCAAAGTCCTGCAGTTACAATTACTCCATAAATATACAATAATAATAAAGGATGGCAGGATGTACCATACTAATAATATCCCTGGGATCATTGACATAGAAATGATTTCTCAATGATGACTTTTGTAGTAAAGTTGTAACACCGCACAGTGAGCAAAGATGATTTTGCATCTGACGAAATGCCTTGAAAGAGGGAACATTCTTCACCAGTGGTGGCCAGCATTGTATAACAATACTGCAGGTAGCTGGGCAAGGTGTTGTTCACCACTCACCAGTTCTTGTCAATTGTCAAAGTTATTGTTAACAACAGTCTAAGAGAATTGTAATACAATAACAACTTGTACAAAACAACTTATACTCAGTCAGGCTTGAACCCTGGTCTTCCGGACACATAATTACATAATCACATGCCACACACACAATCTACCCACTAATCCATTAGGCCATGCATTTTTTTAGCCTCAATTCTATATATGGCTACTTACTACCTTCTCTAATATATATATTAGAATCTTTTGTAATAACTACTATATCCTGTTGTTACTGTGGCTTCTAACAGTGATTGAGGTCCCTGTTAATAAGTCTTTGAATGCCTAATATTAAGCATTTCTTTTTTAGTTCAGTAAATATTCAAATAAGATTAAAGGATAATTCTATTGAGAAACCTCACAGAAACCCGAAAACCTCAAAAAACCTCGGGTTTCTGAGGCCGCTCACAGAAACCCCTCAATTTGGAAACTTAAGGGGTTTCCCTCCCTGAAGGAAATCTCGGTGTCCGGCCGGCCGTCCTCTGTTAGCTGCTATTGGTGCTGTCCCAACGTCGACAAACCTCCGACGTCATTTGTGCGGGTTGTGTAAAAAGCAGGGCAGACTTACTACCAAGATTCTCATGCCTGTTCATTGAGAGACCTTGCCAGCAAGCAAGGTCTCTCCAAGCTCTTATGTAATTACTTGAGAGGGAGAGGAAGAGGGAGACTCGGCACCCACCTTTTTTGGTTGATGATTGTCATGCTTATATTTCGCGAGCCATCGTGGCAGCAGCTGCTTTTGGAAGTATATCTGCCTCTTATGTACCTGTCCAAGTATCTGGGAGATCGGTAAGAACAATATTTCCCCCATTTCATGCATATTCTGAGTTCTCATATCTTCAGTGTGACTTGTTTGATAAGCCTTAATCCTCAGAATAAAGTTTTGCAAGGAAGTCGGGGAGGCCGTGCTTCGCTCACTTTTCAGATATTTTGTACAATCGGTGCCACATCTCGCTAAGCCTGCCAGTGATGTATGTAAGTGCCCGAGAGCCCGGCCAGCTGTCAACAGTCTTCCTTTGAGAGAAACCGGGTTGCTGAACAACTCAAGGTGGTTTCTGGGGTTTTCAGGTTTCTGGAGGTTTCTCAATAGAATTATCCAAAATTAAAACTGTTATATCAAAATTTATAGATCTAATAAAGCTATTAGAAGAGTGGAATAAATAGAAAAATGTAGGCAAATAACTCTTAGAAGCCACAGTAACAACAGGATATAGTAGTTATTACAAAAGATTCTAATATGTATATTAGAGAAGGCAGTAGCCTTATATAGAATTGAGGCTAAAAAAAATGCATGGCCTAATGGAACAGTGGGTAGATTGTGTGTGTGGCATGTGATTATGTAATTATGTGTCCGGAAGACCAGGGTTCAAGTCTGGCTAAGTATAAGTTGTTTTGTACAAGTTGTTATTGTATTACAATCCTCTCAGACTGTTGTTAACAATAACTTTGACAATTGACAAGAACTGGTGAGTGGTGAACAACACCTTGCCCAGCTACCTGCAGTATTGTTATACAATGCTGGCCACGATGTCTCTGCTTACTTCCGTGACTTCCGTCGGCATGGCCGTTACAGGTACCTGTATGTATTAGAACGATATAAATGTGATTCATTCTACATTCTGTACTGAGAGCCGGCAGGGTCTAATGCAGGTGCCGAGAATGGACTGCCAGCTATGAACAGGTATATCTGGCCCATGTAATAAGGCATCTCAAGTGAAAGTCAAACCGACCTTTTCTCAAGACAGTGTATGTCCTTATGGAAGTACTTGGACTTGCTGCCACAATCCTCAATGACAATGTTGTGATTACTATCAGTGACCCGGATATGCCATATGGCCCAGAAGTGCAATACTTTTTTCTACAGTTTGATCCTCTACACTGATTGCCTCGAAATTATTCAGGGATGCTCTCATACATTGTATTTTAGTACTGTAAAAGTTTCAGAATTAAATGTGGCCCACTTGGGTCCCATGAAATCCGGGATTGCCGGAATGTATTTGGCTGGTGCCACACCTCGGCATGTCTCCAAAATGTTCAACGCTAGTCAAAAAAATCCGAAAAAATAGTCTTTAGTGTTCTATATGCTACAGAAACAGTCTCTGAAGTGCCGAAGACAATTGGGCAAGGTAGTGTGTAGCGGGACCAGAAGTGCCATATTATGGCACATCCGGGTCATCGATAGTATGACCTCTCCATCACACTCCAGGCTTACCAAAATCTCACTCCGAGCTTGGTGGCGGCACTTCGCCCAAGGTATTCCGTAACCTCAAATAAAGATCACGTGCCGACGTCGACTCGAGCTTCCGGTCAATTGACGGTTGCTCATTCGGAAACTCGAAGGTCGACAGGACCTTTCTTATTGAATTCTCAATCCCGGCTTCTTGATCACTCGGACAGATAGGGCACAACCTCAAATTATCATTCTTTATTTTCCGCGGTGTATGTCGAGAGGACTTTGACTTGCAAACTTTTTCCACTTCGCTTGCCTTTTACAGCCTGCTGCACCGCGATCCAATCTGACCCGCCTCCTTACAAAGCCTACCTAGTGCTGCAGACTTTCGACACTTTTTCTGATGCAAACATACTGCTAGGATAATGGAGCGAGAACACCATGACGACGGATGGTTCTAGGAGCCAGGAGGGTATCTAGTCAACTCAATAGCTTTGTAATATCATACAGGTATGCTGCTGGAGCTCAAGTACTGTTGAATGTACAGTATGTCAAATGCTAGATAAGGTACGGTTGCTCTATGCTGCAGCCGGCTTCTTCATCTTTGGACCGTCCTGCTTCCCAGGAACGAATATCCACCAGAATGCGATGAGAGTCCTGAAACCGGTGCCTACACCCAGAGCCCCAGCAGAACCAATCTGGTCGACAAGAGCACGACCCACGAAGCCGCCGACGAATACGGCGGCGATGGCGATGATCTTGTGGTCGCGAGTGATCACATAGCGATTGAGCTGGAATAGTTTCGGGTCCGCCATGAGCTCGCACCATACGGTGGTCAGCACGACTGAAGACGAACCGTCACCGAATCGAAGTGATGGAATGTGCGAGAGAGGACTGACCGGTAGTAGTGAACTGTGTGTTCACCCGCTTGCCCATGATTCCTTGCAGCCCAATGCTGGCACTCATGAAGCCAAGGGCGACAAAGGTCAGAGTGTTCGTCCATGCCGGATCGCCGCGCGAGTCAGCAACGCTACCCTGACCACTCTTCCACGCAGCGAGTGCGGCCGCCATGGTGAACAGAGCCTGAATGAATGTGCCGAGCATGAGCCATGCGCGGGACATGGGTCCCATGCGATCGCCGAGGCGACCGACGAACGCGCCGAGATTGAAAGTGATGAGAGAGGTGAGTGCCTGCCTGTCAGGAAGATGGAAGGATGTATCACGCTGGCCAGGAGGACCAGAGAAGAGTCGCGCGAGGGCAAGGGCGAGCTAAACAACCTGGTCAGGATGCTATCGTAGCGAGGGAGGCAGCACACGCACCTGCACCGAGTTACCAGTCTGGAAGCCACACCATACGAAAACAGCGGTGAAGGAAATGGAATCGCTGACATGTAAAATTAATTAGCACGCGACTAGCGTAGGTGCAGTGCAAGCTCGTACATGATACCGGTCATGAAGCAATATGCGGCGAGGGGGATCGTGGCCTTCTTGGGATCAACATCGCCGAAGAGGTGCTCCTTGGAAAAGACAGTGGAGGGAGAGAGCCATAGACGGGCAGATTCGATAGCAGTAGAACGAGAGTCGGCGGAGACGGGACGGGGAAGTGACTGGATCTCCACCTTCTGCTCGTTGTAGTGGGGACCTGGAGAGATGCTCGACGCCATGCAATCTGCGTGAGGAGAACGGCAGCTGCGACGAGAGAGGAGAGCTCGTGGGGTAACAGTGGTGGTCGAGGGTCAAGAGAGTTTTGTATGTGGTGGGTCTGATTCATCATGCAATTGACAGACAGAGCTTGGCGCGCGGTGAGCCGCTCCGAGCTCGGGATGTGGTTCGGAATGTTGCTCGGAGTGCCACTCTATTCCCACCTCCAACCTCTTGGCCACCACGCGAACGCCGCACAGCGTCGCCTTTCATCATGCCAACGCCCGAATTTGTTTGCTTCCGTGACAGCCAGCACCATATTGGCCGAGACCCGCGTATGCTCACCATGCGTGCATCGTATGCTGTCTTTGCGTCGTATGCGCCAAGCTTGTCTGGCTGTAGCGCTGCCGCGATGTGCCCCTCGTGGTCGGACCAAGTCTGCAGTGAGTCGTGGTCGAACGCAGATAGCACGCTTGTCTTCACAACCGCTTCTCCCAATGTTTTCGACTCGTCTCATTTCCGCCGTTGCCCCTGTCCCATGATAAGTTTCTCAATGAAGTTGTTATCCTGGCTGGGTGACATGACGTTCCTTGGCGGTCTAATTAGCCACAAGCGAGTGCACGTCCTAGTCGCCAAATGGGCAAACACCATGTCTGAATCATTGCCGCACAAGAACTGCATAATTAGTGGAGATAGCTCGGGAGACAACGACCTTTCATGAGAACAAGAATCTTCTATAGTCTATTATATCCTCCTAGCATAAAACGCAACGAACAATAGTATAACAGCACCCTCGCAAGGTCTATAAGTACACAGAGTTCCATCTGGGTTCAGGTCGTCAATGCATCTTGCCAAGCACGCGCGGCTGCGACAGATCCGCCATGTTGATGAAAATGTCATCGGCCGGGTGGCGATACAGCGGAGCACGGAGACGCTTCTGGTCAAGGTGGTGGCCAATGAAACCGATGCTACGACCGAGGACGAAAAGGCCGTTCAGAGTACCAATCTGTGAAACAAATAATGAGCTTGGCATATATTATCACACAAACTAACTTCCGCACCTTGATGTACTCATCCGCCTCCTCGGGAGTGAAGGCACCGCTGTCGCGCAGGAGATCGACAAAGCAGACAGCAATGCAACCGTCGACGTTCAGGATAAGCTGCGCAACCAGGATCAGCCAGCGGCCGAAGGAAAGCGGCTGGGCACTCACAGTGTCCTTCTTTGCCGTAGTGACCTTCTCCACAGCCAGAGCATAGTCGAGAAGACTGTGGCTGGGGAAATTCTTGCTCACGTACTCCTTCACGAGCTCGACACGCAGATCGGGGTTATTCACGCTCTTGATCTTGTGGCCAATACCGCTGACTGGAGCGAATGTCAATTATTATTCGCATCTTTGCGGTGAGTCGAAGCTTACTGAGCTTGTTCGCCTTACGGCTGTTGTCTACGAACTCACGCGGGGTGAGTCCAGTGTCGCGTGCGTTCGAGAACATTGACGCAGCCTCATCAAGTGCACCACCGAAACGGCTTCCGATGGTGAGTAGTCCGGAAGCCAACGAAGAAATCAGGTCCTTGCCGGCACGAGTAGCGACGATCGTGTTCATCGCACTGCACCGCAATCGGTTAGATTGAAAACCAAAGACCAAAGACATGTGACTTACCCAGAGACAGCCGGGCCATGGTCAGCAGTGAGCATGAGCACCATTTCGATGAACTTGGTAGCCCAAGGCGGTAGACGACGCTTGAACCATAGCAGACTGACGACCCCGCCGATACCGATATCTTCCTTGAAAACATCGGAGATGCGCATGCCAGCGTATAGCAACTCCTGCCCACGCTCGTCGGAGATCGTCGAGATGAACGCGGCGGGCTTGCGAATGAGGCCGAGCTCCTGCGCCCACTTGTAGTCCATGGGGATAACGGGGGGCTCACGCTCCGGCAGGGGCTTAATCGTGCCGCTCGAGACCAGACGCTCGTAGGTCTCCTTGAGCACCTGCGGAAGGTCTTCGAAGGTGACGGGGACGATGAAGCCCGCCGCGCGCATAGCAGAGTTTTTTGCGTCGGCGGTCTCCCTGTCCGAGTTGGCCATGGAGCCGGCGTGACCGAACTGCACCTCGGTTGTGAACATCTTTGCACATGTTCCTATGGCCCAGGCGACGATCGGCTTGCGGATAATGCCTTTTTTGACGGCGTCGATGACTCGGTACTCCTCGATCCCACCAACCTCCCCGAGGAGAACAAGCATCTTGCATTCAGGGTCCTGCTCATAGCGCAAGAGGTGGTCGATGAAGGTTGAGCCAGGGTAGCGGTCACCACCGATCGCAATGCCCTCATACGTACCGTTGGTGACCAGCGAGAGGATGTTGTTCAGCTCGTTGGACATACCTCCCGACTTGGAAACGTAGCCGACGGACCCGGGGCGGTAGAGCTTAGATGCGATGATATTGTCCATCATACTGAAGAAAGCCAGGGTTAGCACTACACGAGACTACGACAGCGAGCGCTACCCACCCTCCAGAGTTACCAATCCTGAAACATCCAGGCTTAATGCCACCCACAGTCGCGGGCCCAATAATTAGGACGCCCTTCGCCTTGGCCAAATGCAAGATCTCGCGCGCATGACGCTCGGGTACGCCTTCGGCAATGAGGGCTATGCTCTTGATTTGGGGGAACGTGAGGATATCTAGCGTGCTCGAGTACACGCTGCGGGAGCTCGCGAAGTTAACGACGACATCAACATCAGGATGCTTATGGACGGCCTCCTCGACACTGGTGTAGACGGGGAGCAGCGTCTCACGGGTACCCCAGTAGAATTTCTGGATGTGGTGACCACCGAAGGGGTATATCATCGCGGCGACGGACGGCGTCTCGCGTCCGCAGGAGTAGTCAAAGTCGAGCATTCCCTGGATGGCACGAGGCTGGAGGCCGTACACGAACGCACGCGTGTGAGCATCGAAAGGACGGTAGGAGGGGCGCTGATGCGAATGCTTCATGTCGGCAGTGTCAAAGTGAACAATTTGGTCATTCGGCTGCGATCGCTCACCACCTGGAAGAATGGTGCCGACTGTAGGGGTAACCTCAGCACCGAGAGGAGTAGCGGGTGTGGGCGGCGACGGTGGGGAGAGGGGAGTGGGCGCAACAGAGTGCAGAGCGTTCTTGGGCTTGCCCTTGACGCCTAGCGCGAGGGGAACAATCTCAGTGATGTGGGTATCAGGGCCGTAGACCTTGATGGGTACACCGAGCGACTCTCCTAGGAGACGCATCGCCTTGAGACCTTCTTGGTAGTTGGGACCACCGCGACGGACGTAGATCCTGACGTGGTGCGCGATGAGGGGAGCCTTGAACTCCTTCAGCGCGCGGATGATGCCCTTGAACGTCGCCGCGACGTTGGTGAAATTGGCAATACCGCCACCGATGATGAGTATCTTGCCCTCAGGATTAGGCTTGCCACGAGTCATCAAGTCGACTGAAACCGAAGTAGGTGAATATATGCTATGCAATACAGGCACAACAGACTCACTAATAGTCTTCGCATATTCGTATGTCTGACCCTCAGTGGGGGCACCCGAGTACTCGCCATAGTTGGCGAGCTCATGTGCGAAGCCGTGGGCGGCGATGGCATCGGAGTATACGACGGAGGCACCACCACCAGCCACCATGGTCCAGATACGCCCCTCGGCATTGAGCACGGTGAGCTTGAGAGACGCGCCAGTAGAACTGTCGAGCTTCTGGATGTAGGCTTCCTCCTTCGTTAAATCGCGACCGAAGGGTGCAGGCCAGACCTGACAAGACAACGACGATCAGCGGTACCGAACATCACCAGCAGACATGCAGCATATATGCGCACCATTGGGGGTCCTCGGTCGGCAGAGACGGCCTTGCCCCTCGAGGTAACGGCCTGCGAGCCAGACTCGTACACGGACAAGTCGCGGGCAATGGCCCACTTGGGACCACAGATGGACTCAGCAGTCTGATCGAGCTTGGCGGCCATATCGAGGTAGTGGATGGTTGGCTGTCCGCCGTCGACGGCATCGAGGCAAATGAGTGGGTTGATCTCGAGGTACGCGAAGTGAAGGTCAACGTAGACTGAGTAGAGACGAGTGAGGAAGTCAACGAGGGTCCCCTGCTTCTCTGCGGGAACGTGTTTGAGGAGTGTGTCCGTAATGGTCTTGCGGGAGGGGAAAGGTGCGCCGACGGGAAGGTTGAGAGTGAGAGCCTTGGCATCGACGTCGCCGATGTCAACACCGCCCTCGTGTGTGAAGAGGATGGCATCGCCTTCGCGAGCGGACGTGATGCAGACGTAATATTCGGTGTTGGAGGGGTGCGGAAGGAAGGGCTCGACGATGAAGGTGTTGAGCGTTCCTGTGACAGACTCTACCTGCGATGAGATTCAGTCGTGATCAGCATCAGATTGGGAGAACGACTATGGGTCACGTGGGTCGCAATAAACGCGTCTCTTAGCCGAAGCTCAGCGATCCTCACGCTGGACGCGAGTTGGACTCGCGTCGATGGACATGAGGTATATTGGGTCAAGATAGCGCGGGAAAAGGGGCGTCTCGTCAAAAGTTAGACGACGGGTCTACGTGGGAACAGCAGCGGGACTGGGGCGGCTGAGGATGCGGAGACGGGAGACGGGGAGGCATGGGGAGCGAGGGACAACTTGACTCACCTTCTGTGGCTTGCCGGCACGCTGCTGAACCCATTGTTTGGCTTCATCCCAAGACTTGTTGAGGGCGAGGAGACCGGCCTTTCCTCGACGCTTGATGAGCTGATCGGGCTTCGCGACGAGTTTTGAGGAGAAGACCCAACCTGGGAGCTGTGTGTCGGGAGTGATGGAGTTTGTCGCGGCATCCCAAGAGATTTGAGCTACTCTGGGAGCAGGGTAGACGAACTTGGTGGCGATCTGTGCAGATGGGTCGACTGGGGGTGCACGCTCGAGCCAGTAGGCGAGGAGGAGCTTCGCGTCGTATTCACGGATGGCTGGGCACGACGGTGAGCGAGGAAACGTACGACAAAGAGGAAGAAAGCAAACCTTTAGAAGACATGTTTTGAGGGGAAGGAGAGAGGAATATGGAGACTTTGGAGGCGTACGTACGGTATTTATGTGTCAATCTCGCTCGCGCCCAAAAGGGAAATGGGGACTTTGCATTGGTGACCCCCAATATTCGCACGCCTGTGCCCTTCTCTGCGACATATCAATCGTACGACCAATAAAATTCATCCTGCTCCCAGCTGCTGCCCTCGGCGACCGACAACATTAATCGTCATGTCCAAGGGCATCTATCAATGTGACTAGTACTGGAGACTGAAGTACTGATCCGCGGGGTCATGTCGCGACGTTTCGTTGACACCAGGGCATCACTGTTCCCTTTAGCTTGATGAGTTGTGCTGCCCGGCCTGCCACTTGACCCCGTCGTGCACAATATTGTCTGCTGCCTCATACACGCGTTATAAGATGCCTAAGTCCTCGTGCGCGTCTCGTCCTGTGCATTTGCTAGTGCTACACATCGCTACCCTTGAAGTGCGGTTCGATTCTGCGCGGGCCCCAGTGTCGACTCCCTCATCAGAGCGAAAGCGCGCACTGGCCCATCTGTATCATCTCACGACATAGCTTGCGCCGGCATGCTCTGCGCGCTATGAGCTGGTACACGTCGGCTTCCTGTGAACAGATGGCAGTTAGTATGGCGTTTCTCTACTTCCTGACATCCAGAGACGTGCCGGACTGTCTTGTCATGTAGTGATTAGTCTCCGGTGTGCATTAGCGAGTCTCCAGTTTGGCACATGCACAGGAAATGCATATGAGAGTAAATTGAGGTGCGCATCTATCTATCTTTTGACGCGGTCATTGTAATGACCATGATTGATTCCTCCCCCAGGCTTGAAGCTTGAGGTTCCAATGTGGCTATATGCGCTCATTAATGTTGTCACGTCCCTCTACGTTGAGCGCTGCAGTGTAACACTGAGTGGTCTCCTTGTGCTCGACCTTGAGTAAGCAGGCAGTACCCGGGTCCTGGTTCTCCGTCGGACTGCCTGCCGGGCATGCAGTCTTGAGCACGGAACCCACTCGGAGCTGGCATATTGACCCTAAAAATCTCATGCATTTGCGGCGACACCACGTTATTCCGTCCCGCCAGGATAATGCATGATGTCATCGTATTGGCTAGATGCGCAGGATCTAATCTCGATCAGCTCTCTGTCGTACTTCCGTTCACGAAATTCGTGACTGGCAATTTGGCTGAAATATCTCTTGCCTAGTGAGTGTCCCGCGGACCTCCGTGTTTTCAAATTCCATGCCAAGTCGTGTCCGATTAACCTGGCTCATGGATAATCGGACACGCAAGAGACCGGTATCTGCGATGCGCCCACATCACATATGGCGACCAAGTGTTTGCCGCTTTCCTCCTTCCCCTACCTAAGCTTGATTCTCACTTCTCCCTCTAATCACCATCTTCCGGGCGCTGATCATTGGTGATTATACCTGAATGTGGACCAACCAAATAAGCAGGATTAGCCTGATGAGTCCCGATCGGGTCTAGACCATAGCGCAGAACTTCACGCCGGGGTTTGCCCCTTGGTCGTCCAACGCAACATGCCCACCTGCCTGGGCAGGGGACTGCAACCGCTATAGCTAGTGCTTGCACTAGGACTTCGATTGGCAGAGTCCCTGTTGCGGTGGCGCGTGATGTCAGTTCAACATCTGGGCGTGATACAGTGTTCCCACTCGGCGTAACTCAGGTGAGCGCGCTCACTCTTGAATGGAACTTATTCGTCCGGCGCCGCCTCAGTAGATGATAGGATCAACTCTGACGACGAATATAAGGCACATGGCCGAACTCACGTCGACGGCCGCAGACCTCACGGTTTAAGAGTGGTCGATCGCAATCCAGGCGTGTCGCCGCTCGGCTTAACGGCCAGAGGAGCCTCGCCGGCGCACCACCACCTCCCCGCGAGCGCTCTGTGGGGACCGTCGTCATAACCTGTCCCTTGATTTCTCGGAAGCTTCTCACCACCTCCCCATCATGTCTGCGTCCTCGCCGTCCACTCGCCCTTGGGACGTCTACGCGGAGCAGCTGTCACCCTGCGGCTATGGTTACCCCCTCTGGAGCCCCGAACACGCGAAGCACGGCGGAGTGCACATTGGCGATGTTGGATACCTGCAAAACGGCCATTTCAGCCGCATGTTCAATGCCATGCGCGCGAAAGACGACGAGCTGAACAGGTATGGTGTGCCCGAAGGATACACACCATTTACTGCTGGTCCATACTTGAAGGAGACCTTCAAGGATGCCCTTCCTGCGGGCCCCCTATGCAGCGTGGGGGTGAAGTTTGAGAGCATTAGTACAGAGCATGAAAGGCGCGTTCTGTTTCCTGTTGTTTAATGTGAACGGTTTTCTCATGGTTCTCTTACTGGTTAGCAAAGGAGTTGCAGGTCCACTGAGCTTCCGATGCGAGAAAGAGCGAGGAGCAATTCTAGTTATGAAAGAACCAGCTACTCGCGAGGAATTCCATCCAAGTCGTAATATGATGACATATATGCGCCAAAACTACAAGAGCTGGATCGATTTTGCTGAGAAGCTGGGTCTGCAAGGCGTAGGGGTCGATGACATCATGTTCGTACGTGGGTGGGTGAAGACGGCGGACTGGGCAGTCGCAGTATTTGACGATCGTGACCATGCGAAACCTGGGCAGCTGACATTTCGGGGCCGATTCGGGGTGCCTGCCAATGTTGCCTTTATGTCCGATTCATCCAAGGGAGACGAGCTTCCCGTGGATTGTGACTCCGGGCCTCGTCGTTCGACGCACGCGAGAAGGGCTTCCAGTCTTTCGAGCATCGGGAGAGGTCTGCTCATGAAGTCCCCACTGGAGCGTGATCAATGCGTTTTCCTGCTGTACTACAGGTTGAAATTGCGGACGAAAATCCCTCGCAAGATGAAGGAAACTCCTGTGCCATCATCGGAGGACAGTCAGAGCTCTGAGACCGACTTATTGAAGCACAAACCGACACCTGCACTCGGAGTTCAGGATGAAGTGAGTGGGCGTGTCGTCGACCCTGCTCTAGCCCTAATTGTGTAAAAGCTAGATGGTTCACACTGGTCTGCATCTTCCATAACGGGCCTGCTGCCATTTGGCCGGCGATTGAAGTCGATACGACAAGATGAGAAGCGGAAAAGCCGTGAGGTTCACCACCACGTCCAGCGTGCTTCGTCTGGGAAAAAGATGGTTGGAATTGAACCTACTCATCACCGTTACACGGTGCGTCTACATGAGCTGTGCAATCCATGATTGACTATGATACCTTACAGCCATATGATCCTCTTACGTCTGTTCTTGATTATATACTCTCGGTATGTGGTGACTCATTAGCATGCCTCTCATATGTTTACTATATTCATGTTCCTTAGAAATCGGATGCGAAAGTTGCAATTGCCACAAACACTCCTGAGCTATCGTATCTAAGCCATGACCCCGTGTTTCCGAGGAATCTGCATGTCAGGGTCGATGAAGGTTCGTTCATTCGCTCGTTGACGTCTTCAGACGATTTGATGGCACGTCGATAGGACTTGCGAAGGTCGCATATACTTCGTCTTATTCGAGTCTCAACCTCAGGAGCGCCATCCACTATTGCCTGCATGCTCTTCCGTGCGAAGATCTCTTCGATGACTACGTCATCTGCGACAACCTCGCGGTCCTCTTAAGTGCCTCGTACCACGAACTACATGATATGGAGGACCTGGAAGGGGCCATCCAATGGTGCAAGTACTCGGTTGATCGTCGCCAACCGAACCACGAAACCCGTCGCATCGCGCTTCTGCGCAATCTCACCGTCTTATATCAAACTCGCTTCAAGAAGACACATCACGTTGAAGACCTTGAAGAAGCGATTGCTTATTGCAGAGAAGCACAGGGACATTGTCCGACGAACCATATCATGTACCTTTCCCTTGTAGGTGCACTGGCCGACCTACTCGATACTCGTGGCTCTCTTCTGCATCGCAAGGACAAACGCGAAGCTACGAAGTACCGAGAAGAGCGAGCTACGAAACACCTTCCGGAAAACTATCAGGAAGATCCTAGTTACACTGAGACGTTTGTCGAGTCGTGGTTCCTCTCCGGTTCCGCGCATAGTACGCGTTCATCTATCTATGCGAGGTGTCGGAGCATTTACTGAATTTGGATGCTTCAGAAGCCAATTCTGCACAAAGCATCAACATGAGGCAACTCGGAACGCTGCTATGCCTGCTAGGGGATTGGCCCAGTGAGACGCGACTGAAGGATATCGACGAGCGCCTTGACCACTCAATGTTCCGCAAATCCGAGTCGACCATCTCCAAAGATGTATTTTCGACATTGATTCACAACCTGCATCGCTGGTTTCATTTCGACGTTCAACGCATCGTCGCTGCAATTAGATGCCTCACGTTACCCATGGGTAGAGAAGGGAGATACCAGGACGATCCCGCTGCGCGTGTTCTTGATCACAGTGAGTGTCGTGTTGGCGTCTCTCAGTTCATGATTGTGATCAGGACATGAAGTGCTAGAGCGCGCTTGTCAAACCGGAGATACATCTCAAACAGGCACGGAAAGTGCGTCGTCGTCGAGTGGATGAGGAGAAACTTGGACAAGTTTGAACGGACACAACTACTGTATTGATTCGGATAGTTTCACCGCACAGTACTCACTTATATTCGGACTGACTTCGACATGCTGGCTGATACCAATGGACACTGCTCACATGTACAAGTAATGTTGTATACCTTCCACACGTTCCTGAGGCTAATTTGAGTGACCTGTAGATGACTGAAGAGGACAACCTCAGTTGTCGATTCCGCCAGAGCTGTAAGATGTCCATGAATTTACCAACAGCTGGTTACTGGCGTTCACGTGTCATTTTCGAGCAATATTCAGGTGCCCTGGAGTGCTAGGTGCGAGAACTACTATGCCCTGGGTGGTGCAAACTTGCCAATTTCCTCCTGGGTCATTGGTCAAGCGGTGTCACATTGCCCATTCAATTTTAGCCTCTTCAGATCCCCACAACTTGCGTATCTCGTTCTTGTGCACCGTGGCACTGAAATAGACAACTAGGGCAATATGGCATCCATACTTTCAAGCGCAGAATACCATGCAACGAGAGCGGTCTGATATGAGGCAAAGTGAGCCAACTCGTATTAGGGAGTGAGATAATCTGAATGGACGAGAAAGTTGGAGAAAAACGCACCGGGATAGCGAACTCTTTAGAGATGAATCGATGATATGTTGAGTGGAAGAGAGTTGGGTCTACACTCGCCGCACATAACACAGCACAACGCCAGAGATTTTGGACGTGGGAAAATGTCGGCGGTTCCCAGATTTTCCACGATTCTCCGTAGGTTATGACGATTGTGAAGCCTCCGAGTAATTCCTACATGCAGAATCTTAGAAAATATAGATTGTCTATCATCATGCTTTCCGATCGCGCGAGTGTCGAGACTTAGACAAAAAGTACTCGAGCTTGTCAATTAGCGCCCACTAGCACGGTCACGTTCTGAGTCGCGTCGCGCTTCACTGGCACCTGACTCCATCTCGCGCCGCCACCACCTGACTATATGCGCTTCAATCGCCTATATCTTTCTGTGAAAAGGGCTACACAAGTGTCTACCAAGTCTTCCCTGGGTGCTCGGATCTCGGTCTAAAGGAGAACACTCACTGATGTCTGCAGCTGTTCGCATACAATGTCGCTGTGCTCGCTGCAGTCTGGACCTGCTAGGATTCAAGTATCAGTCAAAGCAGGTCTGTGTGAAGCATCTAAAGCTCTACGGGCCATACACTTCAGTTCCGGAGAGCTCGCAAACCCCTAATTCAGCCCCATTGCAGCCTACAACACACCACAACATCGCTGAAACTGGATCCAGTAGTGAACCTCGGCAGGCAGAACATCGGATTCCAGAGGATGCGCATTTGCCTGAGCCTGTACTCACTCATGATGACGGGGCTGTTCATCCTGGCCCACATGGTACTGAAGATGACTTTGAGGGCTTTGACGACTTTCAGCCACAGGATGTGGAACCAGACTCTCAGCCATCTAGGAATTCTTCTCGCTCGCCTTCTCCATATGTTGATCCTCCACCTGCACCAGGGCTCGAACCCGATGACTATCACGAAGTGCTGCCACCAGACATCGCCATCCCAGGCTCAGAGCATGACAATGATGACGATGAACCCTCTGTCATTATTCCGGCCTTTAGTGAAGAGTCCTACATTCGGATGGCCTATCTTCATGCCGTCATGGGTAACACCTATCAAAATCTCACATGGAACGCCGCAACCGAGCAGCTGAACAACACATTGGACTGTCTGTCGGTCCAAGCAGGCCAGCTACCCCTCAGGCCTCAACCTGCACGCACTCTGGCAACTGCTAGACGGCGCCTTGGCATTGATCCTGATGCTTGGATTATTCAGTATGCGATTTGTCCGGTTTGCTGGAAGCACCATACTCCGAGGGAACTGAAAGAGCTTGAGTCACCTGCCTGTACAGTTCTTGGTTGCTCCGGTTCACTTTATCTTGAATCACTCGACTCAAAGGGCAAAACTCGGCGGCAGGCAATCAAAATCAGTCCACAGGTGTCTATTATCGAGTCGCTGTGACGCATGATGATGCATCCTGGGTTCGCCAAGTCATTGCATGACTTTCGCAATGATCAGCCTGGGCACAATCGCGATGAAGACTTCGTGATGGAGGACATCTATGACAGTGATATGCTCTTTAGGCTGACAACTGGGACAATCAGAGAAATTAACTCTGCCGGTACCGTTCGTGATCGTCCTCGAGAAGACGGTCAAGAACCAGTGAAGCTTACAAGCCATCGCTACGGACTAGCTCTTTCTATGAACCTCGACTGGTAAGTACCGTAACTACTGTTCCGATGTAGAATTAATCCCGCGTAGGTTTGGCTTACTCTCTGGCCGTCCTCACTCGACTGGCCCAATATACCTCGCCCTCAATAATCTTCCGCGCGACCAACGGTATTTTCAACTTAACGTAATTTGCCTTGCAGTACTTCCAGGTCCAGGCGAGCCTAATCAGCAACAGCTTAACCATGCACTTGAGCCCGGTATTAAGGAAATGATTGAACTACACAAAGGTGAGATCCAGTTATAAAAATGAGATAAATTTGCTAATAATCTCGTAGGCATTGAAATGAGTGTGCACGATGATGATGCAGCCACGGTGTATGCCGACTTCCTCTGTGATAACTGCGACACGCCCGCGGCACGCAAGGTCAGCGGCACAGCATCGCATAACCACGATTTTCATCCTTGCTTGTACTGCGGGATCAATATACTGGATATCAACAAGTCCAGTGGCTACGACAACAGTTTGCCCTTTGTATTAGTTGTGTTTCAAGCGCTGATGTACTTCTAGGTCGACCGGAGAAGGATGACTACAAATTGCTCAAGCATGCATTCTCTGCGAGAGGAGTGAGCATTCGCCGGGAAAGTGCCATATTGTGCAACCATGGCGTGCGCTGGAGCATCATGAATCTGCTCGCAGGCTGGCTACCATCCTCGCAGACTGTCTTGGACTTCATGCATGCAGTCTTCTTAGGTGCGTAACAATAGACTCATGCATTCTATGCTCAAAATACCGTGTTTATGGACTCTAGGAATTATCGCACATCTATATCTTGACCTTCTCTTCAAGGGTTACATGTTCTCCGGTATCGGAGGTGATGATTCCCCCAAACAGAAGTTTGAGGACACGGTGAACTCAGTGCGATGGCCGAGTCATGTCACTCGGCTTCCAAAGAACGTGCGTAACACTTATCTGATATTCACAAGCAAGTAAGCCACTCATTGTTGCAGCTTGGCGAGAATCAATCATTGAAGAAGGCTGACAAATGGCGCCGGCTTCTCACCATCATGCCAATCCTACTCTGGGTGTGCTGGAAAGATGAACATGACCGCATACCAAATGTCACCCCACCTATTCCTCCAAATGCGAAGACACGACCTACACATTCTCGTAATTGCAAGAGCATCTACTTCACGATTCTTCTTCTTTGCGCAGGCATCTGTATACTGGCCTCGTGCAAGATCTCTATGTCGCAGGCTCAAATTGGTCAAGACTTCCTGACACAGTACAACCGCAAGATGCAGGAGCTCGGTGTTGACCTTACAATCAACAACCATCTGTCGACTCACTTCGCAAAATTCATCAAATTATTTGGGCCTGTCTACGGTTGGTGGCTCTTTGCCTTTGAACGGTTTAATGGAATGTTTGAGCGAGTAAATACTAACGGTCATGACGGGGGACGCATGGAGCTAACTCTCATGCGGCACTGGATACAGTGCCATCTCATCTACGAGTATCTCCTGGCACTACCTCCCGAAGCTCATTCGAAAGAACGCGAGTACGTCGAGAGAGTAATCAAGTCAGAAGGGCGCAGTCAGCGAGGTGGAATGATGACGGAACTTGCCATCTATCGCAGTGAGGCTACAACAGGTAGGTGTTACTATATTCATAACTGACATACCACATGAATCTTTCTTCCTGTAGATCGCGTCAAACTCCCCCGTGTGCTTGGGAAGCCTATCAATCTTCGTAAATTCCTGGTGCCTGGGGCTGGAGGAATATACCGCCTTGCTCTCAAGTACTCCCAACTGCTATATCCCGAACTCCATCTCATCGACGATCTGTCGCTAGAGGATGAAGTTGCTTTCATTGCATCTCGAGTCGTGCGACCTCTCACATACATTCGGAAAGATGGGATACGCTACGGATCGACCTCTAACAAGCGCACAAAAGCTGATCGATACGTCTTCATCATAGATCCTAGTGGAGAGTCAGGTGAGCGTGTACCTGTGGAGATCGCAGCACTACTAGGCATCAAGGTTGCGGAGAAATCGCCGCATGTATGCGCTGTCATCCGCCGCATGGTCTCTGATGAGAATATTCCAACATTCCCATGGCAAACTTAGTATGCAGTCTACGCTCTCACACACAATCAGATATACCTCACGCTGATGTATAACTCCCACTCTAGCTCCAATTTGCTAGGAATTCACATCTCGTACGCCAATCGCCTCGGACCTTACGAAATTGTGCCTGCTACGGCCCTCGATGCTCCTCTCGCCTTGATCCCAGTCCGATCTGAACGTTTGGCACAAGAACTATGGGTCTCAGTTTCATTCGACCATGTACGTCTACCTACAGCGCCGCTGAACTATACTAACTATGGAACAAGACGGGAAATGAGCCTGAAGAGCTTCTCGACGACGAAGATGATTAGAACAGTATGCACATGCCAAGAACGCGGAACTTCGGGACAGTGGGCTGCAAGCTGCTACCCGAAGTACAAATCATCAGAATCATCATCCTTGGCAACTACCTCTTTCTCTTTCTCCTTCACGGTCTTGATCTTCTTTGCAATCTTCTTCTTTGACGATCCCTCACCCTTGTCGCCTGCACTCTCTGCCAAGCGTGCCTTCTTGTTCGAGGTGATCTCTGCCTTCACCTCTCGCATGCACTTCTGCTTCTCAGTGATATCCTGAGGGTCCTCTTCGTCCCCCCAAAGATGGCCATTGTTCACGATGCGGCTCTCCACATCATATTGCTTGTTATTCTCGAGGGCTAACCAAGCTTGGTCAATCATCCAGCGCCATGCCTTATTCTTGAGGTCTCTTGATACCTTCGGCGGCTCATCAATGGTCTCGGCAGCCTTCATATGAGGAATATATCTGTTTGATGGCTCCGGGTCTCGAGTTGCATCAACCGCCCGAAACAGGTTGATTAACTCGCATACAAGTCATTCTCTCCGTGCTTGCGGAAGAAAATAATATGCGCACCTCTTGGCTTCGGTAAGCAGGGGCCTTGGAGATATATTTCCCCGTGAATTCACCCTTCTCATCCACCTGGTCCTCGTCATCGGACATCAGGTTCACAGCGAATGCTGCATCGTACTTTGGATCGCGCCACTCAGATTCCTTGGGCAAGTTGGTACGCTTACGGATGCGCACTTGAAGCTTCTATAACATATGTAAGCCCATGCCTTCATTACTCAGAACTGCAGACAGACTTACCCCTTTCGCACGGCTGGTTGTATGTGTTGACTTCTTCGCTGTAACGGGCATGTCTTTCACAGCGCCATTTCCACCAGCCTCTGTGGAATCATTATCCTCGTACGCCATCACATTCATATCCCGCTGAACCGTTACTGAATGACCACGTGCACCGATCAGCTTTTCATCACGAAGAGCTTTTTGCAGTGCACGGAATTTCTTCTTCACGCTCTCCTCAGCATCAGATTTGAGAAGATCTCGAATGGGCTTGGCCGCGCCAGGTACGAGTTCCGCTCCTTGTTTGATGATCATCGTGACCAGTGTCCTAATGTTCTTGTAGTTTCCAGCGGTGTCCCAAGGCTGATCCCATCGAAAGTGCATCAAGTCGGTCTTGGTTGCAGGATCAACTGGCATAGGCTCTCCTTCCTTCGGCCAGAATGGAAGAGTGCACGGTTTAAGGTTCGGAACGTCCATGCGCATCTGGAAAACCTGCTGAACGAGCTCCTGAGACTTTCATGTGAGTACCTCTTTGCGAACATCACCAGGGGCTGACTCACTTGGTAGGATGCATCTCTCAACGCTGCGGCACTGGCTGCAATTCTCATCTTCTCCTTCTTGTCAAAACCTTCATCCGACTCATCCTCCCCTTCGCTCGAGGCCTCCTCGGTGGCCTCCAAGCGGTCCTGCAGCTCTGATGCCAAGTCTTGCAGTCCGCCAATGAGCCTGGCCTGTTTATCGAGCTGATTAATTGTGGTCTCGAGGTGCTTTTCGTACGTCTCTGCAACTGTCTTGAAGCTCTCTATCTCAATCCTCAACAGCTCTTTTTCACCCTCCAGAACTTCGATGCGCATCTGGTGATCAGACACCTGCGCCACAAGCATCGCCGTCTTCTGTTTCCTCACCACCATGCCATTCTCGGTGGTGTTCGCGTCCTCCATGGCAAGAAAGTACTAGTACCGTGAAGGTTGAGGGCATGTACGAGGCCGAGCAGCGGACACAGATTCAGGTGCTCGCATCGATGCAGTGTCTCTCTGTGTGCTTGACTCGAGCTTCTTGTTCATCAACTGTACAATGTGAGCGCACGCGGATACTGATCATTTCATTATCATTAATCTATCCTAATACATCATTTCGGCGCATGGATTACTGCTTTTCACACCGCGGGAGACTGTTAATATGGGCAGACAAGGGACAGCAAGGAGGAGGTGAGGGAAGGCTGCATGGTGGCACCCAGCGTGGCCGGAGAGAATGTGGTAAAATGTGAGCAGAAATGTTCAGTAGAATGATGGAACAATGCTGCAAAAACTTGTAATCAAAGGTAGATTCTCTGCGGAGGGTATCTGAGGCACAATGTTGGGAAAATGTTCTAAAATCTGACATTTCTCTCGGAATCTGCCGATGTCAGAATCCGGAGTGTTGTGCTGTGTAAGGTAACATGCAGGCGAATTCTGCCCGAAGGACTTGACGGACATTTTTGGGAAATTCTCTACCTCGCATGGTAGGGAACCTGAATTTGAAGCTTTGGACACACAGTTGTTTAATCGGATCGTGGTCCGCTGTGAGATACGTATGTACACTTGCCACAAAAACCTACCTGTGAATGGGTGCAACGTCGGAGAGTGCAGGTGATGCTTGCCATTATTCTTGTTCTGGGTGCTTCGCGCGGCAGAGCGTAGTTTTATGCCACACGTCATGGTTGTATTGAGACACCCCAGTGTACAATGCAAGTACGGTCATCAGCAAAAGTGCACTTTCGTTACCATCGGTTATATAGCATTATAATCTACGAAATCCATTACAATGATCAAAATTATTGAGCAAAGTTGTAATGGATAGTAACTTCTCTACGGTGGTTCTGAACTTTTCTCAACGTCTTAAATTATTCGGTAATCCATTCGCAATCAACATAATCTATTCGGAATGCCCGGAATACTTCGGACTTATTATAATGGATTCCGAGCTTTATAAGGTATTGTAATGCTATGGTAAGCAGTGGTGACACCCGGGGAAAAATTACAATGGCTGTATGGATAATATTGTTTGTAGCCGGCACGGCACATTACGAGAAATGCAGTAATCATTGTACAATATTACATACGACAGAGGTGAGTACAAACATAGAGTCTCACCAAATTTCCGCAGGCAACAAGAGCCGGTCATACATGTACAATGTAAGGCAGAATTTTCCCACAATGTCCGCAGATGCAATATTGCACACTGTCTCCGGTGTCTACGAAGTCCACATGATCCCATGATACCGAACAGAGCAGGAGCACAGCGTGCAAGACAAGAAGGAGCACGACAGCCAAACACCACACTGGCACAAAGAGGGCAAAAGAAGTGAGCATCCGGAAACCGAGGGAAAGCACGAAGGACATGAGCAGTCGAGACGCAACAAAAAAGCACAGTTAGTGAGGAGGAGCAACGACGACAAGGAGAGGGAGCGAAGGTGAATGCTGATGGCCGATGAGAATGTCCAGGAGAGGGGCAGCAACCGCGGAGAGATACGAGGTCGGCAGTCTGCATGAATGGCTGTAAGACATTGTATGGCATGATACATATGTTGGCATACTTACCGACTATGGTGATGATGAACATGAGGCTGCCTGATGGTAGTGCACAGCACGTTGCTCTTTCAGAGTTGCGAGACCGTTGTGACCATTGCGGTGGTTTGCACGCTCATTCTCGTTGGCGTCGGCATGAAGGACCTGACTATAATAAAATGATTCATTAGACACGTCGTGATATGGATATGAATACGTACTCGGAGGATGCATATACCGAGTTTGGGCACCATCAATATGCGGTGAGGCGGTGCCCAGAAACTGTGGGAGATATTATGAGTATCTATTATTGTCTGCACGATGCTTATACTTCACGACGCTCTCGAGGTCAACACCAACGCAGACGATACCGTGCAGACTCAACACCTGCCATCCGCCATCCGGGCGCATACTGCAACCCGCCTGCCCAGGAATCTTAGATCTGCGAGCATGTGAGCCCCCCCAGAGCATGCACCGTGGCTGAACTCTCAGATGCATTGGAGTGGGCACAATGGTTAATTCGACATTCAACACTGTGAAAATTTTCCAGAACATCATTGGGCTCTTCAATGAACCGGAGAACTCACGCAAGTGATCCGATTCTACTCTCAAGTGTGAACAAATGAGAGGTACTTCTTATACTCTAATAGGCATGCGAGGAGCGGAAGAGCAAGAGCACGTCATCTTGGAAATGAGGCTCATAGGAAGTATCCTGGAGAAGGATCCTTCTGGAGTGCGATAGAAGGAGAGGAGAAGTTAGACATGGGCAGGAGCATGAGCAGCATTGGCGTTAACCAATTCTGCGGTGTTGTTGTCGTTGTTGTTGTCCTTGAAGCCATCAGTAAGGTGGGAGGATACAAGGAGAAGGGAAGAAGGAGTATTTGGCGCCAGATGGGACTCACCGTCCGTTATATACGCCTGGGCCAGGGTTATGAGAGAAAGAAGCTACATCATTGCCTTTACTTCCAAATCGGGAAGAATCACTACGGGCCTAATAGGGCTTTGGATTTTCACTACTGGTACGGTAGATCATTACAGTCTTATACCGGTCCTTCGGCCACCATGGGTCCTTAGGCCACCCCACATTTTCTGGCTTCCTGGCCACCTTTTCCACTTCAACTTTTTAAAACTAGATCTGAATATACTAGAACTATCTTCTCCAAGCTTGTAGAAATTGTACGGCCTCTGGATCGGTTTGGAGACACCGATTTTGAGTGTAATTTGCAAAAAAGTGCTTGTACATTGTTTAGTTCACAGCAGAAATCCGAAAAATTTCATGCCAGGCATATTTATGCACGCTGTAATGTTTTGGCAATGTTTTCCCAAGCCATCCGCTGCTATCCAGGATGAGAAGGGAACTTCGACCTGGGGAGTGAGCATTTCAGAGCTCTTATCGGCGAGATGTCACATCACATATATCCTGATATAGAAATGAGCGCCCATAATCTCATCTGTATCAGGAAATTCATCAACGTGATGTGACGTGGCCGGAGGAGTGAGGAAAGCACTGATAACGATTTTTTATATTGATCCACCGCGATTTCATGTTTTGCTCCAGCGATTGGGTTGTAAATACATGCAATCTTATGGTAGGAGTATGTATTGAGGTCTGTGTGCTTGCCGATCTACGAGAAAGTGTAGGCATGTACCATACAGAGGCGGGCAAGATTTGGGTGGCCGAAGGACCGGTATAAGACTGTAGCTAGGTAGCCTGGGAAAGATAATTACCGGCAATATTGAGAAGCTTGACATGGAGCACTGGATGCCTCAAGACCCTATAGTATTAATGTATTCCCGGTGGATCTATACAGCGACAGAACTCGCAGTAAACATAGTAGAGACTCGAAGGTGGCCTGCAAGCTGGGAAGAAAAGACAATGCACATCTCGGAGTGCGTCGAAGGAACGGTGAACCCGAACCCTAGTAGATCGCTATAGATTGCTCTCTGGACTTTACATCGTACGTGTACCTACCAGTCGACCATTTTTTTGGGTCTCCCTTCGTAGTTGCTCCTGTAATTTGACAAAAATTTGCCCAACCTTACAAGCCCTTACAACCTCACATAGCATTGTAGCACATTGTGATGCCATTGCAATTAATTGTCTACGTTACTGAGGGTTGCAATACATCGGGAACGATTACAGAGGTTGCAATACAACCCAATTATTCTGAAGGTTTACAATGTCATTCTAATCTGTTACCACATACCGCGGAGTATTACAATCGTCGTAATCCGTTGTAACAATTGTGCACTTTTGCTGATGGTGTATGTGCAAGCGGTCATACCACCGCCAGAGGGACCTAGAGTATACAATGCACTTCAGGGCAACTGAAGAAATATTGAGCAATAGGGAAAACCCTGACTCCATGCTGCACACCACCGGGAATAGTATGGCAGCCAGGAATGAGAGTTTCTGCAGTGGCAACTTATAGCCACAGTGCGTGATATTCAAGTTCATGACGCAGGTGAACAACTTGAAGAATATAGCCAATGTTTCAGATTGCAGAATGGATGAAATGATATCGAATGGGAACAGGCCGCGACCCCACGCACGCTCAATTTCACCCTACGGAAGACAAATGCGGGAGGAGCACATATGCCTAGGAGCGAGATAGTAGGAAATACTAGTACTATCACCGCTACGATGCGCAGCATCGCGAAAACCCCAATTAATCCACAGATAGTCGGTGTAATGGGAAGGAAACCGTTCACTACGAATAATAAAGAAATACACAAGCAGCAGCAAATCAAGCACGCGAACTCTCGCGCACCAACGATAACGCAACGAAAAAAACAGATCGCGTACTGTCGGCAAGTGCATCCACAAGATCTCCCAGCAGCGCGTTTCGCGGCACATTCTGAATTGTTGACGAAAAAATCGTGGATGCTCGAGGAACGCGGCATACAGCTTCATATATTGCTACACGGCGCAGCGAGCCTGCTGGAAAATTGTTTCTGGCGCAAGGGACCTATGCGCAAGACAGGTGGCCGAAGACCGCCTTCGCCGGAGTACGTCCACTTGCAAGGGGGAAGGGCGAATTTGCAGATCGTCAACTCCGTCTGACGGCGCGCACTCCACGACTTGACTTGGTGCCATACCGCAAGAGCCGCGAAGGGATATGAACATACACACGGCTGACATTTAAACGCACATCATCAAGGGTGGGCGACCGGACATTCAGAGCTTGAGTGCACGCCGCACTTGTAGATCACCGTCGCCAACACCTGGAGTTGATCAAATATCGTCCGACTCGAGAAAATCTGTGCAGAAGACGACGGCAGTCGACGGTGCGAGGTAGGGATTCAAGAGCCGGCCCCGTATTACGGCTGGCCTCTCAGTCTCCGGACGAAAAGAGCTACACGGAACACCTTATTTTCGAGTGACCAGATGATTAATCCTCAGCCCCGAAGATTGAACCATAGTGTCAGTCTGCCCACAGGAGACTACCAGTGATAAGTACCACTCGACGCGTAACTGCGAGGACGTCCGAGTGGATGACTCTAGCACGGCCAGAGACTTGGGCGTGCGATCAGCACGGCATTGGCTGGAGTCCCAGGAAACGATGAAACGATTTGGATTAGCTGAACCGTGACGGAACAGCAAGATGCGTCTTAGTCACGTGATGGGAAAGCGCCCGCATGTTCGAGTTCCCATTGTTCTTATACTCCATCGATATTTACCTCGTCTATTTTCTGGTCTTGAATACCCGGCTTTGTTTATAGTCTTGTAATGGAGAATGTCCCGCCTACCATGACATCCGACAGAGATACTCACAATGCACCTCTTCCCGACCTTGAGGACCTCCTGCGTCCGACCAGACGCTACGCCAAGTCCACGCGGCACAAACACGCTAGTTCACTCGTGTTGGTAGCTCGGGCTAATGAAGATACGGGCGAGAAGTCTACCTTTGATTCTGGTCTTTTGACTCCACCAACGTCCCAGATCGAAGGTGATGTTGACGCCACCAGGATGCTCATCAGTCCCCCGCCCGAGAGTATGCTGAGAGCTGGAAGTCGATCTTCTGTCAGTGTCTCAGACAATTATGCAATTTTGTAGAGCTCACGATGACAATCAAGGCTCCCCGCGCCAAATCTACAAGCGTACCCATCGATCAAATTCCATTCACGCCTTCGCTTCTTGCAGATACCTCGGAGCTTTCAAGTTCGAAGAAATCGTTTGCCGCCAAGCGCAAGCGCGCGTCCCCATACTCTCAGTGTATAGTCCATTTTGAACCGGAGTCGTTAAGCAACTCTGATCCAGGATCTGCCCCTGCGGGTCCGGAGGCTACACCGAACCCCAAGCCGCGTAAACAGTCGAAACACACCGCAGATGTCTCATCACGGAACTCTTCTCCTCGGTATCATGCTGGGGCATCTACTGCTCAGCCCACAACGCCTACCAAGTCTTCAAGTCGCGGGTCGTCTTTCTCACCATCCAAACGGGCGCTCCTTCTTTCGCCACACGCCGCCAATCCACACGCCGATTATATCCCTCCTTTGCTCTTTCATTCGCGCGAGACTCTTTCTGCTCGTCACCGTTCTTCCACTCCCCTTCCACGATATGAGCCACCGTTAGACAGGTTCACTCCCCCACGCGAGGTCTTGTACACCTCACCAACCGCTCCCCATTCCGCACGTATGTCAAGATCTAGCAAGCGCAGGACCTCCAACAAGACCAAGTCACCAGGGAAATTGGTGCTGACAATCAAGAAGGAGCTCCCCGAAATTGATCTCAGCTTACCGCTTCCTCCAGCATCGCCAACTGAAGATCCGCTCCTGTTGACCGGTCCTCCTCGTACCAAGTCTCGCCGCAGTCATGCGTATACACACTCCCGTGAGGCGCCTTCGATGGCGTCCAGTTCGCCCATTCTTGCCGTGCAGGGACCAGAGCTCATCGACTTGCGGCTCAGAGATCAAATGGATACGTCCGACTTCGCCAATGACGACGTCATAGAGCCCATCTTCAGGTTCGACGACATGTTGCTTGAGGCTAGCGGCGACGCCTGGAGCGATAGCGACGACGGGAGCGCCGACTTTGACCACGCAGGGGAGTACACTGGTAAGTACAAGGTGCTCACGGTGCCTACAAAGGCAGATCCTCCCAGCAGCTGCACAAGAGATCGTATGGACGCGTGGGGTCATCCTGTCAGTCCATTCCCAAGATTGAACAGCCAGATCGACTTTGGGGACGAGCTTGATGGTATCAACGAGAACGGCCCCTCCGAGCTCATGGCTCGATTCCCCCAGCAGCCCTCCGCGGAGCTAGCAAGTCGTCCTGTGCCGGAGACGGTTGATGAAGAGATGGACGAGGGTTTTCCTGTGTTGGAAATTCCTGCTGGAGATGCTGAGCCGGAGTCAGCTCTGATGGATGAACCACACCCAAGTCCTACGAAATCAAGAGCTGTTGACCGTCCGGAGTACGAGGGAGATGTCGATCAGGACATCCCTATTGAGGACTATAGCCTCGAAGATGACGCCCTTCTAGATTTACCGTGGACGGATGAGAATATGTCCAAAACACCTCTACAGACGCCTCCCTTGGAGAACCCTACGTGGGAGCGAAACATGAACAAGGATGACCAATCGCAGCCAGACGATGTCCTCGAAGACATGCATGTTGACTCGATCTCGGACTTAACGGACGACGCTCAGGAACAGCGGGAAATTGTGCAGACGGACCAGGCTCGCGACGAGGGTATAGCTGATGACGACCAGCTTGAAGAAGCAGTTGTCGATCGTGAACTTTCTCGAGAACCCGAGGCCGACAGCGACGATGATAATAAACAGCATGAATTTGACGAGGATGATTCCTCTTTCTCACCGTCGGTGGTGGAATTGGAAAGACCGTCGCCTCAGGTTCACACAATAGAGCTCCCTGATGACCGATCTGTGATGGAGAAAGAGGAAGCTCTTTTCGGCGAGGTTCCACCCGAGCAAAACGGAGACATCGATGCGGACGTCGTCAAGATCGTCAGCGACGACCCCAGAGCGGCTGCTCGAGCTGCTGCGATCTTGAAGATGGTAGGACATGTCTTCCTTCAGCGTTCGTTTTGTGCTGCAATGCTGAACGGATCTGCCATTGCCTGCAGCATGATTATGATTGTGTTTCGCAATCGCAGCTATCGAGACGGAGGCATTCCCAACAGAGCGTTGACATCGCCGTTCGTGACGCTCGGCGAAAGACGCTTTCAGAATCCGGGATATCTAAACGCTCCCCTTCTGTGCACAGGCGGCATACACTCGGAGGTCTTGTCGGGGACAAGGTGTATATACCTGGCAGCCCGTTGGTCACTCTGCCTCAACTGTTAAAGGAAGCTGAGGTTACTCTGGAACGCAGTCAGACACCTCGGAGGGTGGCGATTGAGAACAAATCATTCGAGACGCCCGTGAATTCGACGAGCCTCCACACCCCGACCGCGACCTTTTCAGAGATCTCAAGGGAGGTCAATGCGCTCCCTCAAGCTTGGGGTAAACTGCATTGGAGGACACTGGATACCTTCTTCACAGATGAGCGATTGGCTATCGGTGCTCGTCGAGGGCTTGGACACAACGTTCTTGCGGAGGTCGATGACATCGACCTTGATGATGTTGTTGATCGGTTTATGGGGCAGGTTCGCCCTATCGGTTTAACCGACGAACAACTTAGTTGGAATAGGTAAGCTCTCCGATAGATTTTTTCAACAAGTATGTGACACGAATTGGACCAGGGATGACATATTGAAGCGAGCGCGAGCCCTTCGGAGAAAACAACTTTCCGGGAACTTCGCACCGCCAACTCCAAGCGGTTATTCTTCACTAATGTCCTCGAGGGCCAGCAGTGCTGCTGCGGACCATCGTCGCTTTTCCCACTCGATCCCCAAGTCGGCTGTTCGACTATCTGCCTTGCGATTTGATATCACTGACGATGAACCGAGCACTCCCGTGTCTGAGGCGCAGCCCAACTACTCACGCCTTATGGGAGAGGCTAAAGCCATCGCTAGAGAGACCGTGTCGTCTCCCGATTACGCTGACAGCCTCTCCGCTCCTGATCACCCTCAGACGACTGCTATAACAGTCACGTCCACTACTTCACCGGCGAAACCAGCAAACCCTTCTATCGCGACAAGAATGAAAGGACTGTTATTCTCGTATCTTCCCTCTGTCACTCGATCTGCGCCACCTAAGAAGGCACGGAGGGTGCAGCCAGCGCACCCTGGCCTTCCTATCCCTCCGGCAGAGCTCTTCCAGAAGCCTCGGCCACCGATCTCAACGCCTGCGCCCAAACCGATGTCGAAGCCTGCTCATCCGAAAGAGCTGGTACACTTACACCCAGTGCCGCTCCCGCCCAAGCCGTCCATGATCCCACGGTTTACCCAGCGACCCCAGCGCCTCGTTCAGCTGCGCCCACCGTCGCCACCCACACCGCAGCCTGTTCTGTCACTTTCGATATCCAGTGACCGCAGAAGCAGTGCAGGGAGTGTGAAGGAGCTGGTCCGCACCTTCGAGTGTTTGAAGGAGCAACAGAGCATGGAGAGAGCGCCATCGAGGAGTTCGCTGAGGCGCGTGCAGAGCGTCGCAGGAGGGTTGGGAGTGGAGAAAGAGAGACCTGCGTGGCGACCATGATTTAACGACTGATTTAATATGTTATTTCTGCTAGGCTATAGGCATTCATGCTCCTATGATACCTTCATGTACCCCATCTATACTGGTTGGGATTGATGCAACGGCGGGTCCGACATATGGCGTCGCGCTCTGCGTGGCTTTTATTCATTGATGGATGGAGTTCTACGTATATTTGCAACATCTGAAGCGTACTTGTATGCATATATAGTCGTGAGTGTAATGCATGGACAATTAACAGAAGGAAACAATTGCAACGAAGAGAAACAAGATGCAGGGCATATCGACACATCAAACTGTGACGGAGAGCAACATAAGGTATCGCAGGGCGACAGTGAGCGGTAAGTAGTATGATGCGTACCGAAATGTCGCGAAACGTATATACAAGCTACGTGCGGAGGGTAGAATGTAGGTGTCGCAGCATGGTCCGACAATAACCAGCAGGGAAAACGGCGAAGATGGAAAAGATGACTATATTAGAAAGGAGCTGTACCTGCCAGACGGTCAGCAAACGCAGAGTTAGCGCGCCACGCTCTTGACCGGCTTGGGCGCCCTGGCGGGGCCCATCGCACGGCGAGGAATGTCGCTGTCCTTCACCTCGGGGAGGCGTGGCGCGGCTTGCGAGCGTGTCCTCGTCCTCGTCGCGGCCGCGGTAGCAGCATCGATGCGTTTCGCAAGGCGCTCCTCCATTGCTGCCTGTACCGCCGCTTCTGTTACCGTTGACGCCACCAACTCCTCGACTGCCTCATCATCATGTTCATCGTCGCTTGGATCTGCGTCAGAAGGTGAAACTTCTGCAGGCTCCGCCTTGGCCTTCATCTTTGAGGTAGCCTTGGCCTCCATGGGTATGGAAGCCTTTTCCGTGGTGGGCACAGGTGCCTTTGGTGCTCGCCGCCGGGTATGTTTGTGCGCCTCGGGGAAGAGAAGCTTGGGCGCGTACGTTGGAGGTGGGCTATAATCAGGATGGCCCTCCGGCAGGAGACAGTGCTTGGCGGTCTCCTCGTCATCCTCGTCATCCTCGGCTGTGCCATGGAAGTGCGGATTCGCGAGCTCCACTTTCTTGCCCCGGCTGTAAATACGTCAGGATAAGCAAGAACGAGGAGATTTCAAGGACGAAGAGCACGCACAAGACCCAAGTGAGCGTCGGCTTCTCGACTTGTTTCACGGGTGTGTGCGGCATGGCGCCAGCGTCCGTCTCGCGCACGGGTGTCGTAGGAGAGTCATCCGGCGTGTCAGCCAGGAAGGGATTGTCCGGCGAATCGCGCTTGGGGAAGAGGCTCGGCTTCCCGCTGGTGCTCGCGCGGGGCCTGGGCGTGACAGGACGTCGTCCGACGCGGGTGCGCTGGCGGCGCGACGGCGGGGGCGATATGAGGCCGGTGTGGCCACGGCGCAGGAGGTGCGCGGCAGGCGGGGGCGACGAGGACGGCGAGCGCGTCCGTGAGCGCGCACGGGTGCGGGGCAGCGACTTGGGCTCGAGCTGGCTCTTCCCTGCGTTGGCGTTGCGATCATCCAGCCAGAAGGCCTCTTCTACGACAGCCTCGCTGAGCTCCTCGGCGATGGCGTCGAGAGTCTTGCGCTTTTTGTGGCCGATGATGAGTGCGCCGTCGCCATCGCGGCGGCTCGCTCGCTCGCGTTCGGGGTCATCACTATGTTCATCCTCGCCGATGGCAGGTACATGCTCGTCCTCGTCGACGTCGGAATCTGTCGCACGGGAGCGCGCACGTTTGCGTTTGGTCGCGGTACGCGGCGGGGTAGGGAGGGAGGCGTGGGAGGCGGAGCGTTTAGGGGGAGGGCGCCGGACGGGGGGGATATCGACAGCGGACGAGTCGAGTAAGGCGCGTGAGCGCGTCGTGGGCATCAGCGTCGCAGCGTCGGGTAGCGATGAGCTAGTATTTCTGGTCAAAGAGGAGACGGCGAGCGGAGGGTGTGAACGATGTCGATGAAGGATGAAGGAGGATATTTGGGCTTGTCAGTGTAGCACTGTCGTAGTACAAGTTCAAACAATAGTCGGCGTCTCCCGAGGAACCAAACATCGAACAAACAACACGCTTGCTCCGCCGCGGCCGCACCATTGGCGTGATCGTGTCTGTGATCACTTCCGTCCTTGACCGTGCTTTGCAGTGACGAGAAATTACATTGTCGCAGAACGTACACTGAGTGGCCAATGTTGTATGATTTTCGATCTCCAAGGTGTACATACAAGCCGTCGCTCATTGCACTTCTGAGATCTCGCAGATCTACATTAGAACGTGCAGGCACCTCTCCTTTCAATGAACCACAAATGAACCAAAGGTGCGTAGGTGCCATATAATTCCGCTTCCTTCCGTATGCAAAGCACAGCTGAGGTCCGTGAGCCCGTGAGCTCGCATGCTTTGTTTTCCGCACCGTCCCGAAAATATATTCCGCCCATTCCCAATTTCCCAAATAAAAATGGCGCATATCAGCAGCATGCCAATGGTGCGGGCGAGGAGATGCACCTGACAACGCTGCAACGCGGCGTTGATGTTTCTCTACTCGTGTGGGTGCTCAGCGCTCAGCGCTCAGATCGAGCTGCTTCCATTCACGTCGAGCCGTCACAATCACTTCGCTCGTCTCCCGTGCACAAAGTATTTCTACTGCAGTGGACTGATCGTCACTCGCAGCTTTTACTTGGGAAGAGGGTGTCTCGCCTGATGTCGGTGTCGGTGTCAGTATATCGGGCTGTGTTTACAGCGCCTGTGTGTACATTCACCTAGCGCAACCTCACCAGTTCATCATGCCGAACCGGACACCGTCTCTAATTTGGCAGGCCAGGCGTTCTTCTGTTCCTGCGCTTTGCAAGGATGACTGTTGGATCCGAGGTGCTCACGGACAACGAATCAATGTCGCGTTGTGGCTCTTCGTAGGAAGCACCCTTTCCCGCAGATCACCCTTGGCCCTTAATACTACCGGACTTCGTTCTTCACAGTCGTTCACGTCCGCACACTCTTGGCACCCGACTCACCGCTATCCGCAGTGGGCAGTTCAGGAAGTGCACCGCCCGCCGCGTGCGCATCTCAATTACCACAGTAGATGGTAAGCTCCACGTTCATTCTGGCTACCTCGCGTCGACGACATATCCCGGCGATAGGCCCACACACTCCAGCTACCGTGCGCCCCACCTACGCCGCCTCAACGCGCAGTACACATCCTCGCTGTCTCCCTCGGACGTACTATGCTCACCTCGGGGCATCACCCGGCCTCGCTCCACCCTTCACTTCTGCGCCGGATCTCGTATCGTATGCGACGTTCCGCCTCCATAGCGCAAGACACGCTCGCACTCAATGGAATCCAGTCTACTGCCAAGCTGGAACTCAGCGCTCATATCCTAATATTCACGAACTGCCCGGTGCGCACTCGAATTCCATACGCAGGTTCTCACATCCCTCCGCGTCGCACCTCCGTGCCTCCAGTTAATCTTCGCCGTTAGAAGGGGCCATCTCCGAGCCGGATCCCAGCTCCACATCCTCATGGCGGCGACACCTCTTGTGTGTGAGCCTCAAGGCGCGAGAACATGTTCGCCGATAGCGGGGTCTTTTTTGTGTGGGTCCCCGTGTGCAAGCTATCATCCAAGATCGTCTACGCTAGGATCCGTACTCGGATGCATCTGCCCAGCAACCATTTATTCTACTCTACAGGCGATAGGACGGGCGTGGTCGCTGGGCGTGGAAACGTTGCGTGTACGTCCACGAGCCGCGCACGAACTGCTGGCCCGCCGGCGCGACGCGGTGCAGCACAACCGACTCGCGCGAGCTTCAAAAAACGATTTGATACCTGCGTGTGCAGCCGTGTGCCAAGCTGGAGGACCGACCGCCGTGCGTCGCGGCGAGCAGTTTTATATTTCCCAGTCTTTACGCCCCCAGATTGCACCGACGGCGGTTTCACCGCATCGCTCGTACGGTATCCGGCGGTAGACACGAGTGCAGGGCATGTCCTCGACCGATGGCCCGCGGACTTGACTCTGTGGATGATGGGTCGAAGTCCCTGTGTAGGCTCAGCCACATACGTACCAAGTCCCAGAGGCGTGGATGCGGGCGTGTTAGCGGAGTGGTAACCCGGGTGACGGGTCCCGGGCCCGCGACGTCTGCACACGGCCTCGGGGGGTGAGCACTGTGCAGTAGGGGGACATCATGGGGGGCTCATCGCGTCGACATGGTGTGATTTGATCTGATCATGGTGAGTTCCGGAGAGGCGTGCGGCGGGGATGGGGAGGACGAATATATCGGAGGGGTCGCGTCAGTGTCGATTAGGGGTGGATTTCAGCGGGAAGAATGAAGGGGTGCGCAGGCGACAAATTCACGGTGGAGCCAGGGGCGAAGGACGGAGAGGACAAGAGTGGACGGCGATGCGAACGCTGGAGTGGAAGATGGCGGAGCGCGTAGGAGAGTTCCGTGGGTGATGGGGAATAAGAGCGATAAGGGGGACGAAAGTAGGATAGCAGCAGGAGGTCGGGCGATGACGTCGCTGGAGCGTGCGTCGGGCGTGAGCGTCTAAGAAGGCGGGACCTCGAATGGGATGATCGGTGGCACTGCAGGGAAGAAGATGCGCGCGGCCTCAGCGTGCTCTTTTTAAGGCTGCGCGTAGTGTTCCCCTGGAGCAGGCTGTGCCGGCCCCTCTGGCGCATAACCCGTGCCCGGCCTCTGTCTCTCCTCTCCCTCAGGGGTCTGGCGCAATGATCTCCGTGTCTGCCTCTCGTTATATTATCTCTCCAGGACATACTCGCCCCAGCTTGTACGCAGGCCCGGTCTACCTCTCGTCCTCTCCGCCAACCCTGCGTACTCGCCCATGGCCAACGTGCAACGTCAACGTGCGCGTATGCGCTCCCCGCGCCAGCTCTCCTCTGGCCGCTCCCCGGACGCGTCCTCGTCTGATTCGAGCCCAGTGCGTGCCTCGTCCACCGTGAGTTCCTTCTGGCCTTTCCCGTGTCGTTCTCTATCCGCGTCACTCGCTGACACACGCCCTCTAATAGGACTCCCCCTCTTCATCCTCCCCCGACGCTTCACCCTCATCCACCCCGCCTACGTCCTCGGTCGCCCCCCCTGCATCCTCAGCCCCGCCGCCTTCCTCGTCCGACTCTCCTTCCCCGTCCTCCGACTCTCCTTCCCCGACTTCCACCCCAACACGGCCGCCATCCTCCACTTCCGGCCCGAGCTCTCCGTCCGACCCCTCCACCACCCCCTCCATGGCCCCGTCCTCTCACACCGCGTCTTCCACTACTCCAACTGCGTCCACCTCGGACCCTCCCAGTGTGACCACACCCACAAGTGCCAGTACGTCCGTCTCCCAGGCCTCGGCGGCCTCCTCGGCATCCGCGTCGGCGCCAACCTCGGCGCCCTCGACTCCACCAAGCTCTGGCTCGTCCATCCCACCTTCGGCCTCAGGCACAACGTGAGTCTCGTCCCCTTGCGTGCTCGATCCAGATCTGCTTCGCCATTTTGCCTATCGCAGCTTCGTTTCATCCTTTCCTCCCGGGCGAAGGCGCTCCTCGAGCGCGTCGTCCGTGTGCTGCGCACGCCCGACGCGTCTCTTCTCTCCCGTCGCGCCTGTACGTCTTTCGGCGGCATATACGCGTGCGGGTGGGGACGCAGAGCGTCCCTTGTGTATTCGCCGCCGTCCGTATCTGTGTTCGGTCCCCTTTTTTTCCGGACCCGACTTCGGGTCCGGTCTCGTTTTCCGTTTCAAATCTTTAACCAGTCCACCGTTGTGCTTACGATTCGTTTTATATATGTGCGTTTGGGGCGGCCAGTTCCATCCCTAGATCCACGTCTGAACCCGGGGGGGTGTCCTCTTCCGCGTCTGGGGGCGTTTCTTCTGCGCCGGGGAGTGCGTCTTCCGTCTCCGCGGGGTTATCTTCTGCGTCTGTGGGGCTGTCTTCTGCGTCGGGGAGCACGTCTTCTGTGTCTGAGGGGATATCTTCTGCATCGGAGAGCGCGTCTTCTGTTTCTGAGGGGTCTGTGTCTGAGGGGATATCTTCTGCATCGGAGAGCGCGTCTTCTGTTTCTGAGGGGGTATCTTCTGCATCGAAGAGCGCGTCTTCTGTTTCTGAGAGGGGATCTTCGGCACCGCTGAGCGCGTCTTCTGCACCGGGGAGCGCTTCTTCAGCACCGCTGAGCGCGTCTTCAGCGGGGAGCGCGTCTTCTGCACCGGGGAGCACGTCTTCCGCGTCCGGGGGCGCGCCGTCATCTGCGACCTCATCTACGCCGCCCATGTCCCCGTCCATGACGATGACTTTACCTTCATCTTCCTCTCTGCCTTCTACCTCTTCGTTCTCGTCCGCATCGCCCCTGTCGTCGTATGCACCCACGTCTGCGCTTTCGTCTTCGTCCGAGTATGTATCCACGTCTCTGTCTGCGCCTTCTTCGTCTTCTTCCTCGTATCCATCGACATTTGACTCTTCGTCCGCGTCGACGTTTGTTTCTTCGTCCGCATCGACATTTGTTTCCTTACCTTCATCGACATTTGTCTCCTCATCCGTATCGACATTTGCCTCATCCGCGTCGACATTTGCTTCCTCATCCGCATCGACATTTACTTCTTCATCCGCGTCGACATTTGACTCTTCATCTGCATACACCATTTCCTCTACATCCCCATCTGCATCCACACTTATCCCTCCGTCGTCATACGCATCCACGTCCTCGCCCGCATCCGTATCTATCCCCCCCTCCACGTCCGCATCTTCGTCCTCCTCCATACCTACATTTTTTTCTTCACTATCTACGTCCGCTCCCACATCTCCATCCGCGTCTTCTCTTGCGTCCTCGTCCGTACCTGCGTCCTCGTCTACCTCCATTCCTCCATCTTCGTTTTCCTCGTCTACGTTCCTCTCTCCATCTTTGTCTTCGTCTTCGTACGCGTCCGCGTCCTCGCCTACTTCCTCACCCTCATCTGCCTCTGCGTCCGCACCCACCTCCTCATCTGCGTCTACGCCCACACTTTTATCTTCTTCGTATGCGTTGACGTCTTCGCCTACGTCCTCGTCCACGCCCACGTCTCTGTCCACGTCCGCACCCGCGTCTTCGTCTACGTCCATCCCTCCATCCTTGTCTTCTTCGTATGCACCTACGTCTTCGGCTGCATCCTCATCCACGTCCGCACCCGCGTCCTCGTCCACGTCCATCCCTCCATCTTTGTCTTCGTCGTCGAACGCGTTTACGTCCTTACCAACTTCCGCCCCCTCACTTACATCTACGTCTGCACCCACATCCTCGTCTACGTCCTTCCCCACATCTTTCTCTTCGTTTTCGCCCACATCTGAACCCACATCCTCCCCAACACCCACATCTGCATCCACGTCCGCGTCCGCATCTTCATCCGCGTCCACGCCCACGTTTTTATCTTCGTCTTCAACACCCATATCTGTACCCACGTCCGCGCCCGCATCTTCATCTACGTCCTTGCCCACATTTTTGTCTTCTTCGTATGCATCTACGTCCTTGCCCACATCCTCATCCACGCCCGCATCCTTGCCCACATTTTTGTCTTCTGCATCTATGTCTTTGCCCACAACCTCATCCACGCCCACATCTGTATCCACGTCCGCGTCCGCATCTTCATCCGCGTCCACGCCCACATTTTTGTCTTCATCTTCGTACGCATCGGCGTCCTTATCCACACCCTCATCTGCATCCGCACCCGCATCTTCTTTCTCCTTCTCTCCCTCGGACGCACCTACGTCCGCATCCGCTCCCCCCTCCACCCACGCATCTGTATTTACATCTGCATCCGACCCCGCGTCCGTGTTGTCTTCGACATCCGGTGCTTCTTCGCTCTCGCCCTCATCTTCATTCGTAGATCCGTTTACGTCCTCGTCTTTTCTGTCTGCATCTCTCTCATCGTCTCTTTTCTCGTCTACGAGTCTATCTGCGTTTTTCTCTTCTTCCCTTTTCTCTTCTTCGTCTCTATCTTCGACTTCTAACGCATCTGCTACTTATACCCCCGCGTCATCGTCTTTCCTTCTCTCTTCCGCGTCACAGGCGCCCATCGCGTCTTCGTCTGTCTCCTCGTCCAGTTTTACGAGCGCGTTCTCACCCGTTTCTCTCCCCAGTGCCAGCACCCCCGGCAGCACCGCCGCAAGCTCCGCGTCCGAGGCAAGTTCGGCTTCGGCGTCGAGTCCAAGCCCAAGCTCGGGCTCGAGCTCGAGCACCGAGTCTGATCCCCCACCGTCTGCGTCCGCGTCGGGCTCTGCGGGTTCTGTAACGAGGTCCTCGACCGCGGGCGGCTCCTCCTCGCGTTCGTCTGAGGCGTCCTTGTCCGCCGCTTCCTCCTCTTCGTATGCTGGGCCCCCTGCTGCTTCCTCGTCTGCCGGTTTCACCCCTGCCTCCTCGTCCGACAGTTCATCGGATGCCCCGGCTTCATCCTCCACTGTCAGCTTACCCTTCTCGTTCTTCTCGCGCACCGTCGCCGCTTCCACCACGACCCCTACCCCAAGCTCGGACACGCGTTTCTCCTCCTCGACCAACGCGCCTGCCTCTTCTTCGACGAACACGCCTTCCTCCTCTTCGACGAACGCGCGCTCCTCTACGACCGTGCGCTCAGCCTCCACGAACTCCCGCTCCTCCTCGAGAGCACGCTCCTCCGCACACTCCTCATCATCCTTCTCCGTTGATCTCTCTTCTTCCGCCTCACAACCTACCTCTTTCTCTTCCTCAGACCCCTCGTCCTCCACGGACCCCTCCTCTTCCTCCTGGGATTCCTCCTCTACGGACCCGCACACCTCCAGCGCGACCTCCCGGAGCGTGTTCACGAGCACGGTTGTCGTGACGTCGACTTGGACTAACCACGGGCAGACAGGCGTAACGACTGTGACGTCGATCACGACGGGGACGCTCATCCCCGACCCGGCTGACAAGGATGGCAATATGTGAGTGCTCATTTACTGGGTTATGACCGAGTGTAGTTGATCGTGCTCTTCTCTTATATCCTCCCACACTCGTCTCCTTCTACTCGTGTCTCTTTTCGCTTTGTGCTGATCCCGCTTTTTCACCCATGCAGTTTCGAACACAACTCCGGCGCGCTCGCAGGCCTCGTCATCGGCTGCATCGCCTTCGTCGCCATGCTCGCCTTCTGGATTTTCCTCGCGCTCCGCCGTCACCGCGCACATCGCCTCGAGGTCGCAGCGCTCGCCGGACAGCCCCGCGGTCGCGCCCCTCTCGGAGAAGACGACGACGGTGACGACGACGACGCGGGTATGTTGCAACAGACAGACGTCCCGATCCCCGTTTCGCTCGCAGGCCTCGCCGGCGCGTATATGCCTCTGCGCGAGCGCACCGTGTCGGGCGACCTTGATCTCGTTGCCCCGGCTCTGACTCGCACGCCGAGCGACGAACGTTCGGCGCTGATCGACGCGCCCGGTCTCACGAGCGAGGACGTCCTCGCCGTGCCCCCGCCCAGCGCGAGGCGCGCGCACCGCTCGTCGAGCTTCGTGGGCCCCGAGCCCGCCGCGTGGCTTGGCGGACGCGATATTTCGGCGGACCCGTTCCGCGACCCGGTGCCGCCGTCGCCCTTATCCGCGCAGCGATACTCGCCCGACGACACGGGTGTGCTGGGTGGAAGCGGCGGCGAGGACGTGGAACAGCTCGGTGGTGGTGCCGGGGGCAGCGGGTCCTCGCAGCGCGCGTCGGGCGGCTCGAACGGGTTCAGAACGAGCGGGGATGTCCTCCGCCGGCAGAGCGGGGGCGCGTCCTCGAGCGGGCACTCGTCCAGCGGGCACGGGCACGCGTCGGAGCAGGGCCACAGACTGTCGTCGCACGGACACGGGATGAACGACGGCCGCCGGTCGCCGGGCCCGTCGAGCCTGCTGCCCACGCAGCCGCACCCCGCGGTCCCGCCCACTGCGTACCGCCCGATGGCGGACGAGGAGGAGGAGGGGGAGAGTGCGCCACGGAGGATGGGGATCCTCGGCCGCTCGTTGCGCTGGAAGCGCGGGCGGTCCTCGTCAGCCACTTCCGTGCCGGGCAGCATGGGCGGGAACAACGCGACGGGCAGCGCGCCCGGGAGCAACGGGTTCAGCAGCGCGAGCACGAGCCAGTCGAACACGCTGCTCTCCCCGCCCGCGAGCCTGGTGCAGTCGCCGACGGCGTCGTTCTACGACCCGCCGCGCCTCGCGCGCCCGCCGTCGATCATCCGCCCGAACTCGTCCGCGCTCGGCGGTCTGTCCGTGCCGGTGCTCGTGCTGCCCGAGCAAGGGTTCATGTCCAGCAGGCCGGATTTGCCGTCGCCCGCCCCGACGGAAGGGTCGAGCCGCGCACCAGAGGGCCTGCTGCACCCGCACCTCGGCGCGCTCGGGCCCGTCGGGATGCGGAGCACGGGCGCGATCAGCTTTAGAGACGATATGGACTACTCGAGGCCTATCGGCGGGGTGAGTCGGGATCGCTCTTTCTATGACGGGGATGGGATACTGACGTTGTGTGCAGCTGGTGAACAATAGACAGTATAGCTCGACGACGGTGCATACCGTAGACAGCAACACGCGGCCGTCGACGCGCAGGACATCGCAAGATTCGGAGCGCTCGAACACGTAGTATGAGCGCGACTATTCCATCGACCTGATTCCCATCGGTAGATTCGGTACGCTTCTCGCGCACCCGTCGACGGGTTCGTTCGCCCGTTCTTTTCGGCACCGCGTGTGTTGCGCGAGTGTAAAATACACGCCGGCGACCAACGTTCGCATAAGATACCTGGTCCGGCCGCTTACCCTATATCTCATATAGTATTACCTCCAACTCCACGCTCTCGCACGACTCTTTATGAGCGCACGACGCAACTGACGCTATCTGTAGTATTAGCACACTTACGATCTCCTTGCAATGTTGCACGAATACAATACACGCGTTTAGATCTCCCTTACGAGCCCCGTACCAATGGTGGTTCAGATGCGTCGCCTGACCGCTTCTTGTTGTGCGATAGGATTTAGGGTGCTGATACCAAGGTATGATCTCACGTACAACCCGTCTGCAACAATAGATTGGGGCGCTCGCGCTCTCTTGAGCACGTACTTGTATCGCCGGGTGTGTCTCGATTAGAGCGGGAACAGATGGTGCGTATTGTGTGCGCACTGGCCAGGTGGGGCGGGGTACAGGCCGCACGCTTGGGGACCCGGGCGTAAATTCTGTTGCGCTCTTCGTCGGGGTCGACGGCCGGTGATGATATCAAAAAGATGCGGCGCTGCCGATGTGCATGATGCTGTCGGTGTAATTACGTTCGAGAGCTCAAGTTACGCGATCGCCCCGATGTCGATATGTCTGCGCCGTTGGTGGCCCTCGGGTATAATGATTAATAATAATACTAATAGGTAAGCTCGAAAGGATTTGCGAAGGGCGCTGTCGATCGCGTCTTGTTGTCGGTGCGGAAAGTAGACGGGCCGGTCTTCAGAGCAGACGTCCTCGAAAGGAAATGCACCTTCCTGATATGGCAGTTCTGTGTTTGGGAGGATCACTTGTGGATTATTGTGCGTGCGCTCCGCCAGCAGCGCGTGAGCGGGGGCGCCGCTGTTGGCCGTCCGAGAGGCACCCTCAACTGCACAATCATTCCTCATTGTACAGCACCTCGTACGTAATTCACGTGCACATTCGACTTTGACTCTCGCTTACATCCGACGGCTGGGCATCACCACTCTCCATATCAGACCTTGGCAATTTTGATACCAGTACTTATATTCCCCTTCTTCCGCACATCGTATACTCACTCCACGCACTCATGAAGACTACCCTTTCCATCCAGTTCATCATCGTCGGCAGCGGCGTCGGCGCGTATGCTGCGGCGGTCGCACTCAGGCGCGTCGGCCACCGCGTCCTCGTCCTCGAGCCGGAGGGTGACCCGCTCTTCGTATGTCCTTCCTGTGCGCTTCTCTCCCACAGGTCGAACTCTGATTCTCTGATCTCAGCTCGCGGGAAGCTCCCGGGTCTCACCCAATATGTCCAAGATTCTCTTCGGCTGGGGCCTAGAAGACGACTGCAGGAGCATGGCAATAGTCTCGCGGTATGTCACCATGGATGAGTGTGCGTCCCCACGATCCTTGCCGCTCTTGCTTCTTGCGCTCACGACCATCCAAGACCTTACCGGGAACACCTGGGGCAGCCACCAATGGGACGAGGAGATATTGAAAGAGACCCGCGGTGTCTTCCTGCTCATGCACGTAAGTCAGCACTCGATACGTCGCACATCCCCCAATCACGATTGGCGACGAGCAGCAAACAGACGTGCGGAATATCCTCAAGAGAACCGCCATCTCCCTCGGTGCTTCCGTCCGGCGGAAAGTCTCCATCGTCGACTTTGACCTCGACACGGCCGACGGCGATCTCCCCGCGGTAAGGCTAGCCACCGGTGAGCTGCTGCGGGCGAATGTGATCATCGGCGCGGACGGTCGGTCAAGCATGGTGCGGGAGCTCGCGTTCGAGATCGAAGACCCACGCAAACCGACCGGTTCCGTTATGTTTGAGTGAGCGTCTCATCCCATCTTGATGACCACTGATCAACCGCTGATAACAACCTTCGCAGTGTGACTGTCTCAATACCGGGGATGATGCAAGACCCGGATCTTCGAACGTTCCTGGGCAATTACCAAAACGAAGTAGCGACACTCCTTTCCGAGATTCGGTGCATTGTACTTACGTCGTTTTTTTCCGTGCAGTCCGTGATGCAATGTTTTTGTGGCGACGGACGCGGCGTCCTAGCAAATCCGGTTGTAAGCAGCCATGCCTTCGCCTCAATCGTGTGGCTCAACTGATCTTGAGGATTAGGGTGGGCTCCCGGAATATTCCATGCATATTGTTGTGCCCGATGACGGCGTATGTAACGGCCCAGATGGCGAGTGGATCAAAGAAGTGTCTGCAAGTCGGATATTGCGGGCTATGGGACCTTGTGATCGGAGGTGAGATAGTAACACCTTCCGATACCCTTGGACCTCATGATATCATGCGAATCTAGGTTGCAAAAACTCGTGAAGATGAGCCATTCGCGATTATGCACCAGAGTTTTGCACCCGTTTCCCGTGGAGGACTGGGTGCACCCAGACTCGAATGTGGTGCTTATCGGCGGGGCCGCTCACCCGTTCCATGTAAGCCTCGCTCTGCCGCTCGCTTTTCCAGCAACGCTTACAGGCCCTCTTCACCCGCAGGCAGGTGCGGTCTACTCGCGGAGCATGGCGGTGGAGGACGCGGCGTGTCTCGCTGAGATCTTCTCCCACCTAGCGCGCACGGACCAGATCCAGTCGTTCCTGTACGCATTCCAGGAGATCCGCCAGCCGCGATGTGACGAGCTGCGGCAAATGGAGGACATCATCGTGCACACGACGACGATGCCTGCCGCGGAGGCACGCGACACGCGCGACCGGCAGGTTGAGCGCGCCGTCGCGGACGGCAAGGGCGTCATGAGCAACCTCGGGTTCGACGAGCTTGTCGCGCTGTTCGCGTACGAGGCCGAGGACGCTGCGAACAACTGGTGGGTCACCTGGGGCCTCCTGCGCGAGCGTCTCAAGGAGCGCGAGCTGCACGCGCACGCGCCGCAGGTCCCTGTCGGATACAGCGAGTCTTTGGTCGGGTACAACGGATCGCTGGTTGGATACAGCGTGGACAGGCAATATCGCGCCTCGATGACGTCGGTCAACCAACAGTAATGCGACGTCGCGACATCCGTATCGCTTAGTTCACCATTGGAGATTGTACCTGCATCATTTAGCTGTACGTGAATATCGAGACGTGAGTGTCACGGACCTGGGCCAGCTGCCCACGTATCATTATCTGCATGCCAAGACAGCAGGGGTGCCATTTGCAGAGGCATCTATCTCTCACATGGACCCACACGGCAGCCCCGTGGCTCATTGGAGATAGTAATCCGTCATCGCCTTCGCTGTCGCTCTGACCTCATGATACTTCTCGTACGTACTGTGTTGTAACTCGTCGATACATAAGACCGCACTTAATCCTACACCACGATCCACCGGCCTCTTACTCTGTAAGGGCGCATCTATCGACTGAGAGGTTCGAGGGATTTCCCCACCTGCACAAGCGTAAGCCAGTTGTGAGAATGAGTCTTCGAAAGAGATCCACGCACCAGTAGGGGAAGTCGACGGGGTTACCGCTAGCTCCAAACACAGCGAAGCTCTGAATACGGTCACATCATGATCAACAGATCGACGCGATCTCAGTCGTCGCTTGACTCACCAGCACGAACAAGATAACCTGTGCCCCGCCATCCAGCGCAGCGGACGTCAGGTAGTTGTACTTCTTAAACCACGACGGCCGGCGCGAGCGCGCCCACCATTGCGCCGCGAAGCCGATGACAACGCACGACCTGCCAGTGCCCGGTAGCCAGTCAGTCCCGGCTGCGCCTGCATCTCCTTGAGCAGACATACCACCACTGTCCGTTGACGGAGTACGGCAGGTACCCGATGTACAGTGCTACAATGGGCGTGTTGATGTACGCCGCGAACTTGGCGACCCATGAGCCCGGCCTAGCGAACCTGTGCAATAGCCAGAACGGCACCGGGAACGCAAGGCCAATGAAGATCGCAAAGGCCACCAAGTAGTACGGCTTGCCGTATTCAAACCTGATGGATGGAGTAGATCAGCGACGCGGAGTGCATGAAGAACAATCGACGTACAGTTCCTTCCCGAGTGCACCCATTGCGACGGAGGCGGAGTTGACGCTTTGGATATTCCAGCCGCTCCACTACTTGCCATATGAGCACAGGATCGAGTACGTGATGTGAGCATCGGCGCACCACACGGGTTCCTAGAGGATTCAACAGCGCTGCGCGGTTTGCATTGACAATCGAGATCATCACTGGTGTAATTCTCAGGTCTCTACGTAGCAGGTCGGGTATGGTCTGGTGAACGCACTGGTATAATTGAAAATAGAGCCAACAATTGACCCCGCCATCTGGGCAGCGAATGTTGCCTTGGGAGGCAGCTTCGTGTATTGTCCCAATTTGAGATCTGAACACAGGTCGTCAATATCAACAACGATTCGACCATACTACGCGACGCACTGCTCACCTTGAAGCATGTACAACGTCTGATACGCTGTACTGTTACCGTACAAATTGACGTACATCACAGCGCTGTGGTAAGGGTTCGTCAGCCAGAATTGCCATGGCCAGTGCGGTTGCCACTTACATTGGATTACCTGGATGGACGAACGCAGCGAGGATCTGGATCGCGTTAGTGATGGAGATGCTGAAGCCGGTGGTAGCCATGACTGGCAACAATGCGTTAGTAACTTCAACAAACAATATGATATCGAACAACGCACTGAAACCCAGGCACACTGCGAGTACAGAGCTGATCGCGGTGAATAGGAGGATGCTCCACCACGGCAACAGCGCTTCGCCCGTAGTGTACTACCGATAAATGTCAGGTGCACATTGGAGGAAGGACGTTGCATCTCTCGTACGCTGCAACCAATGCCAACGCCCAGTGACAAGGCGAACAGGAGAATGTACCACCATTGTGGTACTTCGGCGTACTTCTTCATCTCTGTAACGTTGCTTCAGGTGAAATAGCAAGTCCTCACCAATAAGCTAAATCACCTTGGTAATGCGGATCATCGATCTCTTGATTGCTCCTCAAAAACTTCATGCCACCAAACGCTGCATCCATTTCCTCAGCACAATTCAAGAAGTGGCAACGGCCACGCTCACCTCTCTTCAAATCTTTCCAGTGCCACAGAAGCACATGCGTGATGGCTGCGCCCAAACTGAAGTTGTAGCAGATCTGGCTGATTGTGTACGTCGAGGTGTACCGCGGGAGACCGACCTCCGCGAGCGCAGAGGCATTGAGCTTGTACTGCGGGGTCAGAATGGCAGACTGGTTGTAAATGGACCCGTCAGCGCCGAACAGAGACGTCGACATGAAGATGAGATCGCGCGCGTGAAAGGCGTTCGAATAGTACGTCGTGGTGAGCACGATGTAGCCGATGGCCATCCCAACTGTACTAAATATCAGCCAAGAACAGTCACAACGCAGATTCCTAACGTACTGTAAGAATTAACCTCTGAAAGTGGACAACGAGAGTTAGACGCGGCTTGCTCACGGATTGGGGACGTGCACGTACGAGTCTGCAGAGGCCATACGAGAGGCGAGCCCTGAGTAATAAGGGTCCAACTTGTGCTGAAACTGAGCAAACCGATCCCTTCGTTACTCGAACCACCGCCGAACAAATTACGAATGAAGGCGTGATGGCCGTTGTCGATCAGACATACTACGGAAATGGCGGTAAGAAGGGGGAACGGGTATTGTGGGATCCTTCAGAGTGGATGAATCAATGCTCCAAGAATGATGCCACAAGAATTTGCGAACCATTCCCAGAAGAAGATGCCCGCAAACTGTGCAAGGATGAATGAGAGGATCAGTGGTACGAACGATTTGGTAATGCGTACCACGAGCCAAAAGTATTTTCTATCGCATGATACGATGAGCAGTGAGTGATGAGGATCGGGGATAATACAACTCACCGCCTCTTGTGGTTCAAGCTGCCGCTAAAGTGAAGGCTTTGCAAAAGATTGCAAACGGATATGTAAGTCGGATAAAATGCGCTACAGTTAAACAGAGGAATTCAGTCATCCGATCATGCTAAACTTTGTGCGAGACTCACTAGGTGGGATACACGAGCAGCGTGCGCACTGCAGACGACAACTCATTGGTACGGCTATGTTCGAAAAAGTATGGATGAACTTACAGACACCTGCAATTCCATACCCAATCATTTGACTAGCAAATATTTGGAAGATGGCGACGGCAGCATTGAGGCGAATGTTGTAAAACAGGTCTGTAGGTACTCTCATGAGTATGTGATAACCATGAAGGAAAGCCGACGAACTCAGTGCCGCGATTACTTCCATTCCCACTGCTACGTTCGATGCGGTCGACGCCATGATTACGATGGCAGTATGTTCTATCGCAGCATGTGGGAAAATTGCCAGTGTCAGAGAGGCTGCGAGGCTCCACTCACCCTTGATATTGAACGGTCCAGGATTGAAGTATCTCCAGTACCCCTTCGTAGGGATAACAGCTACAACGAGAATTAACCAATTAAAGGGTCCAAGGAGCGTATGTTTCCATACTCACCAGCCATGAGGGTTCCGATGACATACGCGATAATGAGAGAGAATAGTTGGGATACTGATGCATTCTTGATTATAAAATGAGGTTACAAAATTCCGCACAGTGTTGACGAAAGAGTAGCACATACCTGTGGCTTAAATGTATAGATCGTCGCAAGAGTAGAGCCAAAAACACTAAGTCCGAGACCAAGAAACACGGTGCGGAATGTAAACACAGGCAAGTCCGGGTTATCCTCTGTCGACAGAATCTGCCGGTCATGATTATTTATTGCACACAAAGGTCCAGTGCAGACAAACATACCTCGAGGGCGACATCTTCGGATTTCTCGATGACCTTCACGCTCGAGTAGTCATCAGTATCGGAGACAACCGCCACAGCGACCTTCTCCTTATCAGAGTAGAGGTGACCGAGCTCCTTGGATTTCTCAACAGAGCTTGAGGAGTCTTCGTGCTTGAGCTCTCGCGCTTGGGACTCAGCAGCCAGAGACAGCATCTTGTCTCGACGGAGGGACGAGATGGAGAGTATCAGGAGAACACTGGCTTGCTTTGGCCTACATTGTCATCTATCCGTGATAAGTATACACTGGACTTTTGGTAGACACGCCGATACAGGGATCCTATCACCAGCGGGCTGCGAAGCAAAGATAAGGTGAGTGAGATACTATAGCAGCCGCTGGGACGGACAGCGTGATTCAAGTCTGGATAAGAAAATAGAAAAGGCTAGCGAACCACGACACAGCGACATATCTTGACCGTTCTGCGGAAGGGCCCTGTGGAGACATTGGAATGCTTGTTGAGTTGCCACCAAGGAGTCAAGATCGTGACTTTACGTCCGTCTGTCACGCGACCGTTCGCACTGTGACCGACGCGTCTCGGGCCACCAGTCATTTATGTACTTGGGTCAAACTTGGGTGACTGCCCAGTCGCTCGCGCCTCCCCGCAACCCGTGAGAAGAGACCACTATGGCACATGCTCATTGCGGGCCACACCAGCTTCTCTTCTGATGGACCCGAATGCCTTGCTAAATTAGCCTCAACGACTCTTATCTTCTGCTCCATCCGTATCTTCTCCACATGCTCCCACCACCACGAAAGAACTGTCGTCTTGAAAGTCTCGGTCAAGGACAACCCAGTCAGTCATCTCCGACGTAGTACCGCCATCCGCGTCCATGCAAGACGATGTATTCCTTGCTTGGTCTTTGAGCCAACCTCTCACACGCTCCTGGAGGTTCAAAGTCGTACCCGCCGCCTTGAACACAACGCCCACCCAGTCCGCGTCTTGGTATGCAGGAAATAGCCCGGGCCGCCCTGGGAACACGCTCCAAGAGGCCTGCATCCGAACCGCTATTCCGACATTCATGTCCTCTTGCGTGGCCCAAGTGCAACAGGAGGGACATCCACCGGGGACATTGTTCGCCGGAAGATACGTCGCGAATGTTGGACACGCCAGATCTGGGTCATTGAAAGTGGAATCCTGGGCGAGTAGGATGGGGCAGCGGCGTTTCGACCATACCGCCTTTAATACGTGGGTGCAGTCCGTGAAATTGTATATCGCGTATTCGACGAAACACATGCCCGGTTGAGCACGGTGGAAGAACGATGAAAGTTGGGAAAAACTCCAGTACGCCACAGAGTGGCTTCATACGCACGCTTGACAGTTGGGATAAGCGCCACACACGCGTTGCACAAAGCGATGTCACCCGTTTGCCACCCGTCGATCCTGAGTCTGAGTCTGATTACAAAATGAATTTGAGCTAGAGTAGTGTGAGTTATTCACAGAAAGTCCAAGCCTATTCCTACTTGGAACCCTCTTTGTAGACCATCGCTCTTGCTAGCCACCAGTGGCACACCAAAGTTTACCTCAACTCTCACCGGATCCAGCTTATATACCAGCCCAACCCCAGCAGAGATCGAAGGTTTAGAAATGCTGCTAATCACGTTGTCCAGAAGAGATTGAGCTGCAAAAACTTTGGTCAATAGAATGAAAACCCTTTGTACACCCAAAAGGACGTACACCTGTCTACTACATCTAGCCTGCCAGCATTTACGAAGGTGTGCAGCTTGACGGGCCAATGAGGTTTCCGTGGAACATCAGAGATGAAGCTGACACCAGTCGACCAATACATGTCGCCACCTAACGAATCGGCTGGGGAAAGGGCAAGATCAACGACTGCATATCATCTTTACGCCTACAACTCACGGCCATCCCGAGGACCCATCCCGTTAGTCCTGAACATCCGCACGCTTACTGGGCCGCCAAGCTGGAAGCGATCTGAAAACAGCGATCGCGGAGCAAAACTCCATAACAGCCCTGAGCGAGCTGCAAATGAAACTGTCTGAGCGGGATCAGCAGGGCGGTTCGATATTATCATAGGACGGAGCATACTACGCCAGGAACGAACGGTCTTGACAGCTGAGTCTGCGCTTCAGTCTTGTAGAAGGAGGAATCGCCGCCGAGCCCGGCCAGCTCTTGTGAGAGCTTGAAATATGACCCGGTCGTCCCAACAAGTTTGTCATCGCGTGTATCCCGTGTCCACGAGTGCGACACAGCGGATTTGATGGTCTGTCCGGCAGCTTCTCTCATGCTACGCGCACAGCATTCAGCAACCAGGAACACAAGTAAATGCTAGTGCGCACCTGATAGAGGCCGATGGTGTGAGGCTGCTGATATGTCTCAGCACGGCTTCATATGCGACTTCATGCAGTCCGCTCGTGACAGTCTCGGTCTATAAGCGAGGTAAAATATGTCATTCGCTCACCATATAGCAGTCGGAAGACAAGCTGACCTAGCTCACCCTGACGCTAGCTCTGAGGCCCCGTACGCCCTCTGAGCTGCTTGCATAGCTTGAGTTATCCCTCTCGAGGCCGAAGACAGAGATCTCGCCTCTTGTCTTGAGAGAGGGGGTCAAGGGAGCGGAGAGCGATCCATGGAACGAGACACGTGTTTTTGTGCCAAATGCAAGGTTGGCTTCGAAGGTCTCCGCACCTCCGAACGCGTTACGGACGCGACACGTAGCACTCTGTCGTGGTGAGAGTCAGCACCATCAAGCCTGCACAGACCAACCAGAGACACGCACAGCACCACCCTCGTTGTTCCCCACTTCCGTGCTTGTGTTGAGGTAGAACCTGCCCTTCTCACGTGTCTTGAAGATTATGTTCACATCTCCGTCTTGGGCAAGAATGCCCTGGCTAGCCTCCAACTTCGCCTCGACCGATTGGAACAAATCTGTCTCTTGGAGAAGGCTTCCAATATGTCTAGTAGTACGAAGAACAGACTCCAACGTAGATCCACCATCCACAGAGGGCGAAGAAGTCGTCGGGAGGAATGGACTGATGATGCTGCCGAGGAACGGCTTGCGAGTCTTCACGGCCCCCTCCACTCGCACCGAAGCAATACGGAGCGGCGTTGTCAGGTTTTCGTTCACCTACTTTGGCCATTATTTCTCCGTTTCGCAAGCCTCCAGAAGAGCTACTCACCAACTCTGACAGATGAAATACTGCCGACTCATATTCCCCACGGAGTCTCCGGGCAATACGGTCCTCCTGCCATTTCCTCAGCTTCTCGAGATCAGCCCTGTCAGGCTCTCTGTCGCGAGGTACAGAGGTGTTAGCAAGAGGAGGTTTTAGGGGAGGAGCCTGTAATTCTTCCTCCATGGATGGGACAAGGAGAAAAGCTCGAGTGCAGAGCGCTCAGCGCTCCCGGTTACATACATGTTAATCAAATTTCGATCTCCGACAGCCACAATTTGTAGACTATGTATTCGCAACTTTTTACTGGGCCCCGAGAAAGGAAATTTTTGGTTGATTTTGCCTTCCGATTGGTCCAAGAACATTTAGCGCTCGGCCGCGCGGTGCGAAAACACAGATTGTTATGCCGTTAGCGCGTTGTTGGCACCGACAGGCAATGGTGGCTCATCACCAGCCGCAACAGGCAGCTAGATCGCAGAAAGGGAACTAGGTCTTAAAAGCACAACAGGATATGTTCGGCCTGAGATGCCAGCGTCACAGGCTAGTTGCCATACATGGAAGGTGATCGGGGGATGGTACAACTGTCCTCCGAGTGACATGTGACAAGTCATTGCAGTTAATCTTTTGTCCACCGGTGCAGCGCGATGGACAGTTGATGTTCATTAAGATTGCATCTCTGCAATCCACCTCCATTGATAGGTTTTCCGAGGCCATTGCCCGTCGTGTGACCGAGATAAGAAGTCTATAGATCAAGGTTCCCTATCTCATCGGAGCCGGTCAAATTGACTTCATGATGTGACCGAACGCCCCGAGTTTGTCCTTGCCTTGAAACTTCACGGTCCCTCTTCTTGAGATGTCATCGACATATGTGCATTACTCGACGCCGTCGTCCCTGCCGTCAGACTATGCGATACTGTCCCGGTATGCGGCCGCACATCCTGTAGAAGAGGAGGAGCTTGTTCAAGAGGTGGCGGAAAGCACCTTTGAGACGGACGAAGGAGTCAGTACGAGTGCTCTGGATATTCCCTCTTCGTCGGGGATACCAATATCGCGTCGGCGCAGCTTCCCATCGTCTCATATTGCGCCATTCAATCCTACGCTTGGTCTTCTATCAGACAAGCACGGTTTCCTGTCAGGTCCTCGTCCACCTAATCCGTCCGAAATAACACCTCTTCTCGCACCTCCTGTGCCCCGAATTGAGGAGGAAGTAGACGAACGGGATGCCGCTGGAGAGCCCGATACTCCCGTGAACATGTACAAGGAGGAGATTGGTATCCTCACTAAGTACACTCTGCCAGTTTTTGGGTAAGTCGCGGACTTTGTGCTCAATCACATCGCCAATGAACGTTTCACAGAACGCATCTTTTCGAATATTCACTCGTGATTGCTTCGGTGGTGTCCATAGGACATTTATCGACCACTGCTCTTGCCGCTTCCACGCTTGGTTCAATGACCGCCAGTGTATCTGGCTTTAGCATTGTTCAGGGCTTCGCAAGCACATTGGATACAATGCTTCCGAGCGCGTGGACCTCTTCGCAGCCTAATCTTGTCGGACTCTGGTCTCAGCGCATGGGTACGTTTTCACACGTTCCGACGTTGGGGCTGTAATATGGGCAAAACATCGCAGGGGAAATTTCATGTTCATGTGGGAACATGTTGCGCATTGTGAGGCCCTCAGCTAGTTAGAGACTTCCGTATACAAGTGTTTTCTTGCCAGTATTTTGCAGAGTACATGTGATTTTTCCCTCCCGATGCTTGAGCGTACTTGTGGGGTCAAAGATCGAATCTTTTTGTCATGTCCTTACTTTGCCGAAAACTAACAAGTACTCCAGTCGTGGTTATGACCGCGGTCCTCATGGTGCGTCTCCTGTGAATCCAACTTTTGATTCGCTAAATCTCCACAAACAGCCTATTTTACTTGTATGGTTCAATTCGGAGACCATTCTGCTATCTTTGAAGCAAGATCCGGAGGTTGCCCATCTCGCCGCTGTGTATCTCAAGTATCTCGCCATTGGGCTTCCGGCGTACGCGTTCAATAGCGTCTCTCGGTATGTTGAAGCACTGGGGGTTCGTGCGCTTCGTATCTGACGATTGATACTTCCAGTCGGTATTTTCAATCACAGGGTGCGCAGACTATTAATTCCTCATCCATCTGCCTTGAGCTTCCTATGGCAGGTCTCTTCACCGTTCCAACTCGTATTATCCTTGTCGTAGCGCCGATCAACGCGATCTTGAACTACCTTCTTGGTACGTTTAGAACATAGCAGCGGGATTGGTCCACTGACGTGCTTCCAGTCTGGGGCCCCGAATCAATCCGTCTTGGTTTCATCGGGGCGCCCATTGCCACCGCCATCTCGTTTAACCTCATATCTATCGCCTCCATCATCTATGGTGTGTTTTTCGTCCCCAAGACCGCTTGGCACCCGATATCGTTACGGTGCTTCACCAGTGTTGGTGTCCTTGTGCAGCTTGGGCTTGCAGGTGTTGGTATGATCCCCCTAGCATTGCATGCCTTTGTGCTATCTAAGGCACTATGTTCATTCAGGCCAGACAGCGTCAGAATGGTGGTCTTGGGAGCTCGTTGGCCGTGAGTGCTGCTGTCTGCTGTGCTGTGAGCTTTCCACTCATGTTTGCTCATTTAGTCGCGGCTAGCATGTACGTCCAAGCTTCGAAAGCTTCTCCTCCACTGATGATGGTTCATGTAGGCTTGGACCTATAGCGCTTGCAACTCAATCTGTCCTTCTCGTTTCTGCCTCGACAACCTACCAAGCCCCCTTCGCACTCAGCGTCGCTACGTCTGTTCGGTTTGTCTTCATTTCTCCACCGGCGAGCATCGTGCTCACAGCCTTGTTAGTGTGGGTAATTTGCTCGGCGAGGAAAACGCCAAGCGTGCAGGCGTAGCTGCGAATGCATCGATTATTATGTCCCTGGTCATCAGCTTAGTGTGGAGGTGCGCGCGTAAGCCCATGATTATTTGGTTGTGGCTGACGCTTTCCTCCTACAGTGCCATGTTCATGACCTTCAGACACTCGTGGGCGCACCTGTTCAACGACGACCCAGGTCTGTCATTCTTTCGAATTCCAGATGGCGAAACGCTAACGCGAGATGACAGATGTTGTTGCGCTTGTGGCGTCTATACTGCCGTTGGTTGCGTTATTTCAGGTTTTCGACGGACTTGGAGGTGTCACCGGTGGAATCCTGCGTGCGCGAGGAAAACAGGTTCGTGCATTGTTGGGATTGAGCGTGATCAACTGGTTTATCAGATCTGCAGTTCACCGGCGCGCTGTTGAACTTGACGTACGTTGACTGCCCCCATATTTCATACCGCATTGCTGATTGACATGTTCCCGTATCAGTGCTTACTACGTGATTGGTACGTGCCTTTGTCCTATCCACCTTGATGCTGCTGATGTCTCGTCTTGCAGGCATTCCGTTCGGAATCTGGCTTACATTCAAGCACGGTTTGCAGCTGCATGGCCTGTGGATTGGCCTTACCGTCTCGCTCGTATACTGCGCCACGGTTGGCGTCTGGATTTGCGTGCGTACGGACTGGGACAGAGAGGTCGAGAAGGTGCGCATCCGCCTCGCGGCAGATCAGAAGCGGCACCACAGGGAGGATGCGGAGGGAGGATTGACGAATTGACGAAACCAATGATCACGACTGGAATGTTATGCTGACGATGTCCTTGAAATGATAGTTTAGCTCGATTACCGTGTCTTGACCAGGATCCACGTTGAAGAGATTATGGTTGGCGGCAATTATCTCGTAAGGTTACTCGTGACAATCAACCCGGCCCTTTCGTACGCGTGGGGATGGACGGAAGTATGTTTCTCGCGCTCTACTGCGAAAGACACGTACGGGAAATGCGACGGCTGCAACGCGGATACTCAGTTGCAGCTCCAAGACAGCCCAGTTGAAGTTGCCCTTGTCTCAGGAACGGACAAGACGGTGCTCCGCAACAAATGATCGAGAATATTTGCTATTACATACAGTGGGTGTGCACGTCCCGACTCCCCTTATCCAGAAATATGCTGGCGTCGACGCTCTGGGACTGGCAGTGGAATGAAATGCCAACACCCCCATAGCGCCTGCGTGTGTTCACGCGATGGGAGTCGCGGCGGTACGCACCACGCCCGCGCACTTGTCCGCCACTATGACCGCCGGTGCTTGGAGATACTCCTGTCTGCGACACGCACCCCCTCCACGTCGGGCACGTACAGTTTGTTGTCTACGCCGCCCTCAAAAGAGCGGCGCCATGCGACACGTTGACGAGAACTGGTATGTCGTCCGTGCTCCGTGCACGATAAACGCGCCGAGGTCCTCGTCGCTCTGATCTTTGGGACGTGCAGTCGCGCAGAGGTATACCAGCTTGCGCATCTCTTCCTCGAGCCACAGCGCAAACTTGAACCCTTGCGCATCACGGGCAGAAATCACGGGCAGGTCTTCTGGGGCCTGCAGAGTTCCGAGGTCGCATGCCGGGCATGCTCGCGGATCGTCCGATGAGCCGCACGCTGCCGGTGGACTTTGGCCGCTGCAGCACCACGAGGAATGAGAATGCACCATCTCCCTCCATGTCAGATGGCCAATCTGACACATTGTGCTATCTGGAATATTGCGCGGGTCGCGGGTTCCGCGCGGCCGTTTGCTACGATGCGAGAATCGACGACAAGTAATACGCAAAAAGGAGAGTCTGGGGGTTCGGCAGGAGGCGGTCTCGCCCAAGGAAAAAATACTTCAATATAAGTCTCAGCACAACCAGAGGACTGCTGTCCATGCTATGCAGGGAGTCGTGCATTGGGAAGCGAAAGACGACCGAGACAGCAAGGTGGTCCCGCCGTGGGCGTGCATCATGGATTAATCCGAGGTGAAGGCCACGTACCCATGGCCTTCGATAGCCACTACTTGACTCCCCTCTTGCGCTCGAGGAGTAGCATGGAGACATCGGAATCTTCGCTTAGACGGCTTGACAGCACATTATCTGCAGTGCTGCGTGGTATGCGCTGAAAGATAAGTAGCCCTCCAACACGCACAAAGGACAAATACACATACCACCTACCACGATATGGTCGTAGACCTTGGCATCTGCTGTTCGTGCGGCCTAAGGCTACATCGCGTGACAACTTGGCAAGCCAGAAGTATGACGCCCTGTGATAATAAGAAGGATCAAACCTACGGTGTCTTTATGCATCTGCGCAGAATAATAGTACGGGCTTGGAGCCCGGCATCATTGTTGCAGTTGTTGCCAAATGTGTGCTTGGAGGGAGTGACTTGCGATCGAGCACTCCTCTAATACATATTCTCGGCGTCCGACCACTTGAGGCTGAGACCATCAACGTGTTTCATGACATCGTTCACAAAAGTAGACCCGCCCTGACCTTCACGCTCCTGTGGGAAATAAGTAAGGACATACAGTGGAAGTGTAACGTACAACTTTCAAGCTAGCTCTATCGATTTCGGCTCGATGCTGGAGACTATGACCGAAACCGTGAGAGCAAGTACACCGACTAATCCTGCCCTAATGGTGTTCCAGTATAGATGACAAGCGTTTCTCGATGACGCCAGCCACGTAGCTGAAGCACTCTTCCACCTCACTGAGGTATTTCTCCGTATTTTGGTCCTGCATCGTGCCTGAAGGCACGTCCAGAGTGAACGAGGGCGCGTAAAGCGGAAATGCATCGTGGTCAGGTATGTCAGACTCCAGCGGAATAGGAGAACCGAGCTGTAGATAATCGATCAATCGTATGCATACAAGCCTTCTACGAATTGAACTTACGGCTATTGAGGTCAAGTACGTCCAGGCTCGGGCAACATTCGATGAATTATAACCACCTTGTAACAAAGGTGTATAATTTGCGGTGTGGCAAGAACCGGACACTCACCTCCACCCAGGAGCAGAGTCTTGCAATTCCACTCGTGACAAATACGTTCAATGCACCAGCCCAGACTTCCTTCTACACCACCGAGTGACCAGTTCCAGATCGCGCATGGATCGCCTGCTAGCCCATCGACACCGCATTGGACAACCACGAAGTTGGGCTGAAATGCGTCTTTAACTCGTTCAACTGTGGGCCATATACGTGCAAAAGTGGTATTGGAAGCGCCACGAGCGAGGGGCATGGAGAGCACGAACGGATTGAACGAGGGGCTGGAAGGATCAGGCAGAGCAGATAGAGGTGAGACAGGAAAGAAGCCTGGAGCAGCGTGATGGATGGACAGCGTGAGGATTTGAGGAACAGCAGCGCCAGATGATGATGAAGCGAAAGCTTGAGAGACCCCGTCGGAGAAATGCAGGTCGAGGTCGAGGTACATAACACGTGGCTTGCTAGAGAGAGTGAGCATAGAGCTCGCGCCGCGTTTCAGAGAGAGCACAGCGAGAACACAATCCGCGACATAGCAGAATCCCGAGGCATATGACTTATGAGCGTGATGTCTGGACTTCGTCAATTCTGGCAAACTGCAGCGAGTAGGAGAAAACGAAAGACCTTCCGCCATCCCAACAGATTGAGATATCCGTATGACCCTGACAAAGGGCATCCGTTGCTACTAAGAGTATTAACTTGTCAGAGTTGCGTAGTGTTCACGGTGTATCAACCTGCAAGTGACGCCGCCGCTACAAGGCGGACATATTCGGGCAGACCGGTGAAGTAAGGGCAATCCTGGAGAGGAAACCTTAGTAACTGGTGGATCGGCGATGTGAGGAAGACAATACCTCTTCAAGTCCATACTCTGAGTTGACGTCCGAAGTCAAAGACGACGTGCTTGGAGAAAGTATGTGGTCTAGATAATCTCGACTGTGATAGACTGAAAGATCTTTGTAGTCTGCAGGGAAGGGTTTTACGACCACAAGACGACCGTAATGTTTGCCTGGCGGCATAGAAAACAATCCAAACGCCTTCACCAATGAATGAACAAGTAATGAACGGCCCTTGTTAGAAGGAAGCAGCGAGGAGATCTAGAAAAAAAGGTTAGCACCAGAGAAAGACCCCGGTTCTACGCTTGCCTTCACGAGCTCGTTGGAAACAACATAGCATACGTTGCGTCCGGATACTTCACTTGAATGAGACATGGACAACCCGAGGTGACAGCAGACAGCTTGCGGCGCAGATGTCTTGACTCTTGACTCGCCACTTCCGGAAGTACGTTTCCATACATGGTATAGGCTGAGTCCCAATTTTAATATTGGTTCCCAAGGTCGGTGTGTGTCCTGATCTCTACCGTCATGCCAGAATCTTTATTTCTTGAGCTACCTTCCGAGCTCATTGTCGTTATTCTGTCCTTCCTACCTCTGTCTGACCTGGTGGCATGTCGGCGTACGAACAAGCTGCTGGATAGCACCATCGAATCCAGTGTGGTACTACAGTATCTGATCGAGCTACAGGTAGCTGGAGCTGTCGACAATCCCTCATCATCTTTACCTGTCTCGGATCGGCTCCGTGTCTTGAAAGCAAGAGAATCTGCCTGGGAACAGATTGAATGTACAAACGTTACTTCCATTCGCGTAGATTTCAACCCATCGAGCATATACGATCTCACTGGTGGCGTGTTCTTACTCGGAGAGTCCTTGTATGAGCCATTCGCGAGGACTTTTAGGGAGACCGACGCTTTGAGATGGCTCCGATTGTCACGCGCGAGTGGAGATAAACCCACGTTATCGCCATGGTTCAAAATTGACCTGGAGGCCAGCATCCTTGATGTGGGTTTGGCGGTTGAAGAACATGACTTGATAGCAGTTGTGACTCAGGCGTGCGTAGCTGTCATGTCCTGCAATTACTTCCGAAGTTTAACATGACTGGTAACGGGTTGTGCGCAGCATTCAGTTGCAGACCCGCACCGTTGTCTTCGACGTTCACTTGCTCCAGATTGCTACTGGTGAATGTCACCCGCGAGCTGCACACCCTGCTATACGTGTCTCCGAAGTACCTATTTTTGCCGGCCAATGCAGCGTCTCTGTCGAGATTGTTGGCGATATGTTGGCAATTTTAATGAATTTCCCATACCTTCAAGGCGTACAGCCTCAACGACCTGGGGAATTCCACATGTTTGACTGGCTTACAGGAAGGCAAACGTTGGTAGGTGATGGATTACTCGTATCATGTGCCAACACGTTGATGTTGTGCCCGACCAGTCTCGTTCTGGAGGGCATGTCCAATATTTGGCATTCGTCTTCCTGTCTCGAGATGTCGTTGCATTGACTAACTGCACGGAGAACAGTTTGGAGTTGTGCCACATCGGGGACACGCTATCGAACGATAGTCCAGATCCTCAGCGCTTAGAAACAGTCTGTCGCCTCGCGTTGCCAAGACTTGCACCTGTCGCCTTCATCAGACAGGTTTTATGCCGATCTGAGCCTAATCCCTCTGGGTGCGACTCTACGTTCGGGAACAACGACGGTAGCCCTTTCCGACCGGATCCCAAGGATTCGGTCGTCATATTCAACTTCTTCATACGGGTTGGAGAAATCGTTGGCCGCGTGTACACGCTCTCGTTGATAATGCACCGCTCCGCGCTGCTCGCATGGTTACCTCCGCGCCCACCCAAGGTCTCGCACTCTGACGCCGTGTCAGAGGACTTGTTACCCGGAGACACAGATGACGCTTCCAGACGAGGTCTCCACGCGGAATTGTCCACCGTTCCTTGGGCCGTGTGGGGCCCCCCTGCTACCCGCTGGCTCAACGGCATGAGCCCGAACAATCGCTGGATAACAACCACATGTGGACAGCGTCACGTCGCGGTGGGGCATGACATGCCCTTCCAAATATCAATCTTGAATTTCAACCAGCTCTCGCTACGTCGCTTCATCGCTCAGCATCCGCACTCCGAAGCTCTTCTTTCGGTGACGAGGGAGAGAACAGAGCCAACGAACGGAGAGACGGTGCTCATTCACGCCGTGCACGAGCCGTCGACACTATTCTTAGAGGTGTTCGAAGAGGTGGTTGTCTCGTGCTTGCCGTATTTGTCAACCACTACTATTGGCGAATACGATTATGCCAACGTGTTGCTTGACGAAGACAGGATCATCGGCATCAATGTAAGAACCTTATGTTTACTCTGCTTGTCTCTGAATTCACGGATTCTCGTTCACAGTTGGATGAAGACGAGAACATTAGTGAGATCGTCGTCCACTCCATCAACTATGAATAATACACGCTATCGCGCCACTGGTTCTATATTTACGGCGCGTCGCCCAATTGAGAACGCAGGACTGCAAGCTAATTAGGACAGGAGTGATGCAGAAAATTTTCAAGGAGTATTGTGGTATATATCGCTAGGGCTGGTGGGTTCATTCGTCTAAGTTTATTACGTTACTTCTCGATCTGTATCCAGGGACTCCAGGAGAATGTATCAATATTCAGTTCGACACATGGATAAGCATCTGTTGCTCATGACTCAGTTCAGCTGATACTATGTTACATGATCATTGCGACTTAACATACACGATCTTCTCCTTCATGGACTCAAATAATTTACTTCCCGTTGGCTACACACTGCGCTGTATGCCTGTTACAGAGTCTACACGACAGAACGACTTCATCATATTAACAACAGCACGCCACTTGACGAGCCTCTAACTGGGCCAATTCACGCGCTCTGCATCAAAATGCGAGTTAGTGTTCTTCTCGACCTGGTGATAATGCTTAACCTTCTCTGGATCGTTGTGGAGATGCAAGAGCCCCGGCAACGAAGGCCGCTGCAATGGTCAGGATGGTCTTGACTTGCATGGTAAGCTGACAGCGGCCAACAATTTGTGCTGGAGATGATATGTGAGCCAACATATAGTGCAGGTCAATACAAAGGAATACCTCAGGGTGCTAATGAAGGTAGGGATGTTGCTTGTCCCTCAATGTCCGCGCAGTTTAAATGCTCAGAGAAGGCCGATTACTGACGCTCGCATCGTAGGGTTCCTCCCTCTGTCAACCAGGATTCAACCAGGACGTGGTGGTCAGTGCAGCATTCGAATGCTCCAGATGATGCGTCGATGGGACCTTTGAAGTCCTCGTATCTCCGGATCTCAACACTAGTTGCAGTGGGCAGAAGTGGGCTGCAACAAGGTCGGAGAATGACAAAGAATTTGGCAAGGATGTATGTTCCACTCAAAGCTCTATTATTCACATTTTATGCTGTCAGCTTACACTCCTGAGCAGGAGATTTGACTGCGGCGCGAGCAACGGCGCTCTTGCATGGACAAGTTTATGCGACCGGGATGCAGTGTCCGCCGGAAAAGAACATTTCATCATGCCAGGCAGAGACCAAGCATAGTGAATTCGAATGCTACTCCACCGTACGACTCCCTCACCAGCATGTGATTGGTGGCAGACATGGACACAGTGACGGGTGTAACACAAGTTGAGAGAGCTCTGACAATGCTGAAGAGACCCAGGGCATGCATGCGACACCACGGCATGAAACCTGGCACTAGATGCTTGTATCAAAAAACTTAACATGACTCTTGCATAACTCAGGCCCTTTCACATTACCGTCGGCATACCCCTCTAGTGCCTCCAAGATGAGGCGGACGGGAGCTTCATGCCGCCTATGGTAATGTTTTTCTACAATGGCCTACAATCTTCGACGACCTTCACATCCGTAACCCATCAAAGATGCAGTTGGGAAGAGCCTCGGGAGACATTCGCCGATCATCTCTGCCACATGCAGATCTACCAGTCTCGATGGGATTATGCACCATGGATTCATGACATGGACTTCCGTCTCCAACGCGTGGCGCATTTTCCGAGAGATCATGACGGCACGGTCACGAGCGGCTGGCAACTGGGCAAATCTTCGCGCTGAGATGAATCGGCATACCTTGGTGGCGTGGAAGCATTTAAATCTGACAGCGGGGCCACAGCTGACAGTCCACAGTATCTCGATTTTCTGCTCAGGTAAGTAAACCTCTGGTGAACGTGCTGCAAATTGGCGACCGAAAATAGCGGCCTGCAAACTTATTCCGCCCGTTGGAACACTTGCGCATGAAGTCCACGAGAACACATGCAGAAGACGATCGACGATTATCTAGCTAGGAGAAGATCTTGAACGAGTCAGAGACTGAGGATTGTGCTTGAAGGTCCTGGAACCGAGTGAGACGTGCGAGACCGTGACATTAGCATCTGTAGCGTTCATTCCTTCATTTAAGACGAACTTATCACGTATCCGAGTATGAGCATGAGACAGCTTGCAGAGCGAATCCCGCACGAATACGGTACTGTACAAGGATGGAAATGGTGTTCAACTCCGAGTCTGCAGTGCGGTGTGCCAGAGCGCGTGCGTGACATTCGAACGCGTCGGGTCACATGTCACCGATGTCCAGCTGCTTTTGAGCCTTGACCGAACCACCAAGCATCGACCGCTCAGGCAGATCACACTATGGATGCCAACTTGGGTAAAAATCGCGAGTAAGATCACTCAATATTCGGTTAACCTTTTCCCGTTCGGCGGTGATTTTGAGCAGAATCACCCGTTCTCCGAGTACTACACTCCAGGTATCCGCCGGATGGTGTTCGCTGAGGGTCAGCAATTCACCCGGAGCCCAACCATTTAATGGGTACCCGAACATCACCCAGATTCAGGGTGATTGGCTTTTTGTAACCCGGCAAACGTCTCACCCCCAGGCATTCACAGTGTCAGAGACACAAGTATTCTTTCTCCTATGTGGAACTTTTGTCTATGTATATACGACTCCATACGATTGACTAGGCAAGTGATCAAGGGAATCGTGACATCAAGTTCGTCTCGCCGCCCAAGCTCTCGAAGGCTACTTCAAGACGAATCACGATATACGGCGACAAGTCGTGCCCTTTTTTTCCCGGATACCTTGAAGTATGAGATGAACGAATACAGAAATTAGCTTCTGACTGTGACCCCCCACGAGTCCGAAATGGTGTAGCCCGGCACTGCGAATTTCCGGCTGTTCCTCGACAAGCTAAGGAAGTCTTTCTAAGGCACATGTGTTGTCCAACAACCTCTCAGGCTTCTTAACGAGAATACTATCTACCTGCTTCCAGGTTTTACGCAACACGCTCAAGCCTTCATGTTTTGCGTGAGTTCTTAATCAAACTTCATATGGCCGATATTCCTGTGTTCGGGTCGCCAAGTACTACGCCAATGATTGACTGTAGCCGGCGCAATGACTTGAAAGGCCCCTCTGAGGCTAAAATGCTATCGTATGTGACCTCTGTTTCAAACACAGGAGAGCGTGCTGATCCACTCACCATCGGGCAGGATCTACTATCTCGTGGTTGCGCTCTAGATAGAATGCGTTGTGCTCGATACGGTGTTCCGGCTCCATCGCATCGCGGATACACTTGTGATGGGCTGGGGCATCTCTCTGGCTGTCCTGGTACACCGTAACAGTCTGCTGCGAGGCTAGCTAGAGTGACACTGCTTTGTTTTAGACGCGTACTGCCAAAACTGTTTACCGAGTAGGCAGGTACGTATGTACAATATTGTCCGCGTCGGTCATGAGACTTAACCGCGATGAGTTTGCTGTCTTTCCTAGGGCGAAGTCTCCTCGTGCGTGAACCTATCAACCATTCTCCATGGCTTTAGGGCAGCCAACCACGAGTGGCACAGCTTGGTGCCTTGCAGATCCAGTATGTACTAGGTTGCGGCAGAGGTCGTAAACCTCATTCGCTGTTCCCGCGCTCCGGATAAAAACGAGGTGAGTGGGAGTAACGCTCCACGAATGATTGTCACCTGATTCTGCCAGGCCAGGTAGTCCTCGTAATACTCGGTTCCCTTCTGCGGTAGATGCGTGGTTTGCTGTAATGTCAAGATGACAACATGATGGAATCATAAACAGTATTTCGACATTATCGTGCGTGGTTAGTTCTGAGATCTACATTTGCAGCGAGCAGATACCGCCAGAGCGAGACTATCTCCAGATCTTGGCGTACTCGAAGCCTGACCGGGACCCGTCTTCCTGGGAAACATTACCGGGTAGCGTGGAGGCCAATTCTCCATGAAGGGACATAATTGCGATGAACGATGAGGGGCGTCATCGCTCTCATTGGTCCACCTCCGTGCACGTGACTAACGGGGGGAGCGTGACACTTAGTGGCGTAAGGTGGAAGATGCGGAGGGAGGTCAGGCGAGCATTCACGGGTGCTCACAAGGTCTTCAGGATTGGCTAATTCAAATGAATATGGTCGTTAAGTATTTTGACACTGACGTGTTGTTTTCTATTAGGCCCTTTCTCACCTTCCCTCCTTCGCTGATTCTCAGAGAACGTCTTCCTCGCCTTCCCCGACATGTCCAGTGACGAGGCAAGACTAGAGACACAGAGTATGGAGGACAGCGAGAAAGGCCGTGAGCCCAGGTGGGAGAACAAGGATACTGGAGTCACCGCCGAAGCCATCGCCGCAGATCAATTCGAGCTCTATGCCTATCATGAGCACAATGCTGGAAGACTTGTTGTCGACCCCGAGTATGTCTGCAAATTATTTATCTACTTTTTTTTGAGTTTTCTACGTGATGTAGAGAAGCGATTATTGAGTTTGGAGAGGACGTTGCGAAGCGTCTGAAGCTCTCTCGCGATGGCACTAAGGTGCTGTGGCCCCAACCCACGGACGACCCCGAGGATCCACAAAATGTAAGCCCATACATACTACGATTCAAATTCGTTATTTAAGCCCTTGAATTAACGATGCATCGCACTCCAAACCTCTCTAGTGGTCGGATCTTCGCAAAAACATCCAGCTTTTAATCATCACTCTGGCAGCAATTGTCCCCGATTTCGATTCAGGCATAGGTGTGCCTTCTACTACTCGTTCATAACATATTCAGCCCTCAAGTTTTGCTGTGTAATCTGCGCTGTCTGTTGGGATTCGTAGGTATCGCATCAATATTCGCGCTCGCGAAGCAGTACGATACAACGCCAGGCGTAATCAACAATTTGACATCAAAGTACGCCTTCTCGTTTTCTCTGATCATACTTTGTTTGAATGTACAATGCCGGTCTACATTTTTTATCTAACTATCACATTCCTCAGTTGGAGCATCTTCCTTCTAGGTACGTGCGGCATGCTGTTCGTTTTCGTTGTCTTGAGGTATAATAATTTTATATGACTCCAGGATGGGGAAGCATTTTTGCAGTAATGCTTATGCGGCGGTACGGTCGACTGCCAGTATTGTTTTGGTCCCAGGTTTGTAACGCTTTCATGGGTGTCTTCTCGCTGATAAGACTTGTGGATTGATCATTCTTGCTGAACTTGCTCTCACTCCTATAACTCCATTGTTCCAGGTCCTGGCACTCGGATTCCTTGTTGGTTGCACCTTTGCACCCAACCTGAAAACCTTCGCTGGTCAGTTTGCATACCGAGTTATTCACTATGTCAGATGATGCGTTGTTCCGCATTTCAGCCATCGTCCATCAGCGCTCGACCTCTAATCTGTCTTCTATCATGGTCTCATTTTATGCATGACTTACGTGCCATTGACCGACCTTGTTTACGCAGCTATGCGATGTCTGACCGCCTTCTTCGGGTTGGTGATATCTCATCTTTTCTGATTTGTTTTCAAATGCGTTGTATTTTATCCCACATGCACGCTTCCATCTGTCCTTCTGACTATCTAACCGTACAGGACATGTCCACAAGTCACGGTACGTCAGCGCTCTACTCACGTCGCAAGTGCCTTTGATCTTAGTCTCTGGGTCCTACTGTCAGGGCCTCTACGTCGTGACGGATCTATTCCCCTTTCATCTTCAGGCGCGCAAGGTATGGGAGGATACTGCGGCCCTGCGTCTGTTATATGTGCTAATAGTCGTCACCCTAGCTCAACATCTGGACGATGGGTTTCATAGTTTCGCCCTTCTTGTCGCCCTTCATCTTCGGTTTTGTTGTTGCACGTGCAAAGTAGGTTCGCTTCGCATGATATCTACAGTCTAGTTGCGCTGATATTTGACGCCGGTAGTTGGCGGTGGACTTATGGTGTCGGCTCGATCTACGGGGTGATTGTGGTGCTTCTCATCGCTTTCTTTACTCAAGAAACGTGCGTATTCGCATATTATATGCGCCTGATTTGATTTGTCTAATTCTCTCCTGCCTACGCGATCTTGTGTTCTGGCACAGGATGTATGATCGTACTCTGGCGAATCCAAAGCCGATCTCACGACCCGCCTCAGCTCTACGCTACCGCATCGAGACTCTCGTTGGCATAACTGGGATGCGTATGGCGCGCTATCGCGCGAGCTGGCGTTCTGTGTCTTTAGCATGTCTGGATGTCATCTGGCGCCCGCACATTGCGAGCATCCTACTTTTTGAGGTGCGTTCTATGCCCATATCTCCCGGGTGGTGTAGGGTGATGCTACGGATGTGTGTATTGTACTTTAGTCACTGTTGTTTGGATTTGGCATTGGAATCAACGTAAGCACCATCCCACTTCTCTATGTCCTAGCCTGAGATGCTGACGTCGCGGTCAGACTACCAACGCTGTCTTCCTTGCTTTGCCTGTACCCGGAGGGTACGGGTTCAGTCAGTATGCCATTGCTGGTGCATACGGAACTCCTATAGTTCGTATGACCTTCAGCGAGTCAGTGCGCCAGATGATTGTTGTCCTGTTTAGGTTGCTGTTCTCATTGGAGAAACACTTGGACGATACTTCAACGACTGGGTGATGAACTATGGGATCCGGCATAATAAGGGTGTATTCGTGGCAGAGACGCGACTATGGTGAGTGCACTGAAAAGCTCACGTCTACCTATCTTTGATGACAGTTTATACCGACCCGAAGGACGTGTTATATTGCGGTGCCTCTCTATGTCTGCGGCTTCGTGGTACTCGGTGCTTCCTTTCAGAAGCATCTCAGTGTCGGTGCCCTTGTCATGGGCTGGGGGATCGCAGAGATGGCAATCATGATGAACACTGTGGCAGTCTGTTCGTGTCATCTCATTTATTCCCTGAGGATATATGGTTGACGGTCCCACTGAGACAGATGCGTATTGCAATGATTGTTTCCCGACCAGACAGGTGATAGCATACCTTTTTCCTATATATCAGTATTCACAGATAATTTCTCGGCCGGATCCTCTCCAAGGGCGAGGTTTCAGCGCTCATTAACCTCTGTCGTACACTCGGGGGATTCAGTGTGGCCTATTTCCAAGTGCCATGGGCGACGCATAATGGCGCACTTCAGACCTTCGGTGTGGAAGCGGCAATTGTTGTTGGGTTGTTCCTTCTCATTGTCCCGGCTCTTCAAGTCAAAGGCCCGTCGTTAAGGGTGAGCGAGAATCTTATCACATCGGTCCTTGTCATCTAACACTGAATATTGCAAATACGGTTGCTTGAACTTGCAGGAGCGTTTTTCCCTTTGAGTTCTGAGTCGGACTCCGGCGATATTGATAGGATTTTCCCTCCAAGTACCGTCACAATCTCTATGTTTCTCTGAATGTACGTCGTCGTTCGGGGTCGGTGTATTATAGAAGTCAAAAACGAGCTTTTAAGGGTAGGACGGTGCAGTAGGACCTACATACAAATTAGTACAATACGTCATGACACGTAACACGTGATACTATGAAACACGTCTAGTCACGTCACTGTCACACGCGATCCAGGGAAAACTCACAGAAACAAGGCGGTTTGTCGCGTTGGACTTTTGTCTACAGATTGAATAAGACATCTAGAGTAGACCGAATGTGACAGTCAGATGAATCGAAGGGCACTCTCAAATGCGCACACTGGCATGTCCACTTGCGTCACGCCGGACGGATCACGAGAGAAGGACCAGGTCGATTTTCAAAGAGCCTTTCATGCGATCACGAAGCTTTCAGCACATGCTGCGCCGCTGAGGTGAATTCCGGGCCCCTACGAGTCCAGACTCTTCCGAGGCCTCTCCAAGGAGAGCCACATGATCTATACAAGGGGTGAGAGCAGGGAAAAAACACGCCAGGTATACGGTACCTCTGGCATGGGTATCAGTTGACTTGTTTGACGGGATGGAAGCCTCCAGACGAAAATCAGATTACATCTAGGAGCGATCGATAGTGAACAGACCATTAAAAGAACCTGGTGGCGCTGACAAGAGAATAATCGAGGTGCCCCCCGATAACAAATTAATGAACGGCATAGAAATGCGCGGATATTGCTACCGATGAGTTCGCACGGTTAAAGATGTCCGTTGTACAGTCCAATGCTGAAGGCGGATACGAGATACAAGGGTACCACGTTGTTCGTGGCCTGCATCACACCAGTCGGAGCCCAATTTCCTTGCCACCTGGCAAACAGAGGCGTCCGCAGAATGAAATTTTGAACGGAAGAAGTTAACGAATGATGTACTCACTCGACATCGGCGACGAGAGATTCTGTCAGTCTGACGCAGTCGACTCCTCGCAAGCGCAGTTCTCGCCTTCTGTTCATATTTCAGCAGGCTTGACGCAGCGATTGGGAATGTCCTTGTCGGTCACCGACATGAAGCCTTACTAGAATGTTTTCCGGACCATGCAAGCACTCAGCCGCTAGAGGTAGCACCAAGCTGGTTACTGACGTTTCTTCCACCTGCTCCACCTGCTCTCCTTTGACATCCTGCGTATGTCGCGACAGATTGTAAGTTGACATGGAGCATTTTTCGGAAGAATACTTACCTGTTCTCGCAACGCTCAGCTAGTCATTTCATGTATTGTTCAACCTTTGGCTGCGCTAGTCGTATAATGCGACCTTCACTTGGATCCGACATCGGCTCACTAAAGTGCGCAGCCCATCTATGCATAGCGCCAAGGTCACGTAACTGTGCACAATGCCAATGCCGCTACGGTTAGACAGGAACTCCGGAACATCTGCCCAAGAACATCGGATGTTCACTAGGAGTTGAGGTGCTGAGACAGACGTGTCCAAATTCACTTACTGGTACAGTGTGTCCGCTGCGGCGGTGACGCATGAGCTCCGATTGGCCAAGGGGAATGATTGTGCACTTCGGTTCCTATCAGGAGGAGGTTGCTCCAGTAGCAGGGCCTTCCATGTACATAGAGCAGAGAGAGTAGGCAAAAACTTCTTGGGTTGGGACGCCGTACTGATCGGCCATATAAGTCGTTGCAGTGCATTCTCTTCCCAGTCAATCTCCGACCCAGGGATCTCACCTTTCTTCCTTTGCAGTGCGCTGCGCTCAAACTTCGATAGTTCTCCTGGCAAGAGCGCTTGGTGCTGAAAATTTGTCCGGGTGCAGCCGGTGATCATAGCAAGCACATGGAGCAGCACAGGCATGACATTATCATCCACCACCTCCATTATGATGTCAAGAGGCCACACTGAGTCATGTACCTGCGGTACGGGCACTTTCAGCGTGGAGCATCTGCACCGACTTCAACATATTGGATAACAGTAATGGCTTACAAGCGGAAGCCCCAGTGGTGCCTAGGTATGCGTTCGGGAGAAGATATGCAAAACAGTAGTCGTCAAGGACGGGTCGGAAGAGACCTCAAGGTTCAACGTTCAGGCCTCAGGTGCAGACGGAGGTGCAAAGCGTTGGGACAACACCCTTTCGGACATTGCCGGACCTGTGGCACCAAGTCGCCATCTATAAAGCTAAACAGGCACGAAAATACCCCACGAGTGCTTACATAGGTACGATGAGAGAAAACGGTGATCAATTTATGTCATGGCTAGGCAGCGCCATGCGCAACAGGGCAGCTGAGCGATATTCCGGCGACAGGTGCACACAGCACTACAACATTGTTGTACTCGATCGCCACGACAAATTCGAGGTGAGCGAATCCCTCCAGAGTAAAAGAGTGGCGTACGCCATCAAGTGCAGTGTAAACTAAGGAGGCATCCGAGCGGGATCACGAGTGTCAACACAGGATGCGACCACACTGAGATATAATCCGATCGGTGTGGCTCCCGCCCTTATGCCAGAAATGGAAGGGCAACAACTCTAGCGCATAAAACGAGAGGAGGAAAAAAAGCTGTGACGGAGGCGGCTGTGCGCACGACGGATGATGCATTCACTGCCACGACGAACGTCCGTATGTGGTTGTACGTTTGGCTCTTTTTTTCAGAACCTAGAAGGTCCTGCATTCGCAGTTCGATGGCAGAGCTCAATAACACCCGCAACCCGACTATGCCAAGTTTGGGCAGTAACATATGGAGAATGGGCATATTTTTCGAATTTTCGGATCAGTCATGCCTTCGCGGACAAGACCGTATGTACTCCGACAACTGTCCAAGGTCAAGTGGGCGCACAGGAACTTGCCAGGTAGCTGGTCAGCGTCCAAGCAATTCTTGTAGCAAGCAACTGTCCATGGTGATAGTCTTGCCATCAATGAAATATGGAACTCCATCCGCTCCGAGACGTATGCTCACCTTGGTCATACTGCATTTCAAATACTCTGCAGCGCCATGTACAGAACTTTTCTCGGCTGCCCATAAGGATCAACATTCTGAGAAGTCGAGATACACGTGCTACTATGGGGTCTCCGCCAGTGATCTCGGAAAGCACATTGTATGAACGTACACCAAGGAATATGAGAGTAACAGCACATTCCCAGACAGGCCCCCATACCCAGCGAAGCACGGAGCGAAAAATTGCTCTTGTGGCTTGTTTCAGCTATGATGACCACCCAAAGACGCAACTTCCAAGCAGTCGTGCTGGTGGTTTCGACTGCGGGGGAGGGGGGGTGCATGACATGTATGACGTGCATGAGAAGGGGCGAAGTAATCGTCAAAGAGGCTCCTGTGCTTACGACAGCTTCTGGTATAGCATTAACTCTCCCGGAACACGCGTCCCGAGAACCAATTCCATTTTATGCCCCTTACCGCTAGTCACAGCCGACAAGTCATGATGGTCCTTGTGGGAGACACAATCCTAGTCCACAATTGCATAAGTACGGTGGAACCACACAGATCCGGAGCTGTAGCGAACCGACACCGATCGGATATCGGCGCTGCACCATCGTGAATTCCTCGTATTGAGACATCCGGGACGGAGTGTCACCAAACGTAATTGTACTTTCGCCGGCGGAGACGTCGTTGGAGGTGCTTAGCACTTGTCCTTCTCCGCGCCCGGATATAGAAAACATTGGCGAATGGTGAGAATATCGTGCCCCCACGCGTCACAAGGACAATAGTAGCTAGCGATAGTAGTTAGTGCAGGCTGAGGTGATGCTGGCCAGCCTTTTTTGGAATTTAAACGCCCGTTCACAAGTTGGCGATCGCAACCGCGGATCCACAGTGACCGGGGCGTTCTACGACGCCTTTCTCCATAACCGATATGTCAAGTTATACAAATACATCGCATATGTCACTCCAGCCATTAACTTCCGCGTTTATGTATATCTGGACAGTGGTATGCGGTCCTGTTGCGCTAACGGGATAGCTTTCAGTGGTAGCAGCCTCAGGGAGTATAAGATGAAGACCTTCCGAGCCTGCAGTCGAACATCATAAATCCCCTCCGAGGGCGCACTGACAGTTCTCAGCAGCCTGTTTATTTACTCGGTGAGTACGTTCAACCCCTGTGAAACTTCGCACCTGATGGTCGTATGTGCAGGACGCACTCTCCGCATATGTCAAACCTCAAGCCTTGTCATTGGAACAAATGCAGCCTTACGTTCGAGCCATCCATCGACGGGCTCGATCGTCATTTCAAGTCTCATCATCTAAATGACTACGTTGAATCGAACTTCAATTGTAAATGGCGTGAAGGGACCGCCACATGCAGCAAACCAGTCCCGAGTAAAGCATCCCTTTCTAGGCACATATTGCGCGAACATTTTCGGCTCAGTTAAACCGATGCACAAGTGAGTGTTTCAGATGCTGGCTGGCGCCACGGTGTCGAGGTTGTGCAGCATATATCTTGGCTGACTATCGACGTCAGACTTTACTCCTGAATGTGCATATATATATTCTAGCCAATATTGTTTTCTAAATTTACCCGTCCTGATTCATTTCCGTTCTTTCCCAGTAGAATGACCCTGCACTTCAGGACGTGCGTCTATTTGTTTCTGCTGTTCAGTAGTGGTACTTGAATAACAATATTGCCCGCGTATTATTGGTAGCTTACTCAATGCAATCTTGATATCGTAAAACTTGCAAGGTCTGGAGGACAACCCCTCGGTAATCATAAGCCTCAAGTACTCGAATATATGGACCGAACAGCATGCATTGCAACTATCATTTGCGATGGTACATGGGGCGTAGCTGCCGAATGATATGCCGTACGTACTACGAAAAATTATCGACGGCATTATTTTTTCTCCACGCACGCCGGTCACTGGACATGCACATTTTCCCCCTAAAAACACAAGGAACGGAGCAACCTGATGACCTTCGTGGGATATTTCATATAGATGTTGACGATGATCGAAATGAATCAAAGTTCCGAGAGAAGGTGACGTCGTCGTTCTGGCTAGACTGCGGTATTATAGCACGACGCGCTCCTTCTATCAAGATCGAAGACCCGCCGAAACAAAAAATAAGACGCAGCAAGCTCGTTCATTCAAGATTATGATAAGCTCACGGCTCTTGCGGGACGTAATAGACGGCGATCAAGAAAGTTTGAAACGATAACGTAGGTTCAGACAAGGTGGTAGACTCTTGAACATCCACAATTAGAGGGCGCATCATCTGTCAGAATGCTATTGATACGATGTATCAAGAAGAGCGCTACGCATGCAACAGAATGCACCGCAGATCCGAAAGCCTATCCTGCCATCCTACCCTACCCATAACTCTAACCACTGCGTGTGCTCGTGTATCACAACCTCATCGCCTGCATCAGGCAAGCTCAGTTTCATCTGTGGATCCCTCCAACTTCTCCAACTTCTCCTATTAGACTTCGAATATGCACATGAACCTCACGGAGCGCCGTGACGGACCATCATCTGTCAACAAGGAAGCCCAAATGCATATCCGGCTGGAAGAAGGACGAAAGAAGTACCTTAAAGGAACAACGCTGCCTTCGGATTGCAGACACCATCTCCCCGCGGAGGCCATTACGAGCAGTGACCTCAATTGCCTACGATTGAACGGCACTACTTACTGACCTTCCAAATCAGACAGCCGTGGAGTGGATGGAACGATCATCGGGTTATAGATCGATAATCGAGGAAAATTTTTATTTACGTCCGCTGTCACCATACGTATGTCAGGTCTGCAATGGTTCGGATGTTCAAGCTCAAGTACTAGTACTCGCCGCTTATTGTAATTCTGTAGATCCATTCACGGTGTTTCCGTACGTTTGTGGCCATGCGTTGTTGCAGTGGCACAATTCTAAGCCCGAGTGATGGTCTTTCGCAATGCTTCGGATTAGAAAGCTTCAGAGTAAGGAGTACGTGTCTGCTTTCAAGGTCGCTGTGGATGCCTGGCAGAAAGGCATCTTGAATATACCATGAAACAAGTCATTTAAATTAGAGGAGTAACATTCAGATGTAAACACTGACAGATGTCAACTTCAAGTTGTTTTTCGGACTGGAGATCCGGTCGATTCGAGATCTATCTGGCACGTGGTTTGCACATGGTCAGATCTCCGCGCCGGCGGAAAGTCGGCGGAAGGTCAAGCTGCACAGCCGCTTCAAGGCTGAGCGTACTCTCGAAGCTTGGCTTTACTTCCTTGCTCCAGTTGCGGGGATCACTCTGCTTCGCCACTGCTCGGCGACCGAATCGATGCTTTCGGGAAAACCAGAAGCGTCAACAGTTGTCCAACATCCAGTCCGAGTTCAGGAAAGCAAGGTACTTCATTGCCTTCGGGCTTTTGCACTCGGCAGACCTCGAGAAAGGGTGGGAGTCGTTGATCGATGGACAATAGATGCGAAGTGAATGAGATGGGAAATAATTGCGGGGTGCATCGGGCGTCAGACCGTGGCGTCAAAGCCTGGATCCCTCATTTGCACTCGGCGCGGGATGCTGCACTCTTCCCTCTTGTGGATTATCCACCTGCTATTTTATTATCCGTTCTCATGCAACCATCACGGAACTGACCTCGCACAGCGTCGCCGATGACTCTAGCACGCCCACGAAACACGTAAGGTAGGGAGTGCATTCATGTCTGACGGGAAACGTGGTACCCAGCGCAGCACCACGCAATCGCACGAACCCAACATTCTTCGAACTTCTGTTCTGTTCCTGAGGCACATAGGGTCTCGGGCCTTATGCGAAAGGTCGGTCGAGGTCGAAGATTAGGTTGCCTCGGAATTCTATCTCCGAACGTCGGTCATTGGCATCTCACCATTGGGCGTACGCAATCGCAATTTCCGGCCCTTCTGACGCTCTGTTGTGAGTTTCCGTTTTCTGCAATTGTGGGCGCTATCTCGCCGCCGTCGGACGGCGGACGTCTGCCCAATGCAACCTTGTTGGGAAAACATAGCCCACCATAGTGTCTCTGACAGCCTGAGAGTCACGTAGTCTTGACTACCTTTCCACACATGATGGAGATCTCCGTATTTCCGCTGATTCTGGGCGGCCACGCGCGAGGGCCGAGAAGCTGACTAGTAATGAAATATTGTGGCTAAGCCCTAAAATGGCTGGTCGACATGGCATCGATGCTTCTCCGTCGGATGAGTTGTGTGGGTCGAGTGGCAATGGTCAGTCCAATTCCTTATATCCGACCGACTCATCCCATTGTCAGATGCACTGTGGCAGGCGTACACGTTGGTTGGAGATCACAGTCCAGATCTCCTGGTACGACTTTTAGTCTGCCGCCGGCCGGCATAGTCAATTCTATGCCTGTGAATACCCATTAAGTCCGTCGTCGACAACCCCTCATTGAACGTGGATTGCCTCCGGGAAAAAAACCGGCTGCCCTGCCATTCCCAATTGACGATGTTGCCTGTTTGAGTATGTACTTATCTGCCTTCGTGTGCACCGAACACGCGGCCTGGATCAGCATCGAAGTTGAACCTTCGATGTTCCACACGTCAATAAATTTCAGTTACTCCCGTGCCAGACCTCTTTCCCCCAACACCATCCCACTAGGATTCTCTCCCACTTGTGTAACCTCACGATCTCTACTATGGACCATGGGTTTTTTCAACTAGATATCGATAATTACAGTGCTCAATCCTTGACCCCGGACACTATGTGGAACGGGTATGTCGTCTGCTACTGTCCCTACACTGAGCGTGGTGTTGAGACTCGTTCATCCTTCACCTCGCCGTAGGTGCTATCTTCCCACTCCCGACACGCCTACTTCCGGCTCGCAGCTTGATCCCTCGCTCCTGCCACCAAGCCACCTACCCACATCCCAGGACGCGTCTGCCTCAGCTAATCATTGTCTTCCCTCCGAACACGGTGACTATCCTTTCTGCTCGTTTGAAGTTTCCCCTTCTAATCGATCATTATTCACAGGTGATATGCGGGATTGGACTAGCAATATGCACCCTGATCATCTTCTGCAACGATTGCGCGGGGTTCCGTGGGCACCGTTGAAGTTTTGGTTGGAGTTGCGGAAGGTGTGCGAGGATCGCATCGTGCGAGCCAGGGTATGCCTTTGTGCTACGTATTCTGTGACCCGCTGTTTACCATGTCTCACTACGCAGACTGGATGCTCCCCACAGGAAACTGGACCGGTGCCTCCCGATCTTGCTGACGAGTCCAACTCTACAACCTGCAGATGGGACAACTGCACGGTCAACCTGAACTCCACCGAGGTTCCAGTCATCAAGAAACACCTCCTGCAGTATCACTTCGGTGATAGAGCTGACTGGATTGTTGGAGAGCGTGGTTATTGTTTTTGGAAAGACTGCGACTATCGAAAGTCGATGAAATGCTCAAGCTTTGCAAAGCACATTGCTACCACTCACCTCAAAACCACATCGAGATTCTGCCAAAATTGTGGGAAGTTATTCACTCGCGGTGACTCCGAATCCAGACACCGCAAAAACGGAACGTGCCAGTGCGCATTGTTGTTCTCCATGTGTGGTATTCGCTGATACATCTCGCCTGACGCCGTACCACTTAGAGCTCATTCAAGGGGTTTTTCACAATGAAGCGTGTTTAGTTGCTTCAAAAGTCGCTTCTTGCACGACTCTTCGAGGCTGGGATCTCTTCGTTGTCTCAGCCAGCTGACCTATCCTTGGAATGCCTTTCGACCCCTTTTCGTAACGACTTCGGGGGCGCAACCTCTTAATTATTTCTACTTGACTTGTGCCATCCTCTATCCTCTTTCTGTACTATAGAATAACATCCTACCATTGTAGCGACCTTATGTACTTTACTCGGAAGCCCTCGCTGTTGACTGCCTACTGTCGTTGTTGCCCAAACTTCTACTTCCTTTGTCGCCATGACTTTAAGTTCATTTCTACCCTACAATCACTTAGCCTATGCTTCGCTTCCTAGTATCTCCATGTCTACTTAGCATCACGTTCTCGCTTAGTTAACTGCCAGTGTACCTTCGATTTCATATCGCACTTATAGCAATAGGTTACTTCGATGTGCATTTTCCGTCCACGCCATCTACTTATGACAGATCGCCTCGGCAAACATCCGGAAAATGTTTCGCTGCAGCCGAAGCGGGACCACTGTTCTGGTATGGCGGAAGGAGCATAGCAGAGATCGACAACGATCTTCCCGCGGAGCGCTGCCAGCGGTAGTAGCCGGATAATGAAATAGGCGCCTGCCGGGGCTATGTCTCAACGTCCGTGAGGAGTGCACATATATTACGGCCGCGGAGGTCAGAGTCATGCATCTTCGAAGTAATAACGGCTGCAACGTGTTCTACTTAGTCTCCTCGGTTTCCAGGACCCTGGCTGGCTGCAGATGGCAACGTACGGACTATGTAACCGCCCTGGAGACTGGCGAGCGCCCTAAAGGGCCCCGGTCGCGCTTAACTATCATCCGTTCGTCGAATAGCTGCTCGGGAGCCTTGCGTGCGGGTCTTCACGTCTCATTTCCAGCCACGAGGATGCTGTAGCATCGCAGCAATTTCGCGCATGGTGATTTCGATCAAAGTCTACTACAAGGTGAGCCAATTGAGGATGCATACAAGCCTCACGCTGTGCCAAGCGTGTGGTTCGTGTTACCCGGCCTCCGTTACTCGGTCTGCGGTGCTTTCTCCGCCTCTAGGGCGACTCTGAACATGGCGTAGGGCTTCGTCCGGAGATCCGTTCTGCGTTTAATGGGAAGGTCGGGTGAATCTGTGTTACGCAATGTTGTTTCAGAGATGGCACTAACCCGTTCTGATAGTCAGGGCTGAGCCACAGTCTGCAAGTTAACGATTGGTCAATGGAGGGAACGCATGCCTAACTGGGCACAAAGACGCGCACTGGTTTGAGGTGAAATATAGGTAATTTTCTCCACTCTGCAGAGTCACCACGGACAGCGTGTCAGGCCACTAGATGGCAATGACAAAAATCGCGTTCGTTGTTTTATACGTGCCGATGTACACGCACCTGGATGGCAGGGTTACGGACAAAAGGTTCCATGATGCCGGTGTTGTTGTTGAAGCGGTAGACGGCATTGTGTTCTGGAAATGGTAAAATCATGTCAGACGCACCCCGAGTCCTGCATCACACCTCCAAACGCTGACGTACCTGGGGCGCCGCTGTAGATGTACCCCGCTGCATCCGTTTCGAGCCCATCAGCATGGCTTCCCGCCTCTCCCATTTCTTGTACCGCCTGACGAGCAAGCAGCGCCGCATACGGGTTCTCCGAGGAAGGCTGTACCTTGAGATATGTTGTGGGGACTCTCCAAAAATGGCGATCTGCTAAAGGAGACACATAAAGATATTCACCATCTATCGGCAGAAGTGAGTAAATCTGTCTGACATTGATATCCTCATCCTCACCTGCTGACAATGCTATGCCATCTACAGCGAACTTCGCACGTCATGCACTTAGTTTAACCGCACAGACACTCAACAACGAACTCACAGCATTGAAATTGGTGACGGCGTTTGGCTGGATATCTGGATGGTCGTAAAGTGGAACTGCAGCCTTGTCAATATCTGGCAATAGGTAAGTCTGAGGTGATCGATCACACCTCCGTTGTAGACTGGAAGAAAATTAGGATCAACGATAACGGCGGCGTATCCGTCCAAGTGTCTCCAAGACTCGCCCGTCGCGAGGTCAATGACGACGATGCCAGGGCGCTGCGGTGAGCTGTCCGTGATATACGCATAACCCGTACCGCGCAAGTCGAAGCGTACGTCATTCAGGGAGGAGTCCGTATACACAATGTCGCTGGGAAACGTGTAGGTCACGAAGTTCGTGCCGTTGAGATGGAATCCGACAAGCTTTGGCCCGCCAGGGACAGTCGCCAGCAGGGTAGTCCCGTTCACTCGCGGTCTTCCAGTGTCCAACGCCCACACACGGTCCAGTCCATCAACGACGACGGACTGGACAAAGAGCAGCTTCGACGTCGCGATGCTGTACCCGGGGTTGGACGTGTTGACAAAGGACTCGGGCGTGTTCCATTCTTCGCTGTTGGCAGTTGTAGTGAGTGAGTATCCAGTACAGTAATGACAATGCACTCACTTGGGCCACGCGACTTCGGTCGTTGGACTGTTCAGAAGAGCTAATGTGTATGTCTCATTTCCACGAGGGAAGCAGGTGAATACTGATCCATCACTTGCTGCGCCGACTCCCTTACCGGTTAACGAGAGGTGAGTATTTGCCCAGCAAAGAGGAAGACATAACCGACCGTTGGCCAGTAATTGTAATAGGCATGAATGAGCTCGATCTGAGGCCCATAGTACCCTGTGTCATAGTGCACAGATACATTAACAAGAGCGGGATCGGTGGCGATCCCATAAGGTCTGGGTCCCTCAAAGTTCGCTAGTGTCGCATTTGGATCCGGAGTTCCAGGAGGTGGGTACTCGGGAAACTTCATTGGTTATATGTGAATATCAGTTACTGATAAGAACATATAGACCTAAGCCTCACGTCGAAGGGGCTCGAGTGTGACTGTGCAACCACTGCGGCGAACCACAGGGCGAGGACAGAGACCGTGGAGAACATCTCAGAGCCACAGCGAGCCTCCGTACGTTCAAGGAGATCTTTTATACTATGTCGTACGTCTTTCATCGCCAGAATCTCATTCCAGATACGCATGTTGACGGAAATTTGCATCCCAGATGCAATTCCGGCCAGGGCCACGCTCCGTGCTAAATGCGCCGACTCATCACGAGGACATCTGCAGAGTGCGCGACGCTGATTAATAGAGGATCTAAAATGCCCCCAATAATATTGACCAACATCGTCAGCCCAGCGACGGACGCATAAGAATATCTCACTGTCATCTGCCTTGTCCACATGTCCCTCAATTTCGGGCAGCCCACGTTCATGACACCGTCTTAGAAGACAAGGCGCTGATGGGGAATTCAGTAAACTGCTACCGAGAGTCAGGAGGAGTGCCGCCTCCAGAAATAAATATCGGTGAGCGCTATACACCTCACCCGCACTACTGACGTTGAATAGGTGGAAGCATTTTCTTGAGAAGTTGCCTTAAAGGGAACCCCGACGATCGGGGTGGCGACCCTCGCGCCAACCTGAATTCATTGCAGAATGTCACAAAAGTACAGAGCGAGGTACATACGACATGTCAAGAGTTCCCGAACTCGAAAGACAACACTTCACACAGCGGAAAACGAATTCCAGAAGAGCGACGGACAGAGCGAAGAGGGATGTAGACGGTAACGATCAACATAGCGGGGAGCGGGGAGCGAATGGACTAAGCGAGACTGACAAACATGCGAAAGCGAATCAACATCATGGGCAACGAGGCGTTACGGAAGGAAAAGAAGAGAAGGAGAATACAGTCCTTGAGCTTGATGGTGCGAGACATTGGATATGTTGGTCTCGGCGCTCCTAAGTTGTCCCGTCTAACACAATCCGGAGAGCCGCTGCGCCAACGCATGAATGAGGTCGGCCTCAACACCGAACTCCTTGGCAAGATCGTTGTATGTCCTTCGATCAGTGTTCAAATCAGGGCTGTTGTACCCTTCATGGGACTGGGGCGCGACGCTCTGGGGAGAGGAGGGGGTGTGCAGGGCCGTGTGCATGCCCGGCGGAGAGGACATGGACTGGGGAAGCGACGCTTCGAGAATGTCGGAAAGCTTGCTCATCTGATCAGACGTAAAAGCTAGATATGAATCAGTATACGAAAGACCTCATTCAAATAATCAAGTCAGGCGACTGTACGAACCTTGACAATCCATAGCAGCGCGGACGAGTTCTCCCATGAGTGTTGTCCAGTCAGACAGCGGGTTTTCTTCAATCCGAACTAACAGAACTTGGACAGCGGCTAAGGAGTTAAGGTAAGTGAAAAACGTATGGAAGCTGGATGCAAGAAACGAACCATAAGTTATTTCTAACAGTTACAGTAAATCAGCATCAGCGTCTTCAAACCAGACAAGTGCAGGGCGACACCGACCATACAACGTATCTCTAAGCGTGCTGGACCAGAAAACTCGACTGTCGTCGTCCGAAGGAAATTTGGAAAGAATGCTAGTGAGGGAGTGGAAGGGAAGGGAGGGCACCTTCAGGAAATGGCTCTGCGTAACATAACCATGTGGTCAGGATCAGATAATAAGGAACTCCAACGTGAGACATACATCCGGGGAACGAATGAGATGCAAGAGAGCATTAAGCTCCCCCTCCGAGAACAATCCGCGCTGCAGAGTGGAGATGACACGTTCGTTGTCCAACCCAGAGAGCGAAGGGCGCGAGCCATCAAAGTTACCTTGCCAAGCAGGGAAGAGCTACCACGGCACCAGTGTCAGTGACTAACCAAATACTGTACTGCAGTAACAACTCACTGCTTGCATGAGTTCTTCCTGGCTGCTGCGCGTGACCGTCACTCCGCGGGCGCGCTTGCCCTTGCCGAGCACAGAGTTCTGTGCTGTTCTAAGGGCTGCCTGTGCCACCTCTGCATTAGCCATCTCAGCATATGCGTGGCTCATCGTCTTGCCCTTCCGATCAAGAAGGACGTGGACGCGCACGACGGGCTGATTGAGCCAAGCTGCGATGGCGGGAGGCGTGATGTCCTTGTCGGAGATATAAGACATGAGTGAGACAGATACTTCTTACCTGAAGACATGACTCACCCATGGAACATTGTCAATACGTAACACCACGGGCTCCTCCGACTTGATCTCGCGACGGCCTGCGACAGGCGTCGAAGCACCTTGAGCGCGGTCCATGAAATCGTCAAAGCCGCAAAAAGCGGGAGTATCGACCACCATGTCTACCTCTGACGCGCCAGCGAAAGCGTCCATACCACGTGCGAAGTCGTCGTGGTCGATATATGCATCGCTCTCCAGGGTCTTCGCCACAGTAGACTTGCCACTGGTGGACCTACACAACTTGAAGTCATCCACCTTCGCCTTACACACCGCACACTCCATGTCTTTCTCGCCGACGATGTTGAGTGCGCTTGTGAGACACGCAGAGCACAACGGATGCGCGCATGGTTCCAAGATCGCGAGAGACTTTCCGGAGAGCCCACATACGGAGCATGCAGAGACGACATCAGTGGCTGATTCCTGAGGAGGTTTCCTGGTTTCATAAAACTGTATAGGCTCGACGTTCGCAGGAATGCTGGCATGAAGACCGAACGGATCGGTGAGCGCAAGAGGGATTGCTTGAGTAGAAACTGAAGAAGAAAAAGTGGGAGGGTAGGGCGCGTATTCGTCTTCGTCGATGTTAAACAGTTCCGAAGTCTGAGAATCATGGTTACGACTCCGCATATACTCTGGAATACGTGACGCACCTGGTCAAAAGGAGGTCGGCGACGTGTATGAGCCGGGTCTGTCAAGCTACCACGGAGTCTAAAACTTGGTTGAGAGGGAGGAGTGTTGAGTATGCCAGGGGGACGCAAGACACGGTTGGGAGTGCAAAACTGGGTGGGGTCCGGAATTTGGGAAAGAGGGGCCTGTGCCTGAGAATAAGCGCGTTCGCGGCGCTGCGTGGAGAAGAAAGGAGCGGGGAGAAGAGCTATGTGTTGCTGGTTAGCGCATACATCCAGAGGAAGGAAAGAATCTCACATTTATCGATTAACGAGTTGTTCACGTCCGATAGACTAGAGGAGTCAGCTGAAGTGGAGATGGTCAGCAACGAAATAGATGGTCTGATCGTATGCAAGAATGAGATATTCGCCAAACACGCGTTAATGTATCCCAGAAATATGTGAATCCAGCGCCGCAGTGGGACGGCCATGTGACCATCTGATACAGATATGACGATATCCACATCACATGGGACTCAAAAGCTTGCGACATGATTTTTCCATCCAAGACAAGAGAATTGCAGATGATGTTGTTGTCCAAAACACGTACACACCTTCGTATTGAGAATCATCACTAGAAGTAACTTTTATACCATTTTCGTTTGCGCGCGTTCTCCAATTTTCTGCAATATCTGCAAGGCTCTTGTGGTTGAGGTTGATCTCAGGGGACAGAGAGAGGCTCATGCGCCTGCGACTGATCGCTGACGCAGGGGTAGCAAGAGACGAGGCATTCGAAGATGAGAAAGATCGGAGACTGAGCGGGGTATAAGGCGTCGAGACCGTCGACAGCGACGGGGCGGGCGTATACGGCGAGTTGAACTGGCGTAGCTGAGGGTGAACAACGCGCTGCGGAGTGACGGGGTGTCGGTCTGACTTGGAGCGGGTGACTGCTGGGGAGGTGGGCGCAGAAGCGGGTATCAAAGAGTGTCTGGTCATCGCTATCGTCGTAGTCGTAGTCGTCGCCGCCGTCGTCGTTGCTGAGGAGAGGCCGGGAGCGAACTTGGAGAGGGGATGATGGTGGTCGCCGTTAACACACGTGGGAAAGTAACGCGTCGCGACACGATCACATGGTAGCTTTTATGGTTCAACTGCTGAAGTAATCAAGCTCAATTGTACATTTGGAGATTCTCCGCACAACATAAGGAGATATCCGAAGCGCCTCCGTCGAGGACCCCCGACAATTGGTGAATAGGCCTGATCTGGAGAGGGCAAAAATGTCCGTTGGGAAAAGGCCGTTTCGGGCCCAAAATGTCCGTGAAAAATTAGGCCTCACCACATTTTTTGCCTCCGCGGTCCACGTTTCTCTTCAGGTTTTAACCCTAAAAAGGGAATTTTGGGCGCTTCTGAGCCGGCGGCTATGCCGCCTCGGCCCTGCCCGCTCTCCCTCGCCGGCCTTCCACAAGCGTTTGTCCGGCCTCGAATCAGGCCGCTGCCTCCCCGATGTCCGCGAAATGGCTCAGGCTATCCGGCGGTCAACCCCCCTGATTTGTCCGTGAATACCAGGCATGAGGCTCTCGAAAGTTCAAAATTTGTCCGTAACTGGCTCAGGGACCTTCCCCAATTGTCGGGGGTCCTCTCCGTCGTCAGTGCACAGTTTACATCGCTAAGATACTCATGATGTACGATCTTTCCACCCCCCATCCTCGGCGCCATACTAGACGGATCCAAGAATCTACTACCATACGTAACATACCATCAGTGCAATTGGAAGACCATTAATATTACATCTGCCCTAATTACTGTTGTACACGCGTGAGATCTTGCAACGTGATGCTCTGCGCCTTCATCTGTTCCTCGCACAAATGCCGTAGGTTTGTTCCCACTGGTGAGACATCGTTCGCCTACATCATGCAGTTAGCCAATGCAGAATATCACAGTCAGCCTCTTAATACTTAGTCCAGCATACCTCCACTGGCTGGAAGTTGGACCTTCGGGTCCAAGGAACGAAGTATGCTCCGGTGCGGTGATGCTGAAGCCTTCTGTGTAAATGCACCCAATTTGATGGGATATTTGTTGAGAAAATGTTACATGCACACGAGGACTAGGTGAGAACAATCTGAACGAACATAGCTGATTGATCGCACCATTGGTGACAAAAATATGTGCCTTTGGTGACGAAGTGACTCAGTTTGTATGTTGCCAGTGTTCAACTTGAAAGACTTGAAGGCTATACCTCGTCGGTGATCGTCGGCGACATACTGGAATGGATGCAAGCGAAATGAATAAGCCGAATCGGCGTAACCGCGCGCAACTTCATAAGAGAACATGAAGTCCGCCGGTGCGGACAACAGAACCACCCGCAAGATCGTCGAACCCGATACCTCCGTGCGAAAGGAAGGCCATAGAAATGAACTCTGCGCGGGTAAGAGGCAACTTACAGACGGAACGCCATATATTCCGGACGAACCCACATTCATCACACAGGCCGCCGTCGGAAATCTCTCGCGGTTGCTGCGGTCAAGAAGGAACACAACGGCATTTTATTGTCATATTGGGATTATAACGGTACATCATCGCTTTGCTCAGCTTTCATAACCTCGTACAGGCCGTGTTGATCACCAAGCCCATATGTCAACGTCATTCGCTGGAAAATTGAAGGTTCATCGGGTGGGTCCAATTCCAGCTGAGAATTGTAAAAAATCAAGAACAAAATATCATCCCTTGAATAGCGAGCATACCAGAGATATCACATCATCTAGGAGGTGTGCTTGACCAACTGTCATACCCGCCAAACCCTGGTAGTTCGCATTGACGATGTGCACGTGAAAGCGATCTGACCGCTACAATCAGCGATGCTACACACAACAAAGATAGATGGCTTACAGTATGACGGTTGATAGTGAACAAACATCCGCAACGAGCCTTGTCGTAGCCCCCACCGTTCTTTCACCACTCTCGCTGCTTCTCTCCGTATACTTCGAAGCATATCAAGATGGTGCTTATTCAAATCTCTGAGACTATGAATATCCCTTGACACTGATATTGCGACAAGGTAAAGGGAGGATAGAGTGGTCAGATCCCACTTCATGTCCGGAAGCAAAACATATCCAAGGTCAGAGGAATGCTCTCGATACAAGACCTTATGTGCTTCGGAGCGACCACCTAGAATATCCTCAACCCTGGAACAGAGGAAAGGTAAACTGGGAGTCTTCTATTGTCAGATGGGACGATGCCTACCACTTGGTGCGCGAGCTGGGAAACGCAGCGATATAAGGCTTCACTATCCGCTGGTACTGATCTGGGGTCTCATGCACGATGAGCACATCCTGTGCTGAGTACTAGATGATACTTGAATTCATAGATGGGACGAGAACTTCAGGACTCGAACCTTGCGAATATGGACTTCGGTGGCAGGGAATGTGATGTTGACCTTCACATCTGGTCTCTCTGGGGAAACAGAGAGCCAAGCAAAGAGCCAGGTGTACTAGCGCTGCGTATTTAGTAAGCTCGCCTTGACGATCTGATGTACATTCTAAGCGTACGATATCTGTGCTCTCGATAAGCCGTGCGCTGCTCAACACATCCGACAGTAGTTCGCTCGCAAGCTCCGCACGAAGAGGTGTTTTCTCGATCCGCACAATGGCTGGTGCACGCTCTCCGGTTCCTTCGCCGTTTTGGGGGAAAGTACCGAGGAGTGTGAGGGCATGGGTGAGAGGATCTGAAGAATGTTCACCACTGATTTGCGTACGAGTAAGGTAGGTTGGTCATTGACCTTCATTCAAGATACGCTCATGACGAAAATATCGAAGGGAGGTCAAATCTGTAGGTCGTGATATCATTGTACAAGATGATAGTGTGCTACAGGGCGTGATCGATTTGAGATCAGCGGCCACTCAGATTGGAATCTTGAGGCGCGCGCTCTACGTGGGATCGGTGGTCGGAAAGAAAGATGACGGCCCTTTGATTTGTGCCATCCCATCGTCTAAACGTCCAGCGATTTCGTAGTACTACACCGACGACGGGAGCCGACTAGAATATGTTCGGCAGTATAGCGCTATTCCATTTTCTCGTTCTGCTGATAGTATGGGAAACCCCAGCATTTCTCTACGCATCACCCATTGGATCATTTCAACGTAAGCTGCCTGCATACGCCACATTATTCTGACGAGACAGCAGCATCTGTAACGCAGAAGTCCAGCTTTTCAGTCGTCTTGACCACTACCCAACAAAACCTCGTATAAGGTTCAGAAAAGATGGAACGTTCAAAGTAACTGTCTTCTCAGATCTTCACTTTGGCGAGAATCCCTGGGACTCGTGGGGTCCCGAACAAGATATTCGTAGTACTTCGCTGATGCAGCGAGTGCTGACAGACGAGAGACCTGACTACGTGTTAGCACACGCTCGTTGACGCTGCAAGTTGTCATTGGCTCATCGTCTACTCAATTGTGTCAGTGTCTTGAACGGCGACCTGATTACCGGAGAAAGTGAGCTGTTCCAAATCTAACAGCTAGCGCTCTCACACACGATTTCCAGATACATTTCGGGAGAATTCAACAACCCTTATAGACCAGATTGTTGCTCCCCTCAACGAGTTCATGATTCCGTTCTCCTCCACGTATGGAGTGCGTGCTTGCATATTCTGTATGACCTTCAGACCTGACTGTTACTCACCTGATCATAGAACCATGACAACGAGCCCAATATCACACACCGCGAAGAGATTTTGCGCGAGGAGCAAGTAGCACCTCTCAGTTATACCCGTCTAGCACCGCCAGGTGTAGGCGGCCCAAATGGTCCAGGAAACTACTGGGTTCCTGTATGTATCGGAGATTACCAAACCTGTTTCCCTTTGAAGCTCTGCGAACCGTTTGCTGATAAGCTATATCTGTGGTATCTGAGATGCTTACTTCTACTGAAAGGTGTATAGACACTCCTCCGGTGAGTAGACCTTAGATGTCATCACCCTGTTCTGACATCTTCACTTTAGATTCTTTTCCAGTCTTGATTCTCTGGTTTTTCGATTCACGCGGTGAATAAGGAATTCATCTTGATGGTTCAATGTTTGTAAACCGATTCATCAGGCGGTTATACTGCTGAAGCGGATTTGATCGCGGTTCCTGACTGGGTGGATGTGAGCGTAGCGAGGTGGATTCAACAGGAGACTGCCCTCATGGACGCTGCTTGGGGGCCTGCAGAGATGACAAGAGGGGCTCTTACTTTCGTACATATACCTCCGTACGTACCGTCTTTTCGATCCAGGTGCGGATCTTTATTCAATTTCTGCAGGCACGCGATCCAGCGCTTACAGTCCACTCTCAATAGCACTCGACAACCTGGTCTTAATGGTTAGTACGTTCGCATCTTCCAACGATGATTCGTGGCTGAAGTATCCTGTTACCTTTTGAACGATTGCACAACACCACTCCATGACGCACAAGAGGACAAGCTGGGCTCCGGATCCGTACAAGATAGCATAAATCCGTCTGCGGACGTACGAGACAAGCCTTTCTGGGATGCACTCACTCAACATGTCAAGAACGTGCACGCAGTGATATCTGGTCATGGTAAATCACACGGTGTTCTCAGTACACTACGACGTCGGTGATGCATGTTCTGCGACAGACCATGGCAATGAATGGTGCGCGCGCGAACCTACGAAGAATGTCATATTCTGCTTCAATAAGCACTCCGGGTGTGTGCTTGTCAGACCAGATTATCTCACCGGCACTGACTTCATGGATCCAGATATGGGGGATACAGCAACTCAGGTTGGGGTCACGGCGTGCGGAATATCGTGTTCACGTCTCACAATCCCAAAGGCGCGGTGGATACCTGGATCAGGCTAGAGTTCGGGGAGGTCAGAGCGAAGGTAACACTGGATGCGAACTACAACTAAAGGCTGAAGTGCATGACCGCACGTACAACTCGAACGTTTCAGAACTTTGAGCTTTATGCGTTTTCGGTCGAATGTTAGATCCACCTGGAAAAACTATCACTCAACAAGATCGGTACAAATACGAATCATCTGTTCAACGACATATAAGCCTGCGCAGCTTCCTTATTTACATGCTTGCTCCTCCGCGACTGCTTCAGCGTACCAGGGCGCTCCATCGCCAATTTCAAGCTACGGATAGTCTGCACTATCTCACCTGAATCATCCGCGTTAGTGACCAAAATGATCGCTGTCCTAGGTACAACACTCACTGGCCGTCTGGGGGTTCTCGGTCTCGAATTCGTAGCGCTTGTTGCGATCCGCCTCGCGCTGCACGACCAGTTTGAATGACGAGCTGTTGTTGCTTGATTGCTGGCAAGCAACAACGCTCTTAAGAGGATATGACGCGGTCTTGCCACTCTCGAATACGTGCTTGGCCTTGTTCGATAAGGGCATGATCTAAGAAAATATCAGTAATCACTATGCGGTCGGTCGATGTAGTATCAGTGTCAGTGTACGTGGATGTAACCACCGTCGATGGCGAGTAGACGAGCACTACGTGTCACTAGCATAGGCACTTTGCGATAGACAGTGTATTTCTGCAAAATGTTGAGTCATGAAGGTCACGCATACGCGAACGTCTGTTAACTCACCCTGTATGCGTTTGTGTAATCGAACAGCGAACTGAATGGTTGTTCAGGAACCTCAGAGTTGCGCTTCAATATCGAGGCTTAAAGAGGCACGTTAGTCTACACCCAAAATGCATGCAGGCAAAACTCGCCATTGGGATCGGTAGTTCGATCCGTTCCCTGGCCCATCTCCACCCCGATCGATGGCAACATACCCTTCTTCATCAGAATCAAGTCCCGCTTGCCTTGCAGGCTCCTGACTGTGCGGTCGAGAGGGATGTATACCTTTGTGGTGCCGAGGTCGAGAATGAGCGCGTAGTCCTTCGAATCACTCAACTTGCGCCTTTGGCACACGCCCTCGAGGACTTCGGCCATGTACATGCCGCCCGATCTGAGATATAGCAAAATAGTTTATCGTTAGCACAATATTCTCTTCGCTTCCCTCATAGACACTTACGCTTGGATGGTTGTCGAGACGTGGCCTGCATCAGCCGTATCAGCGATTCTGCACCTCAGGTAGATCGGAGGTCCTTGACTAGTCGACGGTCCAAGCGAACTCGGGAACATCCCCAAAGAGGAGCCCAGAGAACTCAATCCGGCACTGGTCCCTATCAGAGAGTCCGTCGGAGGAGCAAGCGTGGATGTGAGATTCAGCAATCCCGCGGATTTCTTCTTCTTGATCACTACGCGGGAGGCGCGACGTTGAATCTTTGATTCCAGGATCTTGTTTTGTTGCACTGAATCGCAGCACACGCACAGCGTGAATGATGCGATGGACGAGAATATAAGAAGACTCACCTTGAGCCGGAGTAGCTTCCAGAACGGCGTATGCATCGAAGTTGAATTTGGAAATCTTGCCGGTACGATCAGGCGCTGAAATATGGAGAGTCAATGCTGGAGAGTCTGCGATGTCAACAAACATACGAGGAAAATCCTCGTCTACCTCTCCGTCCTCCTCAGCAATTCGAAAGATCCAGCCTATGGCGGAACACTTAGTCACCCACTTTGGGTCCTCTTCCCCATCAAGACCTTCATCGAGCTCGGGAAGCCACCCTTCTTCCCAGTAACTCCACAGTGCAAACCCAAGGACCTCCTCCACGGTTGCATCCTTCCTGACTTTCAGGTCAAGAATCCGTCCAGCGGGCTCACGTGAATGGGGGAAGTATACATGCACAGTCATGCTCTCTGACTCGGACCTTCCGGAAATAGCGCTGTAAAGCTCAGAGAAGGGATTCGAGGACGAAGACGTCGACGAGGCAGCCATCATTGCCGTCAATGCAGACTTTCCAGGGGCCGCCGGTGGAACTGGCCGACGGGCAAACAGTGCAGAGGAAGGAGGGCTCGACGAGTCGGGGAACATAGACGAATGCTTGGCAGGATTTGTGACCACACCTGCACGGCCACGGTTGGTAATCTTCGGCGCTGGAGTAACCATCTCGAAGCCTGAAAGCGGGGCTGTTTCTTCAGGACGATCAGGTAGCTTTTCCTCGCGTGTCCGCCCCTCCGAAACAGGACTCAATTGATCATGAATGCGGGCATTGTTGCTGGGTTGCAATGATGAATCAGCGAGGGAAGAGTTGGAATCGGAAATGACGGAAGCGGACGACATAGAAAGGTCGTCCGACACGCTGTCAGAAATGATACCACCAAGACCGCTAGGGCCATGACTTGTAGCAAAGTCGCTGCAAACAGCCAACAATTAATCAAGTACAATTGAGTATAGGACTTATCACACACGGATCGAATTCGTCTCCATCTATGTCCATACTGTCGTCGGCGTCGGCTGCAAGGTCGAAGTCTTCCTCATCAATGATGTCATCTTCCCCATCTGACGACGATGACTCTGACGAGGATAGCTCCGGGTCAAGGTACCCGGAAGCAGCGAGAGGTTTAGTGCCAACAACTCCAGGGGACGCACGAGCGAGCATGCGCAATTTCCGTCTCGCCTCCATTTCTGCAGCGCCTTTGAATCTCGGAATGAATTGAGGCGAAGGTGCTGGCTCTTGCGTGAGATCCTCCGATGCAACAGCATGATTGCCTACAGGAGTCGTCCCATCCCCTGAACTGGTATGTACGGGGAGGTCCAGGGCATCAAGCTTCATAGGCGATGCAGACGGAGCGACCGGTACTACGTCGGCATCTTGTTCTTCTGGCTGGGGCTCCATCACGGCACCTTCGGAACGTACTGAGTATTTGAACGAAGCCCTAGAGGATGAAGCACGTTTTCCCGAGACACGAAGACCCATTGTCCCAACACGGGAGGGGCCCATGATAGTAGTGGTGTACTTGAGTCCTGTCGCCCCCAGGTGACGATTGGGGCGATTCGCAACGCCCGATTCGTCGTCGCTGGGGGTGGGACTCGAGGGCATGGCGAGCTCTGGCCATCGCTCGACATCCGCGAGGCCGGACGTGACGATGTATTGATTGGAATGGTAAGAGGGATCGAGAGAGATGATTCTGGGGCCGTACGGGTCGTCAACGTTGCGGAGGTAGTTCAGACGTAAACTATGGATGAGAAAACTGTGCACACATGAGATGACGGACGAAAGGGAAGACTTGAAAGTGAACGTACTCGGGATCGCTGATGAGAGACATGTTTGGCTACTACCACGCCGGCTTGCTCTCAGCGTTAGACTCGGCGGATATCTAGTGAGGTGCAGTTAGGCGGGCGAGTCGTGTTGGTGTCGCGTATCCGCAACGGCGTAAACGATACCGGCATAGACTATGTAGGCGGTGCTAGCAGATGCGACGGTGGCGACGAGTGAGCCTCGTATACCCTGCCTCGCAAGACTCGAAGGCGCAAGATGAAGTACAGGGCCGTAGTGTTCTCCTAGCGCCGGAGCCGGCCCGGCTGATTCTCCAATCTCTGATAACTTAAAAACTCTGTGAGTCTCTGTCTCTGTCTTCAGCTTCCCGTATAACTTCACAATGGCATCAGCGTAAGTAACAAGCACACTGGATCATCCTCACTCGACGTTTAACATCTCGCAGGGGAGTACCCAAAACATCTTGGGCAGACGATGTTGACGAGTCGGGTATGTTCTCATTTTTCTGCCATCTGAGTCAGCGCTGACGCCCGACATCTCAGAGCAACCTGCCAAGGTCGAAGACTACGTCGACGAGAATGGGATAAGAACTACGGTGGAGTATGCGATTAACGATGAGGGTAAGAAAGTCAAAGTACGGTCGATTATGCCTTGCACACCATTAGTCGCAACTCACGCGCTAGTTGGCGACGTTCGCAGATCACGCGTAAAATCAAGCGAACCTTGCAGAAATCACTAGTTGAACATAGCGTGGCGGAGCGGCAGAATTGGGCCAAGTTCGGTCAGGAAAGGGGCAATAAACCAGGTCCTGATCGCGCGACGACTACCGTTGGAGAAAATGTCAGCCTGAAAATCAGTGCGGGCAACAAGGTACGCATTCGCCTCTCAGGTGCACTTGCGTGCGCTCGAAGTTCATTCGTATCTCTGGGTGATAGTCGTCAGAGCCAGAACCATCACCTGAACAAACGCTGAAGACCAATCTTGCAAGAGCTGGCGCTGGCAAAGTCGTCTGTCGGCTATGCAAGGGGGAACACTTCACTGCAAAATGCCCTTACAAAGACTCTTTGCCCGGTCTAGACGGAGCAGGTGCGCTTGGATTGATTCGTGTATTCGCGAAGCCGACCTTTTTCTTCGTAGAGACTCCTCCGTTCGGGGGGGACGATGCGCCGGCGGAAACGTCCGCCGCGCCTGCTGCTACTACTGGTGGGAAGTACGTACCACCGTCTATGCGTCCCGGTGGTCGTGGCGCGGGCGAGTCAATGTCGCGACCCGGAGGCTCGCGCGATGATTTGCCTACCCTTCGCATCACAAACATCTCCGAGGACACCCAGGAGAACGACTTGCGCGATCTTTTTGGCACCTTCGGTCGTGTTGCTCGTGTATATGTTGGTCGTGATCGTGAAACGGGCGCAGGCAAAGGCTTCGCATTCGTCAGCTTTGAGGAGCGGGCCAATGCACAGAAGGCGATGGAGAAGATGCATGGGCGAGGATATGACAATCTCATCTTGAATATTCAGTGGTCACGTAAGTCGCTATGCCTCTTTCTGCTCAGCAAGCGAAGATACTAAACTTGGTTTAAGAACCGAGGGAGCAACGCTGATGTGTCGACCGTCTTCTCCGCATGTGAATGCCTTGTGGTTATCTCAACGATTGTAATGTACTGCGAAGTTCAACGTCCATCTCTCAAGTATCGGTCTGCGTCCCAGTCATGTGATTCCTAAGGGCAAATACCTTCTGAGACGTCTCCATTTGTCCTGTCTACCAAGTATCTGTCGCGATGTTGACGCTCGCCGACATGTTAGTGATATGGGGACACGTCCCTTCAATAGCTTCAATATTACGACTCTGTGGTATACAGAAGACTCTGGGCCGCTGCCTCACGTATTGATCACATTCTAAATCAGATTGTCTTGCCCTTGATTCAGCAGGTCACTGTCTGCGCCTTCGGGCAGCCGCAAATCATACGTTCTGGTCAAGTACACTATTTTCACTTTTAACGCTGCCGTTTCAAGTATGTCGTTGATTTCATCTAGGTCTGACCAGTCCGACAAGCGATTTCGAAGCTGACCGACAGTAAAAAGTCAGTCAGCCCCGAGTGAGCCTTTCAGTGCAGTACTCTGCGCATTATCTTAAAGCATAGTCCTCTCTCATCCAGTTTTCTGCCTTTCGTGCTTTCGTGCTTTCGTGCTTTTGTGCTTTCGGTTCGTTTCACGTTAATCGCTGTCGTTCCTAAGCGGTAAAGCTCCCCAGGCCGGTAGTGGAACCTATCTCGTATCGAAGATCATCGGAAGGTACATTCTACTGCCCTGCCTCATATTCTCACTCTGAGCAGATTGTAACCTCTGTATCTTTCGTGTTTCAGATCAAATGGCCATCCTGAAACTGACCTCTGTGTCCCTCCCGCTTCTCTCCGGCAAGTCTAAGGCGGCTCATCAGACGCCTTCGCATTCGCGTCGACCAGTCGACAGTTCATGGAAGATCCCTCTGTCTCGTGTCTTCCCAAATATTGCGAGTATGACTTCCAACACTCCTACCCCACACTCGCCGGTGCACTCTGATATACAAGAGCGATCTTTGTCTGCGGATTTCGACATCTCTTACTTCTATGGTACCGCACCATCCCTTCGCTCGAGCCCTCAGAGTCTTCAGGCACTGACCATCGCGATGGCCGCCCCCATACCTTTCATTCCCCTCTCATTCGCTCGGTATCGCCGTGATATTCGCCGACGAAACGAGGACTTCGAGGCAGCGGACGAAACTGTTCCATTCGCGGTTCGGACACAGAACCTAATCCCTCTGCGAGATGCGCTCGCCAGGGACGATATCAGAAGGAGACTAGAGGGGTTTGAATTGGCCGAAGAAAAGCGATCGACGCGCAGGGACGGAATGTACCTGGGAAGCAGTCCCTGGGCTTCGTGCAGCATGCCGAATATCACCTCTGAGGAAGACATGCAGATCGCAGAGACCGGTATGCGACTGTCTACCGCCTCTACAGTCCCTTCAGTATACTCTACGGCGAGTTGGCTAGGTGTGGATGTGGACGACGTCGACGGCTTGGAGATCCACTCCATTAGCGTCCTGTTTGATGCCGATCTGAGCCCCGAAAACTCGTTAGTCGACGACGCCTCCGGTAGGATCCGGCGACTATGCGACGTCACAGATCTCTCCACAAGTTCTTTCGACGAGGAGAGTTTCCTCCGTATGGCTTCCTCTCTAGGATGGTAACTTCTGGGTAGTTTGATCTGGGATACCGTTGGACCTTGTATGCACTCTCTGCGCTCGAACACGGCTGTCTCTGTTAGCCTTCCATTCGCTGGACTCTCTGTGCTGGCTTTCAACTCTGATATACCGTAGAATTCTGCTTGCTATGTGACCTGTTGGAAATTATACATGCTACCTTCTACAGTTTCTCAACGTCGTCTACAGATTTTCAGAAAGTCTCTGCGTCTCTCGGAGGTGAGCACAACTTATCCGTGCGACGCTGGGCATATCCGCTGCGACCATCCGGGCAGTGCCCGCGCTGACATGATTTGCATCCGACATGACCCCACTGCGGATCGTCGGATATGGTAGCTCGACATGTTTCCGACCCGTCGCATTTCCAGAGATACTTCAGCCTGCCTTCCTAAGTCACCGGCACCCATCCACTGTTCACCATCGTTCTGTCCTCATGGTGATGCTATACAGCTCCGCCATTCCCAACCTCGTCGGCCATAGCATTGACGGAGGTCGTCTCAGGTTCACAGATATGATTGGTTCGGGGTCCAATGGAATCATTTTCCTCGCGATCGACACTACATCCCATGTGGCAAATCGCACCAAGTATGCCGTCAAGTGTCTCGTGAAGGGGCAAAAAGGCACTCGTCAGTACGAGCTGCAGAAGCAAGAAATATTTTATCACAAACTTGTTTCGTATCATCCGAACGTCGTTACTTTGCACCATGTGGTAGAGGACAACTTCTACTTCTTCCTTGTTCTGGATTATTGCCGCGGTGGCGATCTTTTCTCGCTTCTTTCGCAACCTACGGCGCTTCGCGGCAACAGCATCCTAGTCAAGAGGATATATTTACAGATTCTCGACGCCGTTGAAGCATGTCACGCAGTAGGCATTTTTCACAGGGATATCAAGCCGGAGAACATCCTCTGCAACGAGGATGGTTCCCGAGTTTATCTGAGTGATTTTGGGTTGGCCACTCGGAAGACTCATAGTATGTCGTTTGGCGCGGGAAGCGTCTACTACATGAGCCCAGGTACCGCCCCCGTCTAGTAAATCTTGAAGACAGTCTCACCTGCTGACAGAATGCATTGGGGAGGACGTCGGCCGTGAAGGATACTCCACACGTGCAAACGACGTCTGGGCACTTGGCGTCATTCTAACCAGCATGATATCTGGACATAATCCTTGGCGGAAGGCAAGTTACACCGACGAATGCTACAAGAGCTTCCAGCGTAATCCAGACTTCCTCCGCGATATGCTCCCCATTTCCGCTGGTGCCAATGCTATTCTCCAGCGTACCTTCAAGCACGATCCCTCGCGTAGAGTCTGCATTCCTCGTTTGCGCGCCATGATCATTCAACTCGACACCTTCTTCCTACTGGCCGACGAGATTGCCGTGTCCAATCGTTATGTCAAAAAAGTTGCAAAGGAGTTTCTTAACAATGGCGTCGAAGAGGTGATGTACGACGGGAGCAGCGGTGACCAGGACTGTCATTTGAAGAGCTGTCGAGAAGAGGTTGCATTTTCACCCACGGCGATTGACCGCATTAACTCACTTGAGACTGTCTCTCTGGGGGAGTCTTCCTGTAGCGATCGCGACGAAATCCGCTGCATTCCTCGTTCGTGTCCGACCAACACTATCACTTTTTCTTGGGAGGAACCGTCGGACGAGAGTTACGGACACCCTATCCCCAAGTTGGACCCACATCCGTCGTTCTCAAGTTTGGGCGTCCCTAAACATGTCGCGGTCTCTCCCATCACTTCGGCGGGCAACTCGCTGTCATTGTCGAAGAGGCGCGCATTCACGTCCTCTCCAGGCGTTCAGTTCTTCCGACGGGTGGCGGCTAGGTTCTTTGTTTGAACCAGAATACCTTACTGGTGCACACAAATGGATCGTCGACTCAATTTTTGTTGCAGCTATGTCTACTTCATACAGTCAGCATCGCTATACCTACCACTATGCCATACATAATTTCCTACACTTTAATACTGTCGTATAATCCAATGCCGGACTGTCGTAGTAGAAGCACATAAAACATTTGCGAGGGCCCCGGGAACGGAGAGAGCGGATATCTCGAGTCCGTGATGACGGATATATGTGTATACATTGCAATTCTGACCAGTGAGTCTCACCTCCCGCTCGCGCGTGCGAGGGGTTCCGTCAAACCCCTGGATGGTCTCTCCAGTCCGGCTAGAAACCTACTAAGGGCAATAAGGGGCCAGAGACGTTAGGATCGCATTGCGGCACGGGCCTCTGCATACATTCATATTTTCGCGGAGGTCCTTGAGACAACAGTAGTGTGATTTGCATACCGCAGATGACCCTGGATACGAATGCGGATGCATTTCGAGAAGGACTGCAGGTATCGATATCCGACACGGAAGGCAGCACTCCTCTCACATCCGTACCGTCCTTTTCCATTCTCCTCCGAATGGATGCTACAATATCCGTCGTGCATTCTTATAAAAATCATGCCATGACCGCACCGCACTCCAAGTTCTCGCTCTTCAAGCTTGCAGGTCAAGCACGTACCCGCATCCGCATTCACTGTCACTTCTACTGTCTGGCTCGTCGCCATGGCCAACGCTACTCCCATTGCCTCCGTCATCCCCGATATGACGAACCAGACCATCGATAACGGCCGCCTCAGACTCATGGAAAGACTTGGCGAAGGTGGTTATGGCGTGGTCTACCGCGCTGTCGACGACAGCTCCACGACTTCATCCTCGCACCCCGCTCCAAAGGAATATGCCGTCAAGGTGCTCGTGAAGGCCGAGCCATCCGGACACTATTGGCACTTCCAGAGTCGCGAAATAGCCATCCACAAATTCGTTTCAAACCACCCGAACGTGCTCACCTTGCATGAAGTTATTGAAGATGACTGGTTCATCTACCTGGTTCTGGACTATTGCCCTGGTGGCGATTTGTTCACTGCTATCATCGAGCGTCATTCGTTCTGCGGGAAGGACGATTTGGTCCGCAAGATCTTCGTGCAAATTCTTGATGCCGTCCAACATTGTCACGACAAGGGCATCTATCACCGTGATCTCAAACCAGAGAACATTATGTGCAGTCAGGACGGCACGGAGATCAAACTTGGCGACTTCGGACTTGCCACGAATTCCCGTATGAGCAACACCTTCGGGTGCGGAAGTTCTTACTATGTAAGCCCTGGTCAGTACGCCTCGACTACGATACGATGAAAAGGGAGAGTTGCTGACTCATCTCGTTCAGAGTGTATCGGTGTGGAGTTCAATAAAAGGCCCTACCCGACGCAGCATAGTGATACTTGGGCACTCGGTATCATCCTCACCAACATGATCGCTGGACGCAGCCCTTGGAGTTATGCCACCAAGGACGATCAGTGTTTCTTGCGCTATACGGCGAACCCCAACTACCTTCGCGAGATGCTTCCCATATCAGAGGGCGCCAGTCACATTTTAAAGCGCGTCTTTACCTTTGATCCCTACACTCGCATCTCCATCCCTGAACTTCGCGAGGAGATTCTGAAGTTGGAGAGATTCTTCATGACGGGGGAGGAGATTGCACGGGGGAACAAGTTCATCAAATACGCGGCCTCGACGTACTCTGCGCCTCCGGATCATCATGTCGGTGATGCCCCGCGCGAGAATGACGAGGAATCCATCCCATCGAACAAGTCAAATGGGCGATCTTTCTTGCGAGATGTCCTCGTTGAGGATCGACCCAGCAATTTTGCGATAGTGTCGTCATTCGATACTTTTTCTGCATCCAGTTCCGGTTCCACATCTGGAGAAGACAGTGACAGTCCCGTCACACCTGCTATGCACGCCGTCGATGGCGCAATTTTGTTGGACGTCTTGGAAAGGGATATTCTTGATAATGTAGCCGGCGCGAAAGAGCGTGACCCTGTTCTGTCTGTGGAATCACTTGTGCAACGCCTAGAGCAGATTGCATTCTAGCACGTAATTCGCACTTGAAAATAAAAATAGCGTGTTGAAACATTTGGTTTTTCACCGGTTGTAAATTGGACACATCAGATCATAAGCTTACAAGTAATTGTTTCTGTGCATGGGCAATAGGATGAAGTGTCCATTACTGCTCCCGATTCGTCCACACCCCAGTCCGCGAACTACGAAAATGAAAGCGTAATAAATTAGCGATACCAGCGCATGTCAAGCTGCTCACGGAGCCCAAGAATCACGAATTCTCTATAATCCGTCTCGTCTCAGCTGCCTTCTCCCTAAACTGCGCGACCCTCCTTTCACCATCCGACTTGAGTTGCTGGTACTGTCGTTCGATTTCGCGTCGAACATATTGCTCCACCGTCATTGAGCTTTCTTCATCGGTGAGAGACGTCAATTTGTGAATGGGGAACATTGCCATGAAGGGCGTGAATGATACCGGTGAAGTTGGACCATTCTCAGTGGAAGGCTCTTCCGCATCGTTGTATGGTACGGGTACTGGAGGACTTTGGGGGATAGTGGGAAGGATGTGAAGAAAACGCGGAGGAGTCGCCGTCACTGGATCCGTCTCCAAGGGAAGCTCCGCCGTAGCATATCCCGCATCGTCGGATATAGGTGAGGGGGGCGCCTTGGGAGTTTTCTCCAGCCGTAGCGTCTGGCGAGGCTGAGATGGCGATGATGGGGCTTTTGCAGTGACCGTACGAAGTTCCTGCTCCTGCTCCTGCTCCTGCACTACGACGAAATCCTGGACTGCATTGTATTCCTCATCATCAGATTGAAGATCTACAACCTTTTTTGATTTTGCTCGCGACACCTTGGCCTTTGCTAGTTTGGGGACGGAGGGTACGTCACTTGGCGGTTCAGAGTCGTCACCCTTCTTCTTGCGCTTGCTCCCCTTCCCTGTTCCCGCCGCCCGGAGAGCGTCAGTTCCATTTTCAGCTGGGATCGCGTTTGACGTCGATTTCGTCTTGGAGTGGGTCGGTTTTGAAGAGGAGGGCAGTGGCGCTTCGGACTCGGATTCTAGATTGGCGCGCGACCGAGTCCGTGTGTGCGTCTTCCTTACGAGTGGTGGCAGCCCAACTTCGGTATCGACCACCGCGTTCTCTACCTCGACAATCACGGGTTTCGCCTCGGTCGCAGCTTTTGGCGGGCGGCCTCGCTTCGGCTTCTCCCTTTCGACCACTACCGCCTCCTCGACCCCATCATGCTGCTGCTGCTCATCCTCCTCCTCAATCACGGTGATCCGCACCTTGCTCTTACTTCGTCCCTTCCGCTTCGTCTTCGACACCCGCTTCCCGACGTCGCTCCCGCTTCTCCCCTCAGTGTCCTCCACCTCTGAACTGCCCGCCGTCCGGCTTCCAACTCGCGTTGACCGCCGAGACGCGGGGGTCTTGGTCTCCGTGCTGCGCACCGACTTCGCGCTCCTGCTTTTCGACGGGCCGGCAGTGAGCGCAGGCGTGGTCGCGAGCTCGTCGTCCGAGTCGACGTTTGTAATTTGGTCTTCAATAGCCCTCGTACGCGACGCGGGCTTCCGTGTGGGAGGTTTCGAGGTCGACTTGGAGAGCGTCCGTGAAGTTGACGCTTGGAAGAAAGGGCACGGACCTGATTTCTTTTCGCGTTTCACGTGCTCTTCCCTGTCAAAGAACGCGTGAGCTGTGGAACAGGAGAAGAGTACGCGGCCGTACGTGGGATCGTCGTCGTGGTCCCAACCACTCAGTGAGAGGTTGCAGTAGAAACATGTGACGGTGTCGTCGCCCGCGGACTGGGGAGTGTACGAAAAGCCCGCTTTGGCCATCTGATCGCGTCTGAGAGCGATGCAATGCGCGGAAATTTGTTTGCACGCACCTTCTTAGAGTTCGCACCATGACCTTTGACAGAATCGTGAGGCCATGATTTGTTCACTGTAAATGTCTCCAAGCGAGCTATCTCCATCACTTTGCACGACGGAACACGCGTAGGATCTGAGAAGTCGTAACTGCAGTTTCTTCAGCAACGCAGAATGGGTGAAACGGGATCACACACACTTTCCATGCTCGCCGAGGTCCCCTTTCAATCCACAGCGGACTGTCGCCCAAGCGCACGTATTCCGACACTTAATGAAATGAATGTTAAATGGATCGTCTTCCGCATCCCAGTCGCTGAGCTCCTTCCTGCACATAAAGCATGTGACGTTGTCTTTGTAGTCTGGGGTGGGGTCGAAGAAGAATCCGGCTTCGGCAAGACTTTCTGGTGTCGCCAGGTGTGTCGACGGATGGGGCCACTTCAGCAACTTCGACGACTGTTTCGCGCGTTTGTTTTTTGAAGAAAATGAATCCAATCTCGTTTGCAAGCAGTCCATCATCGCGAATGGGAGGTGCAGGAGCGGCGTCGAGCTCGGCCGGTGACAAGCGGTGACAGGTGTCACACAATATGGTCAATGTGACTTTCTGTGACGCTTGTGGCTCATCTGTCTGCCGCTACCATTACATCTCGTAAATGTCTTGCATCTCGCATGAAGCGCACATATAGTCACAAACGAACCCAGCGTCGTGGTCGTGCAGCCACCGATTCCTCTGAAGGATCATCACTTCCAGAAAGCAGCATTAGACAGCGCAAGCGTCAGAAGATCGAGGTTGAAGTGGTCGTTCCCGGTCCTTCACCAGGACACGGTATTAGCGAGGACGTGGACAGTGATGAGAAGCAAGAATGCACAGGAAGATCCTTTCAAGGTGAGCCAACCTTGTGATTCATCCGGCAGGTTTACACCTCGTCAAGCCGCACATTCATTTCGGCCGTCATGCTTCATTTTACTCGCGCTAGCCTGAAATTCCTTTAGTACTTCTGGCCTTGTCTTGCTATGTTCAGGTAAGTATCTAGTTCGTGATCCCGCAGTTATGTGGGAGAAACACTTCATCTTCGTCTGTCCGAATGGGTTACTTCACTTGGATGCGTCCTAATGCAGTGGCTCGTCCTTGTGACCGATACATCGCTTCACCCCTCCTTTCTGACACCAGAATCCTTAAGCGCATCTTAAATTAATCTCATTTACTTATTGAACGTTTGCAGTAAGCAGGGCCACCTCTCAGGTAACGGCGCGAAGAACTCAATTACCTGCACATGTACCATCTTCGGAGGTGCAAGTCACATATCTGTCTCGGACGCCTAGTCACTCGCAAGAATCGTACACAGCTCCAGTTACCCCGTCCCCGAAATCTCTCACTCGCTCGGATACACTCCCAGTCGTATCTGCCGATCAGGTTGCTCATTCGCCGTCCCCCAAGAAACCAGCAAGGGACTTATCGGAATTGTTTGACTTTTCACTGGCTACCAACAACAAGGCCTCAGCGAAGCGGAAGAAACCCACAAGTATCGCGAAGCGCATGCTTGGTCGCTCTCGCACAGAGTCAAGCATCGGGAGTGCAAGTGCGAGCAGCTCTCTAGAGAATATTGGTGCTTTAGCTGCTCCACCAGACCTTGGTCCGGTCAAACTGGCCAAGACTCGATCCGACGAGATCATCGACTTAACCGCTGGCTCTGCGTCCTCGTCGCGCAGTCATTCAGTCTCTCCCTCGAAATCTCAGTCCTTGGACGATATCTCTTCCCCAATCGCAGGTGCACGACCCTCATTGGTCCCTACCAGTATCCGCACCTATGCTGGGAAGTCGCGTTCCTTCCTCGTCGCTCTTCCTGCCGCACAGTATGGTTCTTTATCTCGCAACAACTCCAACTCTCAGTCTGTTCTAGCAGACGAAGACAATGTATACATCAACAGCCAAGAGGACGACTTCGAGATTCGAGAATCGTACACAGATTTGCGGACACGCTGGGGCGTAGATGACTCCGAGGATGATCCACGGCCTTCTTCACCACTTCACGCGTCTCCGGGAGATAAAAGCAAACGGAAGGGCAAAGGCAAACAACCCGATGTTCACGCGGAACCTTTACCAAATGGGATGTTGAACGATCTAAAAAGCATCACAGAGTTGCGTAGTAAGGGCGAAAGTCGTCGCTTTCTAGACGAAGTCGGGTACCTCTTTGAAGGCTTGGATGCGAACGGTGCCATTGGTGTCCGGAGAGCAAGGTGCGAGTACCTTGTGCTTGCACATCTTATTCCCTCGTTCAACGGTCGTGTTCGGCAAATAGTGCGCTAGAGATAGTGACCAAACTATGTGATGCGGATTTCGCGCGTAGAGCCAAAGCTGCTGATTTTCTTGGACGAGCATGGGAAGTCTTCCGAGAAGCCGGTGCAGGTAATGGAGACAAGGTCAGTACTCTGCCTTAGTCGAAACTCTTGCGATGAACTCCTTCCCTCCGCAGGTTTTGGACACAACCCTCATCTTCTATGCTGCTCTGGTAGCACAAGATTCCCGTGACCTTCAAGATATTGCCTCGAAGTCTGACTTCGCGTCAGCGCTGTATCGTATGCTGGCCATTTTAGAACGAGAGAACGACCCCTTGTGGTTGATCTCTTGCGGCCTTAGCGACGCCGAGCTAAGGAAAGCAGGGATTTCCAAAGCAGAGAAGACATCGGTGAGTGTGCTGATAAAGTATCGCAGAAGCTATGAGTAATGCCACTGAATAGCTAGCTATCCTTCACAGCGTAATTAGGAAAAAGTCCGGGCTTCTTGAGGAATGGGATATCGTGAGTGGTCTTAAATACTTTGTAGAAGTTCTGCCTGATTCACACAACTCAGATCTCGAACCGACTCCTCATCTCTCACGCGCTGACAGGCTTACCGTCCTCTTCAAATATTTCAACCCACTTATCATCACTACTGAGAAGTCTCACTACAGAGCTCAAACCAATACCCTCACGCGTTTCTGCGTTCACCTCTGGTCTTCCTCTCTTTCCCTCGCCTTCATCCTCGTCATATATGGATATACCTTCTTTGGTTCATGTGGATCACTGTCTACAGCTTCTTGATTCTTACCTACTGGGCCGCTGGACGGACAGTGGTGCTGAAAATTCACACGATACAAGAAGACTCAATGCTCAACGTGAAGACGGCTTGGGCGAGAAGCTCATGGCACTCTGCGTCGCGTGCGACGTGCAATCTCGAGACGCACAACGTCAAGAACAGCATCACTTGGGTGGGCCGTTTTGCCGTACTTGTATATGCCTTACGCTGAAAGTAGTGAATGTAGTCTACCGATGTTTGGAATCTGCATTTCGCGTGCTGATCAACCTAACACATGATGATCTTCCGTGGTGTCAAGCCGTCCTTGATGCAGACTTCGCACTAGTGACGATTGTCCGTCTTGTAATTATGTCTCAACGGCAGCGCGGTCGAGTCTTGGTGAAACGCGAGGATGAACAGCTAGATGCGCCGGATGATACAGAAGAGACAGCATCGTCGCTAGATCGGTTGTGTCTTGCGCTTGGGCTCCTGACAAACCTGGTGCAGGTATCGCATGAAGCCAAGGATGCAACGAGAAATACCTGTGAGCATAGCTGTTCTATCATTCAATATCCTCTGTTTATGACGAGTGATTGTAGTGCTCGGTTTCGCCTGTTCCGGCAAACGTGCTTGCATGTTGAGCTGCAGTTGCGTGTCTCGTGTCAGCGCACTGGAATGCCTGGTCCTGGTCTACTTGCAACATTGCAAGTCAGAGCACGAGCTCGATCCAGTTGTCCGCGGTCATATGGCTGTGCTCTTCGGATTGCTAATGAAGGATAACCCAGACAATCAGCGAGTCGTTCTTCAATCCTTGCCTGGATCATCCGATAGGAAGAAGCTTAAATCCCTTGTTGAACATGCGCGCGAGTTTACGCTGTTCTATGTGGAATTCACCAAGAAGGTATCAGCGGCTGTCTCCCAACCGCAGCTTGACGACGAAGGAGGGGAGCCAGACGCCGAGAGCGGCATCGTGAGCGGAATAGACGAGAGCGTCGAGAGGGTGTTGCGGGATGCCCATGGAGAGACGGTTGCGCGCGAGGTGATCTCATTCCTAGAGGTCCTGGAACAAGAAAAACACTAGAGCAACGCGATATGTGTGCTGGCCTCGATGGTGCGCCGCTTGGTCCATCGAAGTTCCAATGCCGCATCCCTCTCATTCCCCGCTCATGACGTTCTTGCATACATTCCGTAGACTGATAGACTACTGTACATGTACCATTTCGACCACTCCGGCGGTCACGCGTCACACCCAAATTTCGTTGACCTCGCCAATAAAATTTTCTCGATTTTACCGATTTTCTGGGATTTCTTGAGAATTCCAAAAAGACAATTTCGTTCTGGAGTTCAGTATCTACTCCATAATCCCAGTGTCGCACGCAGATCTGAACTTACGAGTTCGGTGGAAAGGATATGATGCAGCAGCGGATTCGCATCCACTGCATCCGCGTGTCGGAGAAAGGCCACTCTAACATTGTCAACATGGCGTGCCAGCTACGAGCTCGTCGTGTGATACCTATTCCGAGTACTGCACACTAAACGGAATCATGATCTACACTAGGGTGCAGTCAAATTGCACTGCACGCATGCAGTAGCAGCCCGAGTAGAGAAAAACAGATCAGAAACACGTCCAATGGTATTAGTGTAGAATCTAGGGATGTCCGTCACTCAAATGAAACACGCTACAACCCCCAATGCACCCGCCAGCGCAATCGTAAACCCGTAACCCGTTCTTATAGTGACGGCACCATTGGCTGAGCTCGAAGAACCAGCCGATGCAGTGCCAGTCGAGCTAGCGCTGCTCTTGGTAGAGCTGGCATGACCGCTGGCGGTGTTCGAGCCACTGGGGAAAGCGCTGGAGGACTGGCCAGGGGGAGCTACAGCCGCCACCTTGGAGATGGCCGACCAGGTGGCCTGCGAGTTAGTGGATACATCTCCCTCGGTGTACGGGAGGAACGAGAGAGCGCCGGCACTGTCGAGCTGGACTAGGGAGGTGATGGAAGCGGCGTACGTCGCCTGAGAATCCTTGTTCATCGGGCCGGCGTATGCTTCGGTAGAGTTCGTCTCAACGTTGATCACGTACGTAGCAGCGCCGTCATCGGGGATGAATGCAAATTCCTGCTGCACACCGCTCATCTGGAAGAATGACGCAGTCTTGCCGTGCGTCGCGGGGAACGCACTACCGTTCGGGAGCGGGTACGACTGTGGTTGGGGCTGGAAATATGAGTCTGTCGAAATACTGTCAACTCCGATCTTTCCTTCCTGCCAGGCATGAAAGGACCACTCACAGTGAATGACGAAAATATCCGCATCGCCTGCAGGAACGTTGGGAATGTCCAAAAAGTGGATGTGGTTCTGCGCGAGAGCCATCACTGGCTCATATCCGCTGGGGTACGGCGCTTGCTCGACGTCCACCCAAGAGAGTGCGGTCGAGTTCGCCGTCTTCATGTCGCCCATATTCAGGTAGAACAGGTCGCCCCCCGATAACGCATATATGACGTTTGTATCGTGATCCAGAATCGCCTCGAAGGACGCCGGGTTGAACTTGCCGGTCGTGACGGACTGCGTCGACCACGACTGTGCGCCGGCATCGTAGATGTACACGGAAGACGGGTTGGACGAGTCGCCATTCATGACGTAGACCGCGTTATAGAATTGCGAAAGGTAGCATGTAGTGTTCGTGCCATCGAAAGACCTGCGTCACTTGAATTAGCATCCGACACGAGCTTGCAGTGCTCCGGGAAATGCTCCGGCGAACTCACGGGCGGCCTGAGGTGGTAATGTCGGTCGCACTGCCTGTGGAGGAATACCGTTATATCAGTATGCGACAGCTACATACGACAGCAAGATAATCATCGAAGCGTCTGCAACATGCGGCTATCCTTTCGGACCGAGCGTAGGACCCTTTAGTTGAAAATCGAGGTCTTCAATCGTTCAGCGGGTCGTTGTGCCCACTTTTATCACTACTGAAACCATGCTGAAGGACTCACCGCTTGTCCAAGTGCTCTGCTGTCCTGCATTCCAGTCCTTGCTGTCAAGACCGAACACGAGAAGGTTGAAGCTGGAGTCGAACGTCACACAGGGTGAAGAGTACACTGTGCTTGGCACTGCGAGAAGTAAAAGAGAGACGACGGTCGGTAAGTTGAACATTTTATGAAAGACTTTCGGTCAGAGTTAAGAGAAGGGCTGGCGTCGAGCAGAATTGACGGTTATATAAGCAGATGGTTTGGGTCAAGGTGTATAAGCGCCCATCCATGCGCGGCCCGAGTGGAGCCAAATACGCCCGTCGCAGTCACCAGTTGGGCTTCGAAAAACCGTAAGTAGGCTGACACACTCACCAGGGGAAGGGCACAGGTACCTGTTGAACACCGATGTGAAGAGTCATGTTGTTGTTTGTTCGCGTCCCGAGATGGACTCAGTGCACTTCTGCAAGTTAATCTGCTAGTAGCCCATGGCCCTTCGGACGCATCAGAACGGTCTCAGCCACCCACAGTCGTTGCATCACAGGTTAGCATCACGACTGTCATGTTCTACACCACCATTTCGTACAACCACCATATTTACATTCGGGAGGTAGACCGGCATACCCGTGAGGCACTGACATGTTATAAGTGAGTCACCGACGCTGGTGTATTTTTGTCAGCTGAAACCACCTCTCCTGACTATTCGCGTGCGGGAGCTATGTCAGAAGAATATGGAGGAATGGCCGCTGAAATCTCTGATCATGCGCATTCGACGGTCATCTGGTAACGTCACCGGTGCTTCAGCCGACCTTCTCCTTGCACTACAACCTCGACAGAGGCTATCTTCCAAGATCAGACAAGAACCGCCGATTACCCAGTCAACGTTGGCGGGCAGGGGTCACGAGAGCTTTTGACAGGCTACGTACGCCGGCATTCCGCTGACAATGAACTAGTTACGCAGGTACTGCCAGTGCCTTAACACTCAGTCCAGAGAGCTGTCCAGAGCGACGTTCTTTGAACTGTATCTCTTTGTCGATGTCTACTACCCGCATTGCCGTCGTCACAGGTGCCTCCCGAGGAATCGGAGAGGCCATCGCCTTGCGTCTTGCAGACGATGGACTTGACGTTGCCGTGAACGATATTCCTTCAATGGCAGAATCGCTCAAAGCGGTTGCCGAGAAGATACGGCAGAAGGGCAGACGCTCTCTCGTCGTGACTGGGGACGTCTCGAATGAAAATGACGTGAAGGCCATGGTTGATAAGGTCGTAGAGACACTCGGAGGATTGGATGTTGTATGCGTTTGTGTCTAAGCGAAGCATCGCATATTCTGAGCACTTTGTTGACTTCCAGATGGTTGCCAACGCAGGCGTCGCCCTGTTGAAACCCGTCGTCGAGAGTGTGTGCCTATGTCTCTGCTTCGAAAACTCTGATGCTGATTGGCGGCCGCAGCTTCTGTCGAAGAATATGATCGCGTTATGTCTATCAACGCTAAGGGTGTCTTCTTGTGCTTCAAGTATGCTGCTGTTCAGATGATCAAGCAGGGACGAGGCGGAAGAATCATAGGCAAGTGATCCATGGTACTGTTCGACTAGCGTATTTGATCAGTCCCCTCCAGGCGCTTGTTCCTTGGCTGGTAAGAAGGGTAGGTCTGCAGAGCACCCACCTACAAATGCACTCGCATTGACGAGTAACTTTGCACGAACAGGAATGAGTAATCTTGCTGTGTACAGCGCGTCGAAATTTGCAGTGCGGGGACTTACTCAAACTTGTGGTGTGCCTTGTCTTGCTTGTTCTCATTGAAGAACACCACTAAGCTCGGACTCTGCCTTGATACTGTCTTATAGCGCTTGAATGGGCGCAGCACAACATCACTGTCAACAGCTATGCTCCTGGGCTAATTTACACCCCGATGAGTGTGTTTGAACGTTTATGCACGGTTATAGGCCTTGACAAGCTTCTCCGGACAGTGACGGAGAGCAATGAGGTTGCGAGTGGGAGGGAGAAAGATTCAACCACGGTAGGTAGCCCACTGTTGTCCCTGGTGAGGCGCGATTCACAACAGCTGTATAGGCGGACGCGATTGGTCTCGGGAAAGACACTCCAGGCGCAGAGCCGTCCGTCATCGGGGAACTGGTCTCCTACCTCGTAAAGCCAGAGTCCCAATTCGTTAGTGGTGAGTGGCATAACTTGGCGGGGGTGGCTATAGGGTTGGCTGATCGAATATGTGATAACTAGGCCAATGCATAAACATCAACGGAGGCATTTTCTTTGACTGAGGTCACGTCCGCAGAGCTGTCTGCTAAGCTCGATTGTAATTCTTAAGTATGTCAATTCTCGTACAGTTGCAGATCCAGTATACGAATCAGACTTATCTTTGTGGTTCTGTTCTGCCTGTCCGTGCTTTGTGAATAAGGAGAAATCCCTGCTACATGCATATGTACTCTGTCAATGCAAAATAATCATGCATGATACCCTCCCCCATGATGAGCTCACTGAGAAGCGTCGCTTTGTACGACGAACCGCTCGTCTGTGCGGCGTAGTCATTGACCCGAGGGCAAACAAGAGACTGTACCTCCGAAGACGTTCCAGACATGTAGACTCCCAAATCGCCGAAAATTTGGACGCTCGCCGGCACGAACCAACTGAAATGATGACCATAAGCCATTCAGCGCACTCGTCAACATAGTGAGCGTATTCAGTCGGCAGGATGCTAAGGACACAAAGAACGATGACAAGCACACGGATAATATTGCTCTTCCACTAGCGTGTCGGCACAGAACACGGACGTGCACGCCGGCTTCCATGTATGCATTGTGCGAGTTCTGTAGTTGCAAAATAATCGGAACTGAAGATCGAAATTTCAACGAATGAATGAAGTAGAAAAATACTAGACACACTCATCGTTGTCGATAGCATCTTCTTTCAGCTCCTTGAGATCGCTGCGTTGATCGCTGATCTTGGCTTTCTGAGCAAGCCTACAGCTGCATATCAGCAGTGAGACTACGTCGTAATGTAAGATAAATACCACATACAATAAGCACGCCTCAGCCGTGCCAGGTTTTACAGCCACTACAACGGACGTCACTCACACAACCAGGAACAGACAAGAAGTACTCACAGGGATGGTTCTCTGAGTCGGAGCAATAAAGTTTGCCCAGTACACCAACCTCATCCACCTACACGAGACGCTTACATTCGAAGAGCTTACACTTGCCCTGGTACTTTGTGCCGGAGCATCGCATTGGATCTGGTTACCATTACGATAGGCAGTTGCGCATCGGACGCCGCAAAAGTTGTGTGCATCATGGCACTCGAATTGTCGCGAATGTGAATGCAAGGTTTCAGAGAGTATTCCAGGTGTAGACCGCACACAGTGATGAAGTCCTCCGCGTCCGAATATGAACCAGAGGCTGATCTTTCATCGGTCCCCGTAAGCGACGTCGCAAAGGCATGAAGGTCTCCATCATATCACGATCGGATGTTTCAAAGCCAGGATGTCATAGTGATCTGCTGCGACACCGGAGTATTCACCATCGGCAATTAAAGAGCAATATTTCCAACCATTATCTCGGTACCAAGCGTAGCGTCTGCTCCCTGTCGAACAATGCCGAGCGAAGATGTAGCGGTTTGTGTATGAAAACGTGGTGCCAACGTAAGTAAATTCACCGACTCCAGTACGGATAAGTTGCATGCGGCGCAGGTGAAGAGAGGTCTGCAGCAGTGGGCATGCTAGCGGTCAGACGTTGTCCAAAGATCCTGCCGACGTTCTCGTCCTTAACGAAGTTCAGATCAAGCAAAACATCCGGTTCCTCCTCGAGTCCTCCTCAGTCCGTCACGACGCAAATGGAAATAGCACTGATGTTCGGGAATGGTGAACACGGGCCGCACTATGGTTGACCAGATGTTGCTGTAATGTTCTCCGTTCGTCTTGCGATACCAGCTGATGTGACCGAAGTATTGCATGTAGATTCAGACTCTTCTGGCCAGACTCTTATGTGCCTCGGACGACCGAGATGAATCATGAACCTGGGATCTCGGCCGCCCACAGTTGTTGACAGTTGCATCACAAGTGAGCATCACCTGTGTCCGGTTTTACTGTACACTAGACATATCGTAGCGGCGCGAGCACCAGTCCCCGACTCCAAGGGAGACTCGGGAAGTACTGGAGGAATGACTATCTAGTCACTCAGATCTCAGATCTAGTGATGTCACCGGCCCCGAGCGCTTCAGATACCTCTCTACAACATCGACGGAGGTCATCTTCCCAGACTAGAACTTCCGCCGATTACCCAGTCAACGTTGACGAACGGGGGTCACGAGAGCTTTTGACAGGCTGCGTGCGCCGGCATTCCGCTGACAATGAACTAGTTACGCAGGTACTGCCAGTGCCTTAACACTCAGTCCAGAGAGCTGTCCAGAGCGACGTTCTTTGAACTGTATCTCTTTGTCGATGTCTACTACCCGCATTGCCGTCGTCACAGGTGCCTCCCGAGGAATCGGAGAGGCCATCGCCTTGCGTCTTGCAGACGATGGACTTGACGTTGCCGTGAACGATATTCCTTCAATGGCAGAATCGCTCAAAGCGGTTGCCGAGAAGATACGGCAGAAGGGCAGGCGCTCTCTCGTCGTGACTGGGGACGTCTCGAATGAAAATGACGTGAAGGCCATGGTTGATAAAGTCGTAGAGACACTCGGAGGATTGGACGTTGTATGCGTTTGTGTCTAAGCGAAGCATCGCATATTCTGAACTCTTTGTTGACTCTCAGATGATTGCAAATGCAGGCATTGCCTTTGTGAAGCCAGTCGTCGAGAGTGTGTATCCCGTCTGCTTTGAAAAAACTGTGATACTGATGAGCGGCCGCAGCTTCTGTCGAAGATTATGATCGCGTCATGTCTATCAACGCTAAAGGTGTCTTCTTGTGCTTCAAGTATGCTGCTGTCCAGATGATCAAGCAAGGCCGAGGTGGAAGAATCATAGGCAAGTGATTCTTGCTACTGTCCATCTAGTGTATTTTGCTGGTATTGATCAATTGTTTCCAGGCGCTTGTTCCATGGCTGGCAAGACGGGTAGGTCTGCAGAGCACCCGCTAACAAAGGCACCCGCATTCATGACCTCTTTGCACGCCCAGGATTCAGTAATTCTTGTGCATACTGTGCGTCGAAATTTGCAGTGCGGGGACTTACTCAAACTTGTGGTACAGCTTAATTTCCTTGTTCCCATTGAAAAGCTCAGCTAAGCTTGTACTTTCCCTTGATACTGCTTTGTAGCGCTTGAATGGGCGAAGCACAACATCATTGTCAACAGCTATGCTCCTGGATTTATTAACACCCCGATGAGTGCGTTCGAAGGCCGATGCACGGTTATAGACATTGACAAGCCCCTTTGGACAGTAACGGAAATCAATAAGGTTGTGAGTGAGACGGACAAAAGTTCAAACACGGTACGTAGCATACTGTTGTCTCTAGTGAGACGAGATTCACCTTAACTATGGAACTGTATAGCTGGATTTTGTGGGCTTCGGGAAGGATACTCCAACCGCGCAGCCATCCGCCATCGGGGAACTTGTCTCCTATCTCGTAAAGCCAGAGTCTCAATTCGTCAGTGGTGAGTGGCATAATTTGGCGGAGGTAGCTGTCAAGGTTGGCTGATTGAATATGTGGTAATCAGGCCAATGCATAAATATCAATGGAGGCATTTGCTTTGACTGAGGTCGTCCTGAGAGCTGTTAGCTAGGCTTGAATGTAATTCTTAAGGGCAGCAAATATCTTGTACAGATGCAGATTAGGCATGTGTAAGTGTATGAGTTAGTAGGCTTCTCTTGGTAGTCCTGTTCTGTACGTGGAAGCTTAATGAATACACCTGCTGTATCAATGCGAATCCAGCCAGAGTGAGCAACTTTTAGTCATTCAATTTTGTTAGCCGCACATATGTAAGCCTGATGTATGTGAGGAAACTCAGGAGTTATTTGGTTGATTCGGATTACGGTAGTAAACCGACCAACCCGGGGGTCACACGTCACACGCAATTTTTTCTCTCCCTGCCAATATTTTTTCTCGATTTTTCCGATTTTCTGGGAATTTTCGAAAATCCAAAAAAGACAATTTTGCTCCGGGTTGGTCGGTTTTCTACAGTATTGTACTAGAAGAGAAGCGACTGGTGACGTTTGGCTAAAGTCTGCAAGTACTAGTGCGTCAGTCTTAAGCTTCATCCTGGCGACCTTACTATGTTCTCGCATCAGCAAACCTTGTCTAAATAATTCTGCTTTACGGAGTGTTCACACGTTCCGCTCTCCTGCTCGCCTTCTCACCATGGATTGGTTTGTATCCGTGAATAGTAGCATCTCTTCCGACACTGAACCCACTCTTGTGGTGACGTTTGAGGATGCAAAGTATATTTTCAATGTAGGCGAGAACACCTCAAGAAAATGGCTGCAGTCGCAGCGTCATTGGCGAAAAGCGAAGGCTATCTGGTTGACTTCTACGGGAACTCAGAGAGGAAGCGGCCTGTCGGGTGAGTCCATGAGTTAATGTACCAATGTACTGCGACTGATATGAACAATGTCGCAAAGGTCTATTAATGTTTTTGGCTGATGCGGGTATCGAGCGCTTAGACATCGGTGGACCTCAGGGTTTGTTGCACTACCTCGCTTCCATGAACAAGTATCTTCACCGGTTGGTCCGAATGTGATTAAATTGTGATGTTCACTGATCCGAGAGCAGTGAAAATATTTCTGTGAATCCCATCGAGATTGCGTCTTCGCCCTTGATGCCTGTTCCAGTCGACCCGGCACCTATCTACAAGGACACAAACATTACTCTATATGGAGTTCCTTTCTACCCTCGTCCTTCCGACTTCGGTGCTCCAGAGACACCGATTCCTGTGTCGGACTCTGCTACTGAGCATCGCTGGTCTGAAGGTTCCAAAAGGAAGCGATCTCTGTCACCGCCATCGTCGTCGAAACGTCATCTCGCTTCTGCAGCTATGGGTACGACTTCGATTTTGGAGAAGATAACACTTCCTGGATTCTCTCCCACATTGCTGGGTGGAGAAGAGGCGCAAACCTGGCGTAAAAGTATTATTCGAAGAATGTTTCAACTAGAAAAGCCCGAAGTAGCCTGTGCAGGGAGTAAATCGCCCAAAAAGATCAATGGGAAGAAAGGGCAGGGTCAAAATGCTACTGCTGAGGTCAACCCTCTAAGTAATTCATTTCATTCGCCTCGGTTAATACAAGCGGTGGATGCGTCTAAGGGGAGACAACTTCCGTCCTTCTGTTATGCTTCTGATTCAGGGGTCACGCACTCTCCGAGGCCTGTTATGGGCTATGTCATCGTTGGCCCACGCACCCGGGGCAAATTCGACGTTGAGAAAGCGAACGCGTTAGGTCTTGGCAATGGGCCCTTGAGAGGCAAACTCACGAAAGGCCAGACGGTAACCTTCGACACAAAAGACGATTCCGGGAACATGGTTACCCGTACAGTGAGACCCGAGGACTGCATCGGACCATCAGAGATTCCCAAGGTGTGCACAGGAACTTGGACTGGGTTGCGCTGACGCTCAATTGTGATGATTGCATTGTAGGCGATGATATTGCTGGATATACCAGATCCGTCGTATATACCGTCTGTGATGGCATCTTTCACAGAAAGCCCCTTCTATGCGAAGCTGCACTCAAAATCACAGAAGGATATGGAAGAATATCTTGTACATCTAGTAGTACACATCTGCGGAGATGGCGTTTTGGAGGACACGAAATATCAAGCATTCATGAATGGATTCTCAGATGAGACTTTTGTAGGTCCCTACCCATGCAACCTTCTGACTTACTGAATGACCGAGAATAGCACCTCGTTGCCTCACAAGCATATTCACCGGACGAGATCACGTTCAGGGGCGCTGCGTATAACCAGCTGCGCTTAAACGTCCTTGATCCTGGCATGTTTCCAAAACTCCAGTCCCAACCAGAGCCCGAGCGCAGTCTAGCGTGTGCGTATGCAGTCGACGCGTTTTCTTTGATCTCTGGTGCTGATATTTGTTACAGCTCTGACCGGTTTGCCTTCTAAAACTTCTCTGCTGCGTGCAGATCAAATTATTCATTTCCGCCCTCTTCGCCCTCCTGAACACGACAAGATCGCTCGACCAACAGAACGCCTCGATGTCGCCTTAGCGACTCCCACAGAGGAGATAGTGCCGGCTAACGTTGCTCAGGGATTTTCGGAGGTTCGAAGCCGCGTGAAGGCGTTGTCAGATGACCGCAAGAGGCCGCAGAGGCCGGGAGATGATGTGGTGGTGGTTCCTCTGGGAACCAGTAGTGCTACACCTACCTTGTTGCGGAATGGTATGTTGTCACCGTTTGGTACGCCCTGTCTCGAAACTCAGATGCGATTGCAGTCTCGAGTATCTTGATTGAGATTCCCGGGTACGGAAACATCATGCTCGACGCTGGTGAGGGTACATGGAGCCAGCTTGCGCGCCTCTACGGAAATCAAGATCGTTCGTGCGGCGTGTGGCAGGTGTTGCGAGATCTCAAGTGCATATTCCTCAGCCACATGCATGCTGATCATCACGTTGGTCTGGCCAAGATACTAGCCATGCGAAAGCTTGTGAGTTTCTATGCTCGTGTACTACGCGCTTGCGACGAGCAACGCTGATCATAATTCTATTCAGCTGCACCCACCACCGGCGCAGCCATTATATCTCGTGGGCCTCCGGGATCATTATAACTACCTGCAAGCACAGTCGGAAATAGAGGACCTTGGATTGAAAGACGCGAATGGCGTAATTATGGTGCCGTCAGATGCGTTGCATTGGCGTCGGCTACCTCATTTTGACCGGTCTGGAGATCTCCCCATCGACACTCAGGCGTGAGTGATGCCCTTAGGGGTCTACGATTTGAGATAGCTTATGTGCGCTTTAGGGCTCGAGCGGCTGCTGAGGACATGCGCAATGCGCTTGGACTCGAGTCTTTTGCGACTGTGGATGTTGCCCATCAAACGAAGGCATACGGTGTCGTCATAAAGCATAAGGACGGCTGGAGCATTGTGTTCGCATTTCATTCTCACGTTTCCCTCACCTCCGTTGATACCTTTACAGCTTTTCAGGAGATACACTGCCTACAAATAACCTAGTACGAGCGGGTCAAGGTGCGACCCTTCTGATCCATGAAGCGACCTTGGGAGACGATGAAGCGGAAATGGCCCGTGACAAGGCCCACACTACGACCGGACAAGCCATAGACATCGGCAAAATGTATGTATTGCATTGGCTGCATTGACCAAGCTAGACTGGCCTGACAGAAACCGTGCAGGATGAATGCAGAAAACATTCTGCTGACGCATTTTTCTGCTCGCTATCACATGTTGCTACCGCCTACGCCAGACACGCAAAGGCATGCTCAATCCCCAGTAATTGCAATGGCCTCCGACCATTCCAGGGTGAGAATTGGTGACATGTGGAAGTTGAACACGTATTTGCCGGCCATGGAGGCCAACACCACTGATGTTCAAGCGATGATGTATCAGGAGCAACCACCAAGCGAATCGTCATAGCTTGCTACCACTAGCCTTGATAAATACTCGGCGTATATACGCCCACAATCGTTATTCAAAAATACAGTGCTGGGGCCTACTAGTCGGCCGTCCCCACCGTAAGAACACTGACACTGTATCCAGGTGCGGTGTACTCGAACGAATTGCCCGTAGCTATATAACTCGTCACAGGTACCACTGCACCAGGCATCTCTGGAGTGTTGCTAGCGTTCTGGGCTCCTTCTAATAGCTGGAGCGTGCCCCACTCCGCAATAACTGGAAAGGGCAGCTCGAAGGCGATCTCAGCAGGAGTAGCAACTGTGTTAGAAATCTGCAACGCATCGTGGGTGGTGTTCAAGAGATCAGAGGTCAGTTGACGGACCTTGATGAACACATCTCCCGTAACGGATGAACGAGATACTGTCCAAAATAGCGTACCGTTGTATGTGGGCAGCGAGCTTGGAAGATACAGATCACCTCTATTAAGGCTGAAAAGCTGAAGGGGGGGGGGGTGAGGTGAATCCCTCTGGAGTATGCTCTCTATACCTTCTGCACATAGTAGCTTGTGGACCGAACAACTCCTGCCGCGCTACCCAACCATCGGTCGTTAGTATCAACATTTAAAGCGGCATGGGAGACAAACTTACTCAAAACTAATCAAGTCTGGTGTCTGTTCACCTCAGCGACAGGAGAATATTGAAAAATATTACGATTCACATACCCACTGAGATGAGTTTACATGCTACATGCGCTATCAGCGACGCTCGACTGGGGGATGGGGATTGTTTGACCCACCTGCAGAAGAGGGGCATATGACGCAGCGAAAACGATGTCGCTATTCCTCTCAAGGCCAGTCATGAAAGCTGCTTCCCCCGTTGAACCTGATTATTCGTAACTTAATCATGTGAATCGTTTTGGTAGCAAATAGTCACTAACTTTGCACGGTAGGATAAAGGAGACGGCCATCATCCGGGGTGCCATACAAATTGGTCTCGTTCAACGATATTGCCGCATATTCTCCCTGTAGGTTAACCACTATGTCAAGATATGGGCAAAGGAAAGATGTCAAAACCACGCACTTCGAAGTATCTTGTTCCATTACGCTGACCAGGTATCGCCTCTGGTAAGTCTATAAGCCATCAATCAGAGTAATGGCGACTTGCCTCAAAACTGTCATAGTAAAAGGAATTCTCCGCGAACCAGCCTGTTGGTTTGATTAGGACATTTCAAGCTTTGGTGATCCATCCGGCTCACTGGGGGTCTGATATACGTGAACGTCATATTGCAAGGGGTCAGGAGAGATGATAGGATTGAAGGGATATGCCGTGGCGATATACTCTATACCATGTCAGTTTGCGACGGCTTCGGTGGTGCAGGATACGTACTGAGCTGAGGGAATTCAGCGCTCAGATTTCCGACAAAGTCGCGCCATCTGTAAGGATATCTAGTCCGACATAAGACTAATAACCTTTGCAAAATCTGGAAGAACTGTGAAACTTACGTGGTGGAAGCAAAGAAGTCCTGGCAAGAAAAGTCGTTAGACATGATCGGGCGATTATCCTAGATGCAATCTCATACCTCATTTCCGACCTCAACGTATTGCAAATAAAAAGGTTCTGCATGTCCGAGTGATGCGCGCAATGCAGCTGGATAACATATGAGTATCCGTTTGGAAGTACGCATTCAATCTATCCCAACCTAGGGCGCTCGTGGCAGGATCACCTATCACGAAGTTGATCTGTCTCGATAGTTCAGACAGAAAGAGTTAGGAGGGGACTCAAATTACCTGGTCCTTCGCTTGCTGGATGTAAGGTGCGAGCTCATTCTCGGGAAGACTGGTTCCTCCAAGCGAATATCCTAGAAGATACCTCATCGTTTCTTTTACAGAGGACACAACACAGAGGCACGTACCCGCCCAGACAGCCATTATGGGCTCCATGCCAACGTCCTCAAAGAATGTCAAGTACTCGAGAAGACCAAGACCACTGGCAGAACAGTTGATGAAATGCGGACAGTGAGAATGAAATTCCGTTGATAGAAAGAAACATCCGCACTCCGTGTTGACATATCCCCAATCTCCTACCCGCCCCGGTCTATTGAGCAGAGGTCCTACGGTAGCATTCCATTGCCATCTGGTCGCAGTAGTTTGACCCTGAAGTATAGAGGATGAGCACATTAGTGAGATAGAACACAAACCCTACATTACCTCCTATAACATCCCGGTAATAACAGTGGGTTCAGCAAATCAGGTGACAGTATGACCTGCTCCTCAAAGGCAGCTCGACGTACAAGATTGTTACCACCTGGGAAGCGGAAAAAAGCAGGACCCATTTCAGCCAGTGTCTGACGGATATATATCTATGAACAGTGCCAGATAATACAACAGTCATGGGACTGACTTCCGCGATATCTATCCTCATCCCATTGGGCCTATCTTTGTATGTAGGTGGGAAGAGCGACAAGAAAGCAAAGTTGATGGTTTCTTCAGCATTGCCTGAGGTGTTGACAGTTACAAAGAAGGTGTTGTTAGTAGTCCGTGCTGAGGCTGAGGGCTGCAGGAAGATTTTGACATAGGTCCAGTTTGTTTGTGCACCGTCGATAGGTATGACTTTGGAGGCAAAAACCTCCCCGGAGTAAGCCTGGAGCCCGATGGTGAGATTGCCCGCAAAGGAGGATTCATAGGGAAAGCGATAGTATAATGAAGCATTGTACACCCAAGACGAATTCACATTTATACCTATGTCAGGCGCAATTCAACTAAATAGTTGAAGACAATTTCGTAGATGCGTACCCCAATAGCCGGGGTTGGCAAAACCTACGGCTCCACTGACACCAGCTGGTATAGTGAGTTGAAGGGAGTTCGGTAAAGCGGACGATACTGGCGCAGAGTCCGCAATCACGTTGAGAACTGCACTGTTGATGGACTGCCACGGCTCAAGTGCAGTAGTAGTGTCTAGAACATGATGAACTTAGTGATCAATGCAAATATCTCCGATTGCAAGAGTCTTACTCGGTGTTACCTGCTGAAACGCACGGTTCTGAAGCACTAGAATATTGGTCAGCAGGGTTTCAGAGCTGCTAGACTACGGACGAACACTCAGCATATAGACCTCCGTCTCCACTCTATCTCGCTTTTAGCAATTTAGACCACAAATGAGAGGACTCTGGTGGCTCACGTGCTGAAAAGTTGATCAGCGATCGACGGGTGAGAACAGAAAGATACCACTAACATTGATATCCTACGACACAGCACAGAGGTTATAATCTTGGGCTGTTCGACGCAGTAGCCAGTTGGTGCTCCTCACCTCGAACATCTGTCCATCTGTAGAACAAAGTGAGTATTCTCTGACCGCACGACCAATGTATTTTTTACTCACATAACGTCGACGGTATGAGGTGACTTGCGGTACTATTCACCACCACGTTTGTGGCTGCCAGGCATCCCAGTCTCACCAGGACCGAGACACCTAAGGCCGCATTTAACAGGGCACGCATAGCTGTGACAAGGTTGGTCTCGTTCCTGCTGGTGGGTCACTTATAAGTTGCACAACCTGGGCCGCGTGAGGGCGCCGCGCGTAAGAATACAACAAGAGGCTGCGGACCGCTGACGGGTCGGCAAACTCGCCATCATCGCACCGCTGCAAGTAATGACGACAAAAAGCATCCATGAATATACCATCCGCATCGCGTGACAGGGCTGGTTGAAGGGAGCAAGTAGAATCCGGGCCGCCAGTGGGACTTCCCCTCATGAGGTTGATGGTCACATTCGTCAGATGCCAGAAGAAGTCCTTATTGAATTTCATGGGAAGGTCGCATGCAGTACACAGATTCTCGCACCGTTCTCGCGAACGCCGCAGTTTGACACGGTGAAGCAGCCTGCGAGCTCTAGGCTCGTTGAGCAGCAGCAGGCTTTAGTAGATAGGAAGGAGTCATTCCTCTATATGCGAGCTCTTACGCCTACGAGCCGATGTCCAGTTGCGCGGTTGGGAAACGTCGCGTCGGGGATCACATGACCGAATTGCGGATGACGTTGTTGAACGTTGATACTGAGTGACGCCTCAACCAAAACTCCTCGACGATTCCGCATAAATATTGCTGTAAACAATCAGAAGTAACCTGCTTTAGATCGCACAAAAGCAGAGACAATGAAGGTCCACTCGTCCTCGCAGAGTGCCTTTGCCATGCAAATATAGCAGTTCACTGCCTTCCTGTCGGTCCAAACGCAATCTCATAACGTACGAATACATCGGACGGTGTAATACATGCGCAATCGCATTAATGCTCTAGGTCTTCCTCGTCTTTCATTCTGTCCTGGTCATCTGGATTCCATCCGCTCTCCTTGATCTCCTGCACGGCACCCTCCGCAACTTCTCTGGCAGCCTGTCCGTGCCTGTTTTTGTAAAACACGATACTACCTTCCTCTTCCACAAATACACATTCTGTGAACGATCGGTAAAGGGCGTAGAATTCATTCTGTGGTTGTGCCTTCAATGTAAAACAAAAAGCATACGGAGGAGAAAAACTGACCGTAGAGTCGTAATTGTAGTGCTCTTTCAGAACGGTTTGTATCGCTTTCGTGACCTCCGGTTGGTTATCTGTCTCGCGTATACATGTCAGTGAAAAGCACCGCGCCGATAACAAACGGGACCTCACAGAATGGAATAAACGAAAAGAAGTGGTGGGCTACGTGATCATGCGAAACCTTTTGATTCGAACAACACGTTCAGCTACGGATACTTTTGACGGCGAGAGAAATTCACGTTGTGCAGGAAAAAGCGGCCCACCCAGCCGAGAAGTGGTCGATCCACCGTAGCAGCAGCTCCACGTAGGAAGGACCATTCTTCCTTCCTGTAGTGAGGGATAGTAGGATCAGAGTGGTGCAGGAATGTAGCCATTACTAGAACATAATGTGGATAATCAATACGCGGGTAAGTAGATAGGTGAAAACGCCACTCACCAACCCTGCACAAGCGCCGAATTTAAGGCTTCAGCATATATCGAAGGCCAAGCGCACCATACGACCACGTACCAATGGTTGCATAGCTATCGCGCAATGCCAATGAGCAAGAATACAGTGCAGTACGACGGTCACACGTACAACGTAAGGAATAAAATAATAACCGAGGATCGCCTTCCAACCGTATAGCCTGCCAGCATACACTAGGATGGACAGCATGACCGCAATACCGATATCCGATATGATTATACCGCGACCTGATTGATGGTCACAAGCAAGATGTGAGCGAGATACCAGCATGACGGGTTATACATGCATACGCTGTTCTGGTTTGAACAACGCTGAATAAGGCGAGAAGTGATTGGTTCCTGGCGGATACATCTTTGAGCCAAGGGCATTCCACCTAAATCAGTAATTGTTAATGAGCGCTCGAGGATTTGTGCAGAAGGAGCAGAAAGTACCCCAAGTAGTACCACCAGCCACTGACAGGTTAACCGAATATGTCAGATGGTCCCATGAACGTATGGATCGAGGGAATCTTACAAGATCTGCATTACCAGCATCCGTGTCAGTACCAAGATCGGTGTCTCCTCGAGTACTTCGGCATAGTCCACTGTCGTCGCACGCTCTTGTGGAGGCAGCTTGTAATCGCTACGTAGGTGTGGGACATAATTCTCATCGCGCTCCATCGAAGCAACAGCTTTCTATTAAGACACAACATGGAAGATCCGTCAGCGAAATTACATCATACGAAGACGACGGGACCCACGTGGTGCGCGTTATGGCTGACTTTCCACGCGAAGAATGGCGTAAGGATGAACTACGGAGAAGATATGCAGACGGAGATGTAGCGCTAAGGCGGAGAGAAGCATACCGTGTCAAGAATGAAACCAAGGACGTCATTAAGCCAGCGTCTCTCATAAAGCGTTCCGTGGCCAAGCTATGGGAAGATCATATCATGAATCTCAAGAATACCAGAAGGTCCTTGTGGCGTTAAGCTCACTTCGTGTGCTATAGCAACCGAGCTTAGCAGGCTGATTGAACAATTCAGAGCACATTACACTTACCTATGCAGAAGAAACTGGCGAAGGCAAGTCCTTGCCACCACCAATATGTCATCCACATCAATGCTCTGAGAAGAACGATCTGCCAAGTCGACGTCAAGGGGAAGTATCCGCAGAATCCACTCTGTAGCAGTGCCTCTATAGAACCGGCGAACGCAAAGAACACAGTACAGAAGAAGACGTCACGAAGCACGTAGCAAGAGGAGCGCAGAGGATCCTTTCGCAGCAGACGTTTCGGAACCGCATCGTGGATCTGCTTCAAGGTGATCGTGGGTGGCGCGAACGGCCGAGCAAGCCTGATCGTGTTAGAACGATAAGTCCAAGCAACGGTACGATATATAGCATGTAAGTCAGACACTCGAAGGTGACAAATTGAATTCTGATTATGAGCGCACCTGGCTTCGTATTCGGGACTGTTGGCAAACATGGTGCCAGCGGATTCAGGTTCGGGGTGGAAACTAGACCGATGAACAGTGGTAGAGGGACGGCCTGTTGTAGAAGAGAAGTAGAGCAGAGAGTACCTCAGAGATTCACGCGAGCAATATTGTAGGTTCACCCCAGCATGCGACCAGTGTCTTAAATAGCCTCAAGTTGTGTTCCGGCAAATAGGCTATGTCCGTATAGTAATTCTCCTAACCAGCCGTAGCTCCAGACACAGCTCCGCTTCCGGACGCCGACTCAGGGTCCTCCCGTGGACCCACGTAAAATGAAATTCATCACCGCTACCATATGAAAATGCGACACACGACATAGACAGGCCAGCAGTGAGACCAAGTTATGGAACACTGAGTCGGCGTGATGGGATTCTGGGGAGAAGCTGCCATCGCATCTCGATTGTGGCACGAGGTGAAGTGTGAAAGTTCTCGATCCACCCCAAGCTCTGCAAGAAAGAACGGACGAGATAAACGAACGCTTGACTCCCGAGAGCCGAAGACGGGACTCAAATCCAGGCATGTCGCAGGTAAGAAATTTGGAATTCCCCAGGGCGCACCATGATACAGCAGCAAACTCCAACGAATGGAATCAGAACAGTTGTCGCCTTGAAGTGACAAGGTTCAGGAATAATCAGAGGATTCTAGCAGCGAGCCCTCCAAGGACGCGGCCTTCTCAGAGATTTCTTAGCTTCGGATTAGTATTTCGCACGGACCAGCGGGGTTCTGCGCTGACGCTCGCGCACTGCGCCGAGTGTGCCTGTAAGTAGACCGGTATCTGCCGAAAACGTCTTACCTATGGATTCAGAATGGGGTTCACGAGCGACATATGGACGTCATCAATGATGCAGATGCGAAGATAGCCACCACGGCGGAGCAAACACCTGTATATACCATAAGTCGTAAGTTGTACCCCCGAGATGGACGTAGGACAGTCCGAGATCACGAGCCTTAAGCTTGCAGAGGTCTAATATGCTGTCGATTCAGCATCATCTGGTTACCATTCGGATAAAAATACATACCCGCGTAGTAGCGACGCCGGACACATATGTCAGAGACACTACCGCATTCACTGCGGTGAACTACATATAAACCAAGCGAGAAGTTCCAAGGGAAAAAAACCCAACGCAAACTCACGCAGGGCCATGCGGTTAAATATATGCCGACACCCAGTCGCACGGAACACATGAAGCGTCGCCGTCATGAAAAGCGTGTCTCTGGTGTTGGCGTGCGCTCCGTAGCCGTTGCGAATCCCAGTCAAGCGAAACGGGAAAGGCCGCCACTTACAGGCTCTCGAAGAACTGTGACGTGACCGTGACCGTAGCGGTTGATGTACTCCGAGCGCGGTGGCTAATTTATGACTATTCTCCAAGAACGCTCCATCCAGTTGAAGGATCAAGCGCAAAGAGAAGCTGTAATGTCAGGTACATTGACTTTTGAGGCGCACATGAGCTAAGCACCAGAACCCAATCGACTACGATGTCTGAAGGATAACAATGAGAGCTGCATACTAAGTTACCATACTTTCCTACAATCGAAGTGCAGTACTTCCAAAACTTCCTAAGGGCAGATCATCTTCTTTCGATCGCAGACATCCTAGGAGAGATCACCTCAAGGGGAGGAGGGACATCTATGACATTTTTATGGCCTATACCTTGATTATTAAGGTCATGGCACACTTCATGCATCCACACCGTGATATAATTCTACATCGGAATCCCTGAAGCCAATCACGCGTGTGCCCCAAGTTCTAAGTTCATGGCCCAACAGAACCGTCCTTGGTCGAGGTAAGAAACAGCCCTCATTCACCAGGTTCAGACGAAGAGCACTGAGTACCACCGTCATGACCGTTCTGCTCACATTACCTAACGTAAAAAAATGTCGATTGCAGGAATCAGAATATTAATCTTTCCAAGTGAAGCGAAGGTACTGAGGCTCACCTGCTTTATCTTGACATCGAAGCCACCTGTATGCAAAGGAAGGAGCACTGAAAATTTTCCATAGTCTTGACATGAACTACGTAAGCGCCTTTTTTAAGTTGTTCCGAATCATGCGTTTGGGTACCCCAGGCATTATTATCTTCACGTGTACGCCTGGTTCAGGGAATACCGATGTTGGGCACTTCATCTAGGTCCGTATACTACAGATGGCACCTCATAATAGCTTCAACATGTCGGAATTGTCAAGGGATTATGAGCTAACCAAGGGTACGATGATTCAGAATTTCCAGAGAGAGGGCCGGGTGCGCAACTTGAAGCAGCGTGACACCACTGTGATACTGGTGACCGTGACACCTCGCGTTTGTTGACTTCTCACGAAAGTCACGTGCATATACACCATTCTCGTCTCTCCCACCAAGGCTTCTGCCATCCTCTACCTTCTTGAGTCCGTCCACCCGTCCTATGACTGAACAGATCAACTTTTCTCTCTCCCAACTATCTCTGCAATCCCCAGGTTCTGCGGGAGAGGAGGACTGGGACCGTTCTATGCAGCTGCAGTCCGAACCTGAGCTGGACAGGCGGACTCCGCGGAACTCTGTCGTGTTCCCTGGCAACACAGATAACAGTGGGGAGGGGGATACGGGCGATGCTCCGGGGCGTACGCATGGTCAGTCTACTGGCGGAGGGAAGCCGAAGAGGACACTAAGCGAGCTGCTGCGACTGCATGCTGCGAATGGTCCCGACGGGACGTTTAGCCCCGAGGAGGCCAATAGGGTGGCAGAAGTTTTGGGACAGTGGGTGAGTTCCCCAGCCGATTCCTTGATCGCCTATATTTGGGTGTGTGTGAGAAGAGTCCAGGTGGACACTTGTTCTCCACGTTCCTGCGAGGATCTCGCGCTTCGCACGCGTGCGATGAACGCTTTTTTGACAAGAAGGGAAGGTGATTGGGCTCCGTGTGAAGTTTTTCTTGGGGTTCTTTGAAAGGTGCTCGCTCGAAGACGCTGCGTTGCTCTGAACTAGCCATCATTTCTCATCCCATGAGAGCTTCACATTCTGACGCTCTCATCCTTCACAGATCAACTCTTCCTCTTCACCTTACGAGTCCGAAGATGACTTTTTTACTCGTGCGCACTCGCAGGACGACTCCTCGATCACAACTAAACGATCATCGTCCACAAGCTCATTCGATACTCACGTTCGACCACGAGGCCAAAGTGCAAGCGTTGCCGGTCAATCATGACCGGGATGCCAAGGCGCCGGTTGTCTCATCCAGCGATCCTTCGAACCATCCTAGACTTTCTTCATGCTGGTATGTGCCTCTCCTTATGTGTCTGAAAACTAGTCTTAACCTGGCATGAATAGGCCACTAGACATCTATATTCCTTCAAATGTTGCGACCATTTACGACGTGTCACGACGTTACGACCTTTCATGACCCACACGACCTTCTCAAAAACTTTCCCGTATTTATCTCCTTACATCTTTGCTGTGAATATGCTACTCTATATGCTCTTATATCGTCCCGCTTCCCTTTCGGATGCTCTAATCTAGTTGTTGTGTATACACTTGCTACTCGTCTGTTGTCGTGCTTACACAACCCTTATATGGTTTTCCTATAAATCTGCTGGAGGGTCTCATCAGATGAGAGGCATGAACTACTTACTGATCACCTACAACAAGACCGTAGGTAAGTCGCTGGGTAGCAGTAACTGTGCCAGAAGGATACCAGAAGGAGAGGTCGCGCCTACTGCTGACCCTGGGCAAGACAAGGTGGGCGTCCAGCATTGGTGTGAGCGGACCGGAGCAGGACGGACAAAGCGGCTAGGCCGGCCAGGTGAGGCGGCCGCGTCCCACCAGGAGCCGTACTTGGTCTCGTACCCAGACGGTTATCTCATCGCACTTCGCTACGAGGGAAGCGCCGCCTCCTCGCGGCAGAGACCTTGCTTGCGACATTTGCCACCATACAGATTCGAACCTGAGATGTTGCCAAGTCGGGACATCGTGCAAGATTCAGATGCACGAGAGGAACCGGGGAGTCGAAGAGCGCGACAATTAAGAGCGCGGAGAGACCTCGCAAGCAAGGTAACCTTACGGTTAGCGCCCGCTAAGCGCGGGCTAAACGAAGGAGGGTCTGTGCCGAATTAGGCAACTGTTGTGAAGCTTGAATGTCTTCCTTCGTCGAAGAGCCAGCTATCACGGACATGCAGGCCGCAAATTTAGCATGAACACTGTATTTTAATGTTGTGTATCCACATAGAAAAAGTTCACTACCACATGAAGAAGCTTGACCATTTCGGCAGCTGAGCATTTCCGGCATCCCTTTGCGTCAGAGTAAACTCAGAACCATCTCAGAATAGTTTCAGAGGATTTAAGAAGCTTACTGAATTCATAGAAACTCAAAAAAACATGAAAACTGTAAGGATTGGGCATAGAAAGCAAAAAATGCGGTCAATGAGTGGGACGACAATTTTAACAAAGCCAGAATTAAAGAAGCCCGTAAGCCAGACTTCTCGGGCGGCCAATGGGCGCTACCGTAAGGTAGGGCCTCTATCGAAGTGCCCCAGACGTGTTATCTGCGGTGGTAGGGTGCGATGAGATAACCGTCTTGGTACGAGACCAAAGAGCAGCTGGGCAGCCAATTAGACATCAAGTAGATCCGGAAAACAACCGAGAACAGGGAACAGATGAATTCGAACCGACTACGCTACACAAAATAGCTCAGGGGCCAAGGTGTCTGTGACTTGTGACCGGGACCGGCCGGGTTGGTCGAAATGCTACAGTACTTTTTTTAGTTTTTAGAGCATGAAAATATCTAAGTCTCACACCGACGGTGTAAATCTGCCCATTCTGCATTAAACATCCTTGCGGAGTCCAAGCTGGGTACACTACCAACACGACCCAGACCCTCATTCGTGCTCACTTGCGGGCAACTCGTGCAAGGTGGCGTTGTGTCGATCGGTACCGTGTTCACCCTCCAGTGCCTATCATAATCATTTTTCTGTCTCACCTAATGTCGTTTTCCGACCTGCGATCCGCTCGGCAATCCAAACAATATCGATCATGCGTGAAAGCGGTCGCCTCCATTGCTCAGGCTGCACCTCCACTACGTTCGGCGAATGACAAAAGTGAAAGAGGTACACCGGCTGGAACCAGTGATGGATGCGAGGTAGTTGACTTGAAAGGCCTTCACCAATCTCTGCCATCATATTTGAAGATTCGCAAGACAGACCGAGCAGGGCGAGGAGTTTATGCAAAGAACGCATCCAAGACAGGTTCGCTACTTTTCGAGTATCAGAACCGATTGGCCTTGTTGTTACTGACAGCGAACAGGCTCAGTTTTATTTTTCAGAAAACCTCATGTCAGCGTGCTCTCGACATCGTGCATCGATACCCATTGCTCGTCCTGTTGTGAGCCTGCTCCCGACTCGGGCTTGAGACGCTGCACGCGCTGCCGTTCCGTGTGGTATTGCGGCATTGTACGTACGTTATACAGACGAGTTTTGATCATTGTAAGCTTATTTTCCTCCAGAAATGTCAGAACAGCGACTGGTCATTGCATAAGAATGAGTGCATCGCGTTGCAGAGATGGGCGACCTCCGCTCCTTCTCCAGAGTTGGCCATTCCAAGTGATGCTATCAGATGCCTGGGCAGAATTTTATGGAGTGCACAAAAGGAGGGTCTAGACAGTCTTTGGGTATCTACTGACATTCAATTCTGGCGGTGTCTAGCAAGAACTGATTGTGTCCTTCAGACAAGAGAAATATACACGATGCAATCCCGTGTGTCGTTTCTGCAACCATCTCCAATTGTGAATTCACCGTTATCCAGATAGATCATCTTTACCGCCTTCTGCATTCGAGTCACATACACATCTAGCTCATTCCATAGTTCGGTATGTTGGCGTGTCTTCTCCCACAGAACTGGCAGCGTTCGGACTATCATCCGCAGGAGACCTGGTCGATCTTATCTCACGGGTATGTTGCAATGGCAATCGTTAATTTTTTTGACAAAATCTCACGCCGTTGTACCAGTTCACTACGAATACGTTCACGCTTACATCGCCCTCGCTTACACCATTGGGAGTGTCTGTTTGTCCTACTATCGCGTTGGCCAACCATTCATGCGACCCGAATGCTGTGATTGTCTTCCCCAGAGCGTCAAGTGACCCTCAGGCTCAGGAGCCCTTGATGCATCTTGTGGCCATTAAGGATATTGCTCCGGATGAAGAGGTATCTCTACATCGTGCTGCATGTGGCACGATATTCTGATCAACCCTCAGGTGCTCACCGCTTATGTCGATACAACTCTTCCCCAGGCTAAACGACAGCGGGAGCTCGAGGAAACATACAATTTTTCTTGTGGATGTGCGCTGTGCAGCAAGAAGTTGACAATCGATCCTCGTGCATCCATGTGGTGTCCGGAGAAGTGCGGCGGCACTTGTCCAGTACCTACCGAAGGTACATCCATATTCGTTATCACTCTATCACAGTGCTCATCTCTCCGAAGAGAACAATTTCAGTCGTTGCACACAATGCCGAGCAGTGGTCTCTTCGACTAATGCCGTGCTGGACGCACTGCGCCTGGGCCAGGAAGCCCTCGACAAGGCATCGTTTCTCCAATACAAGGGTATGTTCTGTTACTTTGTTTTTCACCGCCGATTCTTATACCAATCCTAGATCCCCGACGAGCAGAACGCCTCACGGCCAATATGATCCCGATCCTCTCATCTGCTGGCCTCACACCGTCATGCCACCCTCTTCTCGCCATTTACCGTTTGCGGTTGGAGCTATTGATTGCTTCGCTATCTTCTTCTATAACTCAAGAAGTGCTAGACGAAACCATTCGTACCGCCGCCAAGTACAGTGCGGGGCTGACCAGTGTCTTATCGCCCGGACATCCCGTTCGCGGCGTTGCACTCGCCGAACTTGGTAAGCTGCTCGCTGTTGATGAGCCTTCCTCACCTGCAACGGGAGGCGAGACAAAGTTCCCGCCGTCTGGAGCTGCACGCTTGAGGTTGGCGTATGAGACACTGGTGCGCGCACGCGACGAATTGGTCGTGGGCTTTGGATCACAGACGGGAGGAGGCTTAGTGGGACAGGAAGTGAGGGAGACGCTGATCAGGCTAGAGAAGGAACTTGGCGTATGGACTCAGGGCATCCGGAACGTCATTGTGGATACGCCGGTCGAAAAAACGAGTCAGTGAAATTTTCGGGTGTGTCTTGCATATGCACATACACTCTCCATCTCGTTAATTGAACTCCATCTTTGACGACTGTATAGAGCCCCCCATGTTCAACTTGATGTGCTTGTGCCAGTCACTCGTGCTCAATGACAATATACGATGGCACTGGTTTTGAATATGCATATGACCCAACGTTCACCTCTAGTTTAGATCGCAACGATGGAGGTGATTCCCAGAATGGCAATTCTTCGTTCGGCTGTTTCGATCTCGACTACCACCAATGCATGCGTAAAGAGTACTCACTCGCGGCTCGGATAGCAATATCCGTTACCGAGATTGCGAAGAATACGCACGGGAAGGTCGAATGACTCGACGGGTGCTCGGATATCGGATAATGCGTTCGCCAGATAAAAGGGCTCGCTATGCCTCTGTCTACCCACTTTGCATATTCGCAACTCCATATACACGTCTACACTCGCCGCACGCATATCATGAGCAAGCACTCTGTTCCTAATCTCGCTTTCAAATGTATCGACGCTGGCCGAATCCAATTGCTCGACGTACTTGGCGCTGGTGGTCATGGCACAATCTACCGTGCTCGCGATCTCTCGTCGTCTCTCGCACATCCCATCTTCTACGCCGTCAAGGTGCTTCATATCTGCAACATCGAGACACAAGGCGGCATCTACCAGTCTCGCGAGGTCCACCTTCAGCACTGCGTCTCGGACCACCCAAACATCCTCACCTTACACCGCGTCGTGCGGGACGCCCATTACCTCTATATTGTGCTGGACTACTGCCCTGGAGGCGATATGTTCGGCATAGTCTCACGCAAGAATCTCTTCGCTAGAAACGATGAGCTCATTCGCAGTCTCTTCTTACAGCTCATCGATGCTGTGCACGCATGCCACCAGAGAGGCATCTACCATCGTGATCTAAAACCCGAAAATATACTTGTCAGCCGAGATCTCACTCAGCTTTATGTTGCCGACTTCGGACTTGCTACCAAAACTCGTCACAGCATAACGTTTGGCGCTGGAACTACCCTCTACATGAGCCCTGGTGAGCATAAACTTTACTTTGCAGAGTTGAGTTGTACATCTTTAATCTTATGTCTGCCGTGTAGAGTGCCTCAATGCTGACTCACACGCGAAATCATACGACACTCGACGCGGCGATGTCTGGGCTCTCGGCGTCATATTCACAAACATGGTGTCTGGACGCAGTCCTTGGAAGCGTGCGACACTTGACGACAAGTGTTATCGTTATTTCTTGGACGATCCGGACTTCTTGCGCAAGATGTTACCGATCTCTGAGAGCACACACCGCATCCTTCATGCAATCTTTACCTCCGACCCCGGTGCCGCCATCGAATTACCCGCTTTACGCCAACTCGTGGAGAACACTGACACGTTCTACATGAGCCAGGAAGAGATTGCCGCCAGCAACGAACACGTGCAGTCTGCATGGGAATCGTATCGCTCTCCGAATTCGCCCCTTATGAAAGACGATTCAGACGATTCAGACGAATGGACGACTTCGGAGTCTAGCTTGAGTTCGCTGGAAGACGACTCGGATGACTCAGACGAACACAGCGACGGTGTCGAGTCGCAATCATTACTCAACGTGGAGGAGGGACACTCCGTTGGCGCTTGTGATCGGAAGTCTTCTCCACACGGCTTAGGTGACGATGGTGCGTTGGAGGCTCACAAGCCACATGGAACGGATCAATTCCTTCCTCGCCGTATTCGCACCGTTGTTGGGTTGCCTCAGGAAGAAGACACAACTTCGTCATCCTCTGGATTCTGCGACATATCGAGCTCCGACGACGATAGCGACATTCTAATCACTCCGGAAATGCACGAACCGGCTGACGTAGCTCCAAAGTCTCGTAACGGAAGTCTTGGCGGAGTGTATTCTCGCCCACCGATCGGTCGATTGGGGAAAATTCAATGCTCTGAGGTGGGAGTGCAGCCGTTGCGCCGACTGGTGGACCGGTTCATCATTGATTGATGGGGGCGAACGGACTTGACGGTGACGCAGGCGTCACCTTTCCGTAGGACATTGTGTATCCGTCTGTATGTTTATGCTACATTGCGACACCATGCCGTTCTGCAACAATTATTTGCTTTTGTAAGTTACATACCGTACGCTCTTACTCTCTAAGTGTCATGGCGCCCATCTTGGATGATTGCCAAAGTCGGATTCGCTCACAAACGCGGGCGGAGTTATGAAAATAGAACTGAAATAGGAAGACATCAACCAGTCGGACAAGGGAGTTTCAAAGCAGCAGCTTGCCCAACATCTTAGGCCCTGTGTAGTGCATCCTGATTTCGTTTGAACGCGTAACCGGTATATTATATGCGTTTGATTTTAATCTCTTATTCGTGCAGGATTACTAGCTAAATGCCTGCTGAAGTCGTGCTGTCGGCAGCATTTCGAATAGAACCGAGGGTCGAGTGCCGGTCAATACTGAAATATGCCGCGCCGCGATGTCCTTCCTTCCTGCACGGATGTGGGTGAGGCGGATACTGGGTGCACGGAATGCTGCATCCGAGTGCTTACACCCGAGGGCCTGTCTCCGAACCGAGCACACTTGAAAGGCATAAAAGGTGAGCCATCTTCGCTCAATTCCTCCAATTTCACTATCCACGCCCCACACCCTACACTTGTCATACACGTTTAACACGCGATGGCTGCTAGCTCTATCCCCAACTTCACCGGTTATCTCCTTGATGGAGGACGGTTCAAGCTAGTCAAGCTCCTCGGCGCTGGCGCCTATGGAGTAGTGTATCGTGCGGTGGATCTTCACGCCCCTTCGTCGTCCTCTGCTACCGCTCCAGTGGAGCGGGCCATCAAAATCCTTCGCAAGGCTGGTCCTGCGAAGTCCGATACCACCCAGCAGAGGCGCGAGATATCTCTTCATCGCCTGGTCTCGGAGCATCCGAACGTTGTCACCGTTCACGATGCGTTCGAAGACAGTAAATACTTCTATCTGGTCATGGACTATTACCCTGGTGGTGATTTGTTCCGCCATATTTGCGAGAAGAAGGTGCTCGTGAAGAACGATGAGATGGTGCGGAAGGTGTTTCTGCAGATCTTGGATGCTGTCCAAGCCTGCCATCGCAATAAGGTCTTCCACCGTGACCTTAAGCCCGAAAACATCATGTGCAACGTAGACGGCTCTCAAGTCTACGTTGGCGATTTCGGGCTTGCGACGAGCCGACCGCTCAGCTATACGCATGGCTGCGGTAGCTCATTCTATATGAGCCCTGGTACGTCCTCTCATTCCAGTCACCGTCTTCATTTGTCTGATACTGTTTCTGTCAGAATGTATCGGCGAGGAACTTGGCTTTGCAGCCTACTCAACCAAGCAAAGTGACATTTGGTCGCTTGGTGTCATCCTTATTAATATGATCACCGGGCGCAACCCTTGGGAATCCGCTCGCTGCACCGACTCGTGCTTCAGTGAATTCATCCTCGACCCCGACTATTTCTACCACTGCATGCCAATTTCACGTGGCGTCGCCGACATCCTCAATGGGATATTCGTCCTTGATCCTTCCTCGCGTACCTCCATTCGGCGCCTGCGCAAGGCTATCCTGGCGGTAGACACTTTCTTCATGAGCGCCACCGAAGAGGCCCAGCTTGCTGAGGCTGCGCGCGCCTCTTCTGACGTCCTAGATGCCAATACCTCTGCGCACGTCATCCAAAGCGAAGTGCTCTTTCGTGGGAAGGACGATGATGGGATGGAGATTGAGGAGGTCGACATCGGTACCATGCATCCTGATTTCGGGGAACCTCACCCTGCACACGATTCCCTCCCTCCGCGCCCTCAAACCCCCTTCGGACGCCCGATGAACGACACTACCGACTCTTCTCACCCATCCTCAGCACCCACCTTCGAATTTGACGAGGACGAGAGTGTAGACTTATCCTCCACGTCGACGTCCATGTCGGGTTACGAGACGTCTGGCCCAATCACTCCCGACGTGGTTAAGTGTGAACCGACGATTGATATCCCAGATTTTCGGGGGTTGGGAGAGCCGTTGTGTCCTCTTGCGACCGGAAAGGAGAGGTCCGCGTCGCCGACTACTCGTCTTCTTCAGCGGCTTGAACTTATTGCGGTTTCTATCGTCTGAGCTCACACGAGACAGGTGAAGCGCAAAATACCATGTAATGAATATCGTCCAGAAATGAATAAAAAAAGACAATTAAAACTGACAGATCTATAAACTAGTTGTTGTACAAGAGTGAGAACTAATTAAGCAATTTAGACTGCCTACTTCACGAGACTGGCACTACATCCAAACCTGTCAGCGAATCTGTTCAACCCGTACTCAGCTATTCTAGTGAAGAGGCTTTTATACCGCAACTCATGCACGTTCTCTATCTTAGTTGACGTTAATGTCATGACTGTCGTCCTGCGGCTGTTCAACGTTCCATGCCAGTTCTTCTAAAATCCCTATGCGTTGCACTTTTTGGAAGGCTTCGTAACGCCTGGAGAGATGCGCTGCGAAACGCCCTGAGACACAGGTTGCTGCTGAGATATACAAAGGAACGACTGTCTTCCATAGTACTATACACTGGAATCGAGCCTACTAGGCGACTACTGAGAATTGTAAGTACCTTAGGTAGCGGGAAACAGCAATTCAATAACAGCTTCTTGAAGTTCAACCTATACTTATCTCGTCCGCATTATATATTTGCTGTGCAACGTGTGCGCGCGTTCCCGGCTGGACGCCGTACTTGTTCAAGTTGGGGAAATTATATGGTGTCTATCGCACCACTCGAAGAACCGAATCGGGTAAAACGTTCCGTATAAAGTGACGTAAGAAAGGAAAGAAGTTGTATCCGTCGCTTGCCCGTCGCTCGTCCATTCGGTGCTTTTGTGATGTTCTATGGCCAATTCCACTTCCTGCGAGTTCGATATCGCGTTCAGATGACTGTCGATAGCAGTGTCAAATATCTCGAATTTTTTTGTCCTCTTAAGACGTGTCCAAGGTGAGTCCATGCTTACAGTCTCAGGTCTGACTCGGCCCCGATTCACTGGCGTGATCCACACCAATGGCACTTCGTTTGAAGTCCCGTGGACAACTGCATCTTCCGACGCCGTCTCATGCGCATGGTGTTCACAAAGAAGCAGGACATGTGCACGGAATGAATAACGGTGAGGCATTTTAATAGGACCCGTAATCGAGTGAGCGATATTCATGCATGCTTCCTCTGTCGCTCCCTACCGTTAAACCTGACGTCACGTACTTCGCGAATATCATCATGAGAAATCGGATGTAAGCACGGGGGACGCATGCAGGGGTTTACATGACTCGTGATGGCCTGGCCGTCATCTGGGCTGCATTTCTCTACGAAGATCGCGGCTCCCGTGAAGTTCTGGCGAAGGAAGTATCAAAAATAGTCTATGTCCTGGTACAAATTGTCCTCCGTGTGCGCATGGATGTAACCCAGCTTGCTGAGATGATTTGCACACTCGCAGTTTTGGCCCTCTTGGCTGCTGCAGCCAGTGCACAGTCAAATCCCTTTGACGTGAGTGCACAATTCCTCGGATACTCTTTACATCTGAAAATTCAACGGATTCGACGTAGTTCCCTGAGTATCCTCCTGCTGGGACTCCCGATTGGAACGAAATACTGGCGAGCGCCCAGGGTGTCAGACCTTATGGAATTGCTACCGACCCTGCTCTTGCGAACGTGCTTGTTCACTATGACACGGGATACTTTGGTCCGCAGATCGAGCTGATTCATGCCTACTACAATTATGTTCCAACCGTCAGTCTTTGTTCTGTTCGTCTGACAGTCACTCAATAGGTTTCCTTGATTATGCCAGGGTGTCGGCGCATCTAGTGATGGCTCCGTATTCACTTGCTTCCCGCGCGGAAACGAGACCTTTACTCTCGCCATTCTTAGCAGCCCGACGACCGAGGTTGCATGGCCTAAGTTCGTGGATATTTGGTATAAAGTAGAAGTTACTTACCGCGATACTCAGCGAAGACTGGAACACACCCGAGACGTTCAGTAACTCCTCGAATCCCGGATACAGTATCGCTACCTCTAAGTTTCTCTTTGTACAGTCTGTCGTGGTTGATGGCCGAGATCGGGTATGGGCACTGGACACTGGACGACCGCGAGTGAACGGGACCGTTCTCCTGGCCGCGGTTCCTGGCGGGCCAAAGCTGATCGGATTCTACCTGAACGGTACGAATTTCGCGAGTTACACTTTCCCCAGTGACGTCGTGTACGCGGACTCCTCCCTGAACGACGTGCGCTTCGACTTGCGCGGTGGTGGCTACGCGTACATCACAGATAGTTCGCCGCAGCGCCCTGCGATCGTCGTGGTAGATCTCACGACGGGCCAATCATGGAGGCACTTAGAGAGTCACCCGTCCGTGAGCCTTGATCTCAATTTTGTTCCCCTGTACAACGGAGGTGCGTGAATGCAGTACTTGAGGGTATCGAGTATTGACTTGTGTTTGACGTAGTCCCATTCTACTACCACAACGATATCGCGCCCAATGCTGTCATCAACTACGAGGCTGTAAGGAACCGTCGAACAAAAAGTAGAAAATGCTGTCTGATCACCTGTCTTTTGTGCGCAGTTCGCAGTAGATGGTATTGCTTTGGCAGCTGGTGAGGAAACTGGTATTGATATGTTTTAAGTGTTGCTCACTTTCATGAAGATGGCGAGCATTTGTACATCTCTCCCTTGTCAGACCGCCATCTATGGAGAATTCCCACGTCATTCCTCAAGGTACAGCCTTCTTCGAAAAACCCTTACGCGGGGCTACTCGCTCGCCAGGCTGTCCAGTTGGCGACTGAGACCGGAAGCAATGCTGACGGTCTTGAGACGGATGCATCAGGGTACATCTACAGTGGATCCATCGGTGCGCCGTACGCCACGACACTAGACGGCTGTACTAACGTGTACCATTCGCAGAACACAACGGAATTAACCGCTTCAACAATAACACCGGCATCATGGAGCCGTTCATCCGTAACCCTGTCATCCAAGTGAGTAGATTAATGATGCGTACGGGGGCAATCTAGGTCGCAGTTGCTAACATGTAGCTCAAGTGGCCTGACACTTTGTCTGTCGTGACGCTGCAGAGTGGAGGAAAGTACCTCTACTTCACCTCTAACCAGTGCGTACTCGAGTATCGTCCACGTGCTGATTAGTGCGTTCCGTCTTGTGCATGATGGGCTGATTTTCCACCGTGCAGATTGTGGCTCAGTCCAGACTATCAGAACGGGTGAGTGCTCTTCCTCGAAGTCCGCTACGCCTCACGTTCTCACTTATGTGGTACGCGATCAGCACGGATCTACGTACGAAGCCGTATGCGATGTTCCGAGTTCCGCTGGAGGCAGGGAAAGCAACGCAGACCGAGTAGTCTAGCAAATGGCGCTAAGGCTCAGAAACACGCGTCACAGGTACTGTACTGTTGCACTGTTAGTACGGGTCTCGTAATCGAGAGTGATGGTTTGAATGATACACTATGTCTGCTGAGCCGTGTGAGCCAGCGGCCGCTGCGGTGTGACTTGTGTGCTGCCAGTGGTGGATAAACATAAAATGCGATATTTTGTCTTGACTTGCATGATGGACATGGAATGTTATAATTTGTCGAAATATCAGCATAGAGATATGCATTCACTGTTTGCATTGATGGAATGAGGTTGTAACTGAAGTACTGTCGCGTGGCTTGTATCAATATACGTCACGTGATGAGAATAATACTTTATTATCGGCTCCATTGAGCGCCGAGCGCTGAGCAGTAGTAAGTAAGTACTCCCGAGTTCATCATATTACTTGACTGTCTTCCCCGTTCTGACTGCTGCACATCGTATTTTCGTTTTGTCTTCCAGGGCGAACGCAATCAAATCGGGGTGAAGAACGTGTTCAAATTATTCAGCACTTGGACAAATAATTTCTGTCTGCTTGTACCCATTGTTTCTACCGTGCCATTCAAGAACAAGCTTAGCGTGGGCGATGTTTGACGACAGCGAGCCATCTTCTCCGACTAGCGCACTCGTTGCGCTTCCTCCGCTGGATCCTGAATGGCAGCCAATCCTCCACGTTTCGAACCAGGTCGTTCTCTATAACCCAACCTCGCATGCGATATCTGTACGCACTCAGTCTCGTTCCCCACCTCCCACCCTGGTACACAGATCAAGTACAGATGTGCGCTGTCCATATTGTCACCGTTTGTTGCCTGCGGACTTGCACGCCGAGGATGAATCAGAGCGCGATTTCGAACTGGACGCAGAGTTTGACAGACACTCGCACAGCCGTGCTGCGAATTACTTCCAACTTCTCGAAATCGCAAATGAGACGGCTTCACGTCCTGTCACACCAACCACTTCTAGCTCGAACATACGGCCGTTTGCTACCTTTAGCGATACTCAATATGCAGACTCCAGCGGGAATAGCACGCGTGGTCCTAATGGAAGTGCCGGAGGCAATGCGTTTCGTGCGGAGAACATGGCTGAAGGTTACTTCAAGGCTTTCTTCAAGGAGGAGTGTCGGCTTGGCATGGGTGCGAACGGCAGTGTCTTCTTATGTCAGGTAAGTCGTGCACACATACAGTATCATGGGAGCGCCATGGTCGACAATATGTGGATTGCACTCTTTGCAGATGGTGTTTGCAAGGGTTGCGGACCACATTTGACCCTTGAAGATCAGGATTTTTGTTGTTGTCGTTCCATCGATCGCTTCAAAATATCTTGTCGTCCAAATGATTCCATGTCCCAAAGTCATCATAATTTTGCACGTAAACGCATGCTCAATAAATAACCATGTTCATTTAGCATGTTCTGGATGGGAATTTGCTTGGTTGGTGCTTCGATTCGTGTGACGCAAGCTGCTATCAACCCTGAACGTGCTAGGTCATTTCGCTGTGAAGAAGATAGCCGTGGGCCAATCTCACTCCTACCTATTGAACATCCTCCGTGAGGTGCGCAGCGTCTACTAGCACGTCTACTCTGTCTGTATCGAAGTATGTCGTCCTCTTAGGTTCGCCTGCTCGAGACACTTCATCATCCAAACATCATCACCTACCACCATGCGTGGCTGGAGAATTGTCAATTCTCCTCTTTCGGACCGAAAATCCCAACTCTCCAGTATGTCTCTGTCTCGCCACTCTTGTTTCTTCACAAGTTGACAGCGTACAGCGTGCTCATGCAATGGGCCGAGGGCGGGAGTCTCGACGACCTGATCGATGCGCGGCTCGGTAGGGGCGCCGCCGTACTTCCGCACGTTCACCCCTTCGGCTCCACGACACCGACAAGCCCCGATACTCCTTCCTCGCCATCACCCTCTCAAGCGCCTTTCTCCCGGAGCATGCGCATACGGGCTTTCCGAGCGATGCAGCGTGCGCCGCCGGAGGAGCGTGAGCGGCTGCGACGTGAGATGGGTCTGGCCGAAATGGGGGCTAGCGGTCGGCCGATCGACTTGAAGGCAGTACATCTCCTCAGCGCGGAGGAGGTGCGCGGGCTGTTTGGTGACGTCGTTGCAGGACTCGCATTTCTAGTGCGTGCTACTCCCACGATCAGATTGTGCTCGCAGCTGACGGATAGGTTCCAGCATGATAAGTCCATCTTGCATCTGGATCTGAAGCCGGGTAATGTGCTGTTGACTTGGGACGAGGGACGGCTAATGCGCGTGACCTTACATCATAATGAGATCGTCATTGTACTGATGTGCAAACAGCCCTCGCGCTATGCTGAGTGACTTTGGGACGTCCCAAGACAGGTTATCATCGCGAACTCGTTCTGGAAACACTGGCACGTACGTCTTATCTTCTCATTCCTCTGCATACGCCGTCGGCTTCTCACCAGCACACAGGCTTGAATATACATCCCCAGAATCCCTGCCATCGCCTTCGACAGGGTTGCTCCAACAAGTGGATTCCAAGGCAGATATGTGGAGCGTGGGCATGATCCTACACAAGCTGCTTTTTTTCCGGCTTCCATATCGTCATGCATCGGACGGCGACGAGCAAAGGGACGGACGGGAGACAGCAGACATACTTGAACATGAGGTCGCCTCCTACTCAGGGTGCGTCGAAAGTAGTGTGTGAGCTACAGATATCGCTGATACAGATCCAACGGATGATCCTCAGGTTCAAATGTACTTCTGCGCATGTCACCGCTTTTGAGTCACGGCGCCTTCCGCGCGCGTATCTCGTCCTCCTCGAGAGTCTATTGAATGTGACGCCCGCAATGCGCCCGTCCTCCGAACGCGTGCTGAGTGCTATCCGCGAAGGCCGGGTGAGTGTCTACCACGTTTCCTCAGCCCTCGTCGCCACCTTGGTGATCCGCGTTGAAATCATGAAATCTAACCTTCGTTCAATCAACGCACAGCTTGACCCGATACCCTCGGCACGAATACGTCGCACGAGCTCGCGCACCTCCTTGATCCCGGTCCCAGTAAGGCGCCTAATGGACGCTGCGTCGACTGCGCTTCCCAGTGGGTCTGCAGAGTTGCCTGCGCCGAGTTCGCAGTCGGAAGTCGATGTCGGCGTGGATGTGGAAGGGTCACGTACACCTCGGCCAGGTGAGAAACATGCGGATAGCGTGAGAGTCCCGCTACTCGGACTGCCCATGCCGCCAAGCTCCTCTTCATCGAGTAGCCTCACAGTTGCGGACCACATGGTCTTGAGGTGGATATATGGTGTGCTGGTGCGCGGGAGACGCATTCGAATCGGGATGCCACACATCTGGGCTCGCACTCTCAAGTCGCTCGTGCTCGTGACGAAGGTATGTCTTTTCATGTTCTTATTACTGTGCTGTTGCGTGTGCTAACAACAATTGCGCTGTGCACTGCTAGGTATCAACAATTGCGCATGTCTGCCCTGACTCACGTCTACACCCGTTCGTGGCCCTTGTGTTCCTTGTGCTCGCGGTGGTAGATACGTGGTTCGACGGGCTTGGGCCGACGCTCGTGCTTGGACTTGTGCATGTGTCGCTCATTTGGATTGTTCGGTGGAGCGGCCGAGGCTGTGCGAGAGTTCTCCAAACCGACCAACTCCATGGTTTGTGGTGAGTAGTACTTCTCCCATCACACTTTTCGATCGACGGATATGAGTGTCAATGTATATGTATCAGCAACTACACGGCTCATTCTATGTACGCTGTACCATGTACGTTGGGAGTTCGTGACGTACTACCAGTCATCTGCAATCAACCTATAACATATCTGGCACGAAGCTTTCCAAGCTTGTCAATGAGCCGGCATCTCACTAGCCATAAAGATGCCCACGACGAAAATGCTTCTGCAACATGTACATGGTATAATGTATCGCAAAAATAATATTGTATCGTACAATACATAGAATCATAGTTGGTGCCATGCAAAGATTAAATACACCCTACTGTAGTGATAGAAGCAGCGGCGGAAGATTGGTACATTAGCTGAAGAGTACACGTTGCAACCACATCACCTATCATCATATCATGCACAGCGCTCAAAGAGTCTATGGCTCAGGTCAGGATCAGAACGGGTCCACAGAACAGAGAACAGAACAGCGGCGGCGGAGAGTTAAATGTCCTGCGGCGGATCGCACGGAGAAGATGGTGGTTAAGTCCAAGCGTCACTTCATCTCCCCTCACCACAGCCTCGACCGCGACGACACCCGCAGCATCCGCAGCCGTGGAATCACGTCGGAGATGTCGCGCTCCTCGAGCACGTCCCCGAACAGTGTCGCGGTAGCCACCGCGACCTCCACGCTCCGCCCTATCAGCTTGCTGCGCGAGACGGACCCGCAAGCCAGAGGCTCATCGGCAGCGAGGTCGGCAGAACGTGAGGGTGCGGGAATCGACACGTCGTAGAGGGGCAAATCCACGACGGAAATGTCGGAGCCGTGGGACGAGGTACACTCACGGATGGGCCTAGCGGAGGGAATGGAAGAGCAGGGTGAAGGCTCGCGTCCCAACGTCCCTGAGCTCATCCTAGACACGGAAGGAGAGGCTGAGAAATCATCGCAAGCCATGTCTGCATCCGTGTCTGCGGCAGTGTCGAAGGACTCAGAAGCAAGAGGTGTGCGTCGACAGAACAATGCTTTTTGGGACCTCATCCGCTTCAGCCGCAGCTTGAGCATGTTGCTAGGGCTGCGCGCACGCTCAGAGCCGGTTTTGACATCTTCAACGAGTGAAGATGAAGAGCCGAGATCGGGAGGAGCAGTAGCGGACTTTCCCCTGCAGCCAAACCGCAGTTTCGCCCTTGAGCAAGGGGTCGGCAAAGGAGTGGTAGGCGCGACGGCAATGTGAGGGTTCACAGAGGGTAATATTAAGGGCGTTGTGAAGGTGGCGAAGGAAAGTGGCTTCGAGAACTGTCGCGAAGGTAAAGACGGACGCACGCCGTCGAATGAACGTGCTCTCGCCGTAGTCGGAGCATAACGCACATTCCCTCCCACACGGATGTCATCCTTCCAGTCCAAGATGCAGGAGTCGAAAGAAGACACCGAAAACAATGAGTCTGTGGGCGAAGGATCAACGAACTCCAGCTCATCTGCAGTGCCCTCCACTGGACGATTGTCCGACTCATCATCCTCGACGTAGTATATCGTCGAAGTCTCCTTCTCGTCGATTTTTGATACATTTGGGAGAGGAGGTAGAGGGGGAAGTAAGCCTCTGGTGTCCACCCAGCTGCCCGAGCAATGAGTAATGTCCATGTCAGGACTGGGCGACCTGCTCAGGGCGCTGCGTGACAACCTGAAGCAGGCAATGCTCTCCTTCGTTGAACGGGGTGTAGAGGGAAAAGATGCGGTCTCAGGACTGGTCGACGTCCCGCCTGGTGTCGCCGCAGGGGCGGGAAACTTGTATCGGCGAATGTGGTCTGTCCTCAGACTGCGCCTCCTCTCGAGTTCGTCCGATTGTCGGAATAGGATCGGACTGCTGGGCGAGTCGTCCGGGTCGCTGTCTGCTGCAGAAAACGGATGGCCCTGAACAAGTCCATCGGTAGTTTTCAGAAAGAGGGCTGAAGGGTGTCTTCTGCGTTTCTTGATAGATAAAACGGGGTCTGATGAGGGTGGTGCTGGGATATCGAGGTCCGAAGTGGGCAGGCGCAGAAGGTCAGGGAACGACGAAACGGAGAGCGGAGGCACCATCGTGAAAAGCAGAACAATTTTACAAGAGAAGGGTATAGAAATGAAGGACAAGGATACGACGCAAGAAAGAAATAGAGCCAGCTAGTTGGAAGAATGGCGACACTTGTGCACAGGCGACATCCGCTGACTATATGGGCTGGGAGAGAAGTGCATTTTGAGCATGGAAGACAATCGGACCCAGGGCTGCACAGGCAGCGATTCCTGTCAGCAACGTCAAGGCGCGCGTGATGAACACAAGCATCGACTTCGACACGGATGTTAGTTCTGTTGATCAGTCACAGCCAGTCCCACCGAGGGAGGTCGCAAGGGCATCTTGATCCGTGATTAAGCGGGGCAATGTGAACAGTGTGATCTTGTACTGTACGTACACGCCACAAATCCATCGTTGTAGGGCAGTATACTCATAAATTCTTGGAGTGAGACGGCACCTGCCGTGTGTAGTAGCAAAAATGCGTTAGCCAACTGGACTCATGCCTTGCCAGAAGTCGATTTCGGTGTAGCGCCATTAATGAGTTAGGGGAGTTTGATCGTTTCCCTGCAAGAAATGAAATGAACGAAAGACAGATTGATCACACACACAGTGCATGTTTCGTATTGCGCAGAGCACGTACGTGTAGATAGATGTCCACGCTAACGGCCGTTATGTGCTGTCTTCGTACTGCAGCTGATCATCAGAACTTTCTTTTATTTAGTGCAAGAAGGACCCAGAAACGCTCGAATTTCGCCACGGCCGACATTCTTCGGATTTGCGTCAAGTGTTCAAGCGACAGCATCAGGTCCTTGCAAGCACTCTGGAGTACATCATGGTGTTGAATATAAGATATTCACCCCCACGTACCGAGGCAGATGAATTGTAAAAGAAGAGTATTTCGTCACGTAACGTGAGTAACGGTGTGCGTGACCATTCCGTACCCGTGTTGCCACGGTCCACGCCTTGCCCGCTCACCACCTGCAAAGACGGTCTCGAGAAGCCCTTGTTGTCAAATTTCTCATCTTCGCTCTCTTCTCCCTCTTCACCTGCTTCATCAGAGCGGTAGTCGACTGTAGCACGATGTCATCGTCGAGCAAAGCAAGTTCTGCAGCATCAAGCAGCAGCTCGAAGATTCCCCAGACGGCGCCGGCAGGCGCACTCACGATCACCCAACCCCCAGAGACAGCGACGTCCTACTACAAAATCGCCCCGTCTAATACCATTACGTTTGCGTGGAACTTCACCAACCTCCTTGTGACCCCTACCCACCTCACCGTCTCCGCCATCTGCGAGAACGGGAACACATATCCCGTCGGTCCCACCAACGGAATCATCGACGGCTCTGTGACGTCGGTGACATGGGATCTATGGTCGTACCAGCAGGCACACTCGGCCACCCCTCTTGCCGTTGCGACGTACACCCTGAACATCTGGGGTGATCGCGGCCCGGGTGCAGCGATGTCGCCTGGACAGCTGTCCGAGAACAGTGGGCTGAGATTTGCGTTGTATTCACCACAGCCGTACACCCCACTTTCCAGTAAGCACCTGAGGTCTATCCACCCGTCCGTCGGCCTGATACACTGGCGTGATAGGCTGGACATGTCCTGGGTGCAACGTCAATGCCTCGTGGCCGGATTATGTCGCTCATCCCGCCTTCGTCAGTCTTGTCGCGACGGTGGTTATCATGTTCCTGTCCGGTTACACCTTGCTGCGGCAAATGGCGCATTAGAGCTGCCGTTGGACGTGAACTCGGCGGGGATGCGTGCGCTGCACGCAGGACTGTTTAATCGGACACATGCGTTAAATTGGGCCGTTGGACTAGGACATCATGAATGCTATGCTACGTATTGTTTTCTCGTGTCCTCTCGTTGCATGGACATTTGTTTATTCCCACATGACATTCGCACGATATAGCATTCCATAATACTTCTGTACCGTGCAGATCCGGTTCGTACTGCCGAATGGTTTTCAGGACGTGGACGTTTGACGTCGTATGGGCAATGATATCCATAGATCGTAACACAAGCTGATATGACTGCAATCTGACTGTGTTTCTTCAGTGCCACATTCCGCCGTTGCCAATAACGAAGGACTGTAGGGATTTGTGCACTACGGTAATAAGTTAAGTAACCAGCTGCCTTCATTTCAGTGTAAAGGTTCATCCGCTTCAAGAGTGCAACTGGGACAATGCTTGACACCGTCTTGCATGCCCCAAGCCTAATTTGCAGGAAAAGTTCTGGAGCTCATGTAGAAGCGACGTGCTTCCTAAACTCACAAAAAAACCTTCCAATATCCTGCCCTATTCAGAATTACCGACATGGCACACGCACAGATACTACTACCTTGCGCCCTCGAGGTTGCCCTTCGCACGCTCTGCAATACCGAGGCCGCGCTCGCCGCTGGCAATCAGCCTCATCCGAGAGCTTCACTTTAACCTTTCGAAGTTATTCGCCGTTTTGTATAGATCCTGCGTACTTCCCAGCTTTTTTTAATTAAATTATTTGACTCCGCCGTAAACCCAACCGAAGTGCAGTGGCGACGGTTTCAAGAGCTGGCCACGCCGCGGAATCAGATCAACCGGAAGGTGTTCCAACGAGAGCATGTGCATCGCTCTCTTAAACTTCTGGGATGGCAAGCGGTAGCTGATGAAGGTGAAATAAATGCATGCGTAGTACGTACTTCACAGTTGAAGGTCATCTCGTCTGTAGGCCAACCTTGATGATCTACATTTTTCTTGGAGGTGGTTCTAAGGTGAACGGAGATCATCAAGGTCGGCAGTAGGATCGACAGTGGGAGGTAGAATCGTGAGATCTTGGAGTAGGACCATGACCGCTGGGGCGACGGTCGTTATTGTACATACTAGTCCAAATCCCGAAGAGCGGCCTGTAGATCTCTTGAAGACGTCGTCCGTCGGCTTAAGTAGGACCACGTATTGATACCTCCGATTCTCCACTTCAGCTGGGTCACCATTATATATGGCTAAGCTGATGGAGGGCCTTCAGGAGAAAGTTCGTCTGACCGAAGAGGACATTGTCGAGAGTGACTCCGAGACGATCGGACACGAGCCCGATCCAAATCTCTGCAACGACGTTTCCTCCTCGCCGCAATGCTTTATGCCACGGGTCTGTCTAGTCATGAAGCCTGACGTCGATGCCTGTCTCACTTCGCTGTACCTCACCTACGACGTCAGCAAGATCCCGCCGGACAAGAGTAGCAAGTTGCTTGGGGCAAGCAGGAACGTCGGTCGTACAAGTGGTCGCTGGCGGAGCACAGCGTACTGTTAGTGCATGCGTGGACTGTGCATTATGACCCTAGGATCGACGATTTTGAAGCTTGCGTCTTTTCGGTACGCTTGCTCCCTACTCGCATATGGGATGCTGGCAGCCGAATGCTCGTCGTCCAGAAAGCACGAGCAAGATGCCCCAGGTTGTCCTTCATCTCTTTTTGAATGCAGGTAAGCATGGTGCTATGATAAAATGCCTTCGTCGGTATCGATGTCGAGAAAGTGCTCTAACCTCGTTTGCATGGAATCCTCAGACATCGCACGGAGAGATGATCGGAGCCTGAGGACACGACCGCTTCTGCTACGATAGCCTCTATGAGCTTTCCATCTGCCGCGCACAAAGGATGGACAAGTCAGCTACTTCACGGACGATCCCACCGACTGACATTGTGAGCCTATCCGCCGTCTGTGTCCGTGCCGTGCCACCGAGGACTCGACTCGGATCTGACTGCTGGTGCTGGGAACCCGCCATTATATGCAACTGTGCACTGCTAGTCTCCACCAAGTCTTGCACTTCCACCTGAGCAATTATTCCTGCTGGTGTTGTGTTCGAGTGGCGTACAATGTCCGGAGGCTACGCACGGGTCGTCAGCGTAGATCGGGCGCGGTATAAATGGAGCAGCGACGCGCAGACCGTACACCGTTCCCGAATACTCTGTCTGGACTGGCCCTTCATTTATTTCCTATTTGGCAGCGCTTGCTGATGTTGTTCCGGCCGCCTGAAGTTGGAGGTGAGCGGCGGAAGTTGAGAAGCGCCTACCTAAGCTTTTCTGTTCCTTCTCCTGAGTTAGTTGAAGAATGATGACCCCGTGGAGAAACTTTGTCACTCAAAACTTCCGCACGTACGTGAGTGCCGCTTTTTTTGCAGTAAAATTTCGCTAATTTGCTACGAGTTAGTGTCTTTGAAAGCACTAGGTTTTAGTGTAAAGAGTTTCTATGTCGGGCCGGTAGTAGAAGTTTACAAGGACAAGAATGTTCGTTAACACGCTACAGCCACTAACCTCACGAATGGCGAATATTCTTGTTTCATGTCTGTGTGTGCTGGCTACTATAGGACTACAGCGTCCCGTCGACGTATAAATGCGACGCCGGTCTTCGTCGCAGTCCTCGCTCGTTCTTACGCGGACATCGATTGCGCCATACCAACACAAACCATGTTCTCTCCACTTGTGCTTGTGTCGTGAGGGGCTGCTGTCCTCTCCTTTGCATATCTCTTGAATGTCCGTCAAACCACTCCTGGCCCATGTACCGGCTTTGGGATCGAGGCGTATGACAACGCATCCAACTTCACGCTGGGCACACACAACCTCACATTATCCAATGCGAATGCCATGGTGCGCCGCTCATTCTTGCATTCAACAACATTGAAGCCCGGTGACTCCAATGTTGGACACTCGGTGCATTCAAACGACGAGCCGACGTTGTCGCCCGTCAACGGCTCCCTGCTCCCAAGAACCCGGCGGAACCAGACGACTATTCGAGCAACCTCGCTGTCTCTGCGGGCAGCGAGCTTTCCTTCGAGTTCTCAACCGAGGAGTCTGAGCTGCCAACCCCCGCTCAGAATCACTGTATCGGATCGATCATCATTCATTATAGTCATACTTCCATACCTGCCATACTTTACAATTGATGCAGCAGTCGTAAGACAATTTGGAGATTGGCAAGCACTGGAGAAGAGAACAAGATCAGCGCATTCGGCTCTACACTTCAGTAGCACCATTCTGGTGTCTCCACCTCTCATACTTCGCAACGACGTCCGGAGTGATCTGCCTCTTTATAGCCCGTGCAGCGGATACGAATGCCTCATATGGAACCTGTGGAAACGTTCAACACATGCGCCAGTGCGTGGGACACTTAAGGCTCACATATGGTGTATTAATATCTTTCTTCATCATTGTGAGTGCCGCCTCCTGACATAATGCAGTTATCTCTGCACCAGAGTATCCCTCCGTCTGAGAACAGCATGCGAGTAAGTAAGTGTTGGCCGGAAGGCGAAGCGAAGAACGCACCATCTGCGCCATCGCTTGGAGATCAAGATCAGGCTCCACGCTCATCTTGCGGGTGCGAATGCGCAAAATCTCTTCTCTACCCTGTTGGTCAGGAGGGCCGACGTACAAAATACGATCCAAGCGACCGGGACGCATGAGCGCAGAATCCTAAAGCCATAGATGAATGGAAAGGTCGCGGAAAATTTCAGGACGAAGAAGGCCGCACAATTATCTCTGGGCGATTCGTCGCCGCCACGATTGTCACGCCAACCAGTTCTTGTACACCATCCATCTCGTTCAAGAGACTGGTCAGAACGCCTTCATGTGCACCGCCGCTTGCGTCTGAAGACGAGCGAGAGCTTGCTAGAGCATCGATCTCATCCTAGAGAAATATCATCTATGAAAAGAAAGGTGGAGACCGACGAATAAGCTTACGAAGAAAATGATCGAGGGGGATGCAGCGCGGGCCTTCCTGAATATTTCGCGCACAGCACGCTCTGATTCTCCAACGAATTTGTTCAGCAACTATCCAGACGGTCATTTATAAGAATCGCGGTAATGAAGTCGCATGCGGAAATTAACGTACCTCAGGCCCTTTCACCGCGAGGAAATTAACCCCACTCTCCGTTGCGCAAGCTCTGACAAGCAGCGTCTTGCTGCACCCTGGCGGGCCATACAGCAGCACGCCCTTTGGCGCGCGGATGCCAAGTCTCTCGAACGCCTCGGGATGCAGCAGCGGCCACTCGACGCATTCACGCAGCTTCTGTATCGTTATCCCCTGCCCGCCAATGTCGGAGAACCGCACCGGCACGATGTCGAGGAAGAGCGAGCGCAGGGCTGATGGGCGCACCGACGGCAACGACGTGAGCAGGTCTGCTGGGGTGAGCTGAGGGGGATCAGGGGATGTAGATGGCTTGCTACGTTCGCCGGACTCTGCGGCGAGCCAGCGCTTGATTGCAATCGTGCCTGCCTCCCGGACGACCGCACTCAGGTCCGCACCAACATAACCGTGCGCACGCGCTGCAATCATGCGGAGGTCGTTTGGCGAGACACAGTGCGGAGTCTTTGCCAGGAGTACATTTAGGATCGAAAAACGTTCCTCCGCATTGGGAATACCTATAACACCATGAGCGCATATTGTACCACAGAACATCAAGGACCACTCGCCGATTTCTATCTCCCGGTCGAACCGTCCTGGACGCCGAAGGGCGGGGTCAATAGCATTTGGTCTATTGGTGGTGGCAACTACGACAACCCTCTGCGCCGCGTCACTCCCCCCGTCCTCCATGCCATCCATAATTGTCAGGAGCTGAGCGACGACACGCTTTTCGACCTCCCCGCCGGGCCCGTCTTCCCTGCGCGGACACAGTGCGTCAACCTCGTCAAGCACGACGATACATGGACTTCGAGAGCGCGCCTCGGTGAAAACATCTCGCAATTTCGACTCTGTCTCGCCGTGGTAAGCGGAGGATAGTTCGGGACCGTTGACAATAATGACAGTGGAGCGTGTGGACGCCGCAATTGCACGCGCAAGGTGAGTCTTTCCTGTTCCCGGTGGCCCATGGAGAAGGATGCCGCGCGGTGGTTTAAGGCCTGCAAGAGGACAAGAAATTTCATTAGCCAGTGATCGTGATTCCATTAGGGGCTATAAACCGAATTGGCGGAATAGTTCCGGGCGAGTGAGAGGGATTTCTATAAGATCACGGATTTGTTGTATCTGCTTGTCGAGACCTCCGACAGATGCGTATGAGTTTGGCATTGTGTCTCCTTCTGTAAGCTGAGAAAGAATCTGTGTCAAGTTCAATTCTAAGGCACGCTCGGCACAATGTTGCACACCTGCTTCTTCTCTTTGGCCGGTCCTGCACTGTTAGTTTCCGCATTTCCTTCCTCAAGGACAACCAGAGTGTCCCAATCCACTGTCCATAGCAACGATCGTTGATTAAGGGACAGTGACAGTGACTGAAAGTTCTCCGCAAACTCGTCTTCTGTCTCATGATCGGTGGTTACAAAAGAGACGGAAAAGCGCCGCATCTGCCCTTCATAGACCACCACCAGCGTCTGCGTGGAAGTCAGGTACTTGAGATCGACTATGGTGCGCAGTCAGCAAAGGGGAGTTTCGCAGCCGATGCTGCAGAACGCGATTTCTGTTCTGGCGAAAAGCGCTCACCAAGTGCTTCGCGAACTAACAAGGACAGCCAGTCGCGACGCTTTCCCTTGTCAACGGCTCGAGATGACGCCGAGTCAAATTTCGTAGATCGTTGTTGTCCAAGAATTTCGGTCAAACGGACCGTCTCTGCTCTTCGCAGCTTCCGCAGAGACGGGAGGCCGGGTGGCAATCTTGCACCGTTGAGTTGAAAGATCACTACTTTCGCGCCCTCTACCAGATGGGCGGTAAGAAGAAGCGAAGACGCGACTAACACAGCTACAAAAACATAGGAAGACGGAGAATGAGCCGCTTACGCACGTTGACAGATAGCACTGCTCATGCGGAGGGTGAAGCGGACGTCCACTCACAGTCCTGTGATAATTCTTGGGAAGGCCATGCGATACCCACCGCAAACGCCTGTCAACTCAAACCCATCAGTAAACGATATGGATGGTTGGTCGCTAAGCGAACCCGGAGACAATGAAGTGCTATTTACCTTCTGGTTTCCCGCAGCAGATAAGGCGACGACCTCGCCCGCACATACCTTACTGGCCTTCAAAACATCAGCGTTGATTATAACACGGCGTGCCTCGCGCGATATGGCGACAGAACTGGTCAGTCCCACGGAGAACGAGCGGGAGGAAATAGCAGCCATATAATCCTTTTCAGAAGAAAGATAAGACCAAGAAAGTAGATCTATTCCTGGGAGATAAACGCAATAAGACGAGCAGTTCGTACCACAAGAGTTTGAGCATACGTTAGAAGGAGTTGTTGGGTCGAGAATGCTGGGCGATCGATCAGACTTCACACTGGATATTCTTGTGAATATAGACGTCACATCTGCCCGTTCAATGTTCTTATTCACCTGTGTTAGTTTCTGCGTTTATTGATTTTTCTCCAATGGACTTCATCGATCATCGGGCAAGAAATTTCCAAAGCCACAAACTCGCGAGGATAAGCGCCTTTGTTAGCGCCCAACTTCGCTGGCCGTTGCAGTACACTTCGGTTTGCTTTGGGGGCTGGTTTGGTATTCATACTTCCAGACCTCTTCGGAAAAATTTGAGGAAGAATCGACGTTACGTCCTCTACAAAGCTGGCTGCTAGATTCTCTTTCACGACGTTGCTGAAGGGTGCTACTCCCAGAAATCCAGAGGGTCAATTGGTGCTAACTATAACGACAGCGCAGCAGCATAATACTTTGTTCCCTCTTACTCCGGGTCAGATTCTCCGCGAATATGCAGTCACGGAGCTGCATCTATCGCTGAACGCGGGGAACTGGAACTATCATGGATAGCGGTGTGGGTACCGGAGCAGGGCTCTGGGTGTGGATGGCAGATGGCGCTCCCATATCGTGAGTCCAGTGAGTTTGTTGTCACGGTGGATAATGGATTTAACTCGAAACACTTCTCAGTGTTGAAGAACGATGGCAAGGTCTTCGTATTGCTCTTGCCGGACCATTCTGTGCCTCACTGGGTTCACTGGATGAGCAGCACACCACGTCGCCTACTCTATCGTTCCAACCTGAAGGGTGATTACCAGATTGGAAAGCCCCTCACCAGTTACGCCACGCCACGCTACCGTCGGAGCATGTCTGCACTAAATATCTTACACCATTCCTCAAATTGCTCCCTTGTAAATCGCTCTCAGGCATCGCGCATCTGCTCAATCCACATCGGATTTTTGACTGGGTGTGGAAGTGAGAGTAACCTTTCAGGCCGTCTTCGATCCCTTCCGGTTATCCCCTAACAAGCGTAGAGGTTAGCATTCCGCCGCCCCTCCCACCTTATCGGCGTTGTTGATGACTGGACTGGCTACGCGTGCGCGACTCAGACTGGTCACTCGGTTCAATATTTGACCGCACGATTGACAGAGCGTGCCCGGTTACATGCTCAAGCGAGGTTCGAGTGGAGCTACCTGGGAAGAAGTTGTATACTCTCCCCTGATCCGTCCGTAATTATACAGGACCTCGCGATATTCGTGGCGAAAGATATTGCGTTGTGTCCCTGTGACATATCCAGCTTGGTTAGTGGCAGCTGACCTACTGTTTTGTAACACAGGACGCGCTGGTCATCGCAATGCAATGGCCTGGAAAAGCGACGTTTGCCTATCGTGCGTATGAGGACCCTGCTTTTCTGACGTGTTTATACATTAACAATACAACTCCGGCCTTGTTTGCCGCCGCCGAACCTCTCAGCTCACTCTCAAGGGCTCGAGCCAGACAGACGCCGGCTCTCGCTCGTGGTCACCAACAACCTCCCAGTGCAGGTCCAAACAGGCTATCTCCAGACGATGCCTTGGCTCGCACAGTTCTATCTCCACACCCTTGGCGTTCGCAACGACGGTGTCTCACGTAATACGTGTACTCGGTCAAGCGGGGCGATCGCGATCGCGCATGCCAATCTCATGCTCGCGTCCATACATTACATGGCTGACATGGGACGGACTGCTTCGCAGAGAATCTTGTAACGATCATCTCGTACGCTGCGCCTGTCCCGCACGCCCGGCCCATGCTCTTCCAAGCTGCACTGATGTTCCCCCCCGAAGAGTGCGTTGGAAGTTACGATGCACGTTTTAAAGCCATGCCTGTGATACAGCGAACATCCACCCTATGCACAGCGTGGCTGGGATCTCCCCCCCAGCGATTTTCGTGCCATTTTCCCTCGGCGGTCTTTCAGAAGCAGATTTGAATGTTTCTGCTGCTGCACTGACGACACTTCAATGGAGGCCGAGGCGGATCTACATGTCAACATTACTGGTCGACCTTGACACGCCAGACTTCAGTATGCCGTACGTCATTATCGTGAGCTACACGCTCATCGCACTGATATTCGGGAGCGTGTTCAATCTGCTGACGCGCAAGTGCATGGTGGTGTCTCTAAATAATGAGGGTGGTGCCGGGAAGTGAGATCTATCGTAGTTTGTCCTATCTCTGTTGTTCGCTGTATCACTGAGATACTCTTACATATACCGAGGCAATGGACCGTATGATTGTTTCACTCAGCCAATATTAAATTGTCTTGGGCAGACATTCGCGGATTTTATCGGATCTCTTCTCGCTGCCGGAAACCCGAGACGTGGAATTCGTCGATTGGCTATATCGTCTTTCTACCAAGCTTCGTCGCTTGGATCCGGGCCATCGTAGAACAAGACCAAAAGTATCAACCATCAAAGATCACGTCTCACGTGCGCACAGTTCAGCATAAATTATTCGTCACATGCCTGCATTACCTGTTCGTGCTGGTGACGAAGCCACGGAGGCGACAAGGAACACTGGGAGATGAATTGGGCTCTATTATTCTAAGTCATCGTTGGAGTACGCGGACTCAATTCTTCTCTAGTTGTAATTCTAGTAAACCGACTGAACGATGTCCATTGTCATGGATGTATCTCAGATCTGGAGGGCCAGGGCGATTGCCTCTCGAAGTCGGATCTGACGTCCCGATGGAATCCTCTTACTACAGTTGCGGACAATCAAACACGGTAAATTTGATAGCGCCTGAACTAGATTTTTCTGAGACAAATGGACTTCAGATTCAGACTCAGGGAGGTTTAAAACCCCCAAAAATGCACTCAGATAGTTTTTCCCACGAGGTTTTTGGATGGCCAAATTTTTGGGCGATTTTTTCGACACTTATAGGCCACTTTGCGGTCGTAGTGAGTACTATTGGCCACCTGCTAGTCACCCGCAACCTCTGATTCATTCAAATGTTGCGAATCCACCCAAAATTCACCCAACCAGCTTCCGTAAGGGATCCTACTGCTACTTACGCATTTGTTCTCACGCCACACGTTTGAGGTGTTCTCACATGTTCGCGCAGATTTCAGCTGAAACTGCCTCTGGCACGAACCCGCTCATCATAGCTAGATTGGCAATGGTCAGAATGCTATCTAAGACAGTAACTTTAAATGACAAATTCCATATTCTAGGTATACTTTGTGCATTTTCTATAGCCATATTTTTGGATGTATATTTTTCATCTGTTTGTGGCATTATGCCCTACTCATTGAAAGGAGTCGATTGCATATTTTTTCGTATTTTTATCTAATTAATTATGGGGTTGGCCAAAATTTTGGGTCCAAAACAGGAAATAATAAGAATTAGTGAAATCGGCTCGTGCAAATCGAGTCTCTGAGTCATAAGCATCACATTTGTGCAGTTTCCGAAAGCTTCCGGCACTGTCCGGACTCTACATAATTGGACTAAAATAGTTACCGCGTTTGATTGTCCGCAACTGACAGTAGCTCGTTCGGTAGCCCGGTGCCCGGTTCGGTTTGCCTGCCAAAACGCGAAACCGGGTTTTGAGTCCGGTTCCGAGACCCCAAGTCTACCGCAGGACAAACCGAGCCCGGTTCGCCGACACCAGGCAACCGAACAGGGCCTAAGCTTAAGGCTTGTGTCACTGTGTGCGTCGCAGAACGCACGAACGTGACTGGGGTAGGGAGCAGTACCAGTGGAGGCGGTGACGAGATACAGAGCGCCCTAAACCCCTGGACAAAGAGAATACGCTGGCTCAGAGTCGACAAAGTTGCGGCAGTCAGTCCGCCTAGGCAGGCGGCCTCGTCAGAATATCGAGGAACGCGAGTCGGTGGGGATAGATAGTATACCTCCTTGGCCTGTGGCACTGGCCAGTCGTCGTGTTGTCGTGACTTGCACTCGCCGGCACGGAACTCGATAGAGGGAGAGAGAGGAAGGTGGAGGGTGCAAAGCGTCTGCCCTGACCCTGTGCCCAGTGTTTTCATCGAGAACTCCGCACTCTGTTCGTGCGATGAAAGCTCATGATCCTGTAGACGAAAAAATAATACACAGGTCGGCGCTGAACATGGGCAGAGGTGAAACTGATGAATGGAGAGAATAGACAGAAAGAAAGATCCACAGTTGGACTCGATCGCAGTCAATCACGGTCAAATACAGGACGACGAGGGCGCTCAGCCACTCCCGGACCATAAAATTGTGCTCCTGTCCTTGATGATCGATGATCACAGGCATGGCTGTCTCGCTCTGCGCGCAGAATTATATCGGACCAGCATAAGCTGACCCGAATAAATATACTCGCCGACAATGACTAGCTTTGGACAACTTGATGTGCAATTCCTTTTACCGGGTGAGGGCGATAGAAGACACTGTGTGCCCGGAAGTTGGTGAAAAGCCCGAACTTCGTTCACTAGATATCTTCGGAGGTATTACTACTTTACATATGGAATGTCACTAGGTTTTCGAGGGTCTACTATCTTGTTTCACCAATTTTCTCGGTGAGCGAAAGCGGTAAAAATCACCCAGAAAATGTCCGATTTCACTACCTTGCGTCGAAAGGCGAGTCGTGAGAACCCGGTTGTTTATTGTTGATTTCTACTAGGTTCCGCTCAATCACTGAATTCACTACCAGAAACATTGAATATAGATTCAATTCCAGTACATATATACAGATCTAGAGTTCCGGTAATATATAGCAATGAACACATACATCCTACGCTCCCTCGTAATTTGTGAAACAACGTCTGCCTAAAACCACGTCCGCCTAAAACCATGTCTGCCTAAAACCATGTCCGCCTAAAACCGCGCTCTGCGCTGCACAACAGAGCCGTCTGCTGGGACTGGCATAGGATGACATCAGAATACCGTAGCAAGGCCGGGAGGTCACTCGTTGCGTCAAAATTTGCACATACCTGTCTGTTGTTTGCCATGGTAAGGATTGAACCTTCCCCAGAGAGCAAGCCATGGAGCCCAGCAGACGAGACAACACCAGAGATCAATTTGACTAAGCCAGTCCAGATTAGCCGGCCCGAGCAGAGCGCTGGAAAGTGCAAAGCTAGAGACAGTGTTGAGCGATGCCAGCGCACGACGAAGCTCGACGACGCCATGTTGAAACTTGAACATTTAGGGCAGGGTTGATTGGACTTGGTAGTTTAACGCAACAGAAAATCACCAACAAGTAGGTGGTGAATTCCCGAACCGTTTCGACGCGGATCGTCGTTGGTGAATTTCACTACCATTCTCGGTGGATCAGAAATCAGGGGAAATCACATCCAAATCACTATCCACTAATTAATGCCGAAGTTTATTGGTGAAAGGCGGTTTTCACCGAATAAGTTCAGACAGTTCACCACTTCTCAGGCACACAGTGAGAGTAGTCAATACTTCTTCCATGATAAAGTTGCTCGTCCAGAAGGACTTCTTTGACGAGAACATTGAAGTGACGTTATTGAACGTTGAACGAACGTTGAACGTTGAACGTTGAACGTTTGAACGCTCATCTAGATTCAAGTTCAAGGTGTTCAACTCGCGAGTGTCACAAGTTGTCACACCGCGTCAAACGCCACGCCCCGCCACAACCTACCAAGGCAAACGCGTACCTCTCACATTAAATGTTTTGCCCATCTCCCGTGTTCCACGACATAACTAACCCTTCCGATTGGCCTCATAAGGTCCAAGAGGTTGTTCATCTGCTCAGCCAACCTCTTCCCAATTATATTTCTACTGGGCCATGGCCTTTCGTCTCCCCACTCGCTTCTTATCTCTTGAACGAGCTCAGTCAGGATGCACCGCGTCAACGAGCTTTCCAGCACGAAGGACAGTCTGTGACAGACTCTGTGTCGCGTCTCAATAAGGTGTTCGACCTAGTTCTGTCGACTGTGGCGGCTCTTCGTGAGCTCGAATCTCTCGAAGACTGTGGCCCCGCTCGACCAACTGTTCCTCTGTGGTCTTTGTTCTTCAAAGGGGTCGGAATAGCATGCTCACCAGAGTCTTGCTACATGTTGCGTGTACTTTCATTTCCAGGATTGCTCGATTCTGATTTTTGTGCTGCTGCAGGGACGAAGTATCGTTCGTTCTACCACAGTTATCGCCACGATCGAGCCAGGTCGTATTCGATGGCATTGCCACTCTCCTCATCTCTCACATAGTGGACGAAAGCCAATTTGTCCGCTCCCGCTCGTCCTCGGACGCTATGGATGTCGATGCATTCTCGGAGCCGGAAGACGACCAGGATGGTGCAGATGCATCGTCCTCTCACAACTCAGAGAGAATCTCTATTGACGGCACTCACTCTACTGCAGACTCGGAGGGTGACTACGCTGACGATCAGGATAGCACCGACGAAACCTCCCAGCAACCCAGTGGACCCTCTATCGACGTCCCCTTTGATGCGCATGTGCTGCGTGGGTCCGGTCGGCGGTTGTTCGCTGTTTTGCCTGTGATCTGCGTGGCTGACTCGGACAATATCGGAGCCCTGGTCACAAGTGTCGCATACCAGCGACGTGTCTGGGATATCGATGAACCCGTGGTCGGATTCGAGGTCTCGAAGACCGGTGCTGTAGCCCGTATCTTGTTGGGCTGGGTCGGCGCGGAAGTTGATGGTGATTTCTTGGTTGGTTTGCCCGGTCTGATCTCTGATTTGATACTGATAAACCTGCAGCCAGCTGTAAACATCGCATGTGCCACTACACATTCGTACTCCGGGATGACAGTTGGGGTTTTTGATCTCACGGACCCACAATCGGCGCTCGCTCTAGCGCAGTTTGTGCTCGGTCTAGATGCGCATTGTTGGAGGATAGTGTCGAAATCGAAGCATCGACCGGTAATCGATGCGTTCCATTGGAGATCCGACTATCTCGAGGAACACGAGGATTCGTGCAACAATGGTGACTTGGGGACACGGATAGCGAACTGGGCAAGTACGATCGATACACGCGGCGATGGGTGAGTAGCTTGATAAGAGACCAATAGATGTGTGCAACTCACCCACCTTCCATCTCAGAGGCAATCCCGAGGCTGAACTTGACCTGTCGACGTCCCCCGCGTCAGATATGAGTGACCTATCGATGATCCTCGAGAGCCCGGGGAAACCTACCGAAGGGTACGAGCGGCCTTGGCTACGTTATTATTCACGACTAATCTGCGCATCCTCTTACCCATACAGGCGAGGTCGACCCACTACTCCACGCGCTGGCTCTCAGACAGGAAGTGGCGCTAAAAAGTCACATAGCCGCGTCAAGGAAGAAGCCGTTGCGACCAAGGGGAGGTCACGTACCCCAGCGAGCGACAAGGCATCGCAAAAGCAGGAATTGAAAGCTCCGAAGAGCAGGAGTGCTTCCGTCGCACCGCGCAGCGAGAGGTCGAGTTCCGTGTGAGTGTTTGTATTTGTGAGGTCCCATTGTGTGCCACTGATTCTGTTTCCAGGTTGGCCAAGAAGGTTACAACTGCACTCGACGGGTCGGTGACGCCTTCCACTTGGCTATTTGAGCGAAAGGCCTTTCCAATTGCTCTGATCAAGTTGCCTCCCAATGCTGAAGATGCCGATGAAATCAATGAGAAGATCGACACTTACAGGAAGATTGTGGTTGAGTTTGCTTGGCGCAGTGGGGAGTGGTCAAGCGTAGTGGGTGTTCAGATCCTGCATCCGATATCTGTTCCTTGTCCTCATTTGAGATCAGGATACGATGCCGCAAGTAGACGAGGCGGTCCAACCGGTTTTGGAGCGCTTGTTTCAAAACTACTCAGCCCTCAAGGAGAAACCGGTGAACTTAGATGAAGCAGACATGCATATCCTATCTAGTCGATTCTCCACCATCCTCTATGCATCGATGGGTGCTTATACTCACCATGCAGCCTCGTCTGGCCTTCGTGTTAATGAAGCTGAGGCACGACATGATTGGGACAGAATGCTTTACCAATTCTGTGTCTCCGATTCTGGCCGCATTGTTTCCCCCTACATTTTGTGAGTGAGCTCTCTGGTCATGCCTTTCATCATGCTCATGGTTTGATATGCAGGTTGGAACGAGAACTCATCTTTCCTCGGAATAAGGCCGTAGATCTCATGCTCGATGACGACTCACCAGAGAAGTGGAAGAGCTTTGCTGAAAAGCAGGAGGCCTTAGCCCTGAGCTATTATACTCATTGCGTGGCAGTGCAAGTACCATCTGTCCTTCATGGCCCTGCTGTTGGGCAGCAGGCAATTGCAGCATCAGGTCGGGCCTTGTCTTTCTTCCACCAAATTGGGTCGGTCTCCAGAGACCCAAGCAAGATGCTTGATATGTTCAGAAAACATGCTGCATCGGAGCCACTTATGGGAATATGTGATGCCATTGTGGTCTGCGGCATCAAAGATGCATTTGATAACAAGGACTCCCCAGCCACTCGGAAGTTTCTCAATGAACAGGCACTTGTGCAGCATACCCTGACGATGCGAAGGAAGAAAGACCAGTCAACTGAAGAACTGGTATCTCAGACTTCATCTCATCCACAGCCGCCAACGCCAGCCACTGAGGTTCGCCCGAAGAAAGCATCCGCGCTGAAGACAACATCTGCGCCGAAAACAACATCAGCGTCGAAGACAACATCCACGCGTTCTCGTGCACCATCCGCGCAGTCTGCCCTGCGGAAAAGTGTGGGGGATCCGTTTATGAATTCTTGTAGTCCGTTGATTTCGAAGGACCAGAGCAATGACAACAGTACATCTCCCAGGGACACGGATGCAATTACGAGGGACGCGGACGCAATCACGAGAGACCAGTTGTTGCTTCCCGTGTTGGTCGCAGAGTACAAACGCTGGGATGAGGATCAAGCCAAATCCCTTAACCAAGGACGGTTCTACTGCGTTGCTTCTGTGACATTCCTTGCCGCGCTCGGCATCGAGGGATATCCGGTCTTTACTCTCATCACAAACGGCAAGGTGGGCGCTGTCCTACTTTCGTGGCAGTCACAGGGGAAGAAGGTTAGTGCACCGTTCACTTCGATGGCGCTAGATCTGAGCTTGGTTGTTTCGCTATTGCAGAAGAAGATATATATCATAGAGCGAAACGTCTGCACGTTCGACCTCGCGGACCCTCTTCAGGCATTCCACTTCGCGACGTTCCTTGTTCGCCTTCGTCGCCAGCACAGAGAGCTGAAGGCACTCTTTGAGAAGGAGAAAGCAAATTTCAGGCGAAAGGTGTCTGCGGAGCAATTTGACGAGTGGATGATGGCCGCGCAGGATGTGATACTGAAGGCTCAACAGGCTGCGGCTGATGCAGCTGCCGCTTCGAAGGCCGATACTGATTCTAGTGATGCTCGGCCTGCTGCTGATGATGTGCCAGCGGACTCCCCTACCATAGCCTGATGCACAGATGTCTGAGTCGAATCGTGCCCCTCGTCCGAGTGAATTTCGATGTTGCTATGCTCTCATGCTGTCTTTGAGGTTGTTATCGATGTTGCTGCATTCCTATGCTCTCATTCTCGATATCGCATATGCTCCTTCACTTTGATGTTTTGATATGTAGGATGTGTATGAATAACAGATGTACATTACGGCGACTATATGTTACACGAAAGCATTGCGACATGCGAGAAATGGTGGAAAAGACAGATAGCATCGAGGTATCGAATAGTGGCAGGGCTGCCGCCGAAATGTGTCCAGTATGAGGTTTACTACTCACTCGACAACAGCGCCGTCATATCCCGAACATAATCCAGTGTGATCACGTTGCCGGGGCCGAGTTCAGGATCCCACTGGCGAAACTCCTCGTATGCCCATTTCCAGCGCTTCCGAATGGTGGTGATCGTTCGTGAGAAGAACGATCACACAGGCAAAGAGAACTCACAAGGAACCTTTTCAACTCTTTGTCCTTTGGCAGCACAGACTTCCATTCCTCGTCACCGGCACAGAAGATGCGCCATGAGTCGAGCGCGTATGGACCGCATCCAGGAAAGTGAGAGACAGGTGTCCGCTTATAATCTGTCTGTTCAGCAACCACATGTTGGCCGCCGTTGGCTCCTACGGAACTATACGAGGTTGTCTTGCACCTCGATTTGCGCAGGAGGTCGGGCCTGGGAGGATCGTTTATGTACATTCGAGATAAGGTGATCAGCCGTTCTGAGCGTATATTACTCAGTCCGAGTGTCCTGACAATTTCCTCCACTGCATCCTGGGGGGCTGGAAATGGTAAGTCGTGCAGCATGGAAGCAGAACAGACTCTCCCAACCTACGGCGAAATCCCGAGGTGTCGGCCATATCTTCATGAGGTTGAAGAACACCGGGACCGCCTTTGCTCCTGTTGTCTTGTTGAGCAACATGACGGCGCACAAGACTTTCCACGGATCATGTGCAACATAATCTGAAAGCCATGATGAACTCAGGGCCCAGCGACCGAGAAGAATCCGTCACTCACCTTGAATGAGTATGGGCTTTGCAAAGTACAGCTCCTCGAAGGCTGAAAGGAAGTCCTGACTGTAGTACTTAAACCCAGGGAGTTCGAGAAGGGACTGGTATTCTGTAGGCTGGCCTTCCGGAGCCGTACCGCTGTCGAGGGAGGTCTTTTGCACGCGTTCAGGCGAGAAATAAGCAGATGTGTACAGAATTTCGGGAGACTTTTCGCGTCGTCGACGAACAGGCGGCGCCGGGAAATAGGGCGAGTGCACTGCAGCACGGTGTGAAGCACGCCTAGCCTTGCTGGGCGCCATCGTCGCAGGCGTCCCAGACAGCGCTCGGAGGAGGCGTGTGACCTGCGTGACGGCGGCGCGACGGGTCACGCGCCTCGTGTACGCGTCCGTCACCGCCCACGTTCCCCCGCATGGCTTCCGAGTCACATCTTCCCCGACGTCTCTTACTATGCTTCCATCAGCATTCTCAGCAGCATTCGTGATCAGCTCAAGGAGGTCCTCGATGATGAGGGGGCGTCCGACGTGCCACTCGATGACCCGTCCTTAACCCACTTCATCACCCTCACACCGCCCTCAGACGACGTCCTCGAGGAGATACCGGACAAGGAAAAGGTTCAGCAAGTTATACCTACATGGGTAGACCGCTCGTTCGTTCTTGGTAAACTGCAGCCGGCCGAGCACTACCCGCCAATCTCTTCTCGAGGATCACAGCGACCGCGACAGATCTTTCTCCAGCCGACCTCGAGCTCCTCTCAGCTGGAATCATATCGCTTGGCGGACGGTGGCGTACTGCGCTCACGCGCGACGTCACGCACATCTTCGCACTCTCGCCGGGGAGCGCTAAGTCCGAGACTGCGATGCACTACCGCGACAAGACTGGCATGTGCGTACTCGTCCCGCACTGGTTCGACGATACTGTACGTCTGGGAATTCGCGGCCTTCCCACTGACGAGTGCGAATGGCCCTACCCTCGCGTCTTCAAACCCGAGACGAGTACGGACGGCGCCGTGCTCGACGTGCCGTACCGTCTGTCTAGCGAGAAGAAGCGTTTCTACGAGACGGCGCTCGCCTCGTCGTTCGATCGCCGACTTTCCCGTGTGCCGCCGCGCAACATCTGAAATGGCCTGCGCATTCTGCTCAGCGCCTCCCTGCAGCTCTCTGCGAGCCAGCGGGACGCTCATGAGGAGGGCATCCGCCGTGAGGGCGATGTCATAGTACCCCTCAGTCTGATCGGATCTGGGACGCCACTCGACATCGCGCAGGAAGAGGCCAGGCAGGTCCAGCAGGCGGACGTGCTCATCACGCGATACAGGGTGGGCGTCGCCTATCTTTGTGCAAAGGGAGCTGAACCACTAACTCCTCTGAGAAAGGCACTTAAGGCAAAGAAGACGATCGGCAGCATGACGTGGCTGTGGCATGTGCGGTCCACGGGCGCACCCTCCCGCCCTACGGACAAATTGTTGCACTATCCGATACCTAAGGGCGCTCCTGAGGGATTTGCGGAGCATGTAAGTGTCACCATTTATCGACGCCTGAAAGATTCTAACCACTGTTCAATTAGTCTATCACTATCACGAACTACACCGGTAAAGATCGCGAGTATCTCAAGAAGTTGGTCTCCACCATGGACGGCAAGTTCACCGCAAGCATGTCCAACACGAACACGATCGTCATCGCCGCATAGTATGTCCCTCATCCGCTCATCCCTTCCTTCGTCCCCTCATTCATCACTCACGCTACCATCACAGCGTCGGCGGCACGAAGACAGCGAAAGCACTATCCAGGTCAATCCCCCTCGTGAACCACACCTGGCTTGAGGACGCCTTCGTGCACTGGCGCACGCCGACGCCCGCACGCGAAAAATATCTCTGCTTCCCGCCGGGAGTTGACTTTGGTGGCCTCCTCGAGCGCGGCGTCGGCCCGCTCGAACCACCGCCGCCTCAGTGTACGTCTCCCCGGAGTCGAAGAAATCCGTGCAGGGCCTGCCGGCGAAGAGCGCCTTAGGTAGGACGGAGTCCGTCCGCGCCGCCGCACCAGAAGCATCCGTGCAGTTCCCGACCAAACGGGGACGGCCGTCGGGCTTCGCCAAGCGCGCTGCTTCATCCGTGTCCTTCCAGCCTCCCACAGAGGACAGCACTACTATCACCACTGCCCCCGTGCCGGCAGCGCTGATGCGCACGCCGTCGAGGCGCTCAGCGGCGACGAAGGCGACGGGGAAGCTGCACGAGGAGATCATGCCGGACGTGATTAACTTCCAGAAGGAGATGAAGAAGAGTACGGTGCGCTCCGTGTGGGAGGCTGAGGAGAAGGATGAAAGCAAGAGCGCCGGCGTGGGCGCTCTTGATGAGGGAGCCCGGGAAGGTAGGGGTAAGAAGCGTGCATCGGGTGCAGCGGAGGTGCATGGGGCGGAAGAGCAGGAGGAGCAGCCAGTGAAGAAAAAAGGGAAGGCGGTTGTGGCGGGGGGCGCGCGGCAGAGTTCGGGGAAGAGGAAACGCGAGTCCTCCTCCTCCGAGGAAGACTTCTCATTGGCTGTTATAGGAAAGCCTCGTCGCAAGCCTGAGAGCGGTGCGAAGCGCGTGTCTCTGGGTGAACGGAGGGGGGACGCACGTCGCTGATGCGCTCTTGCGCTTGGGCGATGCCTTTGCCCTCGAGGAGTATCATGGAGCCGAAGAAGATGCCGATGACCGCTGTCGGGCTCAATCAGCGATGGACAGGTAGAGTATGAGGAGAGGCTCCGCGCACCTGGGGTGAACATCGTCTGGTCCATCCATACCTATGCGCGAGATTAGCCTCGGAGGAACGATGGGAAGGGACGGGCGTACCTTGTAGATGACGCCCTTGATGGGGGAGGGGAAGGTGATGCGGTTGAGGAGCTGGAGCCACTTGGTGAGCAGGGGCCCGAATATCCCACCTGGCACGTCGCGCATGAGCACACAGCAGAAGCATCGAACGCGGCACTCACCGCCATAGAATGCGAGCCGTGCGGTCCGCGCGAACTGCATTCACAAAATAACTCAGAAGGCGAATCGTAAGAGCACGCGTACGGATAAGCACGTTGTACTCCCTCCCCTTCTGCTGAAACGCCTGTTGGGCAATAACATCGCCACTACCAAAGAGGACAGCAGACGTCGCGCACTGTGTGAGATCCGACGGTATCTCAGCTTCAACATAGTGAAGCCCAAACTGCGGAGACAGTCGCCGACCGCTGTCAGGTTGTCCACCGAAAGAATCGGAGCGACGCCACACGATTCTCCTTGGCTTCCTTGGGATGCCCGCGCTCGTATACGGCTATCGCGAGCTCGTTGAGGTACTGCGCCATGCATCACTGGCTCTCCAATCTTTGCAGTCCTTCGAAGTGCTTGACAGCACTGGCGTATTCTCCCTTGTGGATTACAGCGAATCCGAGCCTCCGTCTCAACCGCGCAGAGAAGCGTCTGCTGGTGATTGTGGGAGCGATGGGACATACCATTCTGAACGTCGCTGGGCTGATTCCCCTTGCGGCTACAGCCACGACATACGCCCACACATGATACGTGTTAGTGTGTGGGGCTGACCGCGGCAGCATTCATTTCCTTGGGTGAAATTCTCGGGAACGCTGTGCTGACTGAAAGCAAACATTTTCATATGTTGAAAGGGCTTGGGCGACACATGCAGCCTCTCGTCCAACTCTAAAGTTCAGGGATTAGGTCACGTACTTTTAGATTGTATAAGACAGGACTTGCATCATATACTAGTGTACCAACTAGAGTCCGTCGGGTAGATTCCAACTGACAAGACCGGTTCACACCTTGACGAGGATCCGTGTAGACAGCGAACATTATTTCATTCGATCTGTATAATACCTCCATGGAATTGCCTTTCTCCTCTTTCGATTACAACATGATTCTGGTACAACTTCATACTGTCCTGGTTAACTGAGCACTGAACTTGAGCTTATGCCGGAATCATAAAGACTGACACCTATTCATTGGCGATCGCCATCAAGCTGCCCACGAACGTCATGAGCTGCAAAGGAAGACTGAGTACATTTGGTGAAGAAAAGGGCGATGGATACATACTAAGCGAGGACGAACATCGACGATGTCCTCTGGAACGAGGAAGATCAACGTGTTCATCTTTCTTGCGATCGAGATCGCCAATTTCGCTATCATCATAAATGTCAGGATCACAGCCAACTGTGGTGCACGCCTAACTTACCATTCTGCCGCCGCTCTTCGTAGTCACCATGGTCGCTGACGCCGATCACCAAAGTGGGGTCCACGATACCTGGACGGAGAGCTTCCAGAAGATCGAGGAAGAAAAGGCCGGTCGTGAGCGACGGGTCTTTGAACGACCGGATAGGCTTAACGCCTGGCCTCGACTTCTGCGCGGTGCTGTTTGCCCACTTAAGAATCTCTGTGTCGCTGATAGGTCTGCCTTGTCCCGACTTGGAGAGGGAGGAGAGGGTCTTCGTGATGTTCATGCTAGTATAGATACGCATGAGTGCAACTGAAGACAGAACCGATTACCCAAGGCTTACCGCATGAGCTGCCATACAAGCCCAAGCACAAGAGTCTTCGTCCCGTCGGTGATATCCGCGCCCTGGATGCCGACCATATGCATACCGTTCTGCCTCGCGAGGTCGACGGCGTAGTTGCAATTTTCTACTTGCTTAAAGCGCGACAGATTGGACTGGTTCGGCGTCACGCCAATATCTTCCTCCTCTTCGCCCGTACCACCGGCGGAATAGCTATTCGATGCCTGGAAGCCAGCTTTGGGCTTGCTGACCCGACGCCAGACGACGCTGCCGGGCAACACCTTGTCAAACGCCTGGAGGATGACAAGCCCATCCTTGAGGTTCTCGAAGAGGTTGAACACGCCGGGCTCGACACCAAGCGAGTTCAGCCAAAGCATAAACACGCGCGCCTCCCGCTCGCCCTCCGCGTCGAAGTCCTCGACCACGCCATAATCCTTCGCCTCCTGTTCGTCCAGGGGTTCGAGTCCGGGGTAGTTGTTGAACAGATTCGCAACGAACGCGAGGTTCAGCCGGGGATTCCCGGCTACAAGTGAGCCGACCGTCAGATATTTGCGGCAGCCGATGGCGTCCGCATTGTGCAATACCTGCAAACTGTCAGCGAAAGCTGGGTCAGAAGCTGTATGACGCGTACCTGCTCTGCGCGAGCGCGCACGTCCCGCGTCTGCAATGGAGCACGCGAACACAGGTCCGGCTTAAGCTGATTCAACAGCACAGTGTAGTTCTCGGCGTCGGAAACGTCTCGGCTGAAGTTGTTCACCCTGCGATTCCAGCCCGCCTGCTTGAGATGGTAGTTGAACCATCTCAACAAGATTTGGTCCGGCGTGAGCCTCAACAAGTCGTCGATGGTTTCGCCGTCCTCGCATAGCCGATACAGCTCTGGGTGCAGCTTGATGTCCACCTGCGCGAGTAGCCCGCGACGAATGACCTGCCAGATCAGACCGAGGATCAAATGCTCCCTTCCCTCCGCAATGTCCGACGATCCGATGTTGACCACTGAGCACCCTATCGCCTTCGCGGACGTGATCACGATGTTATTGTTCTCTGTCATCTGGAATGCGTTCAGCGGCTTGCGTGGGGCCGGCTTGTTTAGCACACGCATATCAATTGTGTCTGGCACCGAGTCGTTGATCAGTTTGCACAGGATCAACCCGTCCCGCACCTCGTCGAAGAGCTGCATCGTGTTCGTCGGTATCGGAATGCGCGAGCCGACGTCCGCATCGCCATCCAAAACCTGTTGGACACAGGTTCAGTAACCGCTCTCGAGGATGGCGACGGCGCCAATCACATACGTACGAGGTTAATGTGATTCGTAAATTCCGCGCGCTCGTCTTCGTTGATCGTATGGCTCACGTTTGCGTTCGAGCCATGTACCGTTACCTTCCCGGCTTTCGTCTGCAGCCCAGACGAGGGTGCCTGCGATCTTAACTTTACGTTCAACTGTCCCCTAGTATGTCAGAATGGATGCCCGCAGAGACATGCATGTATGCGCACCTCGACCCAATCTTCCAACTCAAGCTTTCCACTCGCATCCACACTGACGTGCTTCAGCGTCTCTCGTGCACGATCATATGACTCTCCGTTGGCCTGCAACGCCTGCAGCACATCCGTCTTGTCGATTCTGCCTGGTGTATTGGTCGAAATCGTACTGCATGGGTGTCAGCTGGTCCGCGCGCGGATTCAACGTGAACGACCGACTTAAAGCGGTTGATGAAATCGAACATCTCATCTTGAGAGACTTCTGGGTACTTCTTGCGCAACCTCAGTGCGTCCATAGTGATTGAGAGCGTAGGATAGTAGGATCACAGAGCTGTGACGGCGCGCTGCCTGAGTTATACACCTGATGGCCTGCGCCCGGTATGAGTTGGGTAAGCGCAGTCAGTCTCCCGCCTTCTTTGACACTGGTAGAGACCATACTCACAATGATGAATGCTTGCCAAGAAAGCTGTGTCGCAGTGCAGGATAAAGGATACTTGGAGACTGCGCGAAATTTCCGGCCCCTCTGTTCCACGTGACTGCGCACCGATTGGCTCGCCGCAGTAACGACTACAGTACTGCACCCTGCGCAACTCGTTGATAATGCTGCGCTTATGATCTTTTCTGACAGTCCAATACTGCGGGGATCAACATAAGCGTCGGTACTTACTAAGTATGAACCTGACTCGTGAGTGAACATTTATCAGATACGATTGTTGAACGGTGCATCTAATCTAATCTACATCGTATACTCCACTCCGACTCGGACAGTCAACTTGCACTGCATGCTACTTCTGATGGTGTATGTATATGGGAACAAGAAGAACAGTTGGGTCGAAACACGGGCCGAAGTCATCTCCATTTTGCTCCAGCGGTGCGCGTGATCTTCTGGGCCTTCGAATCCTCTTCATGAGCGCCTCCTCGAAAAGAATGCGATTCTGTGTGAGAGGTAGTGGATCTTGGCGAGCTGTGTTGTTTGGCGTATTCCCATGATTACTCTGGGTCGTCCAACAGTCCGCTCTATCTGCCCTTATCACTGGGCCTACAACCGACTCTGTTCGCCTGGCCTCAAGTTCGGCTTGACCAAGTAACACTCCTCGAACGATGTTCTCGTTTCTCGCACACCGTCGCGCTTGGTGAGTTCGGATGACATTTCTAAAGTTCACGCGCCTGAGAGCATTCGTAGCGTTGCCAAGCAGCGGGAGCGTCAAGAGCGCATTCAGAACCTTCCCCCCTCTTATCACAGTGCTCTTACGCCTGCAGATAAGGGCATTCTCGCCCTACCTGTCGCAGAAGTCGTCGCAAACGTGCAGGCAGGGTCTCTCGACCCGTCTGACATTCTACTGGCCTACGGCAAGAAGGCGCTGAAAGCGCACGCAGAGACGAACTGCTTGACCGAGGTCCTCATCTCCAAGGCGGAGGGATGGGCGAAGAACTGCAACACGCAGGGACCTCTTGCGGGCATGCCTGTCAGCCTGAAAGACACGGCCGCCATCACGGGCTTTGACTCGTGTATCGGGTACTCGGCGTGGGTGGGCAAGCCGATGCAGAAAGACTGCGCGCTTGTGCGGCTCTTGCGTGATGCGGGTGCGGTTCCGTTCGTCAAAACGAACGTGCCGATAACGCTGCTCTCATTTGAATCGGCTAACGATGTATTCGGCGTCACGACGAACCCACATAATAAAAGGTATTCGCCCGGTGGATCGACTGGCGGAGAAGCTGCGCTGCTCGCCTATGGTGGCTCTCGTCTTGGGATCGGAACAGACGTTGCAGGTTCCGTGCGTGCCCCAGCGTGAGTTCCTCTCTCTACTGTGATACGATGAACCACTACAATCCAGTATATTTCGGCAGACACTATTCCGGAGTCTACACGATCAAGGCGTCTATGCATCGGTTCTTAAAAACCGGCAATCCCACCAGTATGCCTGGGCAAGAGGCTATTCCTGCTGTGTATTCACCGATGACGAGGACGCTGGAAGACTTGGAGACTTTCTGGCGTGCGATTGTCAGCATGAAGCCGTGGGAGTATGATCATTCTGTAAGTTACAGAGTCTTCTATGCAGGAACATGAAATAACCTGCACCTCTAAGTAGTGCTTACCCATCCCCTGGCGCGAAATCGATTTGTTAGGCTCGAAGCCGATACGGTGGGGTGTGATATGGGACGATGGTCTGTCCGCTAGCATCTCGTACATTTTCATCACCAACATAACCATCAGGTGTGGTTACTCCATCCCCTGCGTGCCGTCGGGCATTGCAAGAGGTGGTATCGACGTTGGAGGCTCACAAGCATGAGGTCGTGGCTATGTTAGTAGAATAATATCACCCCCCGTTTTTTTTGCTGATCACCTATGGTTCTTCAGAGACCCTCCCAGTCCATACGAAGCACTCCAAATATCCTCTCAGCTACTTCTAGCGGACGGCAGTACGTCACTTGCACTTGAGTGGGTCTGCTATGATAATAGATCTTGTCTAGGTAAAACGTGTATGCAGCCGATGCGCTTCAACGAGACGAACGACCCGGGGGTGCATCAAGCACGGTTGATGTTCCGTATGCCGCGCTTTGTGAAGAGCCTCTACGCGTGGTACCTGAGGCACATTCGCCGGGATGAGGTGTACGCGGGACTCATCGAGAGCTGGTACGAGAAGAGCATTGAGGAATACCTCGCGCTCATCGCACGGCGGGAGGGGTACCGCGAGCGCTGGTTCGCGATGATGCGCGACGAGGCGCTCGACTTCGTGCTGACGGTGCCGAATGCCCTCCCCGCGGTACCGCATGGGGGGATGAAGGAGGGGTTCAAGGCGTGTGGGTACACGTTCCTCTTCAACATAGTGCGTCTCCATATCTTCGCTCCCTCGGAGTGTCTGGTGCTGAGTACTGCCGCAGCTCGACTACTCGGCGGGCGTCTTGCCCGTAACGCACGTAGACAGAGCGCGAGACGCGCTTTCGTCGTTCAAACCTAGGAATGCGATCGAAGCGGGCTCGTACCAGATGTACGACGCGGACCGGATGCACGGTTTGCCCGTCGGCGTGCAGGTCGTTGGGAAGCGCCTCGAAGAAGAGAAAGTGCTGGAAGGCATGAAGATCATCGAGAAACTGCTGAAGGGCGACGGAAAGGGGTATGTGTTGTACAATGCCGACGATTGACCGTAAGCTGTACGAACCATGGAAGGTTATTGTAACATTACTCATGTCGTGACCGTTTATCGGTATATACTTGGACCATGGCTGAATCTACATCTTCAAGGGATTCAACGCCTCCGAGATGCTGCGTATCTGATCAGCCTTCCTGCTGTTGGACCACTACTACCATATCAGCCGAATATCGAAGGACTGCTCAATGCAGCTTAATACATGCAAAAAGCATACCAAGATGCGGAAATGGCACTGGGTCGCGGCTATGTTATCGCGGGTCAGATAACCATCCATCCACCAACTTCTGGATGACGCTCTAAGGCGCTTCCACCGTGCAATATCATGCAACTTCTGCAATGGGTATGGTTTAAGTTGAGGGAACATCCTCAACCAAGTGGAGATATTTGTCCAGTTATCAATTGGCACGGACAATACCCGGGAGCAAGGAACACCGCTCATCACTAGGCCATCACTGGTGCAAGGCGATGACTCCACATTCAGCGTGCTAATGACATCAGGTGAGATCAGTTTCTCGTTGTTAGTGAACACGCGCAATGGCAACGAGGGTGCGAATCCGCCGCCGGCGTTGAGGTATATATACAGGTGTTCTGGACTGCGGGTTTTCAAACTCCCTCAAACCCTCTTCATCACTCTACACCTACGTACAGTCAACATGGGATGGTTCAGTGACGACAGCAGCCAGGCTGATGCCTACAACCAGGTACCTATTCGTGTCCATCGATGTCATCGTAGAAGACTCAGACTCACACTGTCTCCACTAGGTCACGACTGGCAACAAACCCGAGGTCTCGCATGAGCTCCTCGCGGCTGCTGCCTCTTTTGCCGTGCGTCTGCAATGCGATTCTAGCGATACTTCAATCGCTTGACGATTGATTATCTTCCCAGGCGGCAAAGTCCTACGAGGACCACGTCGCAAAGAACGGTCACCCAACGTCGCATGCTGAGGCAAAGGAGTTGCTGTGAGGCTCATCACTGTTCTGCATCGCGCCTAGGACTTAAACCTCAACCTTGTCCTCAGCGCTGCCTTATCCGGTGGTTTCATCGATCGCTTGGTAGAGACTAAGGGTGTAAGTTTTATCGGTCAATCTGTACATCGTCTGATGCAGAGTCTGATTCTTGCGGTTCCTTTCCAGTTCGACCTCGTTGACAAGGAGAAGGCTAAGAGACAGGCTAAGGAGCAGGCACAGGAAGCTCTTGCCAACTCTGGCCAGTACTCTCAGGCTTAAGGCAAAGCGGCGAATCAGTAGTTTGTAGCAGTTTGTACATCATCAATGAACGCGATTCAAGTCGGATACGCGACCACGTGACCGTGTGTTATCCACCGCATCATAGCGCCACACGACGGCATCAGACCACTACATTTCCGGAACCTCCATTTACCAAGGTAATCCGTGGCTCCCCAGACTACCTTCACCGAATAATCAGTAAAGATGTCAACAAAAGTCGACTCTGGAAAGTCGTATCACTTGCAGTGCACAGGAGACGCACTCGAGACTGCCAACGCTCATAGTACATCAAAGGACATCACCCTCTTCGGCAGCTGTTTTTGTCCTTTCGTGCAGAGGGTGTGGATCGCGCTCGAGTTTCTGGGAATAGACTATAAGGTGGACGATTCACGGACATGTTGATCTTTGAATTACTGACGTCTGAATGGTGGCTTGACGCAGTACTGTCAGTATTATATTACTGTTCTCGTGGGCACGGAACGAACTGAATTGGGCTCACGATTCTGCTCCCAGACGAAATTGATCCATACAAGAAGCCACCCGAGCTCTTGGAGGTATCACCAAAGGGTCTCGTCCCAGGCTTGAAGCTCAACACGTATGATCCGCCCCGTGCATTAAGCGAGAGCACTGTGATTCTTGACTTCATACAAGAGTACGCACTATCATAGTTCACCTGCATATCGTTCACTTACCGATTTAACTTCTCAGTCTTGCAGCAACCACGACTCAGCGCAGCCTGCTTCCCCCCGTTTCAGAGCCCTGTATGCTGCACATCATTAGCTCCGCTCTAACACACCTCACAAACCGTCTTAGATGCCCGTGCCCTGATCCGCCTACAAGGTGACCACGTCAATCGTACCCTTGTCCCGGCATTTTACCGCTACATTCAAGCGCAGGATGAAGGTACCTACGTTCCCGTTACCCGTGCTACCATTTACTTACATTTGTCCTGCAACCAGAGAAGCAGATCCAAGGTGGAAGGGACTTAGTGAAAGCTATTGAGGGCCTTGTCCACCTGTTCCAGCGTGCAGAAAGTGAAACGCCTGCATTCGCTGGCCTGTGGGTCGACGGGGGCACGCTGACCCTCTCTGACGTCATGGTCTCCCCTTGTCAGTCACTAGTCACGGTCATAATCGCGAAGACGTGCCTTTCCAACGCGATACTGATACGATCGCTCGTCCCGTGTAGGGCTCTTCCGCGCGACCAACGTGCTGGCGCACTACCGTGGCTTCGTGCTGCCCGAAGGCCCGCGCTTCCGCGCTTACGTCGACCGCCTGCTGACCCACCCCACGATCAAACGCACCTGCAGCACGGAGCAGCTATACATCGACAGCTACGAGCGGTAAGAATGTCTTCACCTATCCTGCCTCATGATGGATCGATCGTAGTGACGACGATGCACACACATCCACAGGTATGCGCATAACCGTCCGAACACCAGCCAGGTCGCGAATGCTATCAATGCTGGGACCGCGCTCCCCTGAGCCAAAGAACCTTAATCTGGAGGCGCCATCGATTACGACACTCTCCCCATGCATCAAAGAGACCAGAAGATTATAGAACTATCTGTATCATCAGGCCCGTCGATTTTTCTTATTTGTAGGAAGTTCACTGTTACTCGTTTTGACCACGATGTGTTGGATTCTCAACCCGGCGAGTAGCTCACATTCAGACCGTATGCGCAGCTGACCTGATAGACCAAGATGCGCATTGAATTGTGTCGAGCGCATGCATAGCAGTCACACGAACAACTTGCGGATGTGATGCGAGCACGAACGACTCGTTAAAGATAAGTATCGCGGCAGCAACATGTTGGTTTACCTGCGTTCAGTGTTTTATCTTCTGTCCTGCTATTCACCTGGCAAAGCAAATGGCTCGCACGACCGTCGCTTTCAGAACAACTTACGGTCCGCTGGCCAAGCTTGAGCCTCGTTCCCACTTGTCGGTGAGGGACGCCGCAAATCTTCCAGCATCACTGAGGCCAATGCACACTCACGAGACGTCCGTATGATGCATGATGATGCAGGCGACGTCCTCTTTAAGGACATTAATTCCGCAAATGTCGAGACGTCCCGGCGGGCGCAGCACGATGTGGGTTCTCGACTCTCTCGATTGGGTTCTCTGCAAGATCGGCTATGGAACGCGGGGGCCCCAGATTCTTTCCCCGGAGCACTGACAGCATTCTCGCGTGGCGATCTGTCCGATCTCGATGAGCACACCTCTACGCTGGAATCAAGGTTCCGTGGCAGGAACGCGGATTATCTGTTTCAGCGTTCATTTGCCCAGTGAACACTTAGCGGTGCGTTCCCATTTCCGTCTTCGGCTGTTGGGTTTTCTTCTCCGACAGCATGCTGCACAGGGCAATGGCGCGAAAATGAACATCGACCTGGTACATGCGGAATCTCAGAACAGTTCGATTGCTCCTGCAAGCGGTCCCTCCATGTGTAATACTTCCATTGTGAAGGACCTTCCATAACAGCCCTAAGGTACGCAGCAATTTTCAACGGCGGTTTTGCAGATTGCTATGGCAAGCATATCGGGTTCACTTCATTAACGAAGCTCCTAATTCATTGCTCCGTTATTTGTCCTTCTCCATCTTCCGGGTGTACATCGCTACGCGCAGCACAAGCCGGAGAAGTGTGGTGGATCTCACGCTGCAAAGGTAAATTTTATGTCGGGCAGTGTCAAAGATGCGCCACCAGGACCACCATAATGCAGAGCGAAATTCCATGTCGTATGTCGTCTGTCGTCTGTCGTGTGGCGATAAACGTGAGCGAACCAAGATCAGCATCCTTCGGGCGCGGGCGCACGGGAATGTGGGAATTCCGTTTGTTTGCTGTCGGTAGTCTAGACCAAGTTTGAGCTTGTGTAGCGCCCATATGTACTCGGCGGCGGCACCATCCGCAGAGCGTGGCAAATGAGGAACGGTTCGGTAGACGCGTCACGCGTGGTTGATATAAAGATCCGACCACGTCGTGCGCGTAGTAGCAGCCTCGAGGATATGCTCTTCGTACGTATCCCGACTGCCTCTAGCTCCCATTCGCGTCGTCTTCGTGCATTGTCCAAGTCCACTCGTCGCTGCGGCGTTGGCCCTATTTGTACGTCGTAACCTCCTCCACACCGAACGGGACTTCTTGTAACGCGTGTGCTGACATGAGGCGCGATCGGTAGGACATCACTACTCTTCAGTCTTCGCCAGTTTTCCATGCGGCAGGACTAGAGGGACTATCCCTGTACCATCCTGGCCATCTGCGCTTTTCCGCCTTTCCAGCAAGATTCCTGCGCCAGCTGTCTCCGCCCAGCTGTCTTCATCAACACCATCCGAGCTCCAATTCTCTCTTCCGCACTTCCTATCTTTGACGTCCCATGGCCACGCTCCTACCGACGATCACCGAGCAGGACACTTTCACCTCCCAGAATACTGACCTAGAGCCAGATATAGAATGGAAGAATACAACCATCAAACAGATCGAGGCGTTGTTGCGGCCGGCGGTGGATGAAGCGAAAGCGCAGAGGGACAGGGGGCTGGGCATGTATCCCTTGGACGATGCTACGAGGGAGAAGATCTGCAAGGAATACGACAGGACTATTGAGGGCATCAAGCGTCTGGCGCAGGAGCAGCTTATGCACGCACTGGAGCAGGAGAGGCAAACGCGTCGATGGGCGGCAGGCGGCCCCTTGGATGTGGGTTGGAACGAGGCACTGGCTCGTGAGCAGCAAGGAATCCTGGACGGTATAAAGAGAAAGGGGAGTGTGCAACAGCAAGATCTCAGTGTCGTCCAGAACTCCGTTGATGACCAGAACAGAGACACCACTGACGGACCATCGAGGGTAGGTGAGCGCGACAGCAGTGAAGAATCACTGAACCCAAGACATGATACTCAGCCAAGCGATAGCGAGAACGAGGAGAATAGTGTTGCTTCTGGCGGAGACCGTGACATTCCCGCACAGAAATTGCCCGAGGCCCTTCCCATCGATAGCTACGGCTATGGATCGCACGCGGAACCAGTCTCATATCTTCACAGAGGCTTCGAGTCCTCGTCGTCGCGCATGGTTGGGCTTGATACTGCGCGTGGAGACCACGATATACCTGCGCAGTGGCTGCGTGATGCCGCCATCAGCAGCTACGGCTACACGAAGCCAGACTCATATCTTGACCGCGATTCCGAGGCGTCGTCATCGCGCACCGTGGGGTTTGATACCACACGCCCAAGCGTCACCAGGCAGAGGAGCACAAGCTCTTTGTCGAAGAGACCAGAACAAGAATTCTGGCGCCCTTCTTCACCGCCCGACACCCAGCCGACCACGTCGCGGACGCTTGCACACGCGACCGCTGCGATGGAGTCTCCCATTTCACCTGTCAGACGAGACAGCATCACAGGAGATACTTCTAGATCTGTGTCACGGTCGGGCAGTCTTCGAGCTCGAGGGAAACCGCAGCAAGACGGGGAGTTTCACGTCAGTTCACACGCGTCGCGCGAGATACCGGGCAGTTTGGCCTCCGAGTCTTTACTGTCGAGGACGAGGGAGAAGCAGCGCGAACCGCAGAGCCCACAGCAGATCCGGCCTCGAAAGTCCACTGACTTCCGCTGGCAGACGTCTGTTCCCCCGTCACCCGCTGGCTCGGCGCAGTTTCCTCCGGCTGATGGCTACTCCTACCAGCCCAATTCCGTGACCTATCGCGAGGCGGAAGAACCACCAGGAGGAATCCCAATACGCGGTGCGTCTTCTTCTCGGCAACCACTCTCTCCCCAGGGATCTCCAGATACTCCGCGCCATCAGCTGTCGAGCTTCAACGGAGGCAGGTCGATTGCGAACAAATCGTCCTTTACGAGGGAGGCCGATTTCCGCCATCCGCAGGCAAGTCCTAACTCGAGATGGGTGCCGAGTCCACAAGGCGCTTCAGTGCCATCGAACAGACCTATTGTGAAGCAGCAGTCTTTCACGATAGACAGTTCGGCGAGCCAGCAGCCGTCCAGTCCCAGTCATCGAGGTTGGTATGGCCCTCAGATTCCTCCCGGAAGCGTCCGTCGCAACTCTTCTGGCGCACACTCGCTTCGGTCTCAATCCTCCAGGCAGGATTTTTACGGCCCGATTCCTCGAAGGCTGGCAACGTATGACGAGCAGTCGGTAGCTTCGGGAGAGTATGGCAGTGACAGTGACAGCGACATTTGGAACCCTGACCTGGAGCTGGCTGAGAGGAGGGAGGAGGATGAGGCTGAGAAGAGGGCAATGGAAGCTAAGGCGATGGCAGAGGCGGCAAGGCGGAGAGAAGCCGAGGTAAAGCAGAGGGAGGCAGAGCTGAAGCAGAAGGAGGAAGAGGCAAGGCGCAAGCAGGCAGAAGCCAAGCAGAAGCAAGAGGAGGTGAAACGGAAGGAGGCAGAAGCAAAACGCAGAGAGGCTGAGGCAAAACGGAAGGAAGAAGAGGAGAAGCGGCTGGAAGCCGAGGCAAAATGGAAGGTGGCTGAGGCTAAACGAAAGGAGGAGGAGGCGAGACGTGTAGCGGAGGAAGCCAGACGGAAAGAGGAGGAAGCCAGACGGATAGCAGAGGAGGAGAGACGGAAGGAGGAGGAGGCGAAGCGCATGGCGGAGGAGGCGAGACGGAAGGAGGAGGAGAGAAAGCGCAAAGAAGCTGAGAATAGACTGAAAGAGGCGGAGGCAAGGAGAAGAGACGATGAGATCAGACGCAAGGAGCAGGAATCGAGACGTAAGGAGCAGGAGGTTAATATGAAGGAAGAGGAGACCCGTCGGAAAGAGGAAGACATCAAGAGGAGAGAGGAGGAACTGCATAGGCGTGAGGAAGACTTGGTCCGCAGGGAGCAAGAGGCTATATTGAAGGGGCAGGACGAGGATTTCCTCAAGCAGCAGGAGGAGATGTTCCGTCGTGCCGCCGAAGAGAGGAAGAGGCAAGATAGCATGAGCAGCACTTCTGACAGCAGTCGACCCACGGCAGGACGTTCCCATGCTTCGGTACCTCCTTCGAATCCGTGGCCAATTCCCAAGAGCAGCAGCTCCAGCTCGAGCAGTAGCTCCACCGATCGCAGCAGCACGGCCTCTTCCTCGAGTTGGACGAGTTCAGCCTCTGGATGGTCTTCGTCCGGGCGCTCTAACAGCTCCGCCTATACCCAGACCTCGACATCCAGTTACGCCCCCAGCACGCCTACTGCCACATCTAGTCACACTGCCAGCACACCCTCTCCCAGTATGAAACCTCCTCCGCAGGGAAGATCGACGGGTGGTTCGACCCCGACACAAGCGTCTGCAAGCAGCAAACCGACGACCGCCTTCCCTTCAACCGGGCCCAGTTCGGACGAAGAGGAATGGCGGCGCCGACAAGAAGAGCGAGCGAGAAAACAGCAGGAGCAGTTCAAGCACATGCAGGAGCAGATGGAATGGGACAAGCAGGCCAAATCATCCAAGCCTATGTCGAGGGACGACGTAGTCCGTTTGTTTGAGGAACACGAGCGCCGCTGGGCCGATCTTCCGAACATGGACGTGCTCAGCTGGAGCACCCTTCCCTGGCCAATGCTGAGGAGACCTGAGGAACCAGATGACTTGACCACCATAGCCATCAGTGCATATGTTCTCTCACCCCACTATCCTGGCGAGAAGGCGAAGTCTCCCAGAGATCGCATCAAGGAGCATATAAGGCGGTGGCACCCTGATCGTTTTGAAACCAAGCTGCTGCCGAAGGTGCGGAAAGACGACCAGGACAAGGTGAAGCAGGGCGCAGGACTCGTGGCGAGGAATTTGAACGAGATCTTAACGCGTCAATCGAGCGCAAACGACTTGTTCTCATAAGCGAAGGAGTGAGCGGTAGTGTTCGTTGCCCCAGCCATGCTTACCTGACTTCTCTTCGACAGCTTAACAAACAACATGTACTCTTATACCCACTCATGCATTGTATGACTACCACTCAAATCCCCGCAATATATCATATCGTATCGTTGTGTATACCAGCGTTCTGTAGAATCGATGCATACCATGCATGTCAAAGAAATCGAGTGTGACTTGAGAGCAGCTAACGCAAAATAAATGAACTCACGGTGCAATATGCGAAAGCATGGCAATACCATACATCGCATCAGGCACGTTTGTAGCCGCAGAGGGATAGTGAACGTGGTGACGCACTTCTCCCGAGCCCAAGAGATCAGCATTGCGGTTTCTGCACCAAATGGCGCATATAAGGAGGAACAATGGTTGGGCACTGTCAGATCCTTTGGGGCAAGATAAGTAAGAGGTTCGAGAAGAAACGCATAGAGCACCATGAATCGTGGTCAAGGGTTTGCATGAGTCAAATTGTAAGTTACCAGATACGGAAAGTTAGTTTGGCCGGAAAGTCTGCTGAATTTCGGGAGGTTCAGTGTAGTAATAGAAGAGCTAGCTATGACAAGTGACGGAGGGTGCCGGAATAGCTACCAATCGGTCGCGTACGGCAGCGGCCAGATGATGGAGGATAGAACGCCCCATGGGACTCGTAAGCTTGAAGTGCCGCAGGTCAGAGTTATCGCCATCGAAGAAACGTAAGAGCGTACTTCAGGAAGCATACAACGAGCTCTGCAATGATTACTGAGGAAACTGAAACACGACATTTGTCAAAGGGTCCTTATTTAATTGGCGTTCGCAAAAAAAGGCCGAAACGTTGTGCGCCACAGGATCCGAGTCAGATTCCGATGAAAAGGGAGCTATTACTATGAAATAAGCACTTATGACGGTGATATACTCACTTTATGCATGCTACAACATAAGTTATCCACGTCCGTAGGTACGAGCAAGCATCAACAGCTGTGAGGATTGAAATATTGAAAGATGAGACGCGGTGTCACAGGACCGCGCCTTTCGCTTGTCACGCGAAACGCGACCAGTCACAGTGACTACGTGACAATTGCTCAGCCAGGTTCAACTTGTTGTTAACGTTTCAAATAATCTTGACGGGGGACGTTTCGAGCACCAGATGGCCGAGGACGTTGATTTTGTCCACGACGACGATGAATTACTCAAGTAGGCGTTGTCATATTCTTAGACCAACTCTAACTTCTCCCAGCCCTCGGGATCATGTGAACACTTAAAGTTGTATCTGGATGCATCCTAGGCATATCCCATTTGCATGCACTGTATTTTTGCTCATAGATCTCAACCGTACGTCACATATACCTGTCGACTGTCGCCGAATATGTCTGTTCCCGCCTGCATTTAACTTATTTTCCCCAGAAACTGCGAACTTCCGCTGATGATGTTGCGCTGATTTGCTTAATTTTCCCATTGTGTCTCTGGTCTCCTCATGGCGTAACGGAGTTAGGCAATAACAGTGACTCTATTTCATGTTAATTTCCACGCTCGTTCTGTCCTCTGCAAACGCTGGTCTGATTCTTCCTTCGCCTCGGCACAGAGCTCTCATGGTGAGAGGAAAGGAAGCGCAACGTGCGTTCTTTGAAACCTTTACAGCGCTGCCGAATCTATTCATCAGGTGGCGACGTGCTCCTCCACATTGCCGACGAGGTTACCGTGACGAAAACGCGCAACTATATGCAGTGGCCTCGAGGTCAAAGTCGTTCTTGCGAGAGCGGAAAAACATAAACAACTTACACGCCCAGACTTACATTGTGGATGCCCTTTGTGAGAATGATGTGAGGGCGTATCATCGGCCATTTTTACCTCGTTAAAGTTCATTTCCTGCGGGTTACGCGGTAGGAATCGACGAGGGCGGAGAAACTCGGAGGCCTGGCATGCTGATGTATCACCAGAAACGTGAAGCATCAATTGCGAAGCAGGATATCAACAGACATTATTACGGTGTACATTTGGCTAATCGCTACAAGATACAACTTCATAACCAGACTTCCACATCTGCACCACAAGCTTAATGTGTGAAAGTCATCTCGATGCTTTGTCGACACCACGAGCCAAAAAGGTATAATACCATGATGTGTACCTCCTCACATCACCGTCTACGCCTAGTCTTCTGGAAATTTTCGGCATAGCATGCACGGCACATGCAAGGCGACTTTCTGCAAATATACCGAGGATCCACGGCGCGTACCATGGTCACCAGTGCCTTATCGAGATGCATTTCAGTCTGGAAAATTGGAACACCAGTATTGAGTGTTCATACTCTGACTGCCTGATTGTAGTCATCAGCCGCCTTCCTGAGGAGATAGTTATTTTTTTGCCGTGTTTTCCTACACCAGGAAAGAGGCACACTAGGAAACATTTCAAGAACGAAGTGTAGGGTCACTTACTTCTGTGTTTTGCGAGAGCCGGCATTTGAGGTTTGCAAATCCACGACAGAAGAGAAGTCCTTTGACGTCTCAAACTTCATCCAGGAATCGTAGAAGTCAGCGACAGAGACGGGAGAGGGCCTCATCTGCTTAAAAATTCTTGGCAATTTCCATGGTGTTGCAGAATTGCCGAAGCACATATACGAATCCGCTTTAAAGTCAGGCTCGTCTGCTGCGATGCGATGGAATATTTCGTGATACAAGGCATAGAAACTCTTCAAAGAGACAACACTATCAGTGACGGCATTTGATTTCATGCTGATCACATACATGGGTACCATCGCCGAAGAAGTCCAATTCGGGAGAGAGAAGCAGGTGAAAGCGGATGATATCCTCAAATGTCAAAATTTTCTTGGAATTGAATGTTGGACTGGATCTGCCATCTCCCCGCCAGCTTCCGTTCGGCTGTGTCCGACGAGATGCAGATTCTGGTGTGACCTGCTCTGGACGAGCTTCTGGACGAAGGAAACCCGGCATCGTGGATGTAACTTCTTCTTCCTGTTCTTCCTTCTGTGTTGGCTGTGGTACACGGAAGGCTTTCTGGCTATCGTAGTACGCGCGATCCTGGTCGCCACAGGAATGTCAGAAAATATCACGCGACCCATTCGAACGTCTCTTTTCTCACTTGATCGTTGCTTAGTATCTACGAGGTCCAAGTTGAACTAGCTTAAGGCAAAACACGGCCACTAATCAAGTCGCTCACCTCGTACGCTTGCTGTACCGCTGCAAATCGCTGAGTGGCACCTTCTACATCATTCATGTTCTTATCCGGGTGATGAACTAGTGCGAGCTTTCTGAACGCGACCTACGCTCAGATTTATTTAATCAATGTGTCTCAGATGCATGACATCCATCAGGAAGGGACTTTTCCGCTAGTTTACGCGTGCAAAGGCGTTGTGAACGTACCCTTATTTCTTCAGCTGTAGCGCTCTCTGTGATTCCCAACACCGTGTAATGATCTCCCGACACAAAGCGGTTGTCTTCCGTATTTTGAGCGGTCGACTCAGCGGCACCCATGCTGATATCGAGAAGGATAAGAGTTGGTTGCAGCAGAAAGAGGAACTTGAGGCGCGTGCGCGACAGGCCCTGCTTCCGATCGTTTGCCCGATCGCGTGTGCACCACGTGGTCACTGAACACCCACAGGTCGTCGTAATTTTCTTTACGCAGTAGCTGACGAGGTGTCTCTTACGAACCTGAGCTGTTTATCGGCATAGTCAATTAAATTTACTTGTTTTCTCGAACAGGGTGATAATCGAGTGTATGATGATCAAGTGATAATTGCATATTTCCTACAACGTGATCCTTCCACTAATATAGTACATCTTTTAGATCATCGTTAATCGTACATTTGCTCACGAACCGGACAACGTCGCCACAATAACTGCAAGCTCGTGTTCAACCCACATAAGACCTCATAACGTCCTGCCACTCCTGCCTAATGGCAGGACTAATCTTGTTCGAGGTGTAGTTGGTGGTGTGCTGCTTGCCCTCGATGAAGTCCTCTCTATTCAAGTCAGTGTAGTCGACGAAAATCCCAGTGCCTAGTGTGAGAGTGCCGGAAGCTATGAAATCTCTGGGGGATACCTTCGCCAACCCAGGGCCATGCGTGGTTGCAGCACGTGGATCGTTGTAAACCTTGACGTTGAACTTGGTGCCTGCCTTGAAGAAGTTCGGCGGATCGTCTTTGCTGAACGGCTGCATCGCCTGCTCGTGCAACCCCTCGATGAATAGTAGAACACCCTTCCTCAGATTCTCGTCCGTGAGACGATCCACTTCTGCCAGACTTAAGGCAACACGATCAGCGCAGAGCTGAGCATTAGGTGCTTGTAGAAGCATGTGGTCGACGTGCTGCTCCTGCAAAGAGCCGTAGAGGTAGAAGGGAATGGAATCGGCAGGGTAATTCTGGTCGCGCCACATGGAGTCAAGGGGACGCTCCTTGACAACATAGATCGAAGATACGACCACCTCACTCAAGTCCAGACCCCTGCAGAAGGACAACGAAATCAACACCATATTATGATAACACGGGACTACTGTGAAGCACAACTTACTTGCCGCGGATGGTTCCGGTGAAGGTGCCATTCTTCAAGATGTCTGACAAGGGCACCTCGCGTTGTGTCTGCAACCAATAGTTCTCGGTCGGATTCGCCTTTCTGGCTGCTTGATACTGTGCAAGCTGCGCTGCGTCCTCGATATTCGCGCTCACAATAAGCTGGAAGCGGCTGTTCGCCTTATGGAAGAGTGATCGGTACACCAAGTAGATATTGTTGGTACCCTGCATGATAAAGGCGTGTCTCTGGGGAGAGATGGTGTTCCGATGGACAACATTCTATCGTCATTGTTCAGCTGACAAAAACTTGACGGAAAGGTAATGACAACTTACCTTGACCTCATCTTCCAAAACACCTTGGAAAATGTCTGCTAGCTTCTGCACAAAGTCACCTGCAGTTTGAAACGGAGACATGACCACATTTCGGAGGATGAACAGATCCTGCTCCGATCGAGTCTCAAGTCCAAGACGTTCCTTGAACCTCGTGGCGCACTTCCCGTAGTTCTTCATCTCGAACACGGAAGAGGAGATGAAGATTGGGACATCTTGCGGCGTCTTGTCCGTAGTAGTGATCGAGAGACGCTCGAAGATGCGCTTGTTCAGGTAATTGGCTTCCTCAACGTCTTCGTTCACCTTGCCGTTGATGCGGAAATTACAGGCAAACGCGTTGATATTCAGGTCCGATCCCAGCTGACAGAGAACCTTCATTGCCTCCTTGTCGTTCCAGATCTCCTCGTTGGACTTCCCCAGAATGTGTGAACGGATGAACTCCTTCTCCTTCGCCACTGCGTCAGATGTAGACTCGTCAGGCAGAGGATTCAAAGGGACGACTACGAAGTCCGTCTTGTCATCAGACATCGCAGCCCAGTGGGCAGAGAGCTGCACGACCGTCAGAAAAGGAAGCATAAACGGAATGGATGACTCTTACTCTGCGGCACGTAAAGGAGACCTCGCCGAGCAACCCGCCATGACCCTCCTTGTGCAGACCAACAACCGTATTGTGCAGATAAACTGCTGCAGCAGCCGCACCAGGTTTGCTAGTTTATATGATACACTCAGGAAAAGTGTGACAATTAGGCAAGAAGCTGTTGTACATACCTTCCTTCGACTCCGTACAAACCAATGCTCTCCGCAGTACCTTGGGGAAGGTAGGGCGCTGTCCAAGTCAACAAGAACCTCATCCTGCCGTCACGGTAGCACAACCCTCCCGCCGGGTAGGGCACGTAGCCACTCTTGTGCGGATCAATTGTAATGGAATCCGCATGCCGCAGGGAATGAAATTGTGCCACAGTGGAAGGGCGCAAAGTGACGCTCGGCACAAATTCGCGGTCATCGCGACGCGGAGCAGTTGGCACGTGGTAGACAGGCTTGTCACGGATCATGGAGGCGAAGTAGCCGCCCCACGCCGCGTCTGCATGGACGACGAACGACATGCCCCTCGCTTCGTACATGTCTCGCAGCTTGACAATGGCATCCAGGGGATCCACAGCTCCTTCCTCTGTGGAACCGATGATCGCCACAACTGCGTAGACAGCTTGCTGATTCTGGTATCGTTCTTCAAGGGCTGCCTTCAGGCATTCGAGGTCGACACGGGCATTGGTGTCCACTGGCACATCGACTACATTGGCCGACCCTATTCCGGCGATGGCTTGAAACGCACACGCCATCAGAAATGATCGTGTCGAGTGACTAACATACATACCACCACTCTTCGGCCAAGAGTAGTGCTTGGTGCTAGATACAAGATACTGAGGACTCTGGATCCCGTACTTGACCTCAAGAACATCTTTGGCAGTAGATTGGATGAGATAGTCTCCGAGAGCATCTTCCAAAAATTGAGATGTGATACCGAACTCATTGGAAAGCCTTTCGGGAATGTCCAAGATGTCTTTGATGCGCAAGTTGAGAAGTTCCCACACGGAAAGCTCCGTAAGTAACACCAGTTCGTTCGGCCTGGCGCATGTACCGACTTTGAATCTGTCAGCAATGAACGCAAGGGGACCACCCGGTTCCATAGCCTCGCGGAGACTGAGAGCGTAGAATTTGAGGTTGCGAGCTATATGTCAGCGAGAACGTTAGTTTGCTCCCACCGCTTTCAAATGACAATTTACCGGCCCTGTAAAGAGTAGTGCGCAGTCAGACTACTGCGAGAAAGACTCAGTCAATAATCGAGATTTACCACATGGACTCCAAGTTTGCGACAGTACCGTCACACGCGATATGTCCCCATCCGATAGCCTCCCCAGTCTTAGCGATAGCACGAGTTTTATAGCCAAGCATCTCGCACAACTGATTGCCAACATCAATCTCAAGCAAAGTCGTCATAGGACTCGCTTCGAAGGTGATATTGTTCGGATTGAACAAACCGGCGAGGAGCCAACCCAAGATAGCGGGCATGCTCGTATCAAATGTCATGTGCGCGGCATATCGCGGGGAGTAGAACGGGACAGAGAACGTGTTGAGTAAATCGGAGAGTATGGAGAACTGTTTGCGAAGATCAGCAACCTTATTTTGATACGCGGCTGACTCCTTAATCTCAGTAGTGATGAAAATCTGAACAAATGTCAATAACGGGAGAAAATGAGTGTAGACAACAGGGGTTACTTACGCCGTCCTCAGGGTGGTAAGCACGACGAGCGTTTGCTTGGTCTTCAACGACTTTGATGAAAAGGTCTTTGAGTAAATCGAAGTTCTCTGCCTGTGGGCCCAAGAAACAGGACGACACCGCTGCGTGCATCTCAGATTGAGGCGACGGTTCATAAATTCTGGACGCCATAGTTTACGTGGTCTTTCGCGGAGGAAAGGGGGAATGGGCGGTGCAGGGGACAAGCGTAGAGAAGAGAGATTGCACGTACCCAGTTTTATACAACAAACTCGATGCATGGAAGCGTCTCTATATGTACACAACCAGACTACGCGTGTTGCGAATCATGGAATACACAGTCATGGGATGCGGTCATCTGCAGAAGATGAAGGGACCCCATCGACGCTGCCCTTCTCTAAGTGCTGGAGCCACGCCGACGAAGACCTGGTATTGGCGGAGCACACCTTCGCGAGCGCGATGCCTGGGTTTACCGGGACCTCGGTACCTGAGCAACATCATCACTTGCTGAAGGGGGGAAGTCATGTTCCCTCCGATATCTATAAAAGCATATCCCTCTCGTCATCTAGAAAGGTTTCGAAGTCTCCCAGTCACGTTACCTGTATTGAACTCGAGGTGCTTGCGCTCCAGAATTCATATCAGCATCATCGCTGTAGCGCCAGAGTAATAGAAGTATGGGGACATGAGTCTTGCGATGGATGTGAAGCTTCACAGGCATACCCTTCGTAATCCCGGAATGGGATCTTGTATGCTACATGTCCAACTCGTCAGTTACATTGGAAGTCATGATGGGCTTCGAGCGCTATCCTCGAGCACCGCTACAAGCTCGTCTCTCCAGTTCTAATCAACAAAAACAGTGTAATTTCCTTTTGAAATGGCTCGTGTGCTCCAACTTACGAATAACTCGAGTACTCGCTGATGCTTCTGAGACGGAGGGTGGAGATACTGTTGTTTCATCTGGTACGCCGAATGCACAACTCCATATTAGGCGGTAGGAGTTGCGCAACTGGATATTCAATTCGCATTCAAGCAAGTGGTCGATGGTGTACTCCGAGCGCCAGTCAATATTCCACCTGGGGCAATTGGGAATCTGAGAAATCAGGCCAAAGACTGTCCAAATTATCGAAACGGACAAGCACCACGAGATTGTCACGAAATGTAATGTGTTATTGCTGCGATCGAGCTTGGACTCGGGGTGGTTGACACATGCGCAAGTGGCGTCTGGAAATGCACAGAAATTGCTCGTCGCAACTTCACATGAAAAAAAACTCGGTGGAAGATGTAGCCGCTAACGCTTGGAGGGTTGCTGAACATGAACCGTCAGGGCGAGGATGTGGAATCTCATCGGAATCAACGAATACCAATACAAGGACGTATGTATTGATGGTCCCGTGAAGTATCGAAGTGGCGGCTTGTGCTTGTGCTTACGTCACCGTTCACGAGGCACCGGGAAAATCGAGTAGATTCCAATGATGTCAACCCCCACGTGAAGAGATACAGAAGTAATCCTTCAATGGCCTGTCTCAGAACGTTCAGCAATTGCACAATCCCACGGTGTTCAACGTGCTGAAGAGAACAATAAGCAGATCAGTCACGAGTGGTGGTGAAATGACGACGTCCACCGCCTTTGCGCCTCTTCGGACAGTAATGATATGCCCTTTTCTGGAGGAATGTCGTAACACCAAGACCACGGTCTGGCTATCGCGTCGCGAGCAATACGGTATGAAACCACGCGTGCAGACAGAATATGGCGAAGACCAAAATTAAACAAGGTCACAAAAATTTAAGCTATTCGAGGACGCACGCAACTGGTAAAAAGCGAGCCATTTTTCATCGCTCAAGTCGATGAACCAAAAGTGGAGCTTCAAGCTTGGAAGCTGTCGCGGGAGCCAACTTGCCACCAATGTGGCTAAGAATATTCTAGATCTTCCAGCGGTGGACAGAAACCTATCCTGCGAGTCTCTGCAACACGACGTCTCCGTTGCAGCTGCAGCCCGCAGATGAGAACGGCGCGGTGTTAGTCGCTGTGGGACGAGATGCGGAAGTAGAGCACCGAGGGAAAGGATAAAGGGAAGGCCGAGTGGAGATGAGAAGTTCGAAGACGGCGATACGTCATCGTACGGTATCTGCACAGCAGAATCACCGTGGTGTAGAACACAGTGGTCACACTGGCATCGTCTGTGAGAATGAGAACCCAATCCATGCCCTTCGGTAGCATATCTTGATGTTCTCTCGAACCAGGGAGACCTCAGGCCCTCAGCGGGCGGCATTCAGTTAACGAGTTCCTGCAAGTGGATGATACACACCTGACACAGATCCACTATGCAACATCTCGATGGCGACATATCTCGAGAGGAGATCTGGACGGGAATAAGCTAAGGCTATCGTTGTAGATGACAAATCACATGACAAAGGATAGTACATCGACACATGGAATATATGATTGATGGGAGAGGTTGCGAAGTGGGCAAATACTTACATCCGTAGTACATGCACTAGAAGCGCAGGGAAGCGCCTCGGGTACTGAAGGAGAAAACAGGACTCGTCACAAAATCAAATAGGGTGCGAAAACACTGACCTCTGTAACAACTACTCTTTGTATCAGTCATCATGTCGGACCCACACGAAAAGAGGCTTTTTCCTGCATCTCGACAACGCAGTCAACATCAGATTGGACTGCTCAAAAGCAAGCACGCAACAGCGTGATTTTCCGACGTTTACGATCGTTTAGAGTCGACGTGAGACACACATGTTCGCGTCGCGACAAGAGCCGCCGAACGATGCGACGCGGGAGCACAACTCGGTGTAGCTAGACTTGCCCGCCGATCTTCTATACAGCAAGTGATGATGTGCCCGAATCACCAAGATGTAATGAGCGAGATGCGGTGCACTCTTCTTCCTCGACTTCTGTCAACATTTGTCTGCGTCAGCATTCAGCGTACCACCTGACATGAGCGACACTGTGACACTTATCCCTGCATCCCCGCAATTTGAAACAGGCTCGCTTGAGGACGGAGATAAAAGGGAAGTCGAAACATACAAGAAGCTATGACAGAGGAGCAATGGCATTGAAGAGCGTATATCCGCACACTGCACTGCCTGGACAACACGAAGCTGGCTCCAGAGGTAAGTAGGACACGTTGGTCATCTCCTCTTGTGTCGAGCGGATGATACACATGCCGCAAAGTTTCTTGGATAACATGCTTGAGTACTAGAGACTCGAGAATGCCACCCAAAGCTTCCTGCCGAAGAACACGGGCCGGCCCGAGCGATGCACGGAGGAAGCTCTTTTGTTAGAAAGAATTACAAACGTCCTCGGGATGTATTCTGATGATAATGCCTGGAAGTAGCACACCTTGCCATGTATTCGACCACCCCCCAAGACAGCAAGAAAAAGCCACCGAGTAGTGTTCTTGCACAGAATCGGGGAGCATCCTTGCGGAGAATCACTGAGTGCTGTTGCAGAGAATCCAGAGGCCTAATGTCCGTCCTGTAGAGTGCAGACATAGTTCTTTCATGGGTGGACGCAACTATAGAGCGGAGGTCCTGTCGTTGGCCGATGTGAGGCCATTGAGGCAATATATTGAACAGCGCTTATATTTGTATGAGAGCAATTATGTTCTGAGTACGAGACGCGGAAATCTGAAGCAGTAAAAATTCATAATCAGCCCGCCAAGATTAGAGTAAATGCCTAAAGTAGTGACAAACCAAGTACGAAATATCACCCGATGCAACTACAGCGAGGAGAAGCTCCTGGTTCCAAGAGCAGGGAAGCATAAAACCAATTAGATGCCTTGGTCTTGGCAATTGTCGTCCACTGACTTGCACCTAGTGTCGAAACCAGCCGCCTTGCATTGGGGGGAGATAGATCTATAGCACCAATCCCGCCGCCTCTCCCCCCTCTCTTCATTCTCCCCGGCCCCTCGTATATAGCATTGCATTGGTGCATTATAGAGACTGGTCAGAAGTCTAACCTACACTGCCGCAGCAGAGTCAAAAGAGGCACGCACCGAGCGGCCACAGTACGCCTCCGGATTTGCGCGAGCCGAGCATTGGCCCCTGAAACGTAAACAAATCGCATCACCTTGGTGAGACAACCGTCCAGTGGCACGAATACCATCGGGAGGAATCCAGGGCAGCGATCCATTCATCTTTGCGAGCTTGTACGACCGCCAGAGCTTATTCTCTGTCCCGCGAACCGTCAACGCACGTCGACGTCGGGGAAGACACCCAGCTCGGAAACAAAGAGCAATCCATTGGGCGTATGACATCCTTCGTTCCAGGACGCGAATAAGAGAGCAGAGAAGACTCCTTGGCCGTCGGGCGGTGCGCCGCCAGATACACGATCCTGTGGTATTGACTTCCGTCAAGTTGATGCCTCGGACTCGGAGCGGCGAATGGTGGGTACTGGATTGACACGAGCAATCAACGTGGTGAGAGCTTCGTGCTCAGATGGAATATTCATCACTGGAAGGTATAGCGTTTCTGAGCGCTCTTCCTGCAGCGGCGAAGAGTTCAGTCAGTGAAGAAGAACACAGCAAGTTATCGATGAGAACAGATGGAAAGTCAGGATCAAAGATCAAATATTGATCGCGTGGGAGAGATTGGAAGTGGAGAACGACAGTGCAGACCACTCACATCAATTGCTTCTCGAATTCACTGCAGCGTAAGGACGACGAAGACCACTGTGACACATGAGCACGAATACGTGGACAACTAACGTTGCGGCGAGCTCGGTCGAGAATTCCTCGAGCTAACGTATTGCTGGCAATATCATCGCCAGTGAGCGCCCGTTGCGCGCACCATTGATCACCACGGAGCGCACATCGAAGACGGTGTAGCCCCCACCCTGCATCGATGACAAGAGGGTGCGAAAACCCCCAGACCGCCCCCAGTCATTCGGGACAACTGCGCACAATCATGATCGAACCGAGGAGGGCTCCTACCCAAATACGAGATAAGCAGCAGTGCATAGACTTAGCAGAGACCCTGCGGCATTCCACATAAACGTCGTTCAGCTGAACTGTGAAGCAAGAATATCGCTCGGAATGTCTTGATGGGCGCTTGGGCGCGCCCAAGAGTCGGAGGTTTGCCAGCAGCAGGAACAAGGGCGACCAGGAGGGAAGTAAAACTCAGCGTATAGCCTGGCTCGCGCTCTGAGAAATCGTCGCAAGGGGAAATGGCCTTGAGCTCGGACTGGACACGCGGTATGTTTGATGCGGCGCAGAATCTCCGAGAAAGCGCGCTGATTGAGGATTTGCAGCGGATCTGAAGCTAACCATAGATCATGAGCAAGTGGACATTGTGCGCCAGGACGATGCAGAGCCCATCGGAGGGTAGCTGACCCCGAGGGGGGAGGAGTTGATAGCACGCGGTGGACGACACGACTGAATCAGACAGGGATGCAGTCAGGACACAACTTAGGAACGCAAAGCTGCCATTGTAACACGCCTGGAAGTATCTTGGTGGTCTGAATGAACTTGTCTGCGAGTGTGGCAATAGGAGTGTGCTTGGACGGAAGGGTCACGAAGATCGATACCACGAGGTTTTCAGACGGAAATTGCTACGATGGTCTGAATCCATTCCTACCTGACACACCTGTCACTAGTATATGACCTTTGGCCGTCCGCTGGAGATGATAGGCTCGTGAATCGGGCTTTCCACGACTGGTCGGAGGAGCACCAATTTCACACCGCAACGATGACCCCGATGCACTGTCGATGAATGTGAGCAATGTGGATGCGATAAGGGGAAGGCATGCTAAGAACTCCCACTTACACTTACCACATCTAGAGCAGGATGGTAACTCTCGTCCAAGACGCTGTTGTCGAGCGATAGTTCACAACGAAGACCGTGTGTACGTTCCCCGAGTGTTATCGGCGGACGCTTTCGTGTTCTTTCACTCACTGTCAAGTGCCCGGGACCGCGGTCAAGGCAGGCACAAGCTGTCAGTATGAGGCCTCGAGGCCTTGTGCGATGTGCAGCGTAAGTGGTCATCCATCCCCTTTCCCAGAACGGATCGAAAAGATGGAGACGTCGGGCAGGTACATCCGTGGTACAAATCCAGCAGTACTTCCAATTACGGTGGACTTCAAGTGTCCAACTGTCGGCGTTCTGGAGCTTCTGTTCCACGTCTAAGAGGGCACAGTGCGGTTATCCTTTGCCCTGAAGGTCATGCTGAGTATGTACGTCCGGGCTTATCGATATGATTCTGTGTGTAGGTAAAACGGCGCCGAAGAAGCATCGATGCTGTACGTCCCGCTGCTGCACATTTTCCAGCGGACAGCGGTTTGGTGTTCATGAGATCGGAGGTCCAATAAAGGCGCGGTGTTGGTCCTCGTGTGCGCAATTACGCTGCGAGATGGGCCAGAGGGATAAAAGTTGGAGGTTTTCCAGAGAGAAGATATCTCGGGGGCAGAGAAAAGATGCGGTTTTGCGGGGCCAATCAACGGAAGCCAAACATGGTGGCCAAACACCGGCTAGGTCTCGACTTAAGCGACAAGCGTCAGTCGGCGACCCTAAAATCGCTCGCCGAATATTTATTGCCTGATTGCACACAATTCCACCATGCTTTAAAAATACGGCCAAAGTGTGTTCCCTGACTGTGCACAGCGGTATGTCAAGTGGGTTCGCGACGGAGGGTGTTGAGAAATATTTGAGAGCTGGGAGAGGATGACCAGCCAGCTTCGGTGGCCGGGAAACTGGTTTGAGAAGGAGCCGAGAATCATTGGGCGGTAGATTGCCGGACGGACCGATCGGGAGGGGTTCTGCTTACGTAGGGGTCAGACTTTCCAGAAGTGGTATGGAAGTGGATTAGGGAAAAATAAGTATTTGAGGCGTTGATGGGAAATTTGGAATTTGCGCGAAGCGAAGCGACGAGCTCTCGTGCCCTTCAAATACCCGCTGCCATGTCGCGTTTCCGACATTCCCTCCTCCAACAATCCTGGCACCGACTTTCCGCTTCCCGACAATCCTCTTTTCTTCGCGTACCTGCAGTCTCGGCAGACCTGCAGGTCTCCGTCGCTGCGACAAATACATCTCCTACTGACCACATCACCTCCTCGCGACACAACGGTGCTTGCTACGCGTTTCCTGCATTGCGTGCGTTATATCATATCACTGTGTCCCGAGTCGACAAGTTGATGTTCGCTACGCGCAACGCCCGACTAGCTTCCAACCACCATGGACCTACCCTCTGCAATAGACAGTCTTAGCATGTCCCGCAAGCAACTCGACGAGAAGCTTCAGCTTCTTCAACAACTGTGCTCACAGGGGTTCGACGAATCGACCGAGAGTCCGTCTGCGCGCAAGACGTCCGTTGACAGCGACACCTGGATTCACGCAGAATATCAATGGGCACTCGACGAGGCTCGCGACTCCGCCATAAGTTTGTCCAGCGTTTTGCACCAAGGTGCGTGCAAATTTCATAATTTACATGCTGCCATGTGTGCTGATATACGTCTAGTAGACGAAGAGGCTACCGACGCGTGCATGCCGCACGCGTATGACCCCACCCTATTCCCACCCCCGCACTCCACACTGTCGCACAATAACTCCAAGCACCAACGAGCGTGCAGCGACAAGGATAAAGTAAGTACCCGCCCATTTGTTACCTCTGCTGTTGGGTCTGGTCCACGACCCCCGAACTTCTTGAGTGCATTGATATTTCATCCGTTCACCACTGCACTTCCGCTGCGAACGGCCTTAAGTCAAACACCGCGTTCACGTCAGAGCAGACGTCTTTTCCCTTCCCAAGGATATTTTCGTTGTACTTCTTTCTGCCTTGGGGCATGGTGCACGGCAATGGCCGAGCCGTGCTCGGGCCGCTCGCCAAATGCCGGCGTCTTCGTGTCAGACCCTGCAAAAGGGTAAAGTCTCCCGAAATTTGTTGCGTAGGCAGTGCGCGCTGTTCTGTGGGACGGAGATGGAGGGTTGCATCAACGTACAAGTTTGATGTAGCTTTCATGTGGAGCAAGTCGCAGTTCGTCACCTGTGGACATCAAGGCACACACTTTACTGCCAGTGGCTAATCTAATTTCTGGCAATCGATGTCAACGATCACTGACTCGCATTATCAAGCCCCTTCCAGACATACCTGGCACTCCGTCTGCACTCGGATGTGTCTACACATCATGGCCGCCCTCTCCGCGCACCCCTCCGCCCTCTCCGTGTGCTCCTGGGCGTGTGTTCTCATCGACCCTCCCTCGATCATCGGCCAGCACGTCCATGTTCTACACTTCTCCCCTTTCAACGCGTTCAACTTCCCTGCCCACAAGCTCAGTTCTTTCGACCGAGGTCGTGCGACCAGTCATGCCTAGTTCAACTACAGTGTCAGCTTCCAGAGCTGCGTCTCAACGACATACTAACTATCCCTCTATCTCCTCTACCCTCGAGCTTCTCGAGGAGCGCGAAACAGAGGCAGAAAGGCGAGCGGGCGTATACGTCACGGGTACCAACGAGACCGCGGTCGACGAGATGGCCGCGGCTTCAGCTAGGCGCGGAAGTAACGCGAGTATGTCCCACGTTAACGCCGAAGCGCCTAAGTTGCATCTGGGGCTGGGAAAGATGGGCCCTAAAAGAAAGCAGAGGCCAGCTCTTCCTGCTCTCTCGACGTCGGTATCGTCTCCACAATTGCGTACGCTAGCTGTGCAATCTGCGTCACCGTCGCTGGGCAGTGCTACCTCGACAAATCTACCCTCTGCCTTCACTGCGACTTCTCAGAAGTTTATTGACGCGAGTGCTCCTTCCACTCTCACTGCGGCTCCGTTTACGAGATCGGGCGCCATGGCGAATGGCGAGACTGACGACGACCAGCAACTGCCCTCCCGCTGGTCACTTGACTCTGTCGTGTCCAGACATGCACGCGCTTCTTTCCTCCCCGTCCATATTCCTCTACCGGCGTCACCTACCACGCAGTCACCAACTAGCAAAGGGAGCACTCGGGATAGGCTGATTAGCTTCATTTCGAGAGGCCGTTCGGGCTCTTTGGGGAAGACTCTTCCGCCAGTCATCCCCGCTGCGGAAGAAGCGTTAACTGGTCGGAATTCTCTCACGAAGGAACCCCACTTCCTGATGGTCTCATCGCGCCCCTCGCTCTCCTCTCCATTAACCACTCCCGTCAACTCACATTTCCCTGTGAACTCGTCCCCGAGCTCCTCCAATACATCTTCCGCGGCTAGCCTCCCCACCCCCACAGATGCCATGCTAGATCCCTTCTCTGCGACCGCAGACTCCTGCATCCCTGTAGAATCTGCCCATGCCTCGAGCGATGTGCAAGACTTCCATCTGCCAGACATTCCCGTAGCGCCTTCCCTTCCTCCTTCACCTCCGCCTGAACCCACACTCCCCTTACCGTCGCCCAGCATGCCATCTCAATCTTTCCTGGTCCCGCAACGTCCACACACATTTTTCTCCGCACTCGCGCTTAAGCGCCGGCTCCGCCGTCGCGCGAAGAAGCTCGTGATTAGCGGGATTGAGGGCCCCGATGCCCTCGCAAGCGTGCAGCAGCTGCGGAACCCACATGATGAGGCCGAGCGCGAACGCCGCATCGAGGAGCGCAGGCGCCGGCTCACGAATGTCGTGCACTGGTGCGAGAGCTTTGGCGCTCTGCGCAAGGTGGAGCGCAAGGACGATGGTAGCCTGCATGTGTACTGGCGTCAGTGGGAAGTCGCGGATATGGTTCGTCCCCGTTTGACTTCGGCTTACGTGGTAAGTCCGAACTGATCGCATTTAAATTTGTAGGTCTGCCGCGTGCAGGCGCAAGTTTACATCAAGGAAGTCGGGCGTGTCAATTTGGCGTGGCACTACATCTCATAGCGCGGTCTTTGGTCGAATCCTCAACAAGCAAAAAGTATAACTGGACCCTACGGTGCTATCCCACTTATTCTCGTCTCTTCTTGTGTGATCTTCCATCGTGCATCCACACTCATTCGTAACTGTCATTTCCGCGCCCACATTCACCGCTGTATTCTTCTATTCATGTGCCCACACTCATTGCTAACTGCTAGACCTTGTACTCATATCCGGCAACTGTCATTAACACCACACACCCACTTGTATCCGGATTCCGACGCTCGTTTGTTGCTCTTGTTTATTTGTTTCTTTTCCGCGCCGCATGTGCCCCACTCCTCGTCTCCTCTTTGCCAACGCCGGTGCGTCACCACCCGCTCCAGTACTTGCGCCACCTCCCCGCGCAGCCCCTCCGCTGTCGACTCCTGTTTTGTCTTGGTTGTAGATGCGCTCGTCCTTCTCTCCCCTGTTTTCGCTCCTGGCTATCTCTCGCATACCTTTATTGGCTATCCATCGTGGACCGTTCATAGACTAAACGCGCCCTTTGTAGGGCGCGAACAAAGACCGACAAGGTCGTTCTGAAGCAGAAAGTACTGTATCTACGTGTATGATAGTGTCATAATAGACTCCAGATGTTTCCGTGCGTGTTGTCAGATTTTCCTGAAGTCAGGTGCAGCTCCGTCGTGACCCCACTCAAACCGTTGCGGGGCGCTTGTTGGAAGTTGTTCTCGTCGAAGGTTCATTCAGTGTCCGAGCGTTTGGAGATGGTAGCCTCACAAGCGAATAGTATACGACATGGAGTGTTTTGCGTATGGGCGATTCAAGACCCCCACATGTCCTTACTCGTGCAGTGCTCACAACAGCAGATGTCCACATACGGTCGATCGACCTGGAGATGGGCCCTCATCGATATTCATCGATATTCATCCGCCACGGCACGCCGCTGAAATACGTCGTGCATCACATGTGTCTCATAATGCGACTTACGCGTAGGCTTGCTGACAGTCACCACAGAGACCGAGCGGAACTCCATCACCAGTGGGATTTGGGGTCGCCAAGACTGGCCGAAAACCGATGTCCGCGGTGGGCAGAGTCGCCCGCTGGTCAAGGCCGAGATTGCTACAGACAATGCTGCGTGATAAATGTAGAACGACGCCGCGCCGAACCCGAGTAGGTCGCGATTAACCCCAGTGCTACAGAGATGCCGAGGCAGTCGACGTTTTCTGGGCAGACATAAATACTCTCACCCTGACAGCTTTGAATCAACCGATCACGCTGAGCAGTTTGAGGAAAATATTCGGATGGACTGGACATCAGTGACGGCAATGGTGCTTGATGGTTGCTTGATGGCGTAGAAATGCCGTACACCTATACCCAATGAAAGGCCGTTGTTATGATATCGGATTTTGGACATTGTGCCCCAGCTGAGGCGTAATAAAGTCTCTCGCTATCTGGTACAAGTTCTAAGTCCTCGATGTACATAAGCTGAGAATAGGGGAAACTCACGGCGAGCACATCGCGTTGACGGGCTCTGCGGCATAGAAATGCATGCCCAAAGCTGGGAACAACCATCGCTACTTGGAGATATTGCATAAAGGACTTGAAACAAACAAGATCTAGGCGACAACTAAAGCAATCCAGTGCTCACAGGTTAGAATAGTCCAACGCACCATAAACGATGAATCTCGTGTCTGTGTAGCCTTGAATCAATGTCAGTCAGGACGTCCAGGTCAGTGGTCTGAGTATGCAATCCTCTGGTTGTCGGTAAACTTGCCAGGCACAGGTAATCAAAAGTACCACAGAGCAAGGTTACCGACGTCAAGAGATGTAATGCTACACACATATGTCCAGAAACGTACAAGAAGGCAGATTGCTGCTCAAGTCAAGTCGCCAAAGTCAAAGATAACAATGAAACATAGTATGTATGTCATCGTGAGAGGTATGCCGCGCAACAGGTATAACTACTGAGTTAGCGATGACCACCTATACAATAACCTGTGCACGGTAGGTGTCAGCAACAGGTACGAAAAAGACAAGTAAAATAATACCCAAGGTATGAGTTGCTTCATGTATCTTCAAACTTCGATTGGTCTGCAGAGTCTGAACCATCCGGGCCACTCTTCCTCCTGTCCTCGAAGACCTTCTGGAATTCCTCAAACGTCGGTTTGCCCAGTATTGCAAACGCGACGTGGTCAAAAGAATCTTTGAACCTCGCTCCGTCCGAAAGCAGTAGGTCGGCCCAAATGTTTGCTACAACGGCGACATTGTTCCTGAATACACCCGTCCCAAAGCTGCCTAGGACAATCGAAGTCGCTCTGTTGCTCTCGAAGAGATACAGAATCCGTGCCATCCGCTCTCGCATGGCTTTCTCAATCTTTCCTTCCACCGCAGGCCCCGCCACGCGACCGTGCAGCGTGTGTCGGGCCACGCCAGCATTGACGGCCGCACTGGTAAGCACGTCGACATCCAGCGGCTCGACCCATCCACCGCCGTCATCTCGGAAGACCGTGACACCAGGAGAGTAGATCATCGCGTGGGAGTAATACCCGCCCTTCTGGTCGCGATGATGGAGCGTGTAAAACTCCTGCCCGGTGCGCGTCATCAGTGTTGGGTATAGCGTGGACGAGCGGGCAATGGACTCTTCTTGCGCCTGTGCGCCGCTCTTGAAGCCTCCGCCAGGCTTCTTCGCGGATGCAAAATTGAGAATGGCGATTTTTGCAGAGGCATCAGAAGCCGGTCGGTTTCCGCTGTGTGTCGCGGATAACCACCGCGCACCCTCCAGCGTAGACGTCTCCAACAGGGAGACTTTGGTCGGCGTTTGGGGCGACCTCCATGGCGGAGAAAGTGAGGACCATCTGGAAAGCAGGGAGTCTGGAGCGTAATATCGTGTATTCTTCTTTGCACGCACAATCCGAGAGTTCAGGTCGTGAGTAACGTTGTTGAGAGAGAAAGACCCTTGCTCGATGGCTTCTAGGGTGCTTTCGGCGATCTCTTTCAGTCGCCTACGCCGCTTGTCAAAGGTGTTCGTCATACAGCCTAAAAATGAGTATATCACGTCAAAATTGTATACGTTAGAACGTACTGTCTGGCCACCACGCCCGACCAAACTCGCCGATTTCACCGTGTTATGACTCCCAAGTCCAATAAATCTGCAATATGCAAGAACTCTTGAACCTTAAAGCCCGAACCTTACGAGATCATATGTCTAACGTACCGTTCTAGTATTACAATAGTTATTCTAGAGATTCCGGTGGACGTTGCGTTACATGAGTGAGAGTGACTCGGAATCGAGGTGGCTTGTTGTTACCGAATCAACCTGCCATATATAGCGATCGAGTACGAACGTCTCTCATCCACTTGTCGTGACCATCAGCCGCGACACCTGCCATGTACCAGTTTCCCAAATTGAAAGCCTATGCACAGCTGGTATAACTTGGATGTGACGTGACACCTGGACATTCTAGGCAAAATGTACACAGCGAGAATAGTTGCACAACACAAACATAAAGGGTGAACTACTAACTATCTAAGACAGTAATTCAGAGGGACTTCAATGGACAGCAACTTGTCTGCCACTGTGAAGTAGTGCATCCAGCAACACATGAGCAGAGCCACCATCAGAAGCCAATACTTTCAGCTCCTCCATGTCTCTGAGGATCGCATCTATATACTCTCCTGCCCCAGAAAGACGGGACACCTTGGCGCATGTCGCGAGGAGGCGAAGGAGACGGGCATCAGGCAGGTGAAGGTCAACATCGGTAGTCGTGAGCTGGACTACAGGGTTATTAATGTCAACACCAGCTGCAGCCAAAATTGTATTGCTTTCTGCACACAGACGATAGCGATCGTTGCCCTAATCATCTGACTGTTCAACCCCACTGTCGAACAAGTATAAATTGGGACGCACAATTTCTTCGAACCATATGTCAAGATTGTCAAAGGCTCTATGAGCATCCAGAGACATAGTCATCACATTTGGAAGGCGATGGATTCCTTCCCCATTTAATTCGTCGTCAACAACGTTGACCCTGCCAAAACGTTCCAGAACCGCCCACGCGGAGGCAGCATATTTTCGCTGAGTCGAGCAGCTCCTATCAGGCGAAGACAGAGCAGTACTTGGGAGTAAAACCGCACCTTTGAACCACCCCCCTGGATATTTGTGTTCGTCGATTCGGCAATTATATGTGCGAGCTCTGTATACCCGACAGGGGCTGGGGATATGAAAGTTTTATCCTTCAGGCGCATGCTCTTATATGTGGAAGCATCGTATTTTCCTGTGACGACGCATCGATAGTTATCGCGAATGAGACACTCACCAGTGAGATGGAGTATTCAAATCAGATGGAAGGCCACCAGGCAAGATGACAACTTACAAGCAATTTGGCGGCCCTGTGGTCCTGAGGAGCCTCCTTGAGCAGCAGATTCTTCTCCTCAGCGGTCAGGTCGAATGACGGCCGGGAAGGATGCATCGACACCGTAGGTGTGGGTCCTTTCGCAGATTTGACTGCAAGTCCAGAGTATCAGCATATCGGGACACAATATTGTCGATACTTGCACGAGCTGACTTACAGACACGAATGAAGTGGTCCTCATAAAACTGCGCGAGGGCTGCCAACAGGTCTTGGGTATTGGAGGCTGATACACACGTTTGGATTTCCCTCGCCACGTTGAGGCGACCTTGGGGAGTGGGTGCCTCTAACATCATGTATCCCAGGAGACGTCCGCACAACTGTGGCGTTCTCTTGCTCGTACGAACCTGATCAGCTACTACCTCGCTCCAGTCAAGGAGACTTTCCAGGTAGCGACAGGTGTTGTAGGCGGCCTCCTCCGGCCCAGTGTATGGGTTGGGAGGGAGGGGTTCACCAGACATGAGTTGCTCGGGGGTGCCGTACCAGCCTAAGATATAGCCTCCCACATCACTGGAACCGGGAAAGAATCACAGAGCGTCACATCAGTCACAACCCATCCGGAAGACTTGGGTACTGCATAATGCACCAGCAACATTTCTACCATTTGTAACGCTTACATGACCTAGCCAAAAATTGTAAGGCAATACACAGGTGATTGAAATTGCAGCCCATATTGTTTCTGGCTCACAATGGAGGCAAAATATTTTGCCGGAATGGGATCCACGTCACCGCGATACTCCGCGTGACACACTGTGACATTTTGTGATAGCCGTGACACGGGTCTCCAAATCTATCTCATCTCAAGAGACTCTCGACCAACTTCCAGGCATGTTCGGAGCTTCAGCCTCACTCGCGGGCTGCTTTCGATAAATATGTCTCCATCTGACGACCACACTGGGCTGAGTCGAGGTGTGTTCCTCGGAGCCTACCCGTTGAAATTTGTTTTGTCAGCATAGTCCTGCTGTCGGCATAAAAGACGCGAACTCTGCGCTGATTTCCTTCGCCGTTTCACCAATGGCCTTCATCTGTTGACGATTTTACTCTACAGTGCGCTTGTAAGTATGAGGCAAGTAACCCTGTATCTCTGCCCGGAAGTGTGTTCTTACCGACCCTGCGTCGAAAAGAGGTAGGTGTTCTCACTCCAGTTAGTAGTACTCTACAGTGTGCTCGTAAGTATGAGGCAAGTAGCCTTGTATCTCTACCCGGAAGTGGGTTCTTACTGACACTGTGTCGTCGAAAAGAGGTAGGTGTTCTCGCTCCGGTTAGTAGTATGCGGTGCGTTTCGTATTTTGTATTCTCTCGACTGTGAAGTGTCGTCACCTTGCTGACACTGCGTCATTGAAAACAGGCAGGTGTGCGCGCTCCAGTTATTGGTATGTGGTGTGTTTCGTTTGAGTTGTGTCGCTTGATTCAAATTTGGGTGCGTCATTAATTAACCTGCTGTTCAGCTTAATTCCTCAAGTTCCTGCTGCAGCCATTTGAAGGCTTGCATGCAACGGGCGGCGCTCAGGTGAGCAATGACAGGGCATGCGGTGCATGTGGGGCTGCAGAGAATTCTGGATGCATCGAGAATTGTCGGTAGTGTTGTGAAATGTTCTAGCACTGCTTAGTCTAGTTTTACTACGTAAATGGTTTGAATGCATATGTTGGAAAGATCTCTGCGTAAGATGTATGCATCTTCCCGGAACATGAGAAATCCCATTATCATGTATATGTCAGTCGAAACCGTGACATATATATTTCTGCATCTAGATCTGACTGTGTTTATAATGCCCTGTGACTAATGCTGTTGTTATATTGGATTATGTCGTTGGGCAATTGCTCAGCCATATAACCCATCGTAGCGCTGGCTGTAACAGTTACAGGCGTTATGTAGAATACACTCGTTATAACTGCGTTATGGAATCTTCCCGGATTCAGTGATGCACTTCATCCTCGACTACTATCACGTGACCTTTTTGTCACGCTTCCGGGGAGAGACACACTGAATTTGCACTGAATGGCTAAATTCTCCATGCACAGGACAAGCATCAAAAAATCTGCTTCTGTAACTTTGTAGAAAATCATTTTTGGGATTTATTTACAGAAACCGATTACTTTATTTTGGGGGAGGGATGGAGGATTTAGACTGCTCGTGCTCCAAATTCACGCCTTTCCTCGCGCCACCGTGACAGACTTTGGCTGAGGCACCTGATGTGTCACGCCGTGACGATAGTTGAAGTAGGCCTTACGTGATGTGTGTACTACAAGCTTAGAAGAGACTTAAGTATGCTCCAGGCTCATGATCAGGAGTCGCTAATATTCATTCCGTATGTCGTATCACCGTTCCCGCTAGGATCGTTCTGCCTCATGGAACATTTCTACAGCTAGAATACTAACTGACGACACCATCCTTGTATACATATGAGATCCAGATGTCATAGCTCAGAGGTTGCAGTGTCGAACAGAGGGAAGACCTGAATCATTACAATGTTGATGGGGATAGAGGTGCAGGGGACAGCCAAGTTTGAGAACGCCAAACGTGTCGCCATACTCAGAAATAGACAGCCGTAGACAGAAAGCGGAGCAACGATAACGAGTCAACTTGAACTCAAAGATCATTGGAACAACAACGTTGCCACAGACGTACCAGGTCTACGTGAACTGACTCCTAGAACCCGGGGTTCCATCGTAGAAAAGCCCGGTCACCGCAGAGATAGAATGCACAACGGCCTACTTCAATAAGAGCACTCATACAGATATTTCACAGTGTACGCTTACCGTCCCTTTGCATTTTCAAAACGTTGCAGTCAGCCGCCGCTAGACAGCGCTGAGCTAGTGACACGATTAAGCCGAAAGAGAAGTGACCAAGGTCAATGTATCCACAAGCAGTCAGTGCAATCATCGCCGTCGAGTAAAAGAAATGGCGAAATACAGGCATTGAGCAACCGAGTGTCAAAAACCAATATCGACAGTATCTTGTGGGAGCACTGGATGGCAGAGCGAGCATCAGTTGCCCGCTCTTGGTCAGGCAGAAAAAGGATGGCAGCGGTGTATCAGACTCACCGTTCTTTGCAGCTGCAGCCGCCGAACTATTCGGCAAGGAGGAACCACATGAGAAAATGAGATAAGAAAGAAATCATACATGAAGTGCGGCGCGAGTTGGTTTCCCCCGCTGCGAGGAAGCAACGAGGTACTTATCCCGAGGACCACGCAAAGGTCCGCGCCCGGACAGTGCCTGCGTTGCAAGCGCTGCCCGTCCTCGGGAAAGAAAATGACGCACCTGGAGGCTCTTGCATTGCGTGGCATTTGATGCAGTGCATATTGAATATGGCGGTCGTGTCACAATTCTACATTCAACTAATGTGAGAGCGGACGACTGCGGCGGCACGCTCCCCAACTCAAGACGAGGGATGCTCACCCGAAAAAAATTACTTGTTGAATCGCAGCAGCTTTCAGGTGGAACGTTTCGTTGCGCGTGCGTTCAACTGACATTCAAGCAGAAGAATGACACAGAGCATCGCCGAACTCAAGAGAACAGAGCGCTCACCAATAACCACATATAGAAATCGTTTAATTGCTGCGACATCACATAGCGTCGGGACTTGTGAATTCATTCTGGCAGAAATCAAACGAAACAAAGATGATATCATGCCACAGCGCTCACCGACATACAACAGTCGCCAGATAGACAAGCACAAGTAGTAAACAGGCACAGACTAATAACGATAAAGCAGAATATGAACCGTCGCCTTGGAGTCGCCACAGACCAGTTGCCGAAGACTCGAGTGGCGTTACTCAAGAGCCATGTCGCCAGAGTCGATTCGAGCTATCGTTGACTTACCTTTCCTATGTCGCCAAAGTGAATCCGAGCCGCCCGCCGGGTACTTACCTTCACAGATACTAGAACCAATACGCGCAAGGGGCCGCGGGAGTCGCCAGAGAACACTAACTCCAGAGTGAATAGGGTAGGAGCAGTCGTCATAGCAAGTGTAGCCCAGAGATGAGAAACAGGACATAAGCACGCACACTGACAGCTTCGCAGCTGCAAACAACGGTTAGCCAGAAGAGAGACAGCGCACCTTAATGAGACCACAAGGTTTCCTTCCGTGGATCCGTCTCCCCTTGAAGGCAACCGCAAGGTGAGCGCGATGCGCCAGCCAACGCCGAGAAACAAGCAAGCTGCCGACCAGACACGGAGAGCTCTACAGTGCGCGGAGGCAACAAGTGCCGTCATCAGACCGCACCGGGTCGTTCCGCCGGTCTTCCTCGAGGAAGGATGCAGCGCGTATGCTCCTCGCTCGATGCTGGCTGGCGCCTCGTGCTCATCGTGCGACAGGGAAGGCAACGGCCATCCTCGGTCTGGGCTGAGGATGGTCATTTGTCGGTGCACGAGATAACATGATCAAGAACACACCTTTGTTCAATGCAAATTTCTCGAGACGTACGACATCAAAAACCAGATGTCTAGAATGCCGAGGAATATTCATCAAACAACGGTGGATGGAAGTTGAAGCAAACCTCAATTTCGGTGCGAGTTGGTTTCCCCCGCTACCCGGAGGCGACGGGGTACTTATCCCGAGGACCACGTAAAGGTCCGCACCCGGACGCGCCTGCATCGCAAGCACTGCCCGCCCTCGAGAAAAGAGGGGTTGGAATGGACGCACCTGGAGGTACCTGTTACCGCAATGCATATTGAATATGGAGTCCTTGGAAGCCTTCTACGTTCACGTTGCCTTGCACGGTTCTTGTCCATCGACACTGTAGCATTGTTAATCAAAGCATAGACAAAATGAACTAAAAAGCTCACCTTGTCTTCCGCTGAGGACAACCGCAAGGCTCGCACAAACCTGCAGCCAGCACCGAACGAAAAGCGACCTGCCGACCAGTCACAGAAAGCCATGGTGGTGTGCGGAAGGCATGAAATGCCCACATCGTTGCACACCGGCTCTCCGTCGATCTCGCCCTTGAAGAAGGGTTTACAGGGTCCATACGCTAGTCGTTGATGCTGACGAATAGCTTGCAGCCAACACCGAATGAAAAGCGACCTGCCAGATCAGTCACAGAAAGCCATGGTGGTGTGCGGAAGGCATGAAATGCCCACATCGTTGCACACCGGCTCTCCGCCGATATCTCGCCCTTATGAAGGGTTTGCAGGGACCACACGCTAGTCAATGATGCTGACGAACAACTTGCGCTCGCCTTGCAAGCAACAAAGAACGAAAAGCGACCTGCCGACCAGTCACAGAAAGCCATGGTGGTGTGCACCAGAAGGCATGAAATGCCCACATCGTTGCACACCGGCTCTCCGTCGATCTCGCCCTTATGAAGGGTTTACAGGGTCCATACGCTAGTCGTCGATGTTGGTGAACACCTTGTAGTGGTCTTGCAATCCGAATGGCGATGATCCGACCGACATCTAGCAACCGGAGTGTCGAGGGCCGTCTTGGACCTAAACGGCTAAATATCAGTCCATGAAAATGAGAGGATCAAATCAAGGGACACACCTTGGATTCAGGCGAGGTTCACGTTTGGCGCGAGTTGGTTTCGCCCGCCGCACGAAGGCGACGGGGTACTCGTCCCGACGACCACGTAGAGGCCCGCGCCAGCCCTCGGGGGGGGGGGGGGGGGTCTTTCCACGCGATTGTCGACAACAGTCACAAAAACAAAAGGAAAGCTACAGGAGGGTGGGAATGGGAAGTGGAAAAAGAAGAAAGTATATCACCAACAGAAGAGAACCGTCGCCAGAGGATGAGACCGTCGCCAGAGGGTAAGAGTGTAGCAAGAGGGAAAGAGTGTCGCCGGAGGGAGAGAATGCCACCATGGCCAGCCCACCCACCTGTTGCCAGTCAAAACTTCAACACCGTTGTCGAAAGGCAGAGTGTTGATATGGTCACATTGGTGGCCACCCTCGCCAGAGTTGAAGCTGAACTCAGTCAACGACGAAGTAGTCGCGCCATTGTGTCGCCTTTGTCCAAGTTTGTAGTTGAGAACGCTTGAGTGACCTACGGTGGGGCCAGGGCATCGCTGAGTACAGGCGGCGAATAACGATGTGGAAGAAGACTTACCCTTGATGTTCGACCCTCCGCCGTGGTCATACAGCAGCTTGGGCAAGGTGGCTTGAGGACATTGAGGTTGAAGGGCGAGGGTATGTGAGGGAAAGAAAGAGAGAGGCGATGGCAAGAAACGCGCTGTGCACCAGATTATATATACCCGGGAAGAGGCACCGAACTGTCCGCGTGGCACAATGGAGAAGGGAGAGGCGATGGGGGAAAAGGAGAGCAACAGACCTGGGTATTTATACGCAGGAGACCGGACTGTGTCCAACCGCAGCATGAATTCGATCAAAGCGTAGATCTATTGCTAAGATCCGCAGGCTATTCAGGCGCATGAGTCCTAGGGCCCGATCTGAAGCAACGGCACGAGGCAAGGACAATGGCATTTGAAGCCAAATAGGGTTTGATTCCCATAAGATGGCAACGCTTGCGCCGGCACCCATAATTTAGGACACAAAGACACTTCCATATAGGGATAGATTCTCTTGTTGATGACACTTCACACTGGCAAGCCGCCACTGGATCCGCGATTCCGAGCTGGAGTGGTTGCTCCGGTTCACTTCCATGATATCTATGAAGGCGAACTCATGCGTAGCCAGTCTGTATGCAGAATCGAGAAGATATACGACGTACTGAGTCTCCAAGCTGATCGGTAACGTTGGCGTTGAATAAGTTCTCGCTGGAAATGGAAGTGACCCGCGGAACTCCGAGGGGGCCGATGCCGGCGGCTCGTGACTCGGAGAACTCGCTCGCGCGGTATCATCACGCCGCATGCACCTCTCTGTAACTGGACTTCACGCCCCGATGGGCTCATAAGGATTCTCTCCCACCTGCCGTGCAGTACATGCGGTGGACGTCCTGAAAGAGCTCGCCGCCCACTGCGCTCGCTGCGCATCCCCCGGTCTCTGTGATGAAGGGGGGGGGGAGCACGTTCGTCAAGTCTGGACTGCGCGATGGGTTCACCAGCCCATCGTGCGCGCTCTTCGTCACCGTCCTATCGGGATACATCGACGACCTTTAACTGCCTCGCGCAAACCTCGCCGCGCTCGCCTCTGCGCACCCGGAGAACGGGCTGCTGCACGGGCGTGGATAGCCTGCGCTGCACGATGTGCGGTTCGGCGCCCAGATCCATGAAAGCCACTTGTACTATCTGGTATCAAGGACATAGGACCCGAGCTTATGACTTTGATACGCCAATGTCTAATCCAGCATCTACTCGACTCAGAGCACCACTCTTCTGGATATGGTCTCATGATCTATGGAACGACTCTTTCTTCCTATATACTAGAGGCTGGTTAACGAGTCTACTCATGATCATGGACTCATCTGACAGTAGCTCTACAAATACGTGGTCGGCAGAAACAAGGACACCACACCTATTGGATATATTATACACTATTATAGTAAACCCTCTAATGCTTAAACAGCATTAACTGATGTCGCACTTTTCCAGCCAAAAGAGAATCTGGGCAGAAGTCATAAAGCACGCCACAAAGATTAACTCGTACACGGGGGAAGAACTTGCTAGCTGAATACAGAGGAACAGGCCACGGTTGTGATGCTCGTCGCAGTAGCCGCACACGCGATGCTCGCACATCGGATCGACTCAACTAACGCGACTGATGACGCGACGGGGGCCAACGTCAAACAGCTTGCGTATGCCGTCCGCGTCAGGTTTGATGGGCCCGCGCATTGGGCCCAAATTCTCGCGCTCTGGAGGGGTCGTGCTTCCAGAAGAATATCCCCGACCTGTTATACCTCTCCGAGAGCTTACCGCGGTGTGGCGGCAGATCGCTGTGTGCTCGGGTACCAAAGATCTCCTAGTGCTTCTCCAAGACCGTCGTAGACACCCTCTTCGACACAATCATCCGCAAGGCGGACATGCAAGATCCGCGTGAGTCGCCCGCGATCGCGACTTCCTGTTCGAGCGCGCGTTCGTCGCCATCTACGACCCGCAGGCGGATGTCGCGCAGATCTGGCTCGCCCTCGCCAAGACGTGTTCGCTCCGGCTCGCGAGCAGTGAGTCCACCGCCCTATCGCACGCGTTCCGCTGATATCGTCAAGAAGCAGGCAGAGATTCCCCCCTCCGCGCTCGGTAGCGGCCTCGATGGATGGTCCATTTACATTGATCTTAATAGCGATCGAGTAAACCTGCGACAACATCGCGGCACGACGCTCTCGGCCGCTCCACACTTGGGCCCACAGGCAAGACATGCACCGGTTCCCGCGCTGGACCCTCGCCTCCTCGACATCGTTCGGGTCGGCACGATCCACGAGGTCCTCCTCCACCAGGCCCGCGGAGGTCCTGACCATGATCCGCCAGCGCACATTGGTACACGTCGATGCGCCTCGTGCCACACACCATGCGCACCACATCGTATGCTCCTTCAGATGCGCACGTAGCGCCAGTTAGCAGATCGGCAGTGCAGCGCGGTGTATGCACGAACCGTCGATCTCCCAACCCCCGCCTGAACAGCATCGCCTTGCCTCCTGTCTGTCGCGCGGGTGCATGTCAAGGCGACCGTGGCGAGTCCGACACGTAGGGACTGCGAGTGGATTGAGCGCTGGGTGTCGACGTGAGTAAATTCACTGACAGTACTTGCGGATAGCTCAGTGTGTGCGGCGAATGCAGAGGGTGGTGGTGGTGGTGGTGGAGTATTACCGGCATGGGTCCCAGTTAGGAACGCCGGGTTGTCGGTGTAAAGGCCCGTCGCTGCCGTCACGCAGATCACACGCCTCCTTCCCGAGCGCTGTCTGGAACGCCTGCGACGATGGCGCCCAGCAAGGCTAGGCGTGCTTCACACTGTGCTGCATTGCGCTCGGCGCTCGCCCTATTTCTCGGCGCCGCCTGTTCGTTGACGACGCGAAAAGTCTCCCGAAATTCTGTACACATCTGCTTATTTCTCTCCTGAACGCGTGCAAAAGACTTCCGTCGACAGCGGTACGGCTCCGGAAGGCCCGCCTACGCAATACCAGTCCCTTCTCGAACTCCCTGGGTTCAAGTACTACAGTCAGGACTTCCTTTCAGCCTTCGACGAGCTGTACTTTGCAAAGCCCATACTCATTCAAGGTGAGTGACGGATTCTTCTCGGTCGCTAGGCCCTGAGTTCATCATGGCTTTCAGATTATGTTGCACATGATCCGTGGAAAGTCTTGTGCGCCGTCATGTTGCTCAACAAGACAACAGGAGCAAAGGCGGTCCCGGTGTTCTTCAACCTCATGAAGATATGGCCGACACCACGGGATTTCGCCGTAGGTTGGGAGAGTCTATTCTGCCTCCATGCTGCACGACTTACCCTCTCCAGCCCCCCAGGATGCAGTGGAGGAAATTATCAGGACACTCGGACTGAGTAATATACGCTCAGAACGGCTGATCACCTTATCTCGAATGTACATAAACGATCCTCCCAGGCCCGATCTCCTGCGCAAATCGAGGTGCAAGACAACCTTGTATAGTTCCGTAGTAGCCAACGGCGGCCAAAATGTGGTTGCTGAACAGACAGATTATAAGCGGACACCAGTCTCTCACCTTCCTGGATGCGGTCCATACGCGCTCGACTCATGGCGCATCTTCTGTGCCAGTGACGAGGAATGGAAGTCTGTGCTGCCAAAGGACAAAGAGTTGAAAAGGTTCCTTGTGAGTTCTCTTTGCCTGTGTGATCGTTCTTCTCATGAACGATCACCACCGTTCGGAAGCGCTGGAAATGGGCGTACGAGAAGTTTCGCCAGTGGGATCCTGAACTCGGCCCCGGCAACGTGATCACACTGGATTATGTTCGGGATGTGACGGCGCTGTTGTCGAGTGAGTAGTAAACCTCATACTGGACACATTTCGGCGGCAGCCCTGCCACTATTCGATACCTCGATGCTATCTGTCTTTTCCACCATTTCTCGCATGTCGCAATGCTTTCGTGTAACATACAGTCGCCGTAATGTACATCTGTTATTCATACACATCCTACATATCAAAACATCAAAGTGAAGGAGCATATGCGATATCGAGAATGAGAGCATAGGAATGCAGCAACATCGACAACAACCTGAAAGACAGCATGAGAGCATAGCAACATCGAAATTCACTCGGACGAGGGGCACGATTCGACTCAGACCTCTGTGCATCAGGCTATGGTAGGGGAGTCCGCTGGCACATCACCAGCAGCAGGCCGAGCATCACTAGAATCAGTATCGGCCTTCGAAGCGGCAGCTGCATCAGCCGCAGCCTGTTGAGCCTTCAGTATCACATCCTGCGCGGCCATCATCCACTCGTCAAATTGCTCCGCAGACACCTTTCGCCTGAAATTTGCTTTCTCCTTCTCAAAGAGTGCCTTCAGCTCTCTGTGCTGGCGACGAAGGCGAACAAGGAACGTCGCGAAGTGGAATGCCTGAAGAGGGTCCGCGAGGTCGAACGTGCAGACGTTTCGCTCTATGATATATATCTTCTTCTGCAATAGCGAAACAACCAAGCTCAGATCTAGCGCCATTGAAGTGAACGTGCACTAACCTTCTTCCCCTGTGACTGCCACGAAAGTAGGACAGCGCCCACCTTGCCGTTCGTGACGAGAACGAAGACCGGATATCCCTCGATGCCGAGCGCGGCAAGGAATGTCACAGAAGCGACACAGTAGAACCGTCCCTGGTTAAGGGACTTGGCTTCATCCTCATCCCAGCGTTTGTACTCTGCGACCAACACGGGAAGCAACAACTGGTCTCTCGTGATCGCATCCGCGTCCCTTGTAATTGTGTCTGGGTCCCTGGGAGATGTACTGTTATCATTGGTCCGGTCCTTCGAAATCAATGGACTACAAGAATTCATAAACGGATCCCCCACACCTTTCCGCAGGGCAGACTGCGCGGATGGTGCACGAGAACGTGTGGATGTTGTCTTCGAGGCGGAAGTTGTCTTCGGGGCGGAAGTTGTCTTCGGGGCGGACATTGTCTTCGGCACGGATGCTTTCTTCGGACGAACCTCAACGGCTGGTGTTGGCGGCTGTGGGTGGGATGAAGTTTGAGATGGCAGTTCAGATGACTGGTCTTTCTTCCTTCGCGTCGTCAGGGTATGCTGCACAAGTGCCTGTTCATTGAGAAACTTCCGAGTGGCCGGGGAGTCCTTGTTATCAAATGTGTCTTTGATGCCACTTACCACAATAGCATCGCATATGCCCCTGAGTGGCTCCGATGCAGCATGTGTCCTGACCATATCAACCATCTTGCTAGGATCACTGGAAACTGAGTTGATCTGAACAGAGAAGTCCAAGGCCTGCTCCAACGCTGCAAGTGCCTGATATTGAACAGCAGGGCCATGAAGGACAGATGGTACTTGCACTGCCGCACAATGAGTATTATAGCTCAGGGCTAAGGCCTGCTGCTCTTCAGCCAAGATCTTCTGCTTCTCTGGCGAGTCGTCATCAAGGATGAGATCTACGGCCTTGTTCCGAGGGAAGATGAGTTCTCGTTCTAACCTGCATATCGAACCATGAGTATGGTGAAAGGCATGACTAGAGAGCTCACTCACAAAATGTAGGGGGAAACAATGCGGCCAGAATCGGAGACACAGAATTGGTAAAGCATTCTGTCCCAATCATGTCGCGCCTCAGCTTCACTAACACGAAGGCCAGACGAGGCTGCATGGTGAGTGTAGGCACCCATTGATGCGTAGAGGATGGTGGAGAATCGACTAGATAGGATATGCATGTCTGCTTCGTCTAATTTCACCGGTTTCTCCTTGAGGGCTGAGTAGTTTTGAAACAAGCACTCCAAAACCGGTTGGATCGCCTCGTCTACTTGCGGCATCGTATCCTGATCTCAAATGAGGACAAGGAACAGATATCGGATGCAGGATCTGGACACCCACTATGCTTGACCACTCCCCGTTGCGCCAAGCAAACTCAACTACGATCTTCCTGTAAGTGTCGATCTTCTCATTGATTTCATCGGCATCTTCAGCACCGGGAGGCAACTCGATCAGAGCAATTGGAAATGCATTGCGCTCAAATAGCCAAGTGGCAGGCGTCACCGACCCGTCGAGCGCAGTTGTAACCTTCTTGGCCAACCTGGAGACAGAATCAGTGGCACACAATGGGACCTCACAAATACAAACACTCACACGGAACTCGACCTCTCGCTGCGCGGTGCGACGGAAGCACTCCTGCTCTTCGGAGCTTTCGATTCCTGCCTTTGCGACGCCTTGTCGCTCGCTGGGGTGCGTGACCTCCCCTTGGTCGCAATGGCTTCTTCCTCGACGCGGCTATGTGACTTTTCAGCGCCATTCCCTGTCTGAGAGCCAGCGCGTCGAGTAGTGGGTCGACCTCGCCTGTATGAACAAGAGGATGCGCAGATCAGTCATGAATATTAACTCAGCCAAGGCCGCTCGTACCCTTCGGTAGGCTTCCCCGGGCTCTCGAGGATCATCGATAGGTCACTCGTATCTGACACGGGGGACGTCGACAGGTCAAGTCCAGCCTCGGGACTGCCTCTGAGATGGAATGTGGGTGAGTTGCGCACATCTATTGGTGTCTTGTCAAGCTGCTCACCCATCGCCGCGTGTATCGACCTTACTTGCCCAGTTCGCTATCCGTGTCCCCAAGTCACCGTTGCACGAATCCTCGTGTTCCTCGAGATAGTCGGATCTCCAATGGAGCGCATCCATTACCGGTCGATGCGTCGATTTCGACACTATCCTCCGACAATGCGCGTCTAGACTGAGCACAAACTGCGCTAGGGCGAGCGCCGATCGTGGGTCCGTGAGGTCAAAAATCCCAACTGTCATCCCGGAGTGCGAATGCGCAGTGGCAGTGGCACACGCGATGTGCACAGCCGGCTGCACGTTTATCAGTATCAAATCCGGGATCAGACCTGGCAAACCAACCAAGAAGTCACCATCGCCTTCCGTGCCGACCCAGCCCAACAAGATACGGACTACAGCACCCGTCTTCGAGACCTCGAACGCGACCACGGGCTCGTCGATATCCCAGACACGTCGCTGGTATGCGACACTCGTGACCAGGGCTCCGATATTGTCCGCGTCGGCCACGCAGATCACGGGCAAAACAGCGAACAACCGCCGACCGGACCCACGCAGCACATGCGCGTCAAAGGGGACGTCGATAGAGGGTCCACTGGGTCGCTGGGAGGTTTCGTCGGTGCTGTCCCGATCGTCGGCGTAGTCACCCTCCGAGTCTGCAGCAGAGCAAGTGCGGTCAATAGAGATCCTCTCTGAGTTGTGAGAGGACGATGCATCTGCACCATCCTGGACGTCTTCTTCCGGCTCCGAGAATGCATCGGCATCCATAGCGTCCGCGGACGAGCAGGAGCGGACGAATTGGCTTTCGTCCACTATGTGAGAGATGAGGAGAGTGGCGATGCCATCGAATACGACCTGGTTCGATCGCGGCGATAACCGTGGTAGAACGAACGAGACTTCGTCCCTGGAGCAGCACAAAAGTCAGAATCGAGCAATCCTGGAAATAAAAATACGCGAACATGTAGCGACACTCTGGTGAGCATGCCATTCCGATCCCCTTGAAGAGCAAAGACCACAGAGGAATGGTGGGTCGAGCGGGGCCACAGTCTTCGAGAGATTCGAGCTCGCGAAGGGCCGCCACAGTTGACAGAACTAGGTCGAATACCTTATTGAGACGCGACACAGGCTGTCCTTTGTGCTGTAAAGCTCGTTGACGCGGCGCATCTTGACTGAGCTCGTCCAAGAGATAAGAAGCGAGTGAGGAGACGAAAGGCCATGGCCCGGTAGAAATATAATTGGGAAGAGGTTGGGTGAGCAGATGGACAACCTCTTGGACCTTGGGAGGCCAATCGGAAGAGTTAGTTATGTCGTGGAACACGGGAGATGGGCAAAACATTTAATGTGAGAGGTATGCGTTTGCCTTGGTAGGTTGTGGCGGTCACGGTGGCGTTTGACGCGGTGTGACAACTCGTGACACTCGCGAGTTGAACACCTTGAATCTAGATGAGTGTTCAATAACGTTCAATGCATTCTCGTCAAAGAAGTCTTTCTGGACGCAGCAACTTTACTCGACAAGCGCTCGCATTACAGCTCGCACTTACCTCGCGGTGATGAGCGTTGGTCTTAGATAATGATTGTTGGGAATGCCCGGAGGCACTGGAGGCAAAAGTGGATGTTGTGCCTTGGAACAGTGTCTGAACATCCAAGGAACAGATTACGTTTTTGGACATGTCACATGTTCTGAACATGGTAAGGAACATCTAATATGTCTTGCACAATGTTCCATTGGAGAGCATGCTGGAGACATGTTGCATGTACCATCCTGGAACATCTAATATGTCTCCCACAATGTCTCATTGGAGAATGTCCTGCAGACTTGCTGGATGTTTCATTCTGTGTTAGAAATTGCGCCTTAGTTCCCAAATAGGAAGGTAGTGATGGCGGGTCAAGATGCGTCGGAGCACGTGATTACGCGTCCTAAAATAGATTTCTGTATATATACAGTTCTAGACGCTCCACTTTATATAAGCAAATTTCCTTCTTTGTCTTTCTTTGTAATCATGCCCTCGGCTTGTCTGCCCTTGGGTGCTCCCCAATTTCTGGAGCTCCAGAAATTTGGGCACTACTTTTCAACACTCCCCCTCAAGCCGATGGGCATTCCGAGCTTCTTTGTGAGCTTCTCGTGCCTCGGCTTAGGGAGTGACTTTGTTAGGATATCCGCTATCATGTCCTCCGTGGGACAGTAATGGATATCAATATATTTATCTCTCAATTTTTCGCGCACATAATGATGTTTTACATCAAAATGTTTTGATTTTGCGTGGAATTGGGGATCACGTGCGATTGAGATCGCCGCTGTATTATCCTCGAATAAAATTGTAGGATCTTGTTGCTCGAAACCTATTTCTTTGAATAGTGTTCGAAGCCACACGGCTTTTTTTGCCGCTTCAGCGGATGCCATGTATTCAGCTTCTGTGGTGGATGACGCGATTGTGGTTTGCTTCTTTGAGCTCCACGTGATCGTGCCATTTTCTAATTTAAATAAATATCCCGAGATTGATTTGCGATCTCGGATATCGTTCACATAGTCTGCATCTGAGTAGCCCACAAATATGGATTGATCTTCGGGCTTGACATCTGCAATTGGCCCGTAGATTATTCCAAGTTCTCGCGTTCCGGATAAATAGCGGAGGACACGTTTAGCAGCAGTCCAATGAGCCATTCTGGGATTGGCAGTAAATGAGCTAAGCCGTTGCACGGCATGAGCAATGTCTGGTCTCGTGGCAATTGCCGCGTACATCAGTGATCCGACGAGCGATGCATATCCGTTGTCTCGGTCGCATTCGTCATCAGTTTCGGGTTCTTCTTTTTCAAGCACTGTATTTGGATCAAGAGGCATCCTGACCGTGTTGGTGTTCATAAGCCCATTCTTGTGTAGGATAGACTCAATATATTTTGTCTGAGAGATTTTGATTGTCCGCTTTGAATGGTCTCTCTCAATTTCTATCCCCACAATTTTTCGGGGTTCGCCAAGGTCGGTAACTTCAAACATATTTCGGAGTTCCCTCTTCAATTGGTCCATCAGTGCGCAATCATTGGTGAATATTAATAGGTCGTCTACCCAAACGGTGACGATTTCTATCTTATCACCTTTGATCCGAATGTACGCACATGGATCCGAGAATAGGCGCTTGAATCCCGCGTCTAGTAACTTGCGGTTCAGCACGATATTCCATTCTCGGCCAGACTGCTTTAGCCCGTAGAGGGTTTTCTTTAATTTACATACGCGGTATGTTCCATCGCTGTATCCTTTGGGTTGCTGCATATACACTTCTTCTTTGAGAGTTCCATTAAGATAGGCGCCTTTCACGTCCATCTGTCCGATCTCCCAATCTAAGATTGCAGCTAGCCCGAGGATAGCTCGAATGGTTTCGAGGCAGACTACAGGCGCAAATGTCTCGGTATAGTCCATGCCTGGGATTTGAGAACATCCCTTCGCAACCAGGCGGGCTTTGTATTTGATTATTTCACCCTCTTTGTTTGTTTTCTTAACTAGAACCCATTTATTTCCTACGGGTTTTCAATCTTCGGGAGGTTCCACTAACTCCCAAGTCTCCATACCCTGTAGTTGATTGAGTTCCATCTGGACTGCCTGTTCCCATTTGGGCCACTCGAGTGATCTCTTGGCATCACTGAGCGTCTTTGGCTCGTCCGCATCCGCATTTCCGTGGGCACTCATCGCAATATAGACTAATTCGGCATTTGATTTATCTGGATCATTATCCAGATCTTTGTCTGCCTCTGGATCGTGCATTAAACGGTAATCATGCCGAACTGTCTTTCTTCTGGTTCGTCTGGGCTGGCTTGGTGCGTCCGTCCCGCTTTCCTCGCGTTGATCAGGATCATCATCCTGTCTGCGCTTTCGCGGATTTTTGGCAGGTGACTGTGGCGTGGAAGTTCCTAACTCCCCCTCGCGCTGCACATCTGCGGTCATTGTGAGGTTTGGGACTTCGGGTCTCCTTTCCGCATGCAGCACATCTGATGCATTGCTAGGTAAAGTGCCCGGAAATATATTTTGCTCCCCCTCACGCTGTGCTGTGAGGATAGGTACATCGTATCCTATTTGCTCTTGTGGCACGTGAGGCACGTTGCCGGGCAAATGGTCCGGGGAATTTGAAGAAAATTGGAAATTACGCGAGATTTTAATCTGGCACATATGCGCATCATAATATTTGATGGCTTTGGGTCCGTCCATGTATCCAACAAAAATATACTTGTTGGCACGGAGCGCTAGCTTTGATAGTGTTGCGTCTTCCGTGAGGACCCATACGGGGGAACCGAATTCTTGTAGGTATGAGATATTTGGTTTCATCCCATTCCATTTTTCTTCGGGAGTTGCCCTATTTAACGCCTGGGTAGGCGATCTATTTTTAATATAGACTGCGTGAGCAATTGCTTCAGCCCAAAGATAACGAGGTAGATCTCTCGCATAGATCATCGTGCGCACTAGTCCAAGCAGTGTGCGATTTAATCTCTCAGAGACTCCGTTCTGGGATGGTGAGTACGGCGCAGTCGGACCCATCTCGATCCCTTTCATTTGACACCAGTTAATTAATTCGGTGTTCATATATTCTCGACCGTTGTCGAGCCTGAGTCGCAAGGGTTTATTTCTAAACTTGCGCTTGATATAGGTAATATAATTCTTTACCTTTTCTGTTACTTCATCTTTATGCCTCATAAATAGTACTGTACTTTGATGACTGTAATCATCGGTAAATGTAATAAAATATTTCCACCCTTGTAGAGCGGCTGTCTGCGCAGGTCCCCACACATCCGTGTGTGTTAATTCTCTGGGTACCTTGCTGCATTCGTTCGTCTCTTTGGGAAATGGCTTCCGCGTCGCCTTTGCTTGGATGCACGCCTCGCAATTAATTTCATCTGGGCTTGGCGAGATTTCTAGGCCATCAACAAGCCCTTCGCGATATAATCGCATAAGCGCTGGTTTCCCGATATGGCCATAGATCTTGTGCCACTCTTCTCAGGTATGCGGGCTGTATTCCTTAGCAGTATAGGTTCGCGCAGGTTGCGGAACTATTGGACGCAATTTCAATGAATATAGTCGTCCATTTTTCTTGCCTATAGCAAGAGTGTGTTTATTTTTATCTATTAGTATTGCGCGACTATTACCCATAAGTACTCTTCCTCCCGCGTCGTCCAAACGCGTGATGGAGAGGAGGTTATTGGGTGCTGTCGGCGCATACAGTACACCGTGGAGACGGAATTTCACTTTCCGGTCTCCTACTTTACTTTCGACATCGACCGTACCGCGGCCCAATGCCTGCGTTGGTTGTGGTCCGATGCCCGTGATCGCGTGATCTTCGAGCGCCTGATAGGTCGCGAAGACTTCACGATGATTTGTAATGTGCAAAGTTGTCCCGGAGTCGGCAAACCACTCATAGAAAGAAGCGATTTCACCATCAGATCCGAGAGATACAGTGTCGCTATCATTATCATAGGCTATTTTTGCCTCATCCTCTTTCGATTCGACCTCGCGCACTTCGTAAGCACGTTCCATCTTTTGTCGTTTCATCGGCGGGCCCTGTCTGGCTTTGCCACTGCCTTTAGCCCAACAATCCGTGGCCTTATGCCCGAATTTTCCGCAATTCATACATTTGACCTTGTCGCGGTGCCGACACTCGTTACCAAGATGTCCCGGCTTTCTGCAGATCGAACATTTTTTGTATTCCCCAAAGGGGCGCTTCTTTCCTTTGGCAACCATGGCTTGGTCCGAGGATTGACCGCGCTCGCCACGCTCGTGCCTTCGCTTATTTTCATTAAGAATGATGGCAATCAATTCTTGTGATGTAAGCTGAGGGCGCACGTTGTCAGCACCTTCGGCGCCAACATTGCCGCCCACGGCACCAAAGTAAGAGCTGAGGAAAGAGTCCCAGCTCTCCGGTAATGAGGTAGCCAGAATGAGCCGGAAATCCTCGTCAGAAACAACCTTCCCCATTAGGTGGAGTTGTTCCTGGATCTGTCGTAGCTGTGTAATGTGACTGGAGTTATTATCTTCTTCCTTGGCTTGCATCCGGTAAAAACGCCGGCACAGCACGAGAATTCCATGCTGTCCACGCTGTTCCTTGACTGTGCGAAGCTGCTCCCACATGGCCCGTGCCGTCTCGGCTCCAGCGATGTGCACCATCTGGGAATCTCCCAGCGATAGCACAATTACGTTCTGGGCCTTGAGGTCCTTCTCTCCCCAGGCACTAATCTCCGCCTCTCTCGCTGCCCTATTGGCCGGGTCATTACTGTTATAACGCTCCTCACTTGTGGCGCGTCTTTTCTTTCTCCTTTTCCTTGTTCCCTTTACGTTACCAGACCACGTGATCCAACACGTGACTCATCGGAGCGCAACCTCCGATTCTTTACCCAGATGTCCAGAACCCCTAGTCTAGGGTTACACCGGATCCAACTTCAGACCTTCTTCTTATCGCGCATGCAAGACGTGCATGTATGCCTCATCTTTACCTCGTTCTGATACACGACTCGTTATCCCCATTAGTACTGATTATCTCTCACGACCTTACTCAGCTTTCTCATACATATTACTTCCTCGCCATTACCCTGCCCAGATATTGTTTCACCTTATCTAGCCAATGAACGATTCCGCATTACTGCGTAGTACTGCGGATACCTTTTGTATAAATAGATGACCTTGTCGAGCTGGATCCCCATCTCGACCTGGTTACCATTAAACCAACTTTTCACTTGCCTTTGACTGAGATCGACCGTTAGTAGCAGACAGCTACTGCGAGTCATAAGAATGAACCCTGATTGACCTTCAGTGTGAAGACATCGCCAGAAGTGTCTCTTAAATGGACTTGTGTCTTAGACTAAGACCTTGTCTCGTGACGACTCGACTTGACGCTCGTGTTTCGCTGCCGCGTAACATTAGGTCGAGATCTTATTACTCTCTGTGACTTCCTAAAGTCTAACAACGAACTACCGACCGGACCGAACCTTGAATACTAAACGATACACCCGATTCGATTGCTAAAGCGCCGTTTGAGATTACTCTGTAATCGAGGCAGCTGAAGGGATAGACTGATCACTCATCTTCGGAGAGGGGTCTGTCCGAGAGACCAATAGGCCGAGGAGGCTGAGGTAATCACTCGAGCAATCAGCAAATAGGTGTACCAGTTTGAAGATAGAAGACACTCTACGGGCTTGTTAGCCGACGACGAATGAACCCACTTAGTTAAGGACGATGTGCAGTCTACGTGTAGACATAGGCCACACAGAAGAATTTATCCATGCTGGATTTTAACTACATCAACCCGACCGCTCTTCTGGAGCAGTACCGCGAGCACCTCCCATCCCAAGCGGAGTGGAGCACAGAACGAAACGCACATTTTATAGGAGGAAGGCCTGTATTCATCAGGCCAGACAATCACAACTTCGACTACTCCCCAGAGGAATTTGAAAGGACACTTCCCCATAATCTTGGTGGAATAGTGCTCCAGCACATCGCAGACAGCGGTATAATGACCTCCTATCCAGGAGAGAGACCAGACGCCCCTTGGAACCCCCCTGCCCAGAATCCTGTACCCCAATCAACTCTTGCACCAATCGTACCTGATTACATACCACCGATGGCTACAGTTACCATGGATGAAGAACGTCACCATGTTAGCCAAAAGGAACTTGGTTTTAGAAAACCCGAGATCTTCAACGGTTCAGACCGTTCGAAGCTTAGGGAATTTATAAACCAATGCAAGAATTACATGGCCGGAAATAGCCATGTCTACCAGGAGGACAATCAGAAAATTGCATTTGTGCTATCGCACATGCAAGGAGGGACAGCAGGATCATGGGCGCAGAGCTTCATAGAAACGGAACTCACCAATGACGACTTCCTTTCTTATAGAAGTTGGAGAGAGTTCATTGCAAGTGTGAACAAAGCATTTGGCGATGAAAATATTGAAGAAACCGCTCGTACATTGCTGCGTAACATCAAGCAAGGGACTCGTACTGCGGATGACTACATTGCCGAATTCCGATCGCTTGAATCCAAGGCGAAATTAGAAGATGCCGGAAATATCGAGTATTTCAAGTGGGGACTTAACGACCCACTCCGACAAAGGATATATGGGATGGAAAGCATGCCCAAGACACTTGACAAGTGGTACAAATACGCCTCGCAGTTTGATAACCAATGGAGATCTGCTCAGATCTTCAAGCGAGGAGCCACTACGATGACGCGAGGAAAGGGCCGATCGGTCCATCGTCCCTACTACTCGGCTTCTGCAAAGGATCCAAACGCGATGGATGTTGATCGTGTCAATATCTCGCGCTTATCCCCGAATGAGCGACAGAAGAGAATGAAAGAAGGATTATGTTTCCTATGCGGAAAGAAGGGCCATATAGCCAACGACAGACAATTCCACCCCCAGTCTGGAAGTTTCACCCGTGCCAGAATGATACAGCCCGGGTTGGACACAGACACGATCACATGGATCAAGAAGATGCGAGAAGACCTCGCACAGAAGAAGGAGATGTCGAAGGAAGAAACCAGAGAGGAACAGATCGCCTATGTGCGAAACGTCTTCAACGACATAACTGATAAAGAACGAACCCAATTGGGTTTTTGAAACGACGGCCACTAGTAATGCATGGACCGTCGCATCTCACCGTATCTCCCCTCGTTATTTGTAACACTAGCGGAAATTCAATCACTGTGAATATTTCGTTGGGAGAGAAGGAAGACGTTACAACAGAAGCCTTGATCGATTCCGGCGCAGCCGAAACATTCATGAACATTCGTTTTGCGGAAGAAAACAATTTCATCAGATGGGAATTACCGAAACCAATTAAAGTCATGAATGCAGATGGCACACCAAATCAAATGGGTACTATTACTCATTGTACCTGGAAGATGATGAAAATCGGAGGAAGGAAGACACTTACTCGCTTCCTCTTGACCGGCATTGGCAAAGAAAACATACTTCTCGGCATGCCGTGGCTTAAACGCCTCAATCCGATGATCAACTGGGAAACCGGTGACTTTTGGTTTGGTAAAGACGCCAAATGGCTGCCGAAACCCACCGCCGAAGATGCACCAGATGAAGAAGTTTTAATTTTCAAGGAAGGTGGACTCTCAGAGTTAATCACCACCGAAACTTCCCCTACCTCGTTAGGGCATTCGGAATCTATCAGAGAAATCATGGCCGATAACACTGAGCGTGGCGAGTTACCCGCAGTGCGGAATGATACCGAACCAGATGACCCACTATCAGAGCCCCCTATGGATCAGCTCGATGATGACGATCTAGTTATATCCTATATCGCAGGAGAGCCAGTTATTGGGATATTTGAACTCATCAGGAAGGAGTCACCTTTGACGAATGAAGAGACTGAAACTGCAGTCTTCACCATACGAAGAGGCCCCGCCATTGGAAGAATGACACACAGTACCTGATCCCCATTATTCTGTAACACACAGAATACGGTCTTTTACAAACCATCTGGTAAATCACAAGAATTGGCACAACAGGCACACAAGGAAGCATCAGCTGTAGACAAACCCAAAACCGTCGAGGAGTTGGTCCCCAACTACCTCCACGATTTGAAGTCCATCTTTGAAAAGAAAGCAGCTGAACGCTTTCCAGAAACCAGGCCTTGGGACCATGCCATTGACTTGAAACCCGATTTTATTCCACGCAACTGTAAAGTCTATCCATTATCGCTCAAAGAACAAGGAGCGATGGATGACTTCCTGGAAGAAAATCTGCAAAAAGGATACATCCGACTGTCAAAATCTCTCATGGCTTCACCATTTTTCTTCGTAGGAAAGAAAGATGGAGCACTACGTCCCTGTCAGGATTACCGATACCTGAATGAAGGGATGGTGAAGAACGCCTATCCTCTTCGGCTCATTTCTGACCTTATGGATCAATTCAAAGGCGCATCGATCTTTACGAAAATGGATTTACGCTCCGGATATAACAATGTCAGAATCAAAGATGGTGACCAATGGAAGGGCGCATTTAAGACAAATCGTGGACTTTTCGAACCTATGGTCATGTTCTTTGGACTCTGCAACTCCCCGACGACTTTCCAAATGATGATGAATGCACTCTTCAAGGACATGATCGATGAGGGATGGATAGTCATTTAATGGATGATATCCTCATCTTCTCAAACGATTTGGAAGAACATCACATTCAAACCCGACGCGTACTCCAACGACTCAAAGACAACGACTTATTCCTTAAACCGGAAAAGTGTTTCTTTGACGTTAAAGAAGTTGAATTCCTAGGCATGATCATTCGAGAAAACTACATTGGCATGGACCCTATCAAACTTAAAGGAATTGCAGAATGGCCTGAACCAAGCACGGTAAAAGGTGTTCGCTCTTTCCTAGGGTTTGGAAACTTCTATCGGAAGTTTATTGCCAACTTCTCAGATATTGCCAAACCATTGACGAATCTTACGAGCACTGCCGCTGGATCTCCACCTTTTGAATGGACAACAGAATGTCAGACAGCTTTCGACACATTGAAGCAACGATTCAGTACCGCCCCAGTACTGTTACTGCCTGACAAGGCAAAACCCTTTATTGTTGAATCCGACGCTTCCAAGTTTGCTACGGGTGCAGTTTTACGCCAAGCCAATATCAATGGAGACCTCCATCCTTGTGCCTACATTTCACAGACACTCAATCCAGCTGAACGGAACTATGAAATCTACGACCGCGAACTCCTCGGAATCATTCGAGCCCTCACTGAATGGCGCCATTATCTTGAAGGCTCTCCCCATCCCGTCGAAGTTTGCAGTGATCACAAGAACCTCACGTACTTCCGTACAGCTCAGAAGTTAAACCACCGACAAGCACGATGGAGTCTCAAATTATCACAATTTGATCTTCACCTCATCCATGTCCCTGGCACTCAGATGATCCAATCTGATGCGCTCTCTCGTCGTAATGGACTCGATGACAGTGAAAGTGACAACGAAGATCACATTCTTTTACCCAACGCACTATTCGTGCGATCCATTTCCCCGACACTATTTGACGAAATCAGGAATCACGCAGCAAAAGACCTCATTGTTCACGAAGCCCTCGAAGCAATTGCGCACAAAGGGCCATTCTCCATGAAATCATCGCTTTCCGACTGGGAAGTTCGCGATGGTGTCATCCTCTACAAGGAAAAGATTTACGTTCCACCATCCGAAACTCTTCATCGTGAACTCGTTCGACTACATCACGACTCCCCTGCCATGGGTCACCCTGGAAAGTTCAATACTCTTGAACTATTACGTCGTGAATTCTGGTGGCCCGGCATGTATACATTTGTCTACAATTATGTTGAAGGCTGTGCCGCCTGTCAACAAATGAAACCGAATACTCATCCAACTCGTATTCCTTTAGAACCAATTCCCACCGACCCACACGCATTACCATTTTCCTGTTGCACCACCGATTTTATTACCGACCTCCCCGTTTCCAACGGTTTTGATTCAATTATGGTCGTAGTAGACCATGACCTTACAAAGGGGGTGATTCTTACGCCCTGCCTCAAAACGATCACAGCCGAAGGAATGGCCAAGATTTTTCATGACAAAGTATACTCGCGATTTGGATTACCTGACCGAATCATCTCGGATAGAGGACCTCAATATGCATCCAAGGTCTTCCAAGAGTTAAATCGACTACTCCAGATCAGATCATCAATGAGCACAGCTTATCACCCTCAGACGGACGGAGAAACAGAGTGAGTCAACCAGGAGCTGGAAATCTATCTTCGACTCTATTGCGGAAACAACCCTGAAACATGGGCCGACCGCCTGCCAGACCTCGAGTTTTGTCATAACACAAGGGAACACTCGGCACAGAAGATGAGCCCATTCCGCATCATGATGGGATACGAACCACGTGGACTCCCTTCCGTATTTCCGACCACAAACATTCCATCGGTTGAATCCAGGCTTGACATGTTGCAGAAGATAAGACTAGAAGCACTAGCCATGCATGAGTTAGCCCGACAACAGATGGCGGACCGAGTCAGACAAGGATCACCGAAGTTTACACTAGGACAGAAGGTCTGGCTAGACTCGAGGAACCTGAAGGTCAATTACGCCTCGCGCAAGATAGCACCAAAGCGTGAGGGGCCATTCGAAATTGTCGAGGTCATCGGACCAGCCAACTATCGTCTCAAACTCCCGAAGACCTGGCAAGTTCATTCCGTATTCCATGCCGCCCTTCTATCTCCTTATCGCGAAAATGACATACATGGTCCGAATTACATAAACCCACCACCTGATGTCGTTGATAACGAAGAAGAGTACGAAGTCGAAGCCATCCTGAATCACAAGACGTACCGAGGTCATCTGAGGTACTTAGTCAAGTGGAAGGGATATTCTTCAGCAGAAAACTCGTGGGAACCTACCCATAATTTACAGAATGCCAAGCGAATCCTCGATGCATATAAAAGGACCAGGAGAATCCAGTAGAGGAGAAGAAACCCAGAATGACTACCACAACAGTTTTCCTCATCATCTTCCTAATCGTCCTCCACTGCACAACCCTCACTTTTCTTTGGATCATCCACCGAATCCTTATCAGACGACTTGTCGAACACACACTCTTCATGCGAGACAGCCCGCACGCTAACGACTGGGGTGATCAGAATGATGCCTGAAACTGATCAGGCAGCTCTTATCTCTGTGGGAATACTCTTTATCGTCCAATGGATTTTCATCTATTTGATTATTACCCAGATCCACGACATTCTATTTCACATCACAGATAACCGCAATCCCCTTAATGACCGAAAGGTATAAAAGGAGGAGAAGACGACATATCATCAATGCCCACTTCCGCTATAGACGACCTTGTTCACAATATACTTGCTGAAGTCGCCTCCACAATTATGAGCATACCTGCATCGCCTACGCTTGTCAATGGAGTACCCTCTCAAGCACAGACACCCTTTATCCGTGCCTCATCGCCCTCACCTTCTATCGAACTCAGTCGCGCATCGGATGAACAAGAATTTGCCACACGTCTGGTCTCGGCTATCCATGTTCCTGTCGACTTCACAGATATCCTCGTCGCCTTACGAAATCGCCCGCAAGATCGACAAGCGGTGGTTTCCATGCAACGAGCATTAGAAATGGTCGAGTGGATGCAGACGGCCAGACAAGAGCTCATCGCAGCAGAGGAAAGGACGAATAGAGCCCGAACCAGAGTCGACCAAGTCTGGTCGTTAATGCGCAGTACGGTCACTCGTACAGCACAGGAGATTTGGAGGGAGCATGGGGATGAAGACATCGGACACATCCTCGGATACACCACTAATAGAATACTCGCATCCACTCCTCGCTCGTCGCCAGAACTAATTCCCATTCGACCTCACCCTCCTCGTTCGCACGTACCCAGTGGACGATCTCCGTTATCCCAACCATCTTTCTCGACTGCATCCACTTCTTCGCGTCGCAGTCATCCCTACAGGAATGGACGTATCCCCAAACAAGGATCACGAATCAGCCGGCGAACATGCTACAGATGTGGAGGAGATCATTATGTCCGCGACTGCCCCCGACGACGATGAAGATCACAATATTTCTTGTGGGACAAGAAACGTTAGACGGGAGCTGATGTTACAATGCTCCTCACTTGTGGCATGTCTTTTCTTTCTCCTTTTCCTTGTTCCCTTTATGTTACCAGACCACGTGATCCAACACGTGACTCATCGGAGCGCAACCTCCGATTCTTTACCCAGATGTCCAGAACCCCTAGTCTAGGGTTACACCGGATCCAACTTCAGACCTTCTTCTTATCGCGCATGCAAGACGTGCATGTATGCCTCATCTTTACCTCGTTCTGATACACGACTCGTTATCCCCATTAGTACTGATTATCTCTCACGACCTTACTCAGCTTTCTCATACATATTACTTCCTCGCCGTTACCCTGCCCAGATATTGTTTCACCTTATCTAGCCAATGAACGATTCCGCATTACTGCGTAGTACTGCGGATACCTTTTGTATAAATAGATGACCTTGTCGAGCTGGATCCCCATCTCGACCTGGTTACCATTAAACCAGATTTTCACTTGCCTTTGACTGAGATCGACCGTTAGTAGCAGACAGCTACTGCGAGTCATAAGAACGAACCCTGATCGACCTTCAGTGCGAAGACATCGCCAGAAGTGTCTCTTAAACGGACTTGTGTCTTAGACTAAGACCTTGTCTCGTGACGACTCGACTTGACGCTCGTGTTTCGCTGCCGCGTAACAATTACTCGGCTGCGGCTTCGGTGTCTTTCCGGTCACATACTCCTGGAGACCCTTATTATTAAGGATGGCCTCGACGCGGCACTTCCACGGGAGCCAATTGTCTTCCTTCAGGAGCGGGATCTGGTAAGTATTGCTATTGCTCATATTATCAGCGCTGGTCGACATTATTTGTTCTCGTACTAGTAAGGGGGTAACAATTTTTGTAGCCACAATAGGGGCTGTTGTTATCCAAGTATTTATTGGCTAGAGCCGGGGCTCATAACCTGTTAGAAATCGCGCCTTAGTTCCCAAATAGGAAGGTAGTGATGGCGGGTCAAGATGTGTCGGGGCGCGTGATTACGCGTCCTAAAATAGATTTTTGTATATATACAGTTCTAGACGCTCCACTTTATATAAGCAAATTTCCTTCTTTGTCTTTCTTTGTAATCATGCCCTCAGCTTGTCTGCCCTTGGGTGCTCCCCAATTTCTGGAGCTCCAGAAATTTGGGCGCTACTTTCCAACATTCTGGAACATTTATCATTTTGCTACTATATTCTGGGCTTGTCTCTTGGTGAAATATGCTCTGTATAATAAGGATTTCCCATGGCCAAATACATTACATTTCTGGCTGCCGTTAATCTTCAGAACATTGTGAGAAGATGTTAAGTGCTCCTACGCGGGCTAAGTGTGACAACATTTGGCAGTGGCACGTGATATGTAACACTGTAACCATAGTAGTTGAAAATGAGATGGGTTTATTCCTGCTACCTTTGGTAGTGGGTCTTGCTGCATCTTTTGTCACACAGGGGCTCCACCAAAAACTGTCAGTTTTGGAGGTCCTGCCCTAAACTATACAAAAGATTGAAAGGTCTACAAAATGCTTCCTAAGCTTTGC